AACTAAACGTCTCCATCCAAGTATCAATAACACGCTCAAGGTGCTCAAGAGATAGATACGCTGCGCGGTTTGCACGATCTTCAGTAGATTCAGAGGCATCTATCTGATTGTACGAACTAGTGCCCAAGAGTACACATTCGAAGGAATCTCACTCGAATCGGTCAAAACGTGAACTGATCTTGATCCTGTTTATTGACAGTAATAAATCCTGTCAATGTACTCCGGTGTAAGATTTCCAGTCTGGCATATCAAATCGTAATGCCCACATCGACTCCGTGGATGACGAACACCGGCTACTGCTATCTATCTATTTGGACTACTTTTACGGCTCGGGAAGTCTAACCTACAACCGATCGCTATCTTTTATCCGTACGCTGTGTTATTTGTTCGTTACAGCACGCCTTCAAGATCTGATTGTGTACAAAACCGACATCTAACACCATGATAGAAGCTCTTCATCGTGTTGTCTCCGAAGAATGGATGTAGTTTTCATGCATCCCGAACTTCCTCGAGGATACCTTCGTTTCGATTTGTGACCCGTCCGTATCTTGCGTTGAGACAGCTTAGTTGCCGCTGTGTTTCTCAGGAGCCACACGAGCAACCAAGCTGCCCCGACGCTTGATCTCGTCTTACTCGACTTCTCGACCCGGCATACAACTCCATGATGCCGGTGCCATGCTCACGAATCCTCCAATATCAGATGCTAACAACACCGAATGCGAATTACAATGACAGCGTCCTCGGGATTCAACACAGGTCTCAATTATAGATTCATTCTTAAACGAATGAAAGGCTTGCAGTGGCTCGTTTTCAGATCCGATGCAAGGTCCACATCCGTAGCATGTTACAGTGGCGTTTCCCTGTTGCAACGCAAAGCAGACTTCAGCTCGAGCATCGCGTTGCATCGATAGCGAATGCGATTGCGGTGAGTTTCCACTCCGAGCTCATTCTCAGGCTGCCTCGGAAATGACTGCATTTGTTTTCTTTGCTGCAAGCAGCACCACAAGTATGTCTTATGGTTTGACGCGTTTCGACAAGAGGTGTCTTGACCGCGGGTATCCACTCGCTCCAACTATCGACGAGTGCCGGATACCCGTACAGCAACACACCCACCCAACACCACACCACAGGTCCAGTACATCAAGTTTGAGTCTGTAACCTAGCGAATCTATCGATGCGTCGTCATCTCTACCTGGTGTGGCCATTCGCACATGTCGCGATGAGACACACGCACTTTTGTCGAGCTTGCGCTGCGGGTTTTTCGCTGCATGTCAATGCCATCGTACTGCGGCGGAAGATCTTACAACGCCTACTGTTTGGTAATCGCAAATGATAGTTTAATGATCGCCGTATGCACAGAACGGTCAACAGGCAAACATGTCTACTTCCAACGCCCAACATGTCTACTTCCGCGTCTACGCTCGCGTCTCCTTTCTCGCAAGATGTTTGTGCACTTCGCTTCATGAACGGCTCGGACGGTTGACGTACTACACTTGTGCATTACCGTCTTGATCAATTGCTGGATCGCAACACGCTCTCAGCGCCAACGAGATCACCGACATGTCGCCAGCCGTGAGAAAAACAGTCGAACTGATAACGTTTTGGTCGAGCGTGAACATCACTACGGACAGGCCCCGTCCATAGCAACCCAGCTGTATGGCGCTTTAGCGGGTTTGTTTTCATCAAAACTACCTTTTCCACAGCAAAGTGATGGAGGTGACATGCCAGCGACAGCTATGGGGTGTTCATACAAGACCAAATGCTAACAACAATAAGCGCACATCAGGACAATCTTAATGACAACCGATGTTGCAATACTGATTCTAGTATTCGACAGAGCCGCCGTTGGTTTGCAATGCTGATGACGAAAATGACGCCCCGCCCCGTTCGTAATTGCTGCGACGCGGACATCCTCAGTCGAGCTGCTGTCATTCCAGCGTGAGTCTATTGGGGAGTATAGTTGGGACGTGGCGCTAGGCTTTGATGAGTTGGAGAAGCACTCGCAACCAACACAACGTGGTCCTTGTAGTAGGAAATGATGTTAGGGACTATGATGCTCCATCCTGCACTATAACGCCGCGTTAAGTCGCGTTTACTACATGCTTCTGATAACTTACTGATCAATGTGTTACTGTGCAATGTAGCAGTGGTTGCTATGTGCCGACCAACTATTGCACGTGGCTGTTATCGATCGTTGACCATTTAGCTGATACAATGGCAATTGCACCCAATGAGCAGAACGTCATAGACTTCTGCGGATCAAAGTCTTGTATGGTGATCTTCGTTCAATGTTACCGCTCGAGGGTGTCTGATTGAGAATAGTTGCTGAGACAACATTCCTATACCGACAATGAACTACTATTAATATCATGGACAGCAAGCTCACCGAAGTTTTTCATCAATTCTAAACAAAAAAACAGCTGGCTAAGGTCGCTTCGGTAAAAAAACTAAACGTCTCCATCCAAGTATCAATAACACGCTCAAGGTGCTCAAGAGATAGATACGCTGCGCGGTTTGCACGATCTTCAGTAGATTCAGAGGCATCTATCTGATTGTACGAACTAGTGCCCAAGAGTACACATTCGAAGGAATCTCACTCGAATCGGTCAAAACGTGAACTGATCTTGATCCTGTTTATTGACAGTAATAAATCCTGTCAATGTACTCCGGTGTAAGATTTCCAGTCTGGCATATCAAATCGTAATGCCCACATCGACTCCGTGGATGACGAACACCGGCTACTGCTATCTATCTATTTGGACTACTTTTACGGCTCGGGAAGTCTAACCTACAACCGATCGCTATCTTTTATCCGTACGCTGTGTTATTTGTTCGTTACAGCACGCCTTCAAGATCTGATTGTGTACAAAACCGACATCTAACACCATGATAGAAGCTCTTCATCGTGTTGTCTCCGAAGAATGGATGTAGTTTTCATGCATCCCGAACTTCCTCGAGGATACCTTCGTTTCGATTTGTGACCCGTCCGTATCTTGCGTTGAGACAGCTTAGTTGCCGCTGTGTTTCTCAGGAGCCACACGAGCAACCAAGCTGCCCCGACGCTTGATCTCGTCTTACTCGACTTCTCGACCCGGCATACAACTCCATGATGCCGGTGCCATGCTCACGAATCCTCCAATATCAGATGCTAACAACACCGAATGCGAATTACAATGACAGCGTCCTCGGGATTCAACACAGGTCTCAATTATAGATTCATTCTTAAACGAATGAAAGGCTTGCAGTGGCTCGTTTTCAGATCCGATGCAAGGTCCACATCCGTAGCATGTTACAGTGGCGTTTCCCTGTTGCAACGCAAAGCAGACTTCAGCTCGAGCATCGCGTTGCATCGATAGCGAATGCGATTGCGGTGAGTTTCCACTCCGAGCTCATTCTCAGGCTGCCTCGGAAATGACTGCATTTGTTTTCTTTGCTGCAAGCAGCACCACAAGTATGTCTTATGGTTTGACGCGTTTCGACAAGAGGTGTCTTGACCGCGGGTATCCACTCGCTCCAACTATCGACGAGTGCCGGATACCCGTACAGCAACACACCCACCCAACACCACACCACAGGTCCAGTACATCAAGTTTGAGTCTGTAACCTAGCGAATCTATCGATGCGTCGTCATCTCTACCTGGTGTGGCCATTCGCACATGTCGCGATGAGACACACGCACTTTTGTCGAGCTTGCGCTGCGGGTTTTTCGCTGCATGTCAATGCCATCGTACTGCGGCGGAAGATCTTACAACGCCTACTGTTTGGTAATCGCAAATGATAGTTTAATGATCGCCATGTGCACAGAACGGTCAACAGGCAAACATGTCTACTTCCAACGCCCAACATGTCTACTTCCGCGTCTACGCTCGCGTCTCCTTTCTCGCAAGATGTTTGTGCACTTCGCTCCATGAACGGCTCGGACGGTTGACGTACTACACTTGTGCATTACCGTCTTGATCAATTGCTGGATCGCAACACGCTCTCAGCGCCAACGAGATCACCGACATGTCGCCAGCCGTGAGAAAAACAGTCGAACTGATAACGTTTTGGTCGAGCGTGAACATCACTACGGACAGGCCCCGTCCATAGCAACCCAGCTGTATGGCGCTTTAGCGGGTTTGTTTTCATCAAAACTACCTTTTCCACAGCAAAGTGATGGAGGTGACATGCCAGCGACAGCTATGGGGTGTTCATACAAGACCAAATGCTAACAACAATAAGCGCACATCAGGACAATCTTAATGACAACCGATGTTGCAATACTGATTCTAGTATTCGACAGAGCCGCCGTTGGTTTGCAATGCTGATGACGAAAATGACGCCCCGCCCCGTTCGTAATTGCTGCGACGCGGACATCCTCAGTCGAGCTGCTGTCATTCCAGCGTGAGTCTATTGGGGAGTATAGTTGGGACGTGGCGCTAGGCTTTGATGAGTTGGAGAAGCACTCGCAACCAACACAACGTGGTCCTTGTAGTAGGAAATGATGTTAGGGACTATGATGCTCCATCCTGCACTATAACGCCGCGTTAAGTCGCTGCTCTTTCATGCCACTGATGAACAGCCGACAGACTGTAGTGACACCTGCTACCCCGTTGCATTCGGCACATTCGCCGGGTCCCAAGCGGCAGTGCATGATGGTCGCTATTCAGTGATCTAGACAGAGCAGAGCCCTGCGAAGGGGAGTTCGGCATCGTCCAACCGCCAGGCACGTCATCGCACCAAGCGCTATCGCTCCACCAACGCTTGGGCAGCGATCCGTCGTTTGTCACTCGCCTAAGCGCAAGCGTGATTGCCGCGCAGGCAGCGCCCAGTCCCACAGTGAACCACGGGCAGCAGAGCGTCATGAAGCCGGTGAGTCTATGATCGACCTCGGTCCTGTCTACCCGGTGCAGTTCAGGCCAACCCATCGGCCTGCAGCTGCCCATGCTTCAGTCTAGACCCCACTTAGGATTTTGCCTAAGATGCAGCAGCCACATCCACGGGAGTCAAATACTCTCTCGATGTTGGATGCTATCTGGTTGTCGGAAGAGGAGCTGGGAATGCTGTTCGGCCCCTCCTTACATGGGGCCGACAGTCCATCCAGCCGAAAGTCGATGAGCCAAACCCCACCGACCGTCAAACGTTCGGTTAACAAGACGAGAAAAAAGACAGGTATGTATGCGGCGAAGACCAAGCCTAACATGTTGCTACCTAAAGTCGTCCCCGCTCGCTGCGGCTACCGAACGGGCAAATGTCCGAACGTACAGGCGTTTAAACGCAATGGGAAGCTGCACAAGCTGTGTGAGTTCCACCGCGAGCGTGCCAACTTGAATCAAAAGAAGTTGGACCGCAAGAAGCGGATGCAGCGCTCCAAGCTCTCAACTACTGGGTCGCCGACCCCTTCCTCGTGCACCTCTCTCTCGTCGGAGACGGAAACCTGCAGCCTCAGTGCTGGCTGCTCACCGTGCACCGTTGAAGTCGTGGTTTCCAGCAGCATGTTTGACAAGACCCATCCCAAGGACGAGCTCGACATGGACGTCATCCTACCCACCAATCTACACGAAGCTCCGTTGGTGCTCAGTCATGAAGAGCTCGCTATCTTCTGCAGCCTCATGACCTTTGATGCCAATCACCATCGAGATGTAGCGAGTCGAGAGTTGCCGGGCCACACACCATCGTGCCATAATTACACGAGGACCGTGTGAGGCCGGCCATTTAGATATTAGATCCCCATCATCCCGACTGCATTTAGATATTCGATCGAGCCAGAACAACACCAACATATAGAGAAAGCGGCGTCATTTAAGTCGAAAGTGCGTTGATTCATCGATAGAACGGTCGATGATTCATGATTGATTGATTGATAACGTCAAGCTCTATTTTGTTTCGTGGTACTACTGTAAGTCAACCTGATCAGTCCGTCACTCGGTCTCCTCAAACGGTGGGGTACACGTATTTTATGTTTAACTTACGCATCTCCAGCTTCTTTTTCTCCAAAAACCACTCCGTTTTAGTTCCCACTCGAAATATTACCTCAAGTCTCACTTTGCATTTGGCTCTCATGGCTCCAAACATGGCGCTGCTCTCGTGGATGAACTTGGCGCTCTACGCGCTGCAGCTGCTTGCAAACCGACAATGGGCACGCAGCATTGGCCCCACTTCGAGACGCTACGAGACGCTCATCACGCCGGCGCCCTATGCCTTCAGCATCTGGGGCTTTATCTACACGTGCCTCGCCGTGACTGTCGTCGTCGACTGCTTCTGGCCGTCCGCCTCGATCTATTCGAGCGCTTCGAACGCCACCGTCTTGCGCTCGCTCTTTGCCCTGTCTTGTCTCATGAACATGCTGTGGATCGCTCTATTCACCACCGAGCTAGTGAACGCGGCCACACTCACGCTCGTGGTGCTCTGGGCCTCGCTCTTTGTGCTCTACGCGCACGTGATTACCGAGCGTCGCGACGCCGGCTTTGACCTCCAGCGCTTCGTGCTGAACGAGCTGGGCCTCACTGTCTACTTTGCCTGGACCGGTGGCGCCACGCTCATTAGCTTCGCCGTCACGGCCCAATACATTGCTGAGGACTACCTGTCTTTGACGTCGTACGTGACGCTCTTGTCGTTGCTGGTCGTCACGGCGTTGTCCGCTGTCATTTACGCAGGCGACGTGACGTTCGGTCTCGTAGCCATCTGGACACTAGTCGGCCTTGCTGCTAAGACCACGACCCTGGAGCCGCGCGTCGAGATGATCGCGACGAACGTTCGCGCCTGCGCTTCGCAGAGCGCTGCAATCGTCGCGGCTTTTATCGTCATCTCGATCGTCCAAAAGCTTCTGGCTCCTGCAATGTGAGTGACGCCTGCGGTTGTATCGGTGCTGGCTGTGGGCAACGTTTACTGAAGATTCTGTCTCTGTGCATTCTGTTGGTCTCTCTCTCTCTCTCTCGCTCTCTTTGACGTGCAATAGGTCCATGCGTCCGACTGGTGGCCCGCTCTACGGTGACAAGGCCATGCAGCATGTGGACTATGGCACAGCTAACGCCTAAGGACTGCAGGTGGAGGCAAAAAAACACGCTTTTTACGTAGGCGGACAACGTAACACGGGTAACGACTATAACCGCAATGTCTCTTTCGTTCGTTCTTGCTGTCATTAACTACTCGTTCTCGGACATCGGATACGGTTGCTAGACTTCAACCTGCTTTCACTTCAACCTGCAGAATCGGTAACAACGTGACGACGGAAGGCCGAGGCGTGACACCCCCCACGGAGACAAAACGCTTACTGCCAAGCGAGTGTGTGAGAACCGCTTGGCTGAATGTTGTGCTCTTTGGACTATTAGACGCTGCTGGCTTGTCTCGGTCCGGCAATCGGGGACGCCAAAGATGTGCTGCGGGTACAGCAGGACACGTTGCTGACACCGACATGACCCACATCCAATCTTTCCTATGACACGAGCATCGGTGTGGTACCATCTCAATTGTCCGCCTGTGCTTTGTGCGGATCACAGTTGAGCTAATAGGTCTACAGCCACACCTCGCTATTTACCTCCATCTGCAACGTCATTGTACAGCTCACCACCATCCACACGACTAGTCATGCTCCTATCTACACCCTCGGCAGAACTACAGCACGGTCAAGACTCGGTGATAGCTCGTGTTTGGTGGTCCGAGTGCTCATTGGCGTCACTTCGAGCGTGACTACGAAAAGTCACTCACAAGTTCGAGCAGGTTACGAGCAAATCCGACAATGTGTGACGTGGTTTACGCGCGAATCCAGCAATGTGTGACGTGGTTGCTCTTGTCGCAGTTGTACCCATGTCACAATTAACTCCAGCATTGGTTTTAGACCAATGCGATATCCGTATCAGATGCCACGTTTCCACCAATCGCAGGCGTGCATTACTTTCGTGCGCTGCTCGCTACAGCTCGAGCGGGGAACGATGACGCTGGACCCGCCATCTCCAGGGCAGCGACTGCCCAGTGCGAACGTCGTGCTTTTTGCCGCTCAACTCGCGGTCTCTATCGGCGTCTTCATGTTCGCTCCTGACGGATCTTGGGCGCCTTCTACTCGTCCTGACGCCAGGATCGCAGGCTCGGGAGGAGCCACCGACAGCAGCGGATCATCGACTCAAGCGCCTTCTTTTCACGTTCCTACAGTCTCCAGTGTATTGGAAACCAATCCACTGGCCCCTCCCGCCTACGTGTTCTATATATGGATTCCCATCTACATCTTTATGGGCATCACAGTCATCGTGGACCGCTTCTACCCGACCTACAGCTTCTACTCGACGTCGGATGATCCCACTTTCCTTCGCCAATGGTTCCAGCTCGCCTGCTTGGCCAATATGTCGTGGGTGATACTGGACAAATGGTTCAGCTGGATACACATGGCTACATTTGCACTTGGAGTGCTCTGGTGTGCAGTGCTCCCACTGTACCTGTTCATCGTGCGTCACCCCACGCCACGATTCTCGAAGACTTGGATCTACTATTTCGGCAGTGAATTCTCCGTGCGACTCTACTTTGGATGGCTCAGTGCTGACTTCATTTTCGGCCTTGCAGACGTGATGCAGTATCTGCACGACACTTATTTTGGATTTAGTGTCTACGCTGCGTTATTGGGGGCGCTGCTCGTGCTGGCGTTTGCTACGTACGTTCACGGTCGAGACCCGGTAGTCGGTCTTGTCGTTACATGGAGTCTGCTGGGCTTACTCTTGAAGCACTCGACGTTCCCAGGTGATACGCAAGAGGTTTTTGAAAAGCTGCAGGCTGTTGCCATCGTCGTCGTGCCTGTGTTTCCGATTCTAGTTCTCATCGACGCTGTGCGTTATGTCTATGTCGTTCGTCATAAAACGTGAGTGGTAGGCTGGAAAGTAGAGCTTCGTTGAGTGATGCTACTGACTAATGCAGCGAGTATGTCCAATGTTTTGCAGGAACCCAACCAGCCGCAGCAGCAGTAGCGGATACTACAAATCATTTGTGTTCGAGACCACGGCCGAGTATGGGACCGTGTGACCCTTCATGTATGAAACTAAGGCGTACGTCTGTTCATAGTTTTGACCCACCCCGGAACTTTTTTTTCTTCTCACATAGACTTTTTGCTAACACTCCCTTCCTCGCGTCATGATTGCAGCTGCAACATTGGGAATGATTTGCTCTATAACGGTGCAAAGTTCTGACCGCTATTAGCTTGTTTTAGAACACCGTCATCACGCACTTGACGCCGCGTCAAGCCTGCTAAGCAGCTGACGCTGGTGGTCGAGGGTGTCAGTGTTGAGACGAACACAACTTGCGCTAACAAGAATCTTGCTCTGCTTTTCACTTCCTGGACAAGAACAAGAGAAAAAACAGCAGGTGACTGCATTCGCACTTTGGGTCATTTGTCGCGTCGGTATGAATTATCGACAATCGAATTCACGATGACTGTGTTGCATGCTCACCTGCTTGTTTCTCACTTTGTTGTCAACTGTCTTGGGCCTGATCTGATGGATGTGTTTGACGGAATGATCTGTTTTTGACCTTGGACGAACAGCTTAGTGTCGTCGACTGATAACACGTACCCAAAAGGCAGCTGCGGCACCTTGGAGGCATTGCCTACCAAACGTCTTCGCACCGTATGGTCACCTTGTCTGCAACATTTGCATTTGCTCATGTTGAAATTGACGTCTTAGACTAACTTTCTCGCCATGCGCAAAAGCATTGCTGTGAGCCATTAACAAACGCTCAAGTGTAGTGTTGTGTATGGGACGGTGTAAGAGATACACCACCCTCTGGAGCGCCAACAACATCTTTGTCCCATTCTTGTCCCTGCTTGCAGTCGACACGGTTCTAACTGTCGCGAAGTAAACTTTCGCCGTTAAATGCCACGCACTCAGCTTTCTCTCCGCCATTTTTCATTTCGCTCACACTTTAGCACTTCACTCACGCAACTTCACAATGGAAGGCACCTGGTTTGCCCTGCTCAACGCCGCGCTATTTGTGATGCAAGCTGTCGTGAATATCGTGTATGCCAAGCAGTTCGTGACGGTAGCACGCGATTACGAAACGCTCATCACTCCTGCGAGTTATGCCTTGATGATGTGGATTCTCGTCTACGCGTTGGAAGCTGCGCTTGTCATTGTCGACGTCTTCGCACCACGGTACTCGATGTTCGCCGACGCCAACCAGCCAGCCCAGCTACGCTTATGTTTTGGCGCGACATGCATCCTCAACACAATCTGGGTCTTCTTGTATGTGTCAGGACACGTGTACGCCTCGACTGTGATCATTTTCGCGTTGTGGTTGGCACTATTGGTGCTCTATGTTTACGCCGTTAACGATCGAAACGCGCGCGATACTGGGCCATTTGACTGGATCCTCTACCTGTGCAACGAACTTCCCATTTCGGTGTACTTTGCGTGGGTCACGACCGTTGCCTTCACAGAGCTCGCAAAGTCCATGCAACATTCAAACCAGAGTTTCGTACATGTCACCACTTACGTCTCATTCCTCTGCGTTGTCATCGTGCTGGGACTGCTGACTGCGCGATACGCGCAAGATCTGGTCGCGGGTCTTGTCATTATCTGGTATCTCATCGCAGTTTCGGTCAAGCACGTGTATTTTCCAGCATCGGTACAGTGCACGGATACCACTGTCCGTGCGTGTGCTGGCGAGGGTGCAGCGATAATTGCGGCGGTGCTGGTAATTAACTTTTGTCAATCGCTTATGGAAGACAGGTAAGCTTCCAATTGTGTCACTGATCCAGATTCGGGAGGTCTAATGAGCGTGTGGTACTTGCCTGGTTGTGTCTGTCGGCCACATTCGTAAATACGCGCGGGTGGAGTGAAGCCGTCCTCCAGCCTCGAGCATGGGTGCGGGAATGGCTGTCGCGGCGGGTGCCTCCTACGGCTCCACCAACGCATAACAGTGCAATCCCAGTTGTGCCTCGTACTACCGCTCGCGTCTCGATCGCAGTGCGCACTGCCGCTGGGATCCCGGTCCCGTAGCATACGTACGGCTCCACCAACGCATAATAGTGCAATCCCAGTTGTGCCTCGTACTACCGCTCGCGTCTCGATCGCAGTGCGCACTGCCGCTGGGATCCCGGTCCCGTAGCATACGTCAGTAACCCATAGTACGGTCAATAGTATCGAATAAAGATATCGTTCCCAAGCCGGTGTTGTAGCAGCTACACCATCGCTCTCATCATGCTCATAATCATTAGGGCTTGCCGTGATTTTCTGTACTCCTGTTGAGCTGCACACGACACCCATAGTCATCTCGGTACCTCTTTCGTAGTACAGATGATTTTTCAGCTTTCGAATACGAACGTGAACGTCAAGTATTCAGACAATAGCGACTTTGCCGCGGCAATATGGACGCATCACGACACCGACAGGCAGTCTTCCCGCTGTCGTTATCATCACGCGACCGTCTTTCGGAGCGCTTGTTCCGCTTTCCCTCACGCTTATGCGCGCTCGACTGTTTGTGCCTACCCACCTTTTTAGATCGTGCCTGACGGCACGACAGATCGGGATCCGAATGCCTGCCACAGCTATGCGACGACTTCTTTAGCTTTTTCAGCAATCTCTTCCGCTGCTTCGCGGACAATCCCGCCAAGAACACACCTTCAGCTTCATCTGCATCGACAGTCGCGGCAAGAATAGGTCAGGTCGAGCCATGCTTCAGAACGATACACCCGACATCAATTACCGTCGTCGGACTGCAGAATCTCAAACTCTCCTCCATCTTCTTGCATTTCCAACGGCAGAGCTCCTCTCCTTAGCACCAACTCCTGCTGGACCATCTTCAGTTTCTTAATCTCTGTCACAGGGTCTTCCCACCTCTGCCTCGCTGCATCTACACCACAATAGCGTCAGCAAGCGCCGCTGGACAAAGTCCATCCACCCCGACGAGCCATCGTCAAGACGTAACGCACCATTTGGATTCACGTTCCGTAATCGACACTCCCGATCACCACTTTGATGTCCCCACTCACTGCATCGAAGACAGCGCACGTTGCGCAATCGGAGTCCCAGTGGATTGAACTGCACCCGGATCGTCTCCGCGTATTTCCCCTCCACGGGCGCGCCCTTGAGAACAGGAAACCGGTCCACTTGGTCCTTTATTGTCAGCGTCTCTTGTGCCCAGCGGCCCACGTCCCGCTCCAATTTGCGCGGCGACTCGCCGCGTCTCGCAGCTTTGCGTCGGAACTCGCGCACGGCCTCGTCCTCCTCCTTTCTCCTCTGCTGTTTCTCTTGAGCCCCGTCTGCAGTCACTTGTGCGAGTCCTGGGGGAGCTGCGTACAGAAACGTCACGCGCTCTGGAGCCGTGGGCTGAGCAGCAGCTTCTCGGGTCCTTTGAGCCTGCACCGCCTTGCGCACCTCCTTCACCTTGTCCTGCTCCCGCTCTCGCCGCTCGGCCGCCTCCTGCTCTGCCATCCAGATGCGCTTCTGATTCGCCTTGTTGGCGGGATGCCAGCTCTTCTGACTCAAGAATTGCAGCGACATGGCGTGGGCTTCTTGACGTCCACGAGGACAAAAGGCGAGTGGGATCGAAGGGGCGAGACAATCCCAGGGCCGTATGTGTGTAGTTGGTTAGTTAGTTCGTTTGAAGAAATGGGTACGACTTTCTAAGCACGGAGGTGGGTGGTCGTGTTTGATTTCTATTTGTTTGTTTCGGGTATGTACGAAGTGTATACCTGCCTCCTTTTCGTTGTCCGTGTATACAGACAGCCACATGTCAAGAAGGTATTTTACTTACGACGATGTTTCGAAGGGGCGCTTGTAGCCATAGCTTTGGCAGTCAGGTCACCCTTGACGCGCTGAATCGTCGACTTTGTATGACGAAACTCGGATACTGATACGTTCAATTGCGTGTGTTGTCGCTCACGGTGTATCCATAGATCCGGACGCTCGAGCCCGTACCGACCGAGAAAGACCGGGCGCTGTTTTTCCTCGGGACGAGCGCCTTGAACCAGTCGAATAACGTCCGTCCGTAAACAATAGTCAATTAATTGCTCAATCGGATAATTAATTATTAATTTCTGCAAAAGACTGACTGACGACTGACGTTCGTATCGTTGTGTATTATTATTATCTCTCTATTGTGTCTGGGACTCAACTTGTCACAATTTTAGATCAATGTGGTGGAAGTGATGGACAACGGACGCGACGTGGCCACACGACAAGTGCTACGTCACCCTGGGGAGGTGCAAGCTCTGGCCCCGAATCCTGTTGACCGCCAGCTGCTGCTCACGTGCAGCAAAGAACGAGGTCAAGTGGCTCAAGTTTTGCTCTGGAGACTGCCGGGGGAAGAGACGACTGGAGGAGTGAACCGAATGGAGGAAGCAGAAGCAGAAGCTGAAGCTGCTAGCACTGCTGTGACTACTCCTCACTCTGGTATGAACCAGGAGATGGAGCAGGTAGCAGCATTTCCAGTCCAGAAACTGCTCGTGTCAGAGTACGAGTGATGGACGACGTTGATGCAAATGTTGCAACCTACTCAAGGCAGGAGTTCACCCTTTTATTGTGGGTACTTGTGTCACCGATGGATAGAATCGCTTGGGAGACTTCAACGGATACGCGGACGGTAGCATCGGCTCATGGGACACTGATACGTACGTGGCGCGTGGATGCAAGTTCAGTGGAAGCTCTGGATCGGCTAGAGCTGGACGGATCGATGCTTGGCAATGCAACGAAGCGAGCGGCTAGCGCGCTAGTGTGGGATCCGCACCACGCTTCACATCTGACTTTTGCTCTTGGTGGTAGCGTGCGAACGTGGGACGTCCGCGCCAAGCAAGATAGCGTGAGTATCGAGGATGCTCACCCGAGCGCAACGCTTGCACTCGATTTCAACCCGAACAAACCGTACGCTCTTGCCAGTGGTGGTGACGACGGCAAACTCAAGTTCTGGGACTTGCGCTATTCGAGCAAGCCAGTATTGACGCTGAATGCGCACTCGCACTGGGTCTGGAGCATGCGCTATCACCCGCTATACGACCAGCTTGTGCTTTCAGGGAGCTCCGATGCGACGGTGGCTTTATGGCGAGTGTCTTCCATCTCGTCCTTGCCGCTTGTCGAGCTGAATGACGGTGATCTCATGGACGAAAGGGCAGGCGGTCCACCTGTCGTGGATACGCTGATTCGGCGAGTCGAGGATCACGAAGATGCTGTATATGCCGCACGGTGGGCTGCTGGAGGAGACGCCTGGCTGTTCGCTTCCGTGTCGTACGACGGCCGTCTTGCTATCAATCACGTGCCATCCACGGAGAAGTACAAGATTCTGCTTTAGTGCAAACAAGCAAAGTAATTAGGCATCTAGTGGTTCTTTACGTTGACTATCATCGATCGGTACGTCCGGCCTGGATACCTCGACTGCAAAAGCTCTTTCGTCCCGATATCTACACTATTCTTCCGCTCGTTCTCGTTCATCTTGCTTGTACTGCTGCTCTACGACGCACCTCACACTCCACGTCAAGCGTCACTCAACCACGCATAATCTTGCTAGCTTCGTTACGAAGCCAGTCTAGCTCATCCATTGCCCGCTGGAATCCTGTCATATCACCCTTGCCAACGCAATCGGCAACTCTCTGGGCTGCAGCAGCAAGCCGCTCTTCCAGGAAGCTGCTACTAGCTGTACCAGCTTGTTGAGAAGTAGCGGGTGACGCTGACGGCATCGTGGCCCCAAGAGCAGCAGCTGCTGCGGCTGCACTAGCAGAGATGCTAGACGATCCAGTCCGCTCTGCTGCACTGCTACGTCCAGTCCCAGATCCAGGTGCAAGCATTTTTTTCGCAGAGGCTTTCGGTGTCGTCGTGCGCAGCATACCTGGGAAACCAGGTGGCGCCGTTCCCGACGGTGCTGTGGCTGAAACACGGTCTCCCCAGTCTTCCTTCTTCGTAGCTAGCAGGCGGGCCGCGTTGCTCGCACCGATACCCAAAGAGCTCTGGATAATTTCATCCTTCGCGCGAGTCTTGTCCTCACTGCTTAAGCTGCCTTGGCGAGCCAACTCTGCAACCTTTCGAAGCCGCGCACCGTTCGGACTCATCAGGGGCAACCCACTCTGACCCTTCGTCAACAACGTGGTCGAAGAACCGACGTCGTCATCGGTCACGGGCGGTGGCGGGGGAGGGGGAGGAATCGACAAACTTGAGAGACCGCTCTGGTGCTGCCGAGAAGCGTTGTAAAAAGACACAAAGCTGCCAGAGATTTCTGCAGTATCGTCGTAGCCACCTGTCACCTGCACAACATCCTCATCGGTGTAACCTTGCGAGCTGGATTCGTCGTTGCCTGACGTCGATGAACTCGCGCCGGAACCGTCATGCGTTCCATCCTCAGCGTCACCGTGTCGCTCGGCGATCCCGGGCATCGAACCAGCTGCGCCATAGCACGGGTATCCTCCCGTCTCACCATTCTCGCCGAAAGACAAGTCACGTGCAAGTTCCAAGCGGCTTTTGCTGCGACGACGAAACTTGAAAAATTCAGCGGCATTACCAAAGCTGCCACGCCGAGCCACCACGGTTGCACCTCCTGGCTGCGAGGTGCCTGTCGAGCTTGATGGAGAACTCGACAACGTTGCCAAGGACGACGACGATGGAGGTGGTGGATGTGTCCCAATATTAACTCGACTCCGTGTTGACGACTGGAGTGAGAACCCGGCAAGATTCGCCGTGGCTTCAGCTGCGGACGAGTTTAGTCCACCCGAACTGTTCTCAGAATCCAGCTCCAGCTTTTTACGCCCTGTACTGGTTTGTGGTGTCATGAGCACGGCCTCAGCTACCTGCCAAGGTACTGTCATAGAAGGTCGTCTTGTAAGTCCAGGCGGTGGTGTCAGCATTGAGTTCTGGTCCTGTACCGGACTTGCACCGGCAACATTGTCACTTGTCGAGGCTGGTTCCTCCGCCGACGTGGTGTTATAATAAGATGTTTGCTGGCTGTAGAATGTAGCGCCGCTACTTGCAGAACTGCTGAGCTTCTTCGTTCGAGCCGGAGGAGGCGACCACGAAGGTAATGCTGTCGACACAAAGCCACCACATTCGCCCATAGGCGGTGGTGGAGGGAACGAGTCCTGGGAGAACTGAAGTGACGAGTTGCGGCCAGAAGCTTTACCATCATTGAGACTGCCACAACCCGAGTCCGATCCATGAGAGGAGATCGAATTGTCACCGTCAACTCTTCCAAAGTCGTACGAAGCGTAGTAGTCCTCGGGTGTCTGACCGCTCGTGTAAGAGTAGCGCATCGTCATATTGTCGTCCAATGAGTCGGCATTCGGCAACTGGGAGCTACGGGACCGACTGCGGTGTCCACGTGCCTCTCCTGATCCCGAGCTCAAAGGTCCATGACTATGAATCAGATCGGTTCCAAAGCCAGCGTACTGTGAACTGCCAAGCTGCGTACTGCTGTTGCTTCGCGTGTGATGCGAGCGCTTCGCCGTCTGTTCCGGTGTGAGCAAGTTGCGTCCTGCTGTCTCTCGATAGTGCGACTTGGCAGCGTTGTGCAGCACTGCCTTGCTCACGAGTCCCGTCACTTCGCTGGCGTGCACTGGCACATGCTGCGACGCGACACGCAGCGCCGTCAGCTGCTTAAGCTCCTGTACCGACATGCCCGTTTTCGGCACAACAGGTGGCGTCGCAACTGCCGCCGGCGTCGACGTGGCTTGCACCAGCGCCACATTAATCCTGGGCGTCGCAGGTCTTGAGGCTGAGAAGCCTTCAGCAGCAGCAGTAGCCGTGGGCGTTGCGGGGTTACTACTATTAAGACGAGCACTTGCTGTTGACTGCTGTATCCGTTTCTGGGTCAGTCGCTTGAGCTCTTCGACCGTCATGCCGCTCTTGATCCCCATCTTGGCGCCAGATATGGCGGACTTTACACCTCCTGGCCGGCTATTACTGCTTGATGTCGAAGCTCCTGCATTCCGATATAAAGGGTTGCGATTGGTAGAAACGCCGGCTGCTTGACTATGTTGCGGCTGATGTTGCTGGTACGACTGCGGCTGATGTTGCTGGTACGATTGCGGTTGATGTTGCTGGTAGGGGGATGGGTAGGGGTTCTGCTGCGAGGCGTGCATGATTGGTTGCGGGTAGACCGAGAACTGCTGCTGGAGCTGCTGCTGGGGCGGCGGTGGATTGTGGCTGTGCCCCCCTTTGCGTCGGTTCGTGTCCGCCATGACACGAGTCCACTCTCCCACGACGACACGACGACACACTCACGACACTGACGACACGACAGAAATGACGGGGCCAAAGGGCGCCGACGCTTTGTTTCTATCAAGTGGTGACTGGCCACTTTGGCTCGTGTTCGCGAGCGCTTCGTAGCATGACGTAATCATCGTGCGATACGTATTTCGATTTCTATCTCTATCGAGGACCGCTCTTGGTACCACCCACATCAAGCACGCCGTTGTTCTGAATTTCGTCTTCTTGCTCACGTTCGAACGGCTCCTACAAGATCATTGGACGAAACGACATGCGCTTTTTCTATATTTTTCTTGCGTTTCTTCTTTCAAGTGGTGGTGGAAGAAAACTCCGAGCGGTTTCCGCCCGTTTTCTTTGCTGTACAGAAAAAAGACAAACTACCAACCACTGGCTGCGAAGAAACGGCTGACTCACATGAAGCGTCTCACGTTCTAATAATTCAGCAGCGCAAGCTTGACCTTGCGGCGTGACGACACGTGGTCCAACAGCATCGTCGCAGTCCACTTGTTTGCTTCAATTCGAGCTGGTTCTGCGCTTTTCCTGCCGTTTCTGTCAAGTTTGTCAACTTTTTCGCCAGTTCAGTTAAGTGTTGTCAGCTCTCAGGAGCTTTTCCAGCGACTGTGTTCCCATGAGCCACTACTGCTGCTGCACCACGACTGACCAATGCTGCGGACGCCTTGAGCATCACTTTAGATGCTGTTGTATGCGACGTTGCTGCTTGAGCTCTTCGTTGACATGCAGCTGCGTCGCTGGTGATGGATTAATTAGTGCACAGAAAAAGCTGCTCGTATGGTACACAGGATATCAAACTCGACCGAATTTGCAGACGTTGCTGTACCAAAACATCACCTGTTGTTATGCGTGGGACGAGGATAAATGAAGAAGGGTGCCTGGTAACTTCCTTTGCCCGGGATTGTAGCAGAATAATTGTCGAGTGCTCTGTACCTAGCAGTGGAGACTATCGAGACCTCATTGTTCTCACAAGATGTAAATTTGGCATTTGAGTGCATGCGCATAGCCTTTTCGGCTGTCCATCAAATGTTCATTGCACCGCCGCTGCTGGCGCTCTGCCTACACCTGCATGCCCGAAGAACAACGCTCATGCGAACGGAGAGTGTAATACAATCACGTACCACTGGCACCAACATTTTGGCGCTGATGAAACCCTTTTGCGTCACTTTCTTGTAAAGATGTGCGTAGTCTCATGGAGACAGCTGAACGCTGATCATCGCGCAGGCAAGACTTGCCGTTGCAGTGTAACTGGCGAAGCTTGACGACGCTGCAGGAGCGAGGATATGCTGAGAACGGTTATTCACATTGAAGACGGAGTTGTTACTTGTACGTGGCCTGGCGTTGACTGTATCCCAAGCGTATGTTGCAAAGACCCTGATTGATGTCATGTGTCAACAACAGCGCACAGTTTAGTGATCCTCGAATGCGAATCCATAACCGATGAACTGGGACCACTATCGAATTACAAGATCGTTGTAGCTTTTCGTTTTGGTATGAAGATGTAGCAACTTTCGACGACATTCGCTGAAGATATTACTCGCAGACTTCGGATCAGCCATTTACACAAGGTATCCATCGGAACTGCTGCCCAATCGGGGCTGCTGCTTTTGCCTCAACAGCTTCTTCTGACTTTTTACTCAATTTTTATCCGTGGATCAAGAGTCGATGTGCGCAGCTTGCAGCTTTACAACTCAGTTGAGGCTTAAGCTCGCGTCTTGATGGGCTCAAACGCAATGTCTTTGGCGATTTTTCGAGCAACTTTTTCGCCCCGAAGCAGCTCCACGAGTGAGATAGCCATCGCGATGGCCGTGGCAGGGCCTTTGCTTGTCACGCAGTTTTCTGCAACCACCAGTTTGTCAGCTGTGTACAGGTCGCCTAGATGCCGCTTGTCAGACGGATCGCCAGCCATGGGACCCTCAACGAGCGCATTGTGGTAGAGCACGTCATGAACGGCTTCACCGATTGCAGCGTAGAGTTTTCTTGCTGCTTTTTGCTCTCTCAACAGCGTTGTCAGCGTTTGACAAGCACCCAGAGCTTTTGCACCTGGGCCACCCGGCACTGCAATAACATCGAACTCGTCATTGACGCAGAACTCGATCGGTTTGTCCGCTTGCACACTCGTGCCCTTTGCCAGCTTTACTATATGGTGGAGGTGTCCTCCGACATTTGCAACTGTCACACGCACACCACCGCGAGCAAGTACGACGCAGAGAGCTGCCACTTCAATCTCTTCACAGCCCAAGGCCTGCACTCAACCACACATGTCAGTCACGCACAAACAAGCAGAGCTGCGTTCCAAGAAGTTGAACTACTCACCACTGGAACGAGAGCCGTGGGCTTCGGATTCACAATCTCGCTGATCGCCTGTGCAAGTCGAGCCATGTTTCGTGTTCGTGGAAAGTGTTGATCTGCAAGACTGCCAGTATGAACTTGGAGCTGGTGAAGTTCACGTTGGCTGTTCCCATACGCTTTGTCCCGTTGCCCAACGGTCTTGAAGTTGTGATGCCGCCTACTTTTCATTCACAACGGAATCGACCTCGGAAGCGCAAAGATGATGGCTGGCGGATTGTCGGAGTACACTGCAGTGGGACATGATAACCTCCCACTTCACGTGCTGCCGCGTATAAAGCCACGCGCTTTGATCATAGTGGCAGACGGTAGTGACGAGCTTGAGACGCTCGCACTGTCGGACATTCTAGTCCGCGGCGGACTACATGTCATCATTGGCTCGGTCGGCCAAGCGAAAAATAACATCATCGTGGCCAACTATGGCTTGCATATCCAGGCTGAAAAGTCTATGGATAAGTGTAGCATCGAAATCTTCGACTTGATCGTTGTACCCGGGGTAAGCTTATGCAATTGATGCACAAACTTCACCGAGGAACACGACATGGAACTGACCACATTGATTATATGAGCAGGGCGATGGAGCCAGCCACTTGCGTGACTCAGATCTCGTGACGAAAATGCTGCTGGAGCAAAAGGAAGCCGGACGATGGATCGCTGCAAGTTCCTCAGCACCTGCGGTTGTGCTCAGCTCGCATGGATTGCTTGGTACTCGCGCGACGTGCTCACTTCCCCACGAGCCTGAAATGACCCGCGAGTTCGTGGACGAAGACATCGTCGTCGACAACCGGTGTGTAACAACCCAGGGTGCTGGTACGGTGATCAAGTTTGCACTCACACTGGTCAAGCTGATAATGGGAGAAGCGGCTGCTGGGAGAGCTGCAGGTGAGCTCTTGTGTCCATGGCCATAGGTGCGGTCGCGTGGATGTCAAGCGAGATTGACTCGTAACCAGGCCATGCAGTAGCAATAGCTGACAGTAATTTTCTTCCAATCCAGCCGTCTTCGACCGCTCACATGCTTCTTATACAGCTCCCCCTAGCGTGTCGCTTCAGCTCAACATGGCTTGGCTTCACACTACGATCGAAGCGTAGTATCGCGCAAATACAAGTGAAGCAAACATCAGTGCGTCAATGCGATCCAGTACACCACCGTGGCCAGGGATCAGCTTGCCAGAGTCTTTCACACCTGCTGCACGCTTTAGGAGGCTCTCGAAAAGATCGCCAAGTCGTCCCACTATAACAGCCAACACAGTGAACCCAATCTGCGCAACCGCAGAGCCCGGTACGTTAAGCAGATCGGAGGAGATGAACATCGCAGAGACACCGAACACAACGGCTCCGACTGTTCCTTCATAGTCTTTGTTCTTGGACAAATGCGATGCTAGAGGATTGTAGTGACGATAGTGCATGCGCTCCAGCAATTTGCCTGTTATATACGCCCCTGTATCAGAAGCCCACACGACGTACAGCAGCACGATCAGCAGTTTACGGTACGACTCCAGTCGCTCGTCGTCCACAAACGCGACAATCACGGAAAGACTGCCAATGATATACAGGTAGCCGAGCACGTCCAGCGCAATGTGCAGAAATACCGACGGTCCTGATGAGCTAGTGTGTCGACGAAGGAGAACGATAACAGCCACACCTGCGAGGAACACCTGAGCTGGCTCCAAGGATATACCGCACCGGAAGCGGTTGATCGGGCATGCCGTCGAGTGCATAGTCAATAGCGTGAAAATCATTTTTTCCACGAGACAGACACACGCATACGTCCAATCCGGCGTAGAGAAGGCGCACAGTGCAGCAACAAAGTCCGTGGCGATACTGTAGAACCAGCGGAGTTCGTACAACTGTTTCTCATGCAGTTCCGGGACATGGTCCACGTAGGTCAAAAACATGGCCGTCGTGCACACGGTCGTGACGGTTGATAGCACAATTGCTGCGATCCACTCATTGTGATGAAAATAGCGATTGGCCAAGCCAGTCACTGCACTCCTCGAGAAGCTCGCGTCCTCAGCATCGTCTTCATCGATCCCGCTGCCAACACGGCTTGGCTCTTCTTGCTCATTTGCCAGATGTTCTAGTGAATGAGGTCCAAAACTCGCTCGAGGCTGCGGTGGAAACCCCAACGGCGACAGCACGGCCGTCTCCCCAGTCGTGCTCCCTCCAGTGCGTCCTCGTCCACCATCGCCACCATACTCGTGCCTTGTCTCCCTGTCGTCGTTTGCAACAATGGATCGACTGCTGCAACGGCTGTTGTCGTTGCTGCAACAGCTGTTGACCGAGCGCCGATTATTGTCCAATGGCTCGGGCCGGGCCGTGCTGAAGTCCGTCGTGGCGTTTCGATGCGTGAGACGGGACTCACTCGTGTGCAACTTCGTCGAGATGCGCTCGTAGATCCGGTAGTGCAGCCACGCGTACTCGTAGGAGCAGATGCTGGTCACGAAGGTGCAGAAGGTGGCAGTCGCAAAGGCCGGCGAGAGCCACAAGAAGACGGTGATGAGCGGCATCAGAAAGAGGGCGGACAGGACGCGCTGGACGGCGTTTCTGTGCAGCCAACAACGGGTCGTTGCTGCAACATTCGTACTTAAGTCACTGGAAGAAGACGCCACGGGCTCGAATGAAGTGTCGCTTGTTGTCGTCGAGTGGTAGAAAAACGCAGGCGACGAGTCGGACGAGCGCGGCGTGATGGACATTGGCGAGAAGCTGCGGGACGTGGGCGTCCGGTGTGGCGAGAGCGGCTCGGGGGACGGCGTCGGCAGCGGCGACGGGGGAGAGGCGGCCATGGCCGGTAGGCGGGTAGTCAGGCAGGCAGGTAGTCGAGCAGGCAGTCACGTGTGACGCGAAGGTAAGACGATGCGTTTCTAGAGGTGATTCATCACACGGAACGAGGTTGGATGGAATATCGTTCTTTGTGGACAGGATAAACCGTGCAATTCGAAAATACGCTACTTTGTCTAAAACGTAAACGGGAGATAAAATGCGGTTCTGTGATGTTACAGCAGACATTCTGTTTTTGAATAGATCTGATAACTGCTGGAAAGTGCGTTCGAAAACAAGAACCAAATCTTCCAAAAACCACCATGACAAGGACAATCTGACACCAGACTCAGATCAAGCAGAAATGCAAAAGGAAAGGAAATGCAGTCGTTTTCTTTACCGCAACCATGCCTGCCCTGATCAATGATGTAGAGCGTTCGATCTGGATTTGTGGAATGTTTGCCAATATGGTGAAAGCTTCGTGGTAGTGAGCGACCGGGGACGGGACAGCCTGCTCGACTTCCTTCGGGCACGACAGAGACGTGCAATGCAACATGATGATCACTCTCGCACACGGCTGTGTCCGCAAACAAAACAAAGGCCCGAAAGTGGTACAGTGCAATCTACGACGGCTTCATAATGGGTTGAGGGTTGCGGCTACGGTTCAACCAGATACGTAAAGGGAGCCGTGGACTCTGCATAGATGTAGGATCAAAGGTGCGATTCAGTATGCGTACGGTTAACAGAAACGTGCTTGCATAAGTACGCAGTCATTAAGTACGTCGTACCTACTCTTTGCTCGATGTTGATCAAGAATAGAGCATCGGCATATCGATGGCAAACCTGATTCTTTGGGTATTTCTGAGCAGAATAATTCGAATAGAGTTTGTCTAGACGGTATCAAACATGACACTCATGGCACCAACTCGTCCGCGGGCAGGTACTTGCGACGTCTCATGTCGATAATTGCCAAGAGAAGTAAAGGATCTTCTTTGCAGGTCACGGTCAATGAGCTGCAAAGATCTGATAACGGAGTAGAGGTTGTCATGTACACGAGCTTTTTTCATCCTTATCGAGTGTATAGTGCTTTTTGGATCCTTGATGGATGTAAGTAACGAAACCGATCAAGATATTGAGCTACTCAGTCGAGTTACATTGGCCATGGCAGAGCTGGATTGTATCGCTCCACGATCTGATTCATCTCGATCTATATATCACCTGATGCAACTATAGATCGACCAGCACGTGTAGCTCTCCACGCATCACGTTCCATGGAAGTCTCGTGTCCTCAATTGCCGCCGTGATCACATTCGAGGTGCTGACGAGAGTTAGACGACAGCATTGATTGACAGGACATAAAGCACGACATTGTCCTAGCGGTTGACATTACGAATAAGAGCTCTGATTGGTAAAGACTATCGACAGCCAGTAGTGCGCTCGTAGCTTCAGTCGACACTGTTGACATCAAGTACCGGGCAGCTCATGCTGAGAGGCGACATACCCGGCTTGCGAGCTTTTCTCCGGGACGTTCTGAGCTCGATTGAATTGTTGAAGTTGTCGTTAGGAACGCAAAGCACGACTTCGTTCAGTACGGATGTGAGTTGTATGCGGACTGACCAGACCATGCACAATCTATGGTGACGCGGATCATGCGCGACACCTTGCTTGTATGCTCATGGAGGCACTTCCCAATTTGTGCCTTCGGGCAACAACAGCCAAGCAACGAGGACCTCCATAGAGCCGGGCAAACGGCCCCCTTACCCTGGGCGGGAAGTCCCCAATAGTGGGGCCCAGATTGAAGGGGGAGGCCTTCTTGCCGCTGCGTGCAAACCAGAAGGGGAGGATGAACCAGGACCTGAGGTGTAAGGCACGTCAGAACGACCGGCCTGCACCACGTACAAGTTCCTGCTCTTCCATATCCGCCCTCAAGTCGCTGACCCGTTCGCCGAGCGCGAGCTCCGATCCCACGAAGCGGACTCGCTGAGAACGTGATGCTGTCCGGTGGACCCGGCTACGGTGGTACATGCTAGGGACAAGTCAAGATGGCCCCTCGGGGCTGTTCGAAGTGGTATGAGATCTCCCTTGCAGGCGTCCCCTGCACCTTAGATGCACCCCCAGCTTGGTTCCCGGTCTCACACGTGCCCTTCTCAGAGTGCCCCCCCCCCGTGACGCCTGATGTATCGAGATAGCAGAATGAGCCAGAGCGGAGACGAACGATGTAGTCATGGTAGATGACCAATAACCACCAGACATCAAAGAATAGTAACAACTACTACGAATAGACAGTCTGAATCTCTCTCTCTACTCGTGAAGGTATCTGTGCGATAGGAACCTAAAAGATTGGATACTGTGAAATATCATTCTAAAGCCAAGCTTGCTGTGCATCAAAGTAAGACCAGAATCGTGATGGTAAGGAAATACTGCACGTAATGACTACTACTGATCGGATGGATGCATCTAGATCCTCCCTCCTCGGTTGACTACGCAGAAGACGTTTGTCCATTGTGTGGCTTCAGAGGAAACCGTCTCGAGCAGCCACTGGACGCAGCAGTGTTAGCTCCCCATTCCGAACGATACACAACAGCTGTTGCCTACTGTTGCAATCCTACCAAGTACGACGGCGTAAACTATCGGATTTCGTCTTTCATCGCAATAGTGGAAAGTTGTGAAGACGGATATAGCGATTGACAGTCAGTGATGAAAGACGGAGACAGACGACGATGTGTGTCTTTCTCCATTCGTAACATTCACACTACCGAGCTAGTCGCTTTACGCGATCTCCGTCCAAAACATCAGAAAGTTCCAAATTGACACAGCAACTCTTTGGGTACGCGTAACCCGATGCAATTTCGCAGCTGTATCATTCGATACATGATAGACGATTGCGAGAATCCGCTTTCGCTTTCCAATGGCGTCAAAGCTTCTCAGGTCGGCCTGTAGTCGTGCGGTTCCACGGTCTTTCATCTTGTTTCGTTCGCGACGCACTTGCCGAGAAACGGCCGTTTAGTTCATACAAGTGAGCTAATTTGCAACGAGACGAGGTTGCAATCGCGACTTCTGCGACTCCTTGACCGTTGATGTGGCGTAATGACAAACATCACGTTGTTCCGTACAGCGAATGCACGCTCTACTACTGCACGTTGGTCGCTAACGAAAACGTGAGCTTGCCGTTTCTCTTGTCAAGAAGAGCGGGTGGCGTTGTGTCATGCAGGCGTGCATCATGTTGCGCTCAAGCATGTACTTGATCCCGACTGTAGTCCACAGAAAACAAGGCGTCAAAATCGAGGTTGCTCCGGCACTGCCCGCGTCACTACACTACATTACAATCCACAGCTCAGTCTGGAAAAGCGTCAGAACTTACTTTCGATAAGCGACATGACGTGAGGTGCGTCGGGCACAAGTATCTCTCGACAGGCAGCACGGAACTCTTATGATCAGCACGGGTCTCAGCTGCACTGCGATGTATCTCGCCTGGCCAGCTCATATGCGACTGACCAAGAAGCTGGAAGAGATAGAGTGGGAGTCTGGAGCTCAGCAAGGCAGTCGAGCACTCGTTTCTTGCGACACATCTAGACATGCTAACTCGTCCTTTCTTCCGTCGTGCGGGTGTTAACTGCTGACTACTTCTTCGCGTCCGTAACGAAAGGGATCGGTTGACATCGCGTTCATGCCCTCGATGGACGTCAGTCCCTATATAACCGGAATCTGAGTACGTCGGAGCTTTTGCTGAAAATCTCCATGAGGTCAGTAGCAACAAGCACGTGCACTATTCAAGCGAGCTCGATGCTGCACATGTCGCAGACTTCTCAGTCGTGCTTCGTAACTGCAACGATCGAATAACCTCGCGCGCTGGTCTTTGTGCGCTGACGAATGAGCGGGGTAGGGTCCGCTTTTCCGCATTCAAGCCAAGGCGATTGATTGGATAACCGTACTTAGCCACTGCGCTGGCGACCGAGACGATCTCACTTTATCTTTTGCAGCCTCGAGAACAAGCGGCATCTGAGTCCATTTCGAACGACTCAGCCAATCAGATCCCGCCATGTCGTTCTTAATGGACGCGTTGATTACCACCTACGCGTCGCTCTTCTGCATGAACGAACGCCGCCGCTCGCTGCAAATGTCGGCCAAAGTACATGCGCCACCGTCGCGCCGGCCCGCGCCGTGCAAGAAGCCGACACGGCTGACGCTCCATGACCGAATGCGTGCACTGATCGGCGATATCATCACGGAAGAAGAGCTTGTCCAGCGTGTACGTAGTCGCTCTTATTGTGTCAAGAAGGATACAGTGACCTGACAAGCTGGCTCGTGTGTACTTTGACCTTGTTTTGTATACTGTAGCTCACATTCGGACGCGTTCTCGGGACAGGTGCCACCTCGACGGTGTACGAAGCGCTGGACACGGCAACGGGCCACCGCGTGTCCGTGAAAGTCTTTGACAAGGCGTCGATGGTGGAGGCGCGTCGCTCCATGGTCGCGGACGGCCAGTGCGCGCCGGAGAAGGCCGTGCACCGCGTCCGTCGACGACTGGTGAAGCTCGTGTCGGAGCTGGAGATTTCCAAGTCGCTGGACCATCCAAACATTGTCAAGTGGCTGGGCGCCTTCGAGACGTCGCACCGCATCTGCATTGTCCACGAGCTTGTCGAGGGCTCGGACCTGCTCGAGCACTTGCTCGAGCACGGGAAGATGGCCGAGGACCAAGCGGCTCGTGTGTTCAAGCAGCTGCTGGCGGCGCTCGAGTACTGCCACCAGCGCCATATTTTCCACCGGGACTTAAAGCTGGAGAATGTCATGATCACTAAAGACTTGGATGTAAAACTCATTGACTTTGGCTTGTCCGAAGCAGTGGCAGATGCCCAACAGACACTTAAGACGGCGTGCGGGACACCGCTGTATTGCAGCCCCGAGATTCTCTTCCTCCACTCCTCGGTCGAAATTACTCGTAAAGGCTTTTATGGAGGTCCAGCTGACGTCTGGGGAGTCGGTGTTATGATCTTTGCACTACTCACAGGATGCGCCCCCTTCGACGACTCGGACTTTGAACGACTCCGACGAGAAGTGTCACGCAACCGCATTAAGTACCCTACGTACATTTCCAACCCAGCGAAATGGCTACTGAAGCACGTGCTTGTGGCTGACGCGCAGGTGCGGCCAACGGTCACGGACATGCTTTCTTATGACTGGTTCCAGGACCCGATTCACAGCAACTCCTCGATGACCATCATCGATCACCAACAGGAGCGGATGACTGCGGAAGTGCTGAGAGAACAGCTGGGCATTGAGCAACCCCCAGCTGCGCTCGACTTTGACATCTGCTGTGACGTCATGTCCTGCCGTCGTACCAGTGCGTCTGCAGGTACGTGCAGCTCCAGCGCGAGCCTCTGACACGGAATGAAGCAGCGCCGTTCGTCATTAGATGTGAGATTCTTCTCCCTAGAGTTAGATAAGAGCTGCTCACCAAGAGGCCGCTTCTTAATAGTTAGTTCACACATGCATGAGCCGACAAGCGACTGGTTGGTTGTCAGCTCACCATCTCGAATATACATTACCACGTGCATCCTCACTCAACCTGCTCGCGCTAAGCCAAAAACGACGACGCGGCAGCTGTCGACGACTTGAGCCCCGCTCGGGCTTGCTCTGCTCTCAAACGGAGCTCATCGGCCCGACGACGTGCATCCTCTGCCTTCTTGGCTGCGGCTTCCCTCCTCTGATGTGCCAGCTCCCTTGCCCTTCCAATCTCCTCCAGCTTGCGCTGCATCTCACGCTGACGCTGCGCCTCCTCTTCATTAAGCTGCGTCTCAATCTGCCGACGCGTGTTTGCCCGAACGGTAGACACTGCCTGGAAAGCCCGGCACCTCATTGCCTCGGCCTTGTCCCGAGCTTCGCGCGCCTTTTGCTCGGCTTCTGAGCGCTTGAGCATCGCCTCTTGCTTGCGTTGCTGCATCTCGTGCATTTCCGCTTCTTGCACCTCACGCAACTTGAGCGTCTCGAGTTCCGCTTGTTTCACGAGCCGTTCATTGGTCTTTTGCTCGTACAATGACGTCGCGTCGCGCGCTCTCTCGCTCATCTGCTTGGCACGTGCTTTGCTGTCAATCACCACCTGCATAGCTGCGCGCTTGCGCTGCTCGGCTTCCCCCTTTGCCTGCTGCAGCGCCACCGACGATGTCTCGTGCTCGAGCGTCTGCTGCGACGTTTCCGACGCAAACGTCTTGAGCGCTCGCTCCCGTTCATTATATTCCGCCAGAGAGGCTTTGCACACTGCATCAAGCAGCTTCCGGTCAGCTTCGGCTTCAGCTTCTTCCCGTTTACGACGGGCTTCCCACATGGTCTCTACCGCAGTGTCCACAGTGCTTCGAATTGCAATCGGAGGTGCTCCAGACGATGCCGCGACGCTTTCATCCATAGTACTGCTGGCTTCAATAGGAGCAACAGCATCAGCAACAGCGACTACCGACGCATCGGCAACAGCGACTACCGACGCATCGGCAGCTACTACTGCTACTTCACTGTATGCAGAGGACTGTGCCGAGCTGTCGAGACTCGGGTTGCTAGTGGTACTGGACCGTTCCTGTTGCTGTGGCATATTCCGCCACGCCTGTGGACGCAAGTAGTCGAGAAGAGATGGAGCGGCTGGTACTGGTATGGCGTATTGCACCGGTGGTTGAGGCGTAGAGTAAGGCAGTGCAAGGGGCTGGACGTACGAGGCGTACGGGTGATACGGCGTCGCGTAGAAAGTGTCGGAGATGGTGGTGGTGTTGTAGTTGGTGTGGTCCGGCTGGGAAAAGCTCATGACGGTTTGTCGCAGAGGGAAAAGAAGGAATGGCTTCAGCTTCTGTGCCTGGAGATCGCGTGTGGATTAGTCCGAGGTGTAGCCATGTTCGGAGTCCACGCCTGCAAATAATCCAGTATTGCGTCAACAACAACATCATCATCATCGTCCCTAAATCACGACAGAAAGCGTTGGACAGAAGCCGAATAGCAACATCAAGGCTCGTGTCACCGACGAGCACATGTTGTACATTTCTCTCACAAAATGAAAAGTGGAGCAATCATTTCAAACACCAGTCACAGAGCCGACCTCGGAATGGGCAGGACTTCCAAGGACAAACGAGTACGTCGTCTCTCTCTCTCTCTCTCAGTCTCTAGCTCTCTCACTCTCTAGTACCACTATCGTCTAACGCGCTCACTCTCCTATCTGTGCTCATGACAGGACATTTACTACCGCAAGGCCAAGCAGCAGGGCTACCGTGCGCGCTCGGCGTTCAAATTGCTGCAGCTGGATGACAAGTTCCAGTTTTTACAGAGCGCCACGCGCGTCGTGGACCTGTGTGCGGCCCCTGGCGGATGGAGTCAAGTGATTGTCGAGCGGGTGCCTACAGACAGCATTATCGTGGCCGTCGACCTCATGGAAATGGCACCGCTGGATGGCGTGGTGCAGATCCAGGGAGATATCACTCACAAGGAAACAGCTGACGAGATCGTAGCTCACTTCCAAGGCCAGAAGGCACAAGTTGTCGTGAGTGACGGCGCGCCCGATGTGCTTGGACTGCATGACCTGGACGAGTACTTGCAGGCGCAGCTCATTCTGGCAGGGCTTAATATCAGTCTGCACATTCTGGAAAAAGGCGGCACGTTTGTAGCCAAGCTCTTTCGAGGCAAAGAGGTGTCGCTCCTGTACGCCCAGCTCTGCCGATTTTTCCGCCATGTGACTTGTGCCAAGCCGAAAACGAGCCGTAACTCGAGTCTTGAGGCTTTTGCCGTTTGTCAGCACTTTCGTTTGCCCAACGGGTTTGTGCCGGACATGGAACGGAACTTACTGGACTTGCGGTATATCGAAGATATCGAGACTGGAGACGAAGACGATGAATGGTACAACAGTGGAGTATCTGCGGAGCGTGGCGTTTGCGTCGACGTGGTGTTTATGGGAGCTGGTGACGTGTTTGGATACGACGCTGACCAATCGTACTCGCTGGATGAAGATACAGCGAATGACTCGACAGTGGGTTACGCGCCAAAGTATGTTCATCAAGAACCGTTGCAGAAGCCTATCAACCCACCCTACGCTAGTGCTCTGAAGAAACAACAGAGCAAGCAATAAAGAGCCAAAGCGGCGACAATGTACTACCAGATCCGGGAATAAAATCACGCGTTTGCTCGATCGTGGAGCTCGCTGGCAGCAACCCCGTCAGTTTCCGGGCTGCGTTTCTTCCTCTTCTTCTTCGAGTCTTCCACTGCAATGAGAGAGCAACATGGAACCATTAGCGGAGGCTCCAAATTGACAGCCATCAAGAAAGAAAAAAGATACCGCGCGGGTTTTCGCTTGTGTAAAACTTCCTGAGCAGCGTGATTGCATCATCTTTGAGGATGCCTGACACACACGGAAAGCCGCGATGGACGTCGCTATTCGGCAGTGCACTGTAAGAAACAGTCAACCAGCGAGCTGTTAGTCCAGCGTGTACATCAGCACTAAACTGCCACCCACACACATACCTGCGCTCGTGCAAGTTCAGCACGGAGCCGCACCCTCCAAAGCGATCATTATGGCAGCCAAAGTACACGCGCTTGATGAAGACGTTAGCCAGCGCTCCTGCACACATGATGCACGGCTCGCACGTCACGTATAACGTGCACTCGGAAAGCACGTCTTCTGCTCCGTCGCCGTACGTAGCGGCAATGGACTCCATTGCGACCATCTCCGCGTGCATCGTGGCCTGCAGCACCAAAAACTCATCCAAAGTATCAGCTACAAGTCGCAAGAAGAAGCAGAAATGAGCACAATTTGGGTGCGTGTTTGTGTCTATGCGCACATTGTAAAGCTCGTTGACGCGGTTGGACGCACGTGCGATGATCTCGTCCTTGTAGACGAACACGCACCCCACAGGCACTTCAGCTCGAGTCAGCGCCTTTTCGCCCTATTGCAGCCAGTCGTTATGATATGGGTTCAGTCTCGAAACACAGGATAATCCTCCTATTCGAATAAACACAGGTTGAAGTTGGTGACATGTCGCAGACCTCGCACAGAGCTGCTCGCATGAACTGTTCGTGGTGGTCGTCAGCCGGCATTCGATCGGGGGGTACGATGGGGTTACGATGACGAGCCGAATTAATTACAAAATAGCCCCTGTTTCTTGTGTAACCGGTTTATTGCACACGCAGACAATAATGAGTCGTTTGCTGCTGAAGCTCCGACAGAATCTTCGCGCGGCAGCTCGCCCGACTACACACGTGACGCGGCGCTGGATCAACTACGGCCATGACATGCACAAGGTCCCGTCGCTGCTGTTCTTTTCGCTTGGGACTGCAGTGTACCTCGATGTCGGAGAGTGCTAATTCTTTTGATGTTACATGTATGTGACTAGGATATGCTCAATGGCACGGCCAAGGTCTCTGTGATGGAATATGACGAAGGAGGGTTCGTCATCAATGACGTGGTATGCTACGCGATGCTGGATTCAGTCGTCACTCGGCTTTGCTTGCTTTTGAATCGGGTGTCGCTTCTTACGTTGCTATGGATTGGACTGCAGAATATGCGCGGGGGAATCGCACTGTTCTCTGAGATTGCTATGGTAAAGCTTCCGACACGTCGTCTCTTCATCGACTTTATGTATGGTGACTCATGGTTGGTGTCTTTTGCAATAGTAGCTCTGGAAACCGAAGAGAATCGAGGAAATCACGCGCGAGCATCTGACTGTCTTCACAGTCTTTAATCCACCTGTCGGTACGATGAATGACCTCGGTGAGCGAGCACCTCGTACATAAGGCATGTGGCTGAACGTGTCGTGTTGCAGAAATCCTGGTTCTTGGCTGCGGGGAGCGTATCAACCGCGGACTAGCACCGGACTTGCAGGAGATGCTGAAAGTGAACGGCATCGTGGTGGAATATATGGACACGGTCAATGCGTGTGCCACGTTCAATATTCTGAATGCCGAGGACCGCAGAGTGGCTGCTGCACTTCTACCGCCCAATCCTGATGCTGCGCCGGATGCCTCCTAGTCCAACAGCTAAACACACAGCCGCAAGTAGCGAGAACGTCGTTTAATATAAATGGCAGACTTTTGTTGCTCCTACCAAAAGCGTTGCAACCATGTTTCGGAGGGCGTGTCTGCAGAACTATCGTTGGAATGGGACCCGGCACGCAGGACACTTGTAGCGCACTCCCCGAATCTCGAACTTGTCAATGCACCCACGATGGACTGTCGTGTCACAGTCCTTATCGCGACATTTCGCCCCCTGAAGTAGCTCATACTGGCAGATCGGGCACTTTTTAACCTGCAAGTCGCGAAGGAATGCAATCAGCTCCAAGTACGCACGCGGTCCCAGCGTAAAGCTTCGTGTCTGCAGTTGCACATTGCTGGGCGCGAACCACTTCTCGGCTGTCAGCTTGCGAAGCAGTTCTTCCACTTCATTCAAGGTCGTAGGACTTTTGCGCAAGTTATACAAACTCGATTCTTCAAGAGCGCCTTCCTGTCTACACCACACCCAAGACCAAAAAAAACAGACGCACCACATCAACAAAGCATTCACCATTCAATGCAGCATCAGCAGTCCCTCGCACGTGTCTACGATCTCCTCCATCGCTCTCCGCAAGAACACAATCTCCCACGGCTTGAAATTGCTACCAAACGCTGTCAACAAATCGTTGCTCTAACAATACAAGCAATAAAGCGTGCAGCATGGGTCAGCAGCACTACAACGTAGTCAAACACCCTGCCACTCCTCCTGCATAAACTCACCGTATTGACGACTGCCAAGTACATCTTCCCGTCGTCGTACATCCCTCGACGCACATCGAGCGCAAACGGTCGAACCGTATCCGCCACTTTGTTCACCATCACATCCACTTGAGACGCCGTCATGTCTTTTGCATGTCAAAAAAGACACGACAAATGTGCCACTGAGTATGCTCCTCAACCAGTCAGTCGTCAATCGGTACAGTGTACCACCCATACACACACCTTCGCCCGTGAGTTTGCACGCCAGAGTCCGCACATCTTCGTCTTCCATTGCGCCTGCTGCCTGTCCACAACGCCGATACAGAACCATCCATTACGACTGTCAGCACGCCTCTCAAATAGACCGTTGCGTCCGTTTATCTCAAGATAAAGACGAGCTACGAGACCATAATACGTTGAAGCAGCATCCGTTCCGAGTCAGTTACAGGTGCCATTTGATCGAGGTATAAACATTAAGAGTCGTGACGCCCGTCAAACATTATACTGTGATGTGCACCACACACACACGCAGTGTGTCCTCTTCATCCTGTCAAACGTCATATGATGCACCTCCAGACGAGAATAAGCACAACACCAAGAGCTACTCAGTCACTGACAAACTTGTCACACATGATGTTACGCCGCTCCTCCACCAGTCGTGTGCGTCGCTTTTTCAGTGCGATCGCTACGGACCTCCCACTGTCTCCAGCCGGCCTTCGTCCTCGAGGACAAGAAGCGGATCGCATTCCAGAGGACGTCGTGCTTGCACTAAACAAGTTCATTGTAGGACAGCAGGATGCCAAGAAGGCGGTCGCAGTCGCTCTGCGCTCGCGCTGGCGTCGTCAACAGCTCCAGAACGACGCGCTGCAGATGGAGATTTCGCCCATGAACATCCTCATGAGCGGTCCTACTGGATCCGGCAAGACGGAGATCGTGCGACGGCTGGCCAAGATCTCGGGCTCGCCGTTTCTCAAAGTGGAGGCCACGAAGTTCACCGAAGTGGGTATCTACGGTGCCAATGCTGACTCGATGATCAAGGACCTTGTGGACGTGGCTGTTAATATGGAGAGAGCTGAAGCGCAGAAAGTTCACGCTGCTGCGGCTCGAGAATGCGCGATCGATCGGCTCGTGGACCTATTAGACCGCGACAAGCTCCGTGACCGCTCACGCGCAGATCTCCGCGAGGAGATTGTCACTGGTCAAGCTGATACGCGCACAGTTCGCTTGGAACTCAAGCCGCTGGCAAGTAAAGCGCGTCCAGCAGTAGCAAACCAGGAGATGATGATGGAATTTCCGCCCGAGTTGAACAACATGATGAAACATCTTGACACGCTCATGGCATCGCGTTTTAGTGGCGGTACAAGCAAGAGCCAAGACAAGACGCAGAGCATGACGGTGAAAGAAGCGCTGCCTCGTCTTGAAGCGGAGGAGATGGACGCAATTATTGACGACGATGAAGTAATCAAGAGGGCGTTGGAGAATGCACAGCACAATGGGATTGTATGTCTCGATGAGATCGATAAACTTGCTAGTGCTGGCGACCAGACGCGGGCAGGAGGAGATGGTGGAAGCTACCGCAAAGGTGAAGGTGTTCAAAAGGAGCTGCTGGCCTTGACAGAAGGGTGTGCCGTCAACACTCGCTATGGACTTGTGTACACGGACCACATTCTTTTCATTGCAAGTGGCGCGTTCCATCGCGCAAAGCCGTCGGATCTGATGCCTGAGCTGCAGGGTCGCTTGCCGATTCGCGTAACGCTTTCGCCTTTGGGTGCTGCCGAGTTTGAGCAGATCCTGCGTGACACGGAGTATAACTTGCTGGAGCAGACAAGTGCATTGATGGAGACAGAGGGCGTGAAGCTTACATTCACTGACGACGCCATTAGCGAGATCGCGTCGATCGCAGAGCAAGTGAACGCACAGGGCGACAACATTGGTGCGCGTCGCTTGGCGACTATCGTCAGCAAGATCACGGAAGAAGTGTCTTTCCACGCTCCAAAGATGAACGGTGTTGCGTTCACGGTCGACAAGAAATACGTGCAGCAACGTCTTGCCAACGTGCTCGAGCGCACAGATCTTTCAAGGTTTATTCTGTAGCCTCGAGAGCTGCCACTCGTGTGGTCGACCATGCACAATAAAGCAGCCAACAGGACACACCAGATGGACTCATGTTGTCGTACCTCTTGCCTGTCATTTCCGCCCACCCATGTGTAGAAGAATCACAGAAGCACTTGGCCGACTCCTCCCCTCGGACTTACGTCTGCTGCTGCTTCGGCATCTTGTCCAGGATGCTCTCCACAAAGTCGGGTGGCGGGTCCGCCATGAACTGGGCGAACTTGGCGTTCATCGCTCTTGTGTACTCCGTAATGCGCTCGAGTCTGGCCAAGTCGTCATAGACTGACATGAAGTACACCTGGCAAGCCACCGTCTCTCCTTTGCGCTCGCCGTCCACGAGGTCCACGTCCAGGACGCCTCGGACGTAAAATTTATCGTCCACCCGTTCGAACGCATCGAGAGCTGCGACGGTGTCACGGTCCAAGCTGAAGACGTCGCCCGAGACTTTGTAGCCATCTCCTTGTGGCACACGGTAAAGACAGGGGAAAAACGCCTGGTCGTTCAGCACCATGTGGAACTCGTCGTTCGTCGTGCGAGCAGCTCCCACGAACGAAGCTTTGCCTTGCTCAATTGCCGGCTGGATGAAGACCGGGTAATTATTGAATCCGGTCTTCAGAGATCCGTACACGAACACTAGCTGGGCTTGCTGGTCGGCCATCTTGATCGATAGTGCTTTTTTAAGGTGGGCGCGGATCGACCGCTCCCCTAATTGCTACGTATAAAGTTTTTTTTAACTGGAGTTTTATCGAAGAAGAGACCGTATACGATAGATAGCACGAAAGTGATTGATTACTCGAATACAGTACATGCACTATCTGCAGCTCGGTCTTCTAAAAAGTGTAGGACTTGTGTGTGAGCACACATTCCCGTTTGTTCGGCCGCACCCACTCTATCATTCCCGTTAAATCGAGAGGAATATTCTCTGGCTGAGCAGTACCGAGTCAAGACGGCGTTCTGGCTGAACCTTTCTATTTTTGAAACAGCCCATGCGACAACTGGGTAATTGTAGCAACTTCAACATGGTAAGCTCACTTGATGAGTTAATCGTTGAAGTAACGGCAGCTACAATTGACGATCAGATGTTCTGGTCGCGAAGCGACCGCTAGACTTTAGGGTAGCAACAAAAATTGCAAACTACAAATACCAGTAAATTCCCTCTTGCGATTCCAATTTCAAGCCACTTGAGTCGACTTTCATAACAGTGAGATGATGCAACTACCAATGACAATTGAAGGGCTAATGTTCTTCTTATCCTTCATTTGATGGAATGAAAAGGGAAGAAAGGAGCATATCTGGTCAAAGCAAAAGAGGTGTGCTATCTGTCGCGTCCTAAAGGATATGCTGCAAAGGAGAACCAACTAGTTCCTACTTCCTAAATGTCTTAGCGCGCTGATTTCATTCGACTAATTGTTGTCTCGACTATAGACGACGAGGTCCCAGCACGATGGAGAGCGAGATAAGTAGCAACGACACAGCAACCGCATCAGTCTAGCGTTCAAGTTCGCTTTAACTATGATAGCAGCGTAAAAAGCGTCCGCTTGAGTTTGAAAGACTAGACACTAGTAGCGAAAATATTGCCATAATGTCTCGGTCCTCATCCTGCCACAAATGCCTTTCCTCCACCTTGCTGCGATCATTCAGATCAAGCACATATGTTCATCATTTGATAGATGATGCCTGTGTGCGCACCGTTGCATTCTCAAATTGCGAGTGATGCACGTTAGAAGTCGAATCGCTCTCGCAATTATTCCGCTATCGTCCAATAACGAGCTTCACACTCATAATTTGAGTGTGAAGCTCGTTACAAAAGAGACCATAATCTGGTCTCTACTATACGCGCAAATAAAGCTGGTTTAACTCCATTATTGCACCCACATTTCGCGCTGAATTATCTTGATGTCTTGAGGTTAAACCCAATCAATAAAATCGAACGCTACGATGGACCTGCGGGCGGCGCTGAACGCGGTGGACGATGACTACGGCTACGATAACGGTGCGCGCTCTTCTCCTACGCTCGGACAGACTACCATCTGTATAAGGGCGTGCTCTTGTGACTGACACGACCTTCTTCTCCCGCTGTAGAGCGCCCATTCCCCGTCCAGACGGAGATCGTGGACGTGTATTTACTGCGACCCGAAGAGCCACGCGACATCGAAGTCAAGGACTTTACCATCATGAAACCCAAGAAGAACAAGATGCGGCGTCTCATTCGCTTCTATCCCCGCTGCCAGATCTCGTATCGAGCCACGTTGCCGGCCGAAGAAAAGGTCGTGACGTCTCCTGGTGGCACTGTTACAACTACGATCCTTCCAGAGCGTCTGCCACGTCACAATGGCGGCTTTAGCAACCCAAGCCGAAGCTTGGAGATCCTTCGAATGAAGAAAAAGCTGCTGCAAGAGTACAATGCGTTACTGCAAGATGACGATCGAGAAGCAGCCATGTTTGACGCTCTCATTGGTCAAAGTGCCCACTCTGCGGAACAGCAGAAGAGCTCGGACCCTAATACTAGCTACGCCAACAGAGCGGAGATCATTCGTCTTGAGCCTCTACGTAAGTTCCAGCCGCCACCTCCAAAGTACGAGCCTGTGACGGTGGGAGATGAGGACTTTATTCCGTTGACAGGAGATAAAGTTGGGAGCATGACACTCGATGAGCGTGTGAAGTATGTGTCTTCTCTTTGGCCGAGTCCACCACCTGTCGACGACCACGAAGGTCTTATGGATTTTTACGGCATTGAAGTGCAGATTATTTCGGAGGAGGAGAGGGCAAAAGAGTTTGTAGCAGAGACAGACACGGAGGAGTGTATCGGTATGCAGAAGAGAGGCGAGCTGTTGGTAACAGCAGCATCCGCTCCAGCGAGTGAGACGGTATCAATGAAGACAGACACTGATACCGCAACGCCTATCTACGACAGCGATTCCGAGACAACTGTGCCGTCATCTCCCGAATATTGTGCGAAGACGCGAAGAGCAGCACTGCAAAAATTGAAGAAGGCAGTCGCGGAAGACGACGATGATGAGCTTAGGCCGAATCCTATGATTTCAAAGCAAGACGATTGGGTGCAGTGCGACAAGTGCCAAAAGTGGCGCCGCCTTCCAAGTGAGGTTTGGCTGTGGGTATGTAGGACGACTGGATCGACTAACTGTACCAATGTGATGTGCTTGCAGATCAAGTGAACGTGTCGGAGCTGCCAGCTGTTTGGTACTGCAAAATGAATCGCTGGGACAAGCACCACAATGTACGTTGTGCTCGTTTGTGTAACATCCATGTCGTCGCAAAAACTGACAATTTTATTGTTGCCATATGAAGAAATGCTCGGCACGGGAGGAGAAGCTCGTACTGCATCGGAAAAAGAACGATGTAGCAGAATACCTTCAGCGCAAGTTTGCCCAGGACTTCGTGCAGCGCTGTAAGCGTCTGGATCAATCGACACACCTCTACAAGTACACACACGCACATGAAGACGACGGCGAGCGTAAATTTGTGCAATGCTCGGAGTGCCTGAAGTTACGTCCGCTCATCAGTGGCATGGATCCGAACAAAGTGGCCGAGCCTTTTGTTTGTTGGATGAATTCCGACGAACTGTTGGCAAGTTGCTCGGCTCCTGAAGGGCCGCTATACTCTCGGACAAAATCGCTTCGGCAAACTGTACCATCACGTGGTGTCAACAGCACGTCATGCACTTTGTCCGAGTTTATTGAGCAAGACCAGTTCGAACGAGCAAAAGATATCGACACAACCAGTGACCCTGCAACGTCTGGATGCAGCGGTCGCGGTGGGAACAAGTCGGGTGGAAAACGAAAGCGGCGAACAGCGTTTGGTGTTTTTGACAAAGGGTCCAGCGCTGGAAACGTCGATATGATGGTGAACAATACAAAGCGAAGAACAGCAGCTTGAGCAAGACAGAGCAAGTTCTCTTGCTGTGCGTCCTGCTGGAATAAGGGTACATCGAAACAAGGATACATCCGAGCGTAAAGTGGGGAATCAGGTCAAGTGTAGAGAACCATCATCACGGGGTTAACCGCTCTGGTTTCTGAAACTGTGTCATCACCTTCCAGGGCACCGCTTCTTGCGTGGCACCAATGCAGACTGCACTTCGCTGCTTGCTTCGTGTTGCACGTCTCCTCGTCGTACTCAGCAAGATTGAGATACCTTCTGCAATGATTCTATCGTCAGTAGACAGAGACCCTGCGAGCTCAACCAAGTCTGAACCAGCACGTGAGACGGCGGCAGAAGTGACACAACCATTGGGAGCCTCGAGCTCGGGCTGTCTTCAAAACGGCTTTGATTGCATCACTGTGACAAGAAGCGCGTTCACACACGGAGCAAGAACGAAGCGAGGAGTCAGCAAAGGGCAGCACGAAGAGCGAGCGATCAGCTGCCGGCAATTTGAGCCAGATTTGAGTGGACAGGATGCCGCCAAAACCTGTCAAAAACGTTCCACAGTTGCGGTGTCAATTGTGACCACTCGTGATAAAACTACAAAACGCAGCAACCTGTGAAAGTTAATCCCGTCAGGGTCGCGGCGATCTCGAGACTCCTTTTTATGTAGTACACTCCTTCCCCGAAATATCCTGGAACGAAACTACAGAAGCTACACGCTCTGTTCAGATAGCTAAATTCGCAGAAGCGTCCGATCTTAGTCAGTCCGACTGCTCGGCCATTCTCTTTTTTACCGCGATCTTGGACAATGGAGTCGTACGTCTTCGTCTACGGGACCCTCAAGCGCGGTCTTGTCAACCACAAGAGGTATTTGGATCCGGCCGAGCAGACAGGCAAGGCAGAGTTTATCGGCACCGGGCTTACCGCCTGTGCTGAGTTCCATCTCGTGCTTAACCCTGACCGGTCCGTGCCGTGTCTGTACCGGGCGCACGCCGAGGGCTATCAAGTGCCTGGAGAGATCTATCGCGTGGATGCCGATGTCCTGAGGGCGCTGGACATCCTCGAGGCCGTCAATGAACAGTACTATGTACGTGAGGAGATCCCTGTGAGCGTCGTGGAGGGAGAACTCAAGCACCAGACGGTCACGTGCCAGGCATACATTATGCCTGTAAAAGAGGAACTGCTTAAGCTCAAGCGCATCCCTGAGTACACGAAGGTCATGCACGAGACGTACTGCTCGCGCACGAAAACACCGAGTCTTGAGGTGCTCCAGTGTTTGTACGGAGAAGACGTGACGAACGCCGTGCAGAGCAAACTGGACGACGGCATGGACTTTGATGACGCGTGGAAGGCAGCCGTGGCAACATGAGCGGTGATTGTGAAGCAGTGACAAGTACGTAAGCTTCCATGCGGGCCGCTTGTCGCTAGTATTAGATAATTGATCGTGTGTGCACCTTTGGTGAGTTAAACCGAGACGACAATCACTGTTATGTCGTCGCAGCTTCCAAGCTCTCGAGCTTTTTGCATGATGGCTCGTGCAGCCGATTCGGCAGACGCTCCAGCTTCTTTTGCACCCAGTTCTCTACGTGCAAGCGCCATCGCTCGATCATTGTCCAAAACTGTCCAGACACCGTCTGTAGCGATGACCAGGGTACTGCGACCAACGAGAAGGTCACTCTGACCAAATCGCTAATTCGTAAAACTGACTGAGCAGTGGATAAAAGTACAGGTGTACGATATTACCTGGCGCGGAGTGTAAGTATGCACACCATTTCTAAATGCACTATATATCTTTCCGTCATACCTTTACTGATGACCTAACTGTCCATATATCGTCTCAGGTGGGACTGGGTCAAAGGCTATCCAGCTACCTAAATCTAACAGATTCCAACACACCGCCGTCCGACACTTAGCACGGATCGCTGCGTTCGTCGGACCAATTTGGAATCCGAACCCCCGCAAGCATTTAAAGACTCTGCAAAGGACGGCTTAATAATGCCTTCGTTAGCATATCTGCAGTATTCTCCTCGGATGCAACCTTGCGCAGTGTCACCTTGCCCTTCTTGATGAGCTCACGAATGTAGTGCCACTTCAGCTCTATATGTCTGGTTCGTCTACTGTAAGTTAGGACCCGTACTCAGGACGATTGCAGCTTGGTCGTCTATTGCGATTATCACGTGGACTTCACGCTCGGCAGAGCTTCAACAAAATGTTTTGTAGACCCATGGCGTCCATATTCGCTCCAGCACCGGCTACGTACTATGCTTCAGCGGTGGAAATCGCGACGATCTTTGTCGTCGTGGGCCCTCCTGAGATAGCTCCACCTGATAAAGTAAAGATGTATCCATTCAAACTTTTTCTTGCTTCCGGGTCATTTCCCCATTGTAACGGTGTGAACCGTTACATATCAATTTATAAGAAATTGTTAATAGAATATAACTATAAGAGTTATATTCTCATAATATTGTCATAAGGACAATATTCTGCAGCACTTACGAGTAGTTCCTAATTGGTTGATATAGGCCATTATATCAACCAACGAAGACGCGCCACGACAGACGCACGCAATGAGTGGTGAGCAGATAACTGATTTACACATTTGTAATCAAACATAGTTAGATGAGGATAAATAGTGGTTTATTAACAGACATCAACTATGATAAATACAGTTCTACTTTTTACTTTAACTAAGTACTCGCTTCTTCTAACCGTCTTCCTCTGCACGTACCAGTGTACGTGAAGTTACGCGGCACCGCCTTATTCTGTCATCAGAATAAGTAGCTTGTACTGTCATCAGTACAAGCTTCAGGGTGCCCCGTTACACCTGGTAGCACTTCGTAGTACGTCCAAGGACCACGTTCACATCTAACATGAATATGTTAGATGATGATGATGACCAAAGCTTTCACGCTACGCGTGACGGCTACTCCCATTTGAGCGATGTCGAATGAGATGCGGTTGAACGAATGGGTTCAACCATGGGCATCCATGCTGTTAGCGTCATGCTAGAGGCTCTCAATAGAGATGCCCAACATGCTACTATCGCCAAGTTCATTCAAAATGAACTTGACGCTGAACGCGAGAAAGTAGCCTTGCTTCACCAACAAGGTTCTCAACAAGCAGAGTTGTTGAGAGAACAGGGTGCTCAACAGTTTGAACTGTTGAGACAGCAGCAGGCTGCTGCTGGTGGGTCGATGCACTCGCGTCGACCCGAGGCCTTGAAGATTGACATCTCCAAGTATAGGGGAGTCGAAGAGGACTCCCTCTTGAGATGTTTTTTTTGTTGTCGAATTAGACGACGTCATAAGGGCGCGTCGCATCGACGACGGGATATGCGAGTTGCATTTGCCCAGTCAAATCTGGCAGGACGTGCCAAGACTTGGGCTTTGGGACTCAAGTTGCACGACCCATATGCGTTTGGGTCGTTAGAAGTCTTTAAGTCGCGGCTCAGACAAACTTTGTCTTCGACCCGAGGCCTTGAAGATTGACATCTCCAAGTATAGGGGAGTCGAAGAGGACTCCCTCTTGAGATGTTTTTTTTGTTGTCGAATTAGACGACGTCATAAGGGCGCGTCGCATCGACGACGGGATATGCGAGTTGCATTTGCCCAGTCAAATCTGGCAGGACGTGCCAAGACTTGGGCTTTGGGACTCAAGTTGCACGACCCATATGCGTTTGGGTCGTTAGAAGTCTTTAAGTCGCGGCTCAGACAAACTTTTGAACCGCCTAGAGCTGAGTTCAGAGCTCGAACTGAACTCTTGAAGCTCAAACAAGGTAAGCATGATGTGCACGCTTACGCGCAACATATACGACATCTCCCGAGCTGTATAAGTTCCAATCCGGTGGATGAACACACGTTGGTTTCGGTGTTCATGCACGGTCTTGCGGATGGTCCCGTCAAGACTCACCTGTTCTGACTTGAACTAGATTCACTAGAACAAGCCATTTCCATTGCGGAACAGGAAGACTTCAGTCTGAGACAGGCTCGCGCCAGCTCGACATCATATCTTCAACCGAGACGATATGACAGCGGAAGTCCAGAGCCGATGAAAATCTGTTATGTAGAGAGCGAGAAGGCTCGCTCTACAGACTACAAGAAGTTGCAGAAATGCAACAGATGTCAAAAGACAGAACACTACGCTTACGAGTGTAGTGCCCCTCGTCCAGTGTCTCACAATACTGGGCGTAATGACCGTCCACCCATGAGAAAGGGGCAGGGACGCGGGTCCGCTGTTGGTGCAAAGACGCAACTACGGGATGGACCGTCAAAAAACGGACAGGATCAGTAGGTGCGGAGCACCCTTCTGGTCCAGCAACGTCAAGAGAATTTGCAGGTTTCTTGACGAAGGTTGCTCCCAAACACAAATACTGTGCGTTGCTGCTCTAGGTACTGAGATCGCACTCATTACCTTGAAACTCGAAGTGACAAATATGTTGTCCCTTCGAGCTCTAGTCGATTGTGGGGCGTCCAACAATTTTGTGTAACGCCAATCGCTAGAAGATGGTCACTTCAAGTTTGTTATATGTGACACACCTCCTATGAGGATGACGGTACGTCTTGCGACAGGCGCATCCGTATCCGTCATGAAGCGTATAGTGAAGATCCACTATACGCTAGAAGATACCCAATATGACGATGACTTTGTCGTATTGGATTTGGATGACAAATTTGATGCCATCCTTGGAATACCGTGGCTCAGAAAGTACGAACCACAAGTAAACTGGCAACATCGAACAGTAACGGTGCCTGCCGCTTGTTCATCAGATGGCCATCTATGAACGTCTTGTAGCATCCACAAACGTGTGGATGTACTACGAGTGAGTGCGATGGCCTCACTTGTGGTACGGTTGTTAGTACGACTTCACAAAACCTTAGTGTACCAAACGGTTACACTTCGGAGCAAAGTTCCGGCGGCTGTGAGGAAACACAGGCTGCGCCGAAGGTCCACCACTCGAATAAGTCGGGTGGACGGGGACAAAGATGTATCGCTAGCGGGGAAAATCTAGAAGAGAAACGATCGATCGCTCAGGTTAAGCGAAACGACAATCCTAGATCGACTGGAGAGTCTTTCGTAGAGGATCTCGCTATGGTTGCACAACCACAGCTAGAGGAAGTTAAGGTAATAAGTCCCGATATTACAGATACGGCGGAAATAAGTTCCCCGAAACCCGAGGGAATAAGTCCCCGGGAAGCCGAAAAAATAAGTCCTTCGAGGCCTGAGGGAATAAGTCCCCAGGAAATGACAGAGACATTGAATGTCATAGTCAATAACGGATCAAGTGTAGGCGCTTATACACTTGATCTGATTGCGCCTCCGAAGTTGACTTCGGAGACCACTCAGTTACCAGCGCTCGATCATAAAAGTTTCTTGCGTGATCTGCGTAGTGGCAAAGTCAAGCAGGTCTGCGTACTCATCGCTGACGACGAGTGCGTAGCCGACATAAGGTCAGCAACAATGTTTACTGAGAACGAGAGAGATATCAGTAGTTCATCGATGGACGAGAGTGTCCTCAATGAAAAGACACGAGTTGAGCGATATGACTCCCAATCGTGGGAATCGCTCAAGACAAATCCTCTCTACGAAGATTTGGTCGAATTCAAGGATGTATTCCCTGAAACTGTTCCGTGCGAGTTACCGAAGGATAAAGGTACTCGACACGAAGTCGAGCTTGAACCAGGCTCAAAGTACTGTGTCATGAAGCAGTGGCCACTGCCTCGTGAACAGGTAACAGCGATCGACAAATTCTTTGCTGATCTTCTAGCTGCGGGCCATGTGAGGGAATCAACTTCCCCACATATCTCTCCGACCTTCTGTGTGCGAAATGCAACAGGAGGTTGGCGGATTGTGCATGCATTCAACAAATTGAATGCTGCAACGGTACCGGCTCAGACGCCGATACCAAGTAAGGACGTAATCATCGGTGTTATGTCAAAGAGTACCATCTTTTCGCCCATGGATCTGATGGAAGGGTTCTATCAATTCCTTATGCAAAAACGGTACATACCCTGTACCGCAGTGAGCACGACTAGCAGCATGCTCTGGGAGGCTAGTAATGCCACAAGGGCTTAGTAATGCCCCTGCCACGTTCAACAGATGTGTATTACATCTGTTGAGACCAGCACGATAATTCGCATCGAGTTATTTCGATGACTTATTCATCCATAGTCGAGCTATGGATGGAAAGTCGGACGTTGAGGTTCACAGGTACCACGTCCGACAGGTTCTTATAATCATGCGATAGCATCAATTGTATGCAAACCTCAAGAAGTGTATATTTGCAACAAGCGAAATACCACTTCTTGGGTGCATCGTTGGTAAGAACGGTGTACGTCATGATCCCGAAAAGATCAAGGCGATCACCGACTGGACTGTGCCAGTTGATGTCAAAGGTCTTCGAAAATTCCTTGGGCTAGCGGCGTATTTGCATAAGTATTCACGCAATTACGCCGAGATGACTGTGCAAATCTCTCGTTTGTTGAAAAATAACGAGAGGTGGTTATGTAACGCTGAATGTCTGCGTACCTTTGATGGTATCAAGCAGAGCTTGATACAATCCCCAGTCCTAGCAATAGCCGATCAGGACAGGCCATTTCATGTGGTCTGTGATGCCAGCGATTTCGCAATCGGCTGTGCATTAATGCAGTACGAACTTGAAGGCGTTGAACGCGTCGTCTGCTATCAGTCGCGTCAGCTGCAACCAGCTGAGCGGAACTATCCAGTGCATGACAAGGAACTCCTTGCCATTAAGTATGCACTCGCGATGTTCAGAGTCTATCTATTAGAAGAAAGATCCTTCATTGTTTAAACAGACCGTGCGTCGTTACGCACGACAGTAAACAGCCCCCACCTTTCACAACGAATGGCGCGGTGGTTGTCATTCTTTGCAGAATACAACTTTACGGTAGGGTACAAACCAGGACGACTTAACGTCGTCGCTAATGCACTCTCACGTCGTCCCGACTTTGAATCAGTCGTGCAACCCAACAGTGAGACAGCCACTGTTGCGGTTATGACGTCCTCCGTACCATATTCAACGTTACATGATGATGTGAGGCGGGCGTATGCCCAAGATGGTGAGATTTTGAAGTTTCTGAGACATCTCTCACAGCCATCTCGAGAATCGTTGAAACGATTATCGTCTGCGTATCGATCCGCATCAGATCGATACACTACTCGCAACGGTTTACTGTATTATACAGCCGTTTCTGGTGACACACCACGTGTTGTCATTCCAGATGATACTGATCTGCGTTTGCGGATCATGTTCGAGTATCACGATGCTCCTATATGAGGACATCGTGGCCGGGAGAAAACATATCTCACGGTGAGTCGAGACTTTTACTGGCCCCGCCAGTATCAGTTTGTGCGAAAGTATGTTCGCGCATGCGAAGTCTGTCAACGAGTGAAGTCAAGTCCTTCACTGCTTGCACCTTTACAGCCTCTACCAGTTCCGGCAGAGTGCTGGGAATCCATGTCAATGGATTTCGTCTTCGGGTTACCCAGAGACGCACGCAAAAATACGGGTATTCTCGTACTTGTTGACAGATTCAGCAAAATGGTACACCTTGTGGCTGTACCAGAGTCAATCACAGCAAGTGGCTGTGCTTTTGCCTTATCGACACCATCTTCCGACTTCATAAGTCACCCCGTGAACTCGTATCAGACAGAGATTCACACTTCACTGCTGATTTCTGGTGCTCCGTGTTCAAATCACTCGGAACGCGCTTGAAGATGTCGACATCTGATCATCCAGAGTCAGATGGTCAGACGGAACGAGCTAATCTTGTCCTCGAAGAGATACTTCGAGGATACGTACACTCCTTTAAGAGTTGGAGCGATTTCTTGCCAATGGTAGAGGTTGCCATTATCAACTCGGTGCATGCGTCCACGACACATACACCGTTTTACGTGAATGGCTTACGCCATCCGCGTGTACCCACCTTACTCGAGTGTAACTATGGTTTAAGGGGGGGGATAGACTCGCGCGAGCAAAAACCGATTTGGTTCACGCTCATCACGCTCTGACAAAGAGGTCATTGCGTTTAAAGCCGATATCGATAACATCGATTTCGAAGAAGATGATGCCAGTGAGAGCGAGGAAGCCCTCACTGAAGAAAAGGTTGATGTCTCTGCAGTGCACTAACAGTGCACTGAAGCTAACAAGTCAACAGATGAGTTCATACTGGCTCGTGAAACAGTAGTCCGTTTTGTGCAAGACTCCATCGCCGAAGCGGTAGATAAGCAAAAGCAAAATGCTGACAAGAATGGAAGGGAAAACACTCTTTTATTTAATAAAGGTGACTTAGTCCTACTGTCTATGGTTAACATACCAAAGCACGTAGTGACTAACGTGGGTAGTAGTAAACTTCTACCCAAGTACATCGGTCCATTTCGTGTATTGCATCGCCTAGGCAATGCATACACGATCGAACTGCCACGTAAGATGCGAACGCATCACACGTCTTACGTTGGTCGGCTTAAGCCGTACTATCAGTACGCTGCTTCTTCCGATGAAGAACGCCCTTGCGTCCAAGTATCTCACAGAGAGCCTTGTGCTCCCGATGGTGGATATCGACAAGGGTCTGAAGAGCAGCTATCTCATCCCGAGACCGATCAACAATCCCACGAGCTACCCTTATCTCGTCACGAAGAGATGTCAGAGATCTCTCGTTCTCAAGTTGAGCAAAGGCAAACTCAGCTCGATGCTTCGAGACAGTGTCCGCCATTTGGAGACGCCTGTCCCGCTCATGCTCGAAGTCGTCGCGCAACGCAAGAGTTACGCGATCAAAGAAGCTTTCGGGAACACACGGATCCCCATGATCGTGTGGAGAGCGTCTTTCCTCCTCCTCCACCTTCATTAGAGGACTCTCGCGGTGGCCAGCGCTATCTAGTTGAGCAGCTGTTGAACCACCGCGACGTGAACGGACGTCGGACGAGTTATCTCGTCCGGTGGCGCGGCTATCCCCCGTCCTGGGATACTAGGGAGCCCCGCTCCCAACTGATGATCGACGTAATGGGTCCGGTTGAGCAGTACGACGCGGCACATCCTGTGCCGCAGAAGGACCGCCGGAGAAAGTCTTCCCGTCACGGTCGTAAAGGGATTTCAGGTTGTCAATCCCTTCGTACATCTCACTAGAGATACGTACGCGCCACCACGGGCTATTAGGGAGGTAAGCCGCCTTTGGTGCTCGTGCAGAGTGGTTTACACAACAAGGGCACGGGTCTCCCCAGGAGAGACAGGGTAACCCTTTCTCCCTAGACAGACGATGCAGCTTATAGCGGGCACCTGTCGGGGTTCTCTTCTCAAACTTATCACGAGCTTTGATAAGTTTGTCGTTTCAAACGTCACGACCTACATCCTCAAGGTTATGGATGTAAGCGTTCCACGCTTGAAGCAGTGAGGGACCATCACGTTTGTGATTACCACTGTACCATCGCTGTTTAAAGAAAGCATCGATGAAGAAGTCATTCTCAGCGCGACAGTTTTTCGCACTGGGGTCAAGGTGATGGATCCTTGACGAATCGAGCAATCGTGTTCGATCACTCGTCGTCGCCGACAAGTGATCCATGACGGATTTTGGAGGCATCCATGCCTTCTTTTCAGAAGCGAGACGCAACACGTTGCGGTACCGCTCTTCGTGCGACATGCCGACAGAAGTACTGGCACCTCGTTGCGAAGTGGTGTCAATAGGAGAACCGACACCACTGTGGGCGCCCGAGTCTCGCGACCTCGAGCGCCTTCGCTTTGGCGATGGTTCATCTGATTCGTCAGATGAACCAAAGATGCTGCGTCGCATAGCATCATCCATACCACGCTCGGCAGGCGGCTTGGTTTCGATCGCCGTCGACACGGATCCGACTTTCGTATCAAGAGAGTATGAGACACCGAGCTCATACTCTGTGAAGACATGAGTGTCTTCATGACGAGCGCCTGCATCACCAGGTGATACAGGCTGAGGCGCTTTAGCAGCCGATGACACATCTGTTGCAGCGGTTTCTGCTTCGGCGTCTGCACAGAGACGTGCAGGCGCGCTCTCAGCGGCCTTGTTCGCGCAACGCATGGACTTGTTAACCACGCGATGAAATTGATGGACTGTGGACTCGTCCCAACCAGAGCAAACCCTGTCCCAATACGATTTGTAGACCCATGGCGTCCATATTCGATTCAGCACCGGCTACGTACTATGCTTTAGCGGTGGACATTGCGACAATCTCTGTCGTCGTGGGGCCCCCTAAGATAGCTCCACCTGATAAAGTAAAGATGTATTCAGTCACGCTTTTTTGTTTCCGGGTCATTTCCATAATCACTGCCACAATACTTTTTAATCCAACGTTCTTCTTTAACTTCACCCCTCGTGGTGCACTTATACGCAATTCCTTTTGCTGACGTACCAACGAGGCACATCAGAACCTTCTTTACCGCTCCACAATGCTTACGAGTCGGTCTGCTGACAAATATGCTCAGGTGTGGAACCGCAAAAGATATGCCCGGTCTTGTGCTCGGAGCGAGGTACATTAGGCTACCTATAGCAGCCCGGTATTTAAACTCCAATAAGTGTTTATACTCACCACAAACGTCATCTTTTGTTGAACTGAATCGTGCGGTAGTTATCCATTGGAATGCGGCTGACACGCGCATTCGCTAGCCCGTATCGCTCGTGTACATCTTGACAGTACTTTTTCTGATGGACATACCTTTCACCTTTCCGTTATTCGACCTCGACACCCAGATATCTCTTCAGCTCGCCCAGATAACGCAGCTCGTACTGTTCGTTAACCTTCTTGCATAGCGCTACGTCTTTGAAATCGTCGCTTAAATCATGTCACCAACGTAAAGAAATAAAAAGAGAAATATCATCTGTTTAAAATTATGTTTTCTTGCAATCGCCACATAGTTCTAATAGCCCGATGACTTTTTGGCACTTTCTTCCTCGCTATCGCCATCAAAACATCCTTGTCATGCATTGCTTGCATCTCCTTTTGCATACTTCCTAACCAATCACTTGCCTGTGGTGACTTCATAGCGTCCTTAAATCCTCGAGGTAGTTTGACTCCAGGCTCTCTTATCTCCTGTGTCGATGTCATCATTTTCGATGATTGTGCCCTGCATCATGGTGAAGTTTACATAGTAGGTGCCTATATATTTTAGGGACATTCTTGCACGTTTGCTTCGTCGCATGTCGACTACCGCCTGTTCCGCGTTTCAGTCGTCGCATAGCAATAAGTCTGTCGTTTCGATTCTAGTACGCCGCAGCCCTACGATCTGCTGATCTGGACCAACAAGCGCACCAGTTCCAGAATGGTCAATGTTGATAGGTATAATATCCGTCACAGAAGATTCCTCGTCTGCAGTTAACGGCTCATCTGGGTTCAGAATGTTGATTTCGTCTTTAGATCCAATTTAAAAATTGTCTGATCGCTCAAAATCATCATCATCCGAATAACAATTTTCTTGACTCTCATTCTCACTATTCTCGCTCCCTTGATCTTTCGTCATATCATGAGCCAGAGCACTTATCATACCCCTTGCTAGTTCATCGACCGCTGCCTCGGCATTGGTGGTCGCAGTTGAACCCGGACCAGCGACACAATCATTTTCCAAAGGAGCCCCGCTCCCAAGTATCCCAGGACGGGGGATAGCCGCGCCACCGGACGAGATAACTCGTCCGACGTCCGTTCACGTCGCGGTGGTTCAACAGCTGCTCAACCAGATACGAGCAGGATCGAAGCGATCCCCTGGACAGATCGGCACGTTTCATTTTGGCGAAACAAGACACCGATCTACATAAATTGCCAAAAACGTTTCTGAACATGGATGAGTGAGTACCACAGGACTACGAGCGAATCAAATTGAAAGTAGATGACGAATGATCATATGGACCAACAAAGGAAGAAAACTGCAACGGTCAAGGCTGGTAAATAGAAGCGGTATTTCGCTTGCTGCAAATATACACTTCTTGAGATTGGCATACAATTGACGCTTTCGCATGATTGTAAGAACCTGTCGGACGTGGTATCTGTGAACCTCCCGAAGTTCACTACGACATGCCGAGCATCTATAAAATACTCGTGCCTTCCGGACGTTTCGTGATCAACAGCAGTCCACTTGAACAGGTCATCGATCGGTGCAGATGACCAACATTGGCGACCGTGAGATCATACTGCCCACCCACACTATATTAGAGGCACCCGTTCGCGGAGTGCATTTGTGGAAATCTATCTTAAATAGCTCACACAGTAGCAAGGGATGTGTAGGCCTACGCTGGACGGACATTTTCGGGTCGTTAGTTCTTCCGAGCGGTATGCTCTGGGAGTGGCTTGTTATGCCACAAGGGCTATCCAACGCCCCGGCTACGTGAATTCTTCGACGTGAAAAGCAATTTCCCGGCACCTATTTCCCATTACTCAGGTTCTCCAATTCATGCACACAGCCCAGCTCTTCGGGTAGCTCTATGGGCTCTCTTTCTCACAGATGCATCGACAGGGTCAAGGCGTTCATGTTGTAACAAAGCGCTACTACAGCATCCAGATCGATACTGATCTCTCTTGATACTCATCAATTTTAAACTCAGACCGTCATCGATCTTACAGTGAGATCTCATTACCGAGAGCAGCAACGCACAACGTTCGCAGAAGCTTTTTGCAGAGAATCGAGCATTGACGAGAGGTGACTCAGCGATGGCAGCAGATAGTGACGCTGGTTCTGCACCTTCCGCAGATCGAAGGCGGATTCACTCATTTGATAATTCATCAATCTCGTTGTGGTTGGCCTCGACCTATTGATGCCACTGAAACAGCTGTGCTCGGCGGATGGCTCCTTGTTGGTTTAGAACGTTCCTGATCATTTTGTGAAACTGCTCGCGGCCTGTGAGAAAGCCAAGAAGAACCTCAGTCCGTACGGCGTGTCGGCGACCCATACTCCATTCACTTCGAATAACTTCGCGCATCTTACAAATTTAAGTAAGTAAATGTATGATGACCCCGTGGATGGACTCTACTGGCTTCGGACGACTCAACGATCAGCGAATGTGACAACAAGTAGTGCTTCCAGCTCATCGAAGGGTGTTGTTTCCTCATCCATGTCGCGTCCATCAATGTCGTCATCTCCGTCGTCATTACGATTCTGTGCATGCGCCGATTGCTCACCCAGCGTACTCCTTGCAGCAAGTTAACAACACTATAGTGGCAACCGTGCGTGGTAAAGACTGTGTGAAGCACGTACTCGAATACCAGTGCATGTTGCTCGCTATTCTGCGAGTCAGCCTCCACACGATCTGGGGCGCCGTCTTGAACGTTTGGGTCGCCGCTTTCACGGCAGCTTGGGCATTGCAGAGCGAAAAGGGAAGAACGGTTGTAGCTGAAGAGGATCGGCAAGATCTGATGACTCTGAACCGTCTCGCATCTATCCTTTGCGTCGCAAAGGAGCAGGTTCGCGCGTTGTGTCCAGCGCAATAACACATGCGACAACACACATGAGCCTGAGCTGGCGTGAAGCTTTTTAGGCTAAATTCCTCCTGTTCTGTTACTGAGATAGCCTGGTTTAAAAAAAATCGAGCAATTTTCAGAAGCGTCATCCTCTTCGCTCTCATCCAAAGCAGCTGTTATATTGTCATTTGGAACTACCGAAATGTCCGTGTCTTCATACTCATTTCAAACTATTAGGTGTACACACATTCCATATATAAGAAATATATAGGGACATTTCGTTGTACCATCTCTTTTTGTGCCTTTGATAGAATCATCATCCGATTCTTGGTCTACATCAGCTGCGCTGGTGGTGGCACACACATCCATTGTGCTGAAGCTCATAAAGCTGTCACGGGTATTGCTGCTCTCATCACTCCAACCTTCAGAGCTGAGTTCTGGTTGCAATGCGTGTCGATCTTTGAACATCACGCTTTCATCGACTCTTTCATCTGCAACAAATCGTGTCGTGCGATTCTAAGGTACGTATACGATAAATCCGGCCGTTGTTTCACGATACCCCAACACCTATCAGATGTTAGCGTTTTGGTTAAGCTTCCGACGCGATGCTGATACACTTACATATATAGGCCTTTGCACCAAACTTTCGAACATGGTGCATGTCTGGCCGAATATTGAACATGCACTCGTATGGGGTCTTCTTGAATACCGTTGAGTAAGTAAAGTTCTTCAGTTACACAGCAGTACTTAGCTCGTCAACTCATAATGACTTGGGGGAACCAGACTTGAGCATCATAACTTTTGACATCCTAACAATGCTTTGATATATTGCGTTCGATCAAATTCAGTCAAGAAGAAATTGGCGGAATGGGACGATGCAATATACCGTTTCTCGGTACCACCTTTTCATTTGTTCATTCGAAAATTGAGTCCATTGTCCGACACAATAGTTTTTACCTTCATCGCTACTTGACGTTCAGCCCACTGGGCATAAAGTTGCATCAGTGGCTTCACTTCGGTAGCTTTCTTGGTTTTACAGGATAGATTGTCACAAATCTGTTAAACCCATCGAGAATTACCAATACAGCAAAACACGTTTATTAGAGCGGTCATATTCAGACGATTATCCACCAAATTTTAAATGCCCTTTCTTCACGTCGGTATTCCACTTCAAGTCCTTGCTTTTTGAGCTGTCAATGCTAAGCTAATGTAGCTGCGCTCCATCGACATATAAAACACCTGTCAGCTTCGTCTGAAAGATGTCTTTCCCCACTCTTGTTTGAAGGTTCACGGATCCCTATCCTTTAAGTTTGTCAACAAAATATATGCATCCCCAATGATACTACGCTTATAACGGATTAGGCCGTTACATGATATTGACACCAAACGGTGTCAATAGAGGTATTGTCTAGCATGACAATATCCTACCAATATTATCCGGGATGGGTAATATTAAGGAATATTATCCCATTTTGGATAATATGCTCCAAGATTGGTTGATATAAGACGGATCAACCGTGGATTACCACCAATAGCTGCTAGACGCGCGCAAGGAGTGGTGAGCAAATTGTTGTCATACGAAGACGTAGTTCAATATAGTTAGATAAAGATTGAAGTTGTATTGATAGCTTAACTATATTAAATACAGTTCTCTTTCTGCCGTACTTGATCGAGTCGTTCAAGTAGCTTAGCTTCCTCTGCACGTACTAATGTACGTGAAGTTTCGTGGCACCCAGACAAAGGTTGCCCCGTTGCACCTGGTAGCACTTCCTAGTCGTCCAACGACTACTTAGTGTTCGTCCAACATGAACATGTTGGACGTAAAAGACGACAGCTTTCACGTCACACGTGAAGACTACTCCCACCTGAGTGACTCAGAACGGGAGGTAGTCGGCCGCATGAGTGTGCTCATGGGCGAACCCGCCATCAGTGGTATGTTGGAGTCTCTTAGCAGAGACCAGAAACATGCTGCTATAAACAAGTTCCTACAAGGAGAACTTGCCATCGGAAGATAGAAGATATCCTTGCTACAACAGCAAGGCTCTCATCAGTCGATGGGCGAGCCGACGCACTGCGTCGACCCGAAACCTTGAAGATAGATTTCTCAAGGTACAAGGGAACCGACGAAGATTCCCTTCTGAGATGGTTCGTCGAGTTAGACGATGCCATCAGGGCCCGTCACATCGAGAGTGACGAGATGCAAGTCACCTTCGCCCTGTCAAATTTGACGGGACGAGCAAAGACTTGGGCCTTAGGGATCAAGCTTCACGACCCAAACGTGTTTGAGTCGTTAGAGATTTTGAAGTCTCGGCTCAAAGAGACGTTGAGCCGCCGAGAGCCGAGTTCAGAGCACTCTCTGCACTCTTGAGGCTGAAGCAAGGTAAGCGTGACGTGCACGCTTATACACAGCACTTGCGCTACCTTGCGAGTAGCGTCACGGAAAACCCTGTTGACGAGCACCCGCTCATCAACGTGTTCATCTACGGCCTTGTAGATGGGCCGGTGAAGACCTACATGTTCCGAGAGGACTTCCATACTTTGGAAAAGGCGATAGCATACGCGGAAAAAGAAGACTTCAGCCTGAGACAGTCTCAGGCTAACACGTCAAACTATCGTTCGACAAGACGACCGAAAACAGGAGGTCCCGAACCAATGGACCTCTATTACATCGAGAGCAAGAACTCTCGCTCTCTGAGTCACAAGCGAACGGCAAGATGACACCGCTGTCAGAAAATTGGACACTACGCTCAAGAGTGTAGTTTCCCGATCACTGCGACACGTCCGAAAACAGGACGTGATGACCGCCGTTGGCCAAGGAAAGGTCCAAAGCGTGGGTCCGACCATGTCGCTAAGCCGCGACGGCAAGTCGGACCGACAAAAAATCGGACAGGGTCAGTAGGGGCGGAGCACCCTGCTGATCCAGCAACGTCAAGAGAATTCTTATGACTCTTGACGAAGAAATGCTCCCAACACACATTCGCTGTGTTTTACTGCCCCTAGTGATGAGGAGTATCTCATCACTTTGAAGATCGAAATGACAAGTGAAATTTCACTTCGCGCCCTAGTTGACTGTGGGGCGTCGACCAATTATATTCGACGCCAGTAGCTAGAGGATAGTAGACTCAACTGTGTTAAGCGAGAGTTCCCTCCAACGAGGTTGACGGCGTACCTTGCGATAGGCGTATCCGTAACAGTAAACCAAACGCGTAGTGGGAATCCACTACACGCTAAAAGAAAAACAATACGATGATGACTTCATCATACTGGATTTGGATGAAAAATTTGATGTCATCCTCGGTCTGCCATGGCTTGAAAATTATTAGCGATGGGTTAGCTGGCAGCATCGATCCGTGAAGATACCTGCCGTTTGTTCGTCAGTTGACCATCTGATGAACGTCTTGAAGCGTCCACAAGCGTGTGGATGTACTATGAGTGAGTGCGGTGGCCTCACTTGTGGTACGGTTGTTAGCATGGCTGCACAAGATCACAGTGTAGAAGGTCACTACACTGTGGAACCAGCTTCCGGTACCTGTGTAGAGACACAGGCTGCGCCGAAGGTTCACCACTCGAAGAGATCGAGTGGACTGGAACACGGATGCGCACCAAGAAAGGTGCATCCGAGAAAAGAGATTAACGTTGCTCAGGATAAACAACACGTTGAAGCAAGATCGACTAACAGAGAGTAGGTCGTAGAGCAAGCCTGATCGACTGAAAGAGATTTGATCGAAGAGGAAGTGACTGTGGTAGTACGCCCACAGTCAGTACACGTATTGGATTAAAGTTCCAGCGTTCCTGAGATTGTAAACTCCCGAGAGAGTTATGTTGAGGGTGTGGATCCCCAACCACCTGCGGATGTGTTTTCCCAGGAAATCACCAAGGCAGTGAATGTCTTGGTGAATGACGGATCAAGTGTAGGCGCTTATACACTTGATCTGGTTAAACATCCGAAGCCAGCTTTGTAGGTAGTCAAGTTGCCAACGCTAGAATCTAAAAGATTCTTGCGAGATCTGCGTAGTGACAATATCAAGCAGATTTGCATACTCGGCACAGAGGACGAGTAAGTCGCCGATATTCGGTCGGCACAAGTGTTTGATGAGAACGAACGGATTCTCATTAGCTAATCGATGGACGATAGTGTCTTCGATGCGAAGACCCATATTGAGAGATACACGTCTCAATCTTGGGAGTCTTTAAAGACAAATCCTTTGTAAAGGATTTGGTTGAATTCAGGGATCTTTTCCCTGAATCCGTGCCATGCGAGCTGCCAAAGACAAATGCACTCAGCATGAGATCGAACTGAACCCAGTTCGATTACTGTGTCATGAAGCAGTGGCCACTGCCTCGTGAACAGGTAACAGCGATCGACAAATTCTTTGCTGATCTTCTAGCTGCGGGCCATGTGAGGGAATCAACTTCCCCACATATCTCTCCGACCTTCTGTGTCCAAAAAAGCCACAGGAGGGTGGCGGATAGTGCACGCGTTCAACAAACTGAACGCTGCAACGGTACCGGCTCAGACGCCGATACCAAGTAAGGACGTAATCATAGATGGTATGGCAAAGAGTACCATATTTTCGCCCATGGATCTGATGGAAGGGTTCTATCAATTCCTTATGCGAAAACGGTACATACCCTGTACCGCAGTGAGCACGCCTAGCGGCATGCTCTGGGAGGCTAGTAATGCCACAGAGGCTAAGTAACGCCCCTGCAACGTTCAACAGATGTGTTACGAATCTGTTGCGATCGGTGCGCGATTTCGCACCGAGTTACTTCGACGATCTCTTCGTCCATAGCCGGGCTATGGATGGAAAAACGGACGTGGAGGTTTATAGAATCTACGTCCGACAGGTTCTTACAATCATGCGATAGCATCAATTGTATGCAAACCTCAAGAAGTGTGTATTTGCAACAAGCGAAATACCACTTCTTGGGAGCATCGTTGGTAAGAACGGTGTACGTCATGATCCCGAAAAGATCAAGGCGATCACCGGCTGGACTGTGCCAGTTGATGTCAAAGGTCTTCGAAAATTCCTTGGGCTAGCGGCGTATTTGCATAAGTATTCACGCAATTACGCCGAGATGACTGTGCAACTCTCTCGTTTGTTGAAAAAGAACGAGAGGTGGTTATGGAACGCTGAATGTCAGCACTCCTTTGAAGCCATCCAGAAAAGCTTGATACAATCGCCTGTGTGGGCGATAGCAGACCAGGAAGACCATTCTGTGGTGGAGTGGGGTTCTCTCATTTTTTTTGAGGCAATCCCGACTCTCCACTGGCGCCCAGACGACCGACAAACGGAGGGGGTACTACGATTCCGCTTGCACTTATTTCCTCCTCACCTTGTGTACCCGTCGGCAGGGCGGGTTGCACTCTTCTAGGTGGACTCGACGAGATGCTAAACTTGACCGTTGTAGAGATTGGTGCTGATCGGGTGGAAAATCCTTACCCGATCCTGTGTTCTGGTTTGGCGCTCTCCTAGAGTCGCCGTGATCTGCCCTGATCACCTTGTGCCAAAATGTGTACTTGAGTCGCGAGCCTTTCTGGCCACTTGAGCCGTCTCGCGATCTTGTACTTCAACCGATACGGTTGGCTGCGTCCGATCGCAGTAGGGGTGTGTTGAGAGTCCTAGCACTCCTGGCCAAATAGCTCCAGGAGTGATCGTTCTATCCTTGATGTCGAGATTCTCAGACGTCGGGAGGCCAAAATATCCAACCCGGGAGAAGATCGACAGGCCCCTCAATCGCGTTCCCCTGATTGCGGTCCCTTGATAGCGGTCCCTTTCGCCGTTCTGACCCGGTCTGATCGGATGAGATATTTCCGTGAATGATCCCAACGGGGTGCCATCCATATGATTGGTCCTCTTCCCACGATCAGTCCGCCGGTCCCCACTCCGTACTTAGGCATACGTTTGAGGTTTTACGACACCAATCTTGATCGACTATACCACAACCACCCCCTGCATAAATAGCCGATCTGCAACATCTGGCTTACTTGTGCAAGTTTAAGACACCACTTTACGTTTTATCCTCTCGTTGCCTTCCATGGTTTCCCCGTTGTCCACGCCCATCTTGCCACCAACTTACTGTGCGCCATCTCCCTCGGTGATGACGCAATCTGGTCCCACACCTTCGGTCGGTGTTGACGTTTCGCCACGCGAACACCCAACTGGCCCCGATTCTACTACAGACGCGGTCGAAGGTAACTCGGTGAGCGGAGGTCCGATCGGCCCTGCTTTAGGACTCGATGCTGTTGTGGACCTCGCTTCAAGTACGGAACCGATCGGCTCCACGTTGCCGCCTGATGTCCTTGACAGTTCCGCTGCAAGTGACGAGCCGATTGGGGTTGGAGAATCTGCTGCAACCACTGATCCGATGAGCTCCGCGTTGACGCTTGATGTCGTCGACAATTTTGCTGCAGGTGGCGACCCTATTAGGGCTATTCCGTTACCGACCACTCGAGTTGAAAGACCAATAGTTGATGAAACGACCGCGGTTGGTATGATCGCTGGACTTTATCAACGGCTCGCATCCCAGCAGGATCTTGTTGATAGCTATAGCGATCTGGAGCAAGCTTTGCGGGAGCAAACTCGGAGGGGTGATCGACTAGAACGGAAACTCCGTTCTCTTACCGAGTCGGCCTCTCCTTTTGTGATCTTCGCTCAAACTCGTTGTGATCGCCTTCGTCTGGATTTGAAAAATTTACTCGCTGAAGACGCTTTACTTCAGGAAACAATTCAAGCGGGGAGTTGCTACGAGCAGCAAATTAGCGACCTAAAGTCGAAACTTCTGAAAACGACCCAATCACTTCATACGTTTGAAGAACGTCATGATCTCGAGCTGGCTTCCTTGCGATGACACATGGATGAGGAGAACGCTCGGTTTCAAGCCGCACTCTTGAAGGCCAAATCTAAGAGAGCCAAGTACGAGGCATACTGTATTAAAGCTCAGACCACGGTTCGCCACCTGCATGCTGCTCTTGCCGCTGTGTCAGTGGAGCGCGATCAACTTCGGGATGATCCGGCTGAGTTGGAAGCTGAGTATGACCGATCGCGCTCCTTGCTCTCCGATCGTGACGATCGGGTGGGTCTTCTTTAAGTTACTATCTCGGGTTTGGAGCTAGAGCGCGATCAGGCGTTGCGCGATCGCGACGTTCTTCGAACGAGCATTGCCGCGCTCGTTACCGGACCCAGTTTCTCTTCTTCGTCCCGTCCAATTGCGACGGCCTCATCTACGAGTGCTTGTGTCAAACGACCTAGTACTTTCGCTCTAACTCCTCCTCCGCGGACCAAGAGCGTCATAATCAAGGCTAACTCGCAGTCGGTCGTCAAGGTGACACCCAAGACTCATTCTCCGACTGCGTCCGGTACCGTCGCCGAGCCTTCTCCGCCGTGTAAAACCCCGAAGAACAACCCTTCCCGATCACCCCACAGTTCCACACGATCTCACGCAAAACTTATGCCCAAGACTCCCGCTCTTCCCGGACCTGATGTTCGAAAAGGCAAAGGCAGAGCGCGCAATCCGACGCCTGCTCCAGCTAGCTCGGATGATGACGATTCATCGGATGCCGGGCCTCGAACCTTGGCTGCACTCTCCCGATCACGCTCTTCTTCACGGCGTAAATTCCCGTTGGGTAATCCGACGACTCCGTCTTCTACGTTACCAGAGTTGATGGTAGTGGATACCTCCAGCTCGGATGTGGATTCTCCCACCTCCCCAGTTGTCGCTCCCCTTAGGCCAAAACCCAAGGTTTACAAGGTCGACTTGTTTGGCAAAGCTTCTATCAGTTCGGAGGGTCCGATCAGCGTTACGGAAGACGTCCGAGCCCCAGCCAATAATCTGTTGTCTTCGGCCGAGTCCAAAGATCTTCCCAAGACTAAGGTGCCCCGCGATCAGTGGATACCCGGGTATCACTGTCGCGTACCAAAATCTTCTGTTCAAGTTTCACCTTGGTCTGCGCGCCGGGTGAGCTGGATTAGCGTGTTGGAATTGGATTTGGAGTTCTTCTATCGCCATCTCGCCAGGCCCAAGCATTACCCTTTTCCAGCCTCTCCTGCTGTATCGAAAGCACCTCCCATGTCTGAGTGGTCTCCCCACTTGATTTCTTCGGCGCGGGTTGCCGCGCTTTATCGCCAGGAGCCCTGGAAATCTTTGCGCGTGAAGATTGCGCCCATTCCAGCCCGTTGGGTGGTTCGAGCAGTTGCTGGACCTATACCACTCTTTCGAAGAGCGCTATATCCAGACGTTGTGGGAATCAACCCATACCTTGCCCATTTCTTCCGCCGATCGGGTTAAAGATTCTGGGCTGGCGTTATTCTGCGATCAGCGCAAACAGCGGCGATCGCGATCTGGACCTCCTTGGAAAACCGTACTCAAGTTCATACTCCAAGGAATGGTAGAAGGCCATTGCGACTTGGACATTCTGCTGGACCCGGTTTTCTTGCACCTACCTCGCTTACATGAGAAGCAGTTCTGGTACCCCGGGTTGGGGACTGGGAAGACTAACATTCCCAACCTGGCTTCCGCTTTGTCGTTGACGAACTCTGCTGAGCCATGGCGTAATCAGTACCGGACTTCGATCGCGAATCACCCAGGCATGTCAATCCCTCGCCTATCCGGTAAGTTCTTCGCCCCGTAGTCTATCGAGTTCAACACATTTCGTGTTTCAATTTCATTTCTTCATACTGTCTTTAATCTTGATCTCTCCGGAAATGTCTTCTACTTCAGGCCTCTTGGGCCGCGATCGTGCTTCGATCGCTACACATACTTACAAACATACCTTCCTCCTTCATACACCGCCTCCTGGTGTAACTTTTCCCACCGTACGACCATGTGCAACCTCCTTGCACACTTACACACCCCATCCACCTCGATCTGGTCTAGACTCCTGGCTCTTCTTCGTGCGTTTGCATCACTTCGAACCTATTTCGACTTATCCGATCGCGATCGAATTCTTGTAATAGAGCGCCACAATTCAAGTCTGCTTCATCCACCCATGATGGATCGCTATTACCTTTCCATTGAACCAGAAATTGACGGTGTACTCGTCCGTAACGCGTCTTTCGACCCGATCGGACGTCCACAATCTTTGTCACCTCGAATTCACCATCATCCAACTCGCCTTCCCAGCTATCTTCTGGTAGTAAGGCTTCGTCGAAATCGACCCGATCGGACTCGTCTACCTTCAGTTGACTTTGAGGCCGCTCTGGGAACATCTTCACTGGCTTTAGCTTGGACACATGTACTATCGGGAACAACCTATAAGGTGTGCCTGCGATATCCAATTTTACTGCATGATCTCCACATTTTTCCATTACTCGAAAGGGTCCGTGCCACATATGGGCTAACTTCCGAGCATATCCATCCTTCACGCGATCCAAATACAACCACACTTGTGCCCCTTGATCGATCTCTAGCAGATTTCTGTCGTCATTGTGACGATCCGATCTGTCCTGGATAGCGATCTTTAACCGATCGTTCACGATTGCTCTTGCCTGTTGATACTGACGCTGTATGTTATATCTCCATCTTCTTGGATCTCGATCGCGAGGTTTGACACTTCCAATTGGTAATGCCGCTTCCAACGTCGATCGGGGGTCCCAACCATGCATTAGATAAAATGGCGTCATTCCGCGGACTCGATCTTGTGCGGTATTAATCGCATCGTTTAATCTTTTTGCAAATTCATCCCAATCTCTCTATTTTTCGTCAGCGACATACATCTTAATCGATCGCGTTAGAGTTTGAACCATACGTTCTGCGGTTCCGTTCGCTTGAGGTCGATACGCCATTGTGGCTCGTTGCTTCTGTCCCGCAATCTTGTTGATAGCTCGAAAGAATTCAGACATAAGTCCTGGCTCCCGATCATGACGGATGATTTCACTCGCATTAAATCTTCGAAATACGCTTTCTTCATAATTCTCTGCAATCGTCTGTGTAGGTTGGAACGAACTCGCGTTTGCGATCACGTAACCCGAGAACAGATCGACCCACAACAGCAACTCATTATTCCGCTTAAACGATCGCGGTAAAGATGGGATATGATCCATTGCCAGAATTTGGAATGGGTTCGCTTGCAAGTTGCCTGGAGATCCATTTCGATCTTGCGGGCGACCTTTGCCGGTTTCAACATCAATACATTCGCCAATATAGCGTTGCACGCTCCGGTACAATCCTCGCCTATGGAAATTCGCCCTGATCCGATGGTATGTACGGCCTACCCCTTGGTGCCCACCCTCTAGACTAGTATGGTAATGGTGTAGGACGTCTTGTTGCAGAGACTCTATAATTGCCAGACGAATCGAATCTCCACAATCTTCGCTCATTGATGCCACCCTGGGGCAGAAAAATAGCAGTCCACTTTGGTCGACTTCGTAGTCTGGTGAGATCAGTGCGCAAATCATTGCGTCTCTAGCACGCAGCGTGGCTATATCCCCGATCAGATATGTCTTCAAGTCCGATATCCAACTTTCCTCATTTTGCGCCTGGTTTATACGTTCGATACGAACTTGTTGTACATTTTCTTCTTGTAAAACTGTCTGGGGGCATCGTCTTCGCGTCGTTGATAGCGTGATCGCGGCTACCTGGACTGGGTGTTTAGTTTGTTTTGGTACCAGTAGTTCATTTAAGCGATTAAGGGTCACGAGATCGTCTCGTTCTTGGTCTGATACTACGACATTTCCTTTCCCCTGACGTAACGCCTCGCTCGCTAGTTGATCAGCACTCTGGTTCCAGTCACGTTTCACAGGTAGCAATTCGTGTTTTGGCCACGATCGGAGTTTTTCTATTGCCTTATGTTTCAGAAGTTGTAGACCTGGTGCTTTACAGTCGATTTCACCTCGCATCTGTCTTATTACCAAGTTCGAGTCACCACAAAAGACCACCCGACCTCTGATCTGATCGGACAGTGACTCCAGACCCAGCAACAGCCCACGATATTCTGCCTCGTTTACCGTCAAATCTTCCGCAAATTCTGAAGTATCCACCAGGATCTTCCATTCAGGCAACTTCCATATTATTGCGCTGTAAGCGCCACCTTTCTTCTTTACCCTAGCCGATCCATCGAAACTGACCAACAAGACACTTTCGTCTACTTCGACTGTGGGTGGTGGTATACTAATGTTTTTCCGTGGTTGTTTCCTTGGAGCGATCGCGATCAGCACTTCATCTACATCCTTTCGAGGAGTTATACTTGCAGCCAGCGTGCCTAGCACTTCGTCTTCACCTTTTTCGCACCGTCTGATATCTAACGTCCAGTTCGATAGTAACGCCGCTTATCTCCCTAGTCTTCCGTTAAGACCCGGCGACTGCAATAGCCAAGCCAACGTCGAGTATCTCGTAAGCACCATAATCTCCCGCGAAACCAACATCGTATAACAATTGTCTAACATTCGAAGGAGGGCTAGCACTTCTTTCTCAACAATTCCGTAATTGACTTCGTTGGACTTCAGCGTGCGACTAGAAAAAATGACAGGCCAATATGTGCCGTCGTACTCTTGAAGCAATGCGGCTGATACCGCCCACTTACTGGCGTACACCACAATCACCGGTGCTCGCTCTGGATCGAAATGTCTTAAGATCGGTGCTTCAGCAATTTTGCCCTTTAGCAAGTAAGAAGTCATGACTGCTTCCTTCCATCGACAATATTTCCAGAATCTAGATCGCCCCCTGTTTTTTGATCCAGATCGTTGCAGGACTCATTTCGCGGGTACCATGTCCGTCATCATCCACCACCCTGAAGGGATATCGTGATTGAGAATCACCTGCTGATCGACGATGTTGGTCAGTATCAAGTACTTGATCTGGCCCGGTCCAGTATTCACCGTCGGCTCCCATTTTTTTTCCGTCTCACCCATAGTAAGGACTTAGATAAAAAACCTGCTCGAATCCTCATCTCTGTGGATTCTAAAGCAGGAATATCTATTTGTTGGTCTGGGATAACGATCGGTTGCATATTTACCCCATACGGAGGCCTGTGCCCTGCCAAGTGAATTTTCACCTCATCTGGCAAACAAAGCGTACCGTCCGCCATATATAACCGTATTCCCGCTGGCACCATAAAGTCCATACCTAAAATCGCTTCTTGGCCCACTTGATCGCCCACCCAAACTTCAAAGTAATACACCAGCGTTCCGTTTAATGTGATCTTGATTTTGGTGCGTCCTTCCGTCATTTAGGCATTCTCCCCGATTCCCACACATTCCTGTCTCTGGCTATCATCAATCACACATCCCACCTTACGAGCAAAGGTGGCGTCTATGATTGAGACTTCGGCTTCAGAATCGAATAGCATGGTGGCCTTCTCGTTAATAATTTTACCCACCACTTTAGCCTGTTTAAACCATTTTCCTGGCGTGCGATATTTCCAATATCCTCTCGATTCCCCCGGCGCTAGATCGAGTTCCATCTTAACGGGAGATCGTGAATGTTCATCCACCTTTTTTACACTTGAAATATCACACAACCGATGGTGTTCCAAATCATATGTATTAGCGGTCGGGTCGATCCGATTGTTACTCCCTTGATCGATCCTGTTCTGCTCCACAAATGCATATATGCATAGCCTAGAACGCTCGGCTCGTGCCAGATTCCATCCTGGCGAGCGTCCTAGTTTAACATCTCTTCTGCCTTGGTAGGTAGTAGTCCTGCGTGCTTGGTTGGGACGTACCACCTGCGGATAAGGTTCTAGAACTCTTCCATGGGACATTGGCCGCTCTCGTGCGGACAAATGTCTACACACATGTAGACATTTGTCCGAGGGGTGCCCTTTTCGGCCACGCTTCTGACAGGTCAATCTTTTCCAGCATCTGCGATCGTCATGTCTTTTCGAGCCGCAGTGTGAGCAGGCTTTCGCAACTCCGCCCCGATCGCGATCACCATCTCGGTCTGTCTTTCGCGATCTGTCTCGTTGATCCCCTGGGTCTGCAGCCTGATCAGTGATTATTGTCACACAAACCTTACTGCGAAAATCCTCTTCATCTGCATCGTCCTAACTTGAGCCTGAGTCGCTTTCCTCACTTTCTGCACGAATGGCCTTCACCATCCGTGGTGTCTTCGAATATACTTGGGCTGGCGTCGTAGCCGATCGCGATCGGTACTTGTTCGAGTCAGTCGGATCCTTATTCTGTCGAAAACTCATACGCTGATAAGAGCGTAGAGTTTCTTCCATCGTGTTAGCATCACGCACTCGTAATAGGGTCAGTTGCTTCGCCAACTCTCGATCCATAAAAGTGTCAATGAAGTGTTCTACATGCTCACGTCGGCTTGCTGACGTCCCATCTCTGAACGCCACTTTTGCTCGCATTCCTGCTACATTCAACCGGTCCAAGTATTCCAACGGGGTTTCATTCGGTCTCTTCCGCGCGTGGTAGTATTGTCTTCCTGCTGACATTCCATATCCTCCATATCGGACCATGAAGCCTTCCGACAACGACTTCCAATCATCGCGGGTCGATCGGCTCAACTGGCTAAACCAATTTCGGGCAGGTCCTGTGAGCAGGCCTTCAAATACCAGACATTTCTCGTCTTCTGGAGCCTAATCGCGTAGAAATGCAGTCTTCATCTTATTAAACCAACCTCTAGCACGTTCTTCGTCTTGATCACGTCCTAAAAATTCTTTCAGATCGGCCATCGCCGACAATCTAATCCTCTGTGCGCTGAAACCTCCCGTAGGGGCGGTTCCTGCAGTTGCCACTTGTGGTCGTCTTAGATCATACGGTCCTCTGCGATCTGACTCATGTTCTCCCGGTCGATCGCGGTATGAGTCGACTGACTCCATTTCGACGTCTGGGACGATCGGGTAGTTAGCTCCTTGCTCTTCGCGATCGCGAATGAATTTTTCCATGGCGGCCTTGAAATTTGTTTGTATCTGGCTTGGCTACACCGTGTTTGCATTCTGTGAAGCCGGAATTTGAGTCGATCGTATTCCACTGTTATCCGGGTAGAGCCTGTTTTTAAACATTGCTGCCCTTGTCGGTCCCAGCGACATCCGCTGCATCCCAAACGACTCGTCTGAGTCCGTATCTGATTCTGCCGAGGCATAGCGTGACAACCCCGTGTATTCCTCTTTCACGTTGCGGTTGGTTGACTCTCTCCCTTGGCTCAGGTGTCCTTCTTCACTCTTGATTCGCTGGCTCAGATGTCCTTCTTCACTCTTGATCCGTTGGCTCATAGGGTCGTGAGACACTGTCAGTGGAGTGAGCTTTTCGAATAGTATCTGTCCTGCTTTGATCACTCGATCTTGATTAAAATTCTAATAGCGTTTGTGCGTCAAAAGCTCCCGCTGCAAATCCAACGTCTTTTAGCAGCTGAATAAGCCGATGCAATGCCTCCAACTGATTCGACGTCACTTTCGGTGGCGATACTGGAACTTGGATCGACCCGATCAGCTTAGGTTTCAGCACCTTTAGGACTGGGCCTTCTGCAAGAAGTTTCTTTAGTTGTTGCCAATTGAATTCCCAGGTGATCCGTTCCAGTTGCCAGCCTTCTGATTCCACATCCTGACCTTCTGCCTTGATCTCTTGCTTGTTTCGATGTGGCTCTGCCGTCTTCGTCTTTAAACGGGCCAACTTAGGAGTGTGTTTCCTCGCCTTTGGTTGGGGGTAGTTTTGGATGAAGGTCTTTCAGTTTTTGCTGAAGAGTTTCCATCTGGCAGATCATGCTTTGCAGCACGATCCGCGGTGGTCCCCGAAGGGACCTCAGGAGGGGGTTGAGGTTTTTCTTCCAGATCAGCTTGGTGATCTTCCTCTTTGACTTTCTTGTCATCATAGCCCTTCTAAAAACTATGATGATCTTGGAATCCTTTCTCTTCGCGCGTCTGTGGCGATCCATATTCCGCTGACGCTCCAATCCCAGGTTCAGTCTTGATCTTAACATCTTCATCTCGGGACTCACAGTGAAATCCCGAGTCATTAGAAGATCCGGGCGCGCGCACCATTGTGGTGGAGTGGGGTTCGCTCATTTTTTTGAGGCGATCCCGACTCTCCACTGGCGCCCAGACGACCGACTAACGGAGGGGGTACTACGATTCCGCTTGCACTTATTTCCTCCTCACCTTGTGTACCCGTCGGCAGGGCGGGTTGCACTCTTCTAGGTGGACTCGACGAGATGCTAAACTTGACCGTTGTAGAGATTGGTGCTGATCGGGTGGAAAATCCTTACCCGATCCTGTGTTCTGGTTTGGCGCTCTCCTAGAGTCGCCGTGATCTGCCCTGATCACCTTGTGCCAAAATGTGTACTTGAGTCGCGAGCCTTTCTGGCCACTTGAGCCGTCTCGCGATCTTGTACTTCAACCGATACGGTTGGCTGCGTCCGATCGCAGTAGGGGTGTGTTGAGAGTCCTAGCACTCCTGGCCAAATAGCTACAGGAGTGATCGTTATATCCTTGATGTCGAGATTCTCAGACGTCGGGAGGCCAAAATATCCAACCTGGGAGAAGATCGACACGAATGTGTTTAGAAGAAAATTGAATTCTGTTTAATGTTAACCAATTAGACCCTCACACCTTACCCCTATAACTCGGAAAATCAGATGCCACGCGTCGCCTCTACAGATCGCCCCTTGATCCGTGTGGCACAGACCTGACACACCAACCGTCTGATCGCATCAGGGCATGGTCCACGCCAGATCGCGGTCCCTTGATCGCGGCCCCTGATCGCGGTCCCCTGATCGCAGTCCCCTGATCGCGGCCCCTAATCGCGGTTCCCTGATCGCAGTCCCCTGATCGCGGTCCCTCAATCGCGGCCCCTCAATCGCGTTCCCCTAATTGCGGTCCCTTGATAGCGGTCCCTTTCGCCGTTCTGAACCGTTCTGACCCGGTCTGACCGGATGAGATATTTCCGTGAATGATCCCAACGGTGCCATCCATATGATTGGTCCTCTTCCCACGATCAGTCCGCCGGTCCCCACTCCGTACTTGGGCATACGTTTGAGGTTTCACGACACCGATCTTGATCGACTTTACCACAATTGCATGTGGTATGTGACGCCAGCGATTTTGCAATCGGCTGCGCGTTAATGCAGTACGACTCAGACGGCGTTGAGCGCGTCGTCTGTTATCAATCGCGTCAGCTGCAAGCAGCTGAGCGTAACTACCCAGTACATTAAAGGAGCTCCTTGCCATGAAATATGCACTGGCTGAGTTTCGGGTTTATCTCGTGAGAGATAGGCCCTTCATCGTATATACAGACCATGCGTCGTTACGCACGGCCATAAACAGTCCACACCTCTCGCAACGAATGGCGAGGTGGCTGTATTTCTTCGCGGAGTACAACTTCTCCGTCGAGTATAAACCAGGACGACTTAATGTCGTCGCTGATGCTCTTTCGCGTCGGCCCGATTTCGAGCCGACTGCTCAACCCAACAGTAGGGGTGATCACACTGTTGCAACACTAACAGTGAGTGTTCCGTCGTCGAATTTGCTCGACGACATGCAGAAATCATACGCAGAAGACGTGTCACTTCTACAGTTGATGGATTACGTGTCTAATCTATGCAGTCCAGCTTTTAAGAGCTTGTCATATCAATACCGCTCTTCAACCGAACGGTATTCTGTCCGTGTTGGACTGCTGTACTATACAGCAGTCAACGGCGACACACCTCGTGTCGTCGTTCCGGCTCATAATGATTTGCGATTGCGCATCATGTATGAGGGTCACGATGCCCCAACAAGTGGACATCGCGGTAGAGAAAAGACTTACCTCGCGGTAAGTCGTGACTTCTACTGGCCCCGCCAGTATGAGTTTGTGCGGAAAAACATTCGCGCTTGCGAAGTTTGCCAGCGGGTGAAGCCTAGTCCTTCATCCCGTGCACCCTTACAGCCTCTTCCGATTCCGGCCGAGTGCTGGCAGTCCGTATCGATGGACTTCGTCTTTGGGTTTCCCAAAGACGCTCATAAGAATACGGGTATTCTTGTGTTTGTTGATCGGTTCAGAAAGATGGTACATCTTGTTGCTGTACCGGAGTCAATCACAGCCCAGGGCTGTGATCGTGTCTACATCGATACTATCTTCCAACTTTACGGATTACCCCGTGAACTCGTGTCTAATCGAGACCCCCGCTTCACAGCGGAGTTCTGGCAATCCGTGTTCCGTTCACTTGGAACAAGTTTGACGATGTCAACTTATGACCATCCCGAAACGGATGGTCAAACAGAACGCGTCAACCGCGTTCTCGAAGAGATACTTCGAGGGTATGTCCATTCGTTTACGAGTTGAAGTGAGTTCTTGCTGATGGCGAAGTTCGGGCCATCAACAACTCGGTGCACGCGTCGACATCGCATACACCGTTCTTCGTGAACGGCCTACGCCATCCACGTTTACCCGCCCCCTTAAAGTGTTTCTTTTGTTTAAGGGGGAGGGTGAACTCGCTCGTACTAAACCCGATCTGGTTCTTGCTCATCACCCGTCGACAATGGTGTCGACGTGATGGATGCTGATGTCGATCACATCGACATCGGTGATGATTATGACGACGATGCTGGTATATTCAACGTCGCCAACGACTGCTGCAGTGAGGACGATGACGCCCTCACTGGTGAAGACAACGTTCTCTAAGCAGTGCACACGAAGCGCACTGCAGTTAACAAGGATGAATCGGCAGAGGAATTTCTGCTGACTCGTGAAGCGGTTGTCCGCTTCCTTCAAGACTCTATTGCAGATGCAATAGACAGACAGAAAAAACGCAGACAAACATGGAAGAGCAAATGTTCTTTCATTTGATGAAGGAGATTTAGTTTTACTGTCTACAGTAAATTTACCGAAACACGCAGTGACAAACGTGGGCAGCAGTAAATTACTGCCCAAGCACATCGGTCCGTTTCGTGTATTGTGCCGCATGGGCAACGCATACACGATTGAACTGTCTCGTAAGATGCGCACGCATCCTTAGTTTTACGCTGGACGTCTACGCCCGTGCTATCAGTACGAGCCCGTTTCGAGAGGCAAGAACACCTCCGCGGTCAAGAGCCGAAACCACCTTCGAGTGGTCCTGTTTTAAACGATCCAGTCTGGTCGACTAGCGAAGCGACCTCTTCACGCAGCTCAGCGATGTCTCAACGAGCAGCAGCCAGCTTATCACGAAGAGAATGAGTCGAACTTTCGTTCTCAAGTTGCGCGAACGCAAATGCCGCACGATCGTCCGAACGATCGTGTGTTAGGGAGTTATGGTTATTCCTCACAAGATCCTCAAGCCCGTAACGCCGAGATCGTTCATGAGCCAGGTCATCTTGCAACTGTTCCGTTAGATGGTTCAGCTCTTGAATTAAACTTGATCCGACCCTCGAGCCGGATCAGGTGTTCCCGCCGCCACCACATCCTTTGGTGGACTCAAGCGGTGGTCGACGCTTTCAGTAGAGCGTATTTTGAACCACCTCGACGTGAATGGCGTCCGGAAGAGTTACCTCGTCCGCTGGCGTGGCTATCCACCGGCGTGGGACAGCTGGGAGCCTCGTGCCCAGCTGATTGTTGATGTCCTTGGTAACGTCGAGCAGTACGACGAGACCCACCCGCTGCGTTTGAAGAAGGGCCGTCGGAAAACGACCTCCTTGAACGCGAGTACAGGAATTGGAAAGTGTCGATCCCTTCAGCCATCTCGGAAGAGATGCGCACCCTCCAGTAGGGATCATTAGGGAGGTAGGCCTCCGTAGGGGCACGGTTCGAATTGTCCAGGCAACCTGGACACGAATCACCCCACGAGAGACAGGGTAATCCTGCATCTCTTGACAACCGGTGCAACTTGTATCGCGCCCCTAATGGGTTGCGCTTCTCAAACCTGATGCGGGCTGCATCAAGTTTGGCGAGCCAAGCCTCACGGCCAATACACTCGATGTTGTGGATGCGGGCATTCCATCCCTGCACCAAGGCTTTGCCGTCTCGTACACGGCTACCATTGTACCACCGATGTTTGAAAAACGCATCGATGAAGAATTCTTCCTCAGCACGGATAGTTTCCGTGCTGGAATCAGGAGGGCAAATCTTCCTACATTCGAACAACGGGATTCGATCCCCTTCGGTAGTCGTGCCGGCCACCGGTCCAACTCTCTGGATGGCGGCATCCACGAAAACTCCACTTGAGGAGCGTGGCGCAGGACATTTCGGTCCCTGGCCTCTTGATTGGTGCCAGCATGAGCACAGGCACCAGAGTTACCCCGATCCCTTGAGTTGCTCAGCTCGTGGTGATGCATAGGTGCATCACCACCATCCCCACGCGTCCTATCGTTAGACGGACTTGCGTGAGGCGGAGACTCATCGGAGTGTTCACTCGATCCGAAGATCTCGGTCATGATGCTGCCGCGCTGACCAGAGCCAGTCAGCCTGGATCTTGCAGCGTCCACCCCGGGTGATCCCGACGCGTGAGGAGTCGCCTTCGAGTCGGATGCATCATCCGACTCGCCAGAATAGATGAGCTCTATCTCAGACTCGTCTGGATTACGATTCGAGGTACCCGCTGCAGACGCAACGGATGTACCTGTCGCACGTGGTGACTCACCACGTAGTGGATTCACGACAACAGGCGATGAATCGCCTGCTGCTGAGGCGTCAGAGTCACTTTCCGCGGCCGCATGCATGCGTGCAGCCGCTCTTCTTGCTGCTGCAGTAGCAGCTCGCGTGGTTTTGGAAACTATGCGTTGGATTGGCAAATGAATAAAATTTGACCAACAGGTGCTCCCTTTCCCAGATTGACCCAACGTTGGTCACCCTGTCCCAATCAATTTTAATTCAATCAACGGGTGGTTGATGGTTAAGGGGGGGTGATGTTACGGGGTAGCCCGTTATATGAAATTGACACCAAACGGTGTCAATAGAGATATTGTCTAGCATGACAATATCCTACCAATATTATCCGGGATGGGTAATATTAAAGGAATATTATCCCATTTTGGATAATATGCTCCAAGATTGGTTGATATAAGACGGATCAACCGTGGATTACCACCAATCGCTGCTAGACGCGCGCAATGAGTGGTGAGCAGGTAGTCGTCATACGACGGCGTAGCTCAATATAGTTAGATAAAGATTGAAGTTGTATTGATAGCTTAACTATATTAAATACAGTTCTCTTTCTGCCGTACTTGATCGAGTCGTTCAAGTAGCTTAGCTTCCTCTGCACGTACTAATGTACGTGAAGTTTCGCGGCACCCCGAACAAAGGGTGCCCCGTTACATTCACGGTATCCTGTCAGGTACATTGCGGTTGGTCGAGTAATGACTTGGTCCGGATCTTTGGGAATATACGACTTACCCATATATGCTAGTGTAAAATATGGTTTTTGATGGCACCCTACACCAGTTCGCTACTAGTAATACGGGTGTCTTCATGCATTATGTCCATGTGTTGGACGCAATAAATTTAAAGAATCCATTCGTATACATGCACCGTGTATACAGTAGTTCAAACGCGGAGAGCCAACCCGTCAAAACTAATCGACGTGAGAAGCACTTTGTTTTCGCCCCGGTCAAAGACAATCGCACCTACTACTGTCCTGAATTGTCGCACGAGCCACGAAACACAACAACCACAACAACCACAACAAAACAACAAAAAACCGAAACAAAAAGCTGCTTTTTACATTTCGTAGCTCCTCGCATGGCGCCGACATGGGTCTGGTCACTCGTAGCCGTGGCTGGAACGGCGACTGCAGCGGTCGTGGTCTTTAAGTACATGAGGCGACGAGCTCAGAATGATCAAGAGATAGAGGCGTCTTTGACTGGAGAGACCCAAGCGAGCGAAGACGTGGAGTACGAGTGGCTGTCGTCCCAAGACGAAGACGAGACGGAGGAGGTCGATGCAGAGCAGCAGCAGCTGCAATTTCTGGCCATAGACCGAGCGAGGAACTTGGTACAATTTGTTATACTTGCTGAGTGTATACAATGGACTAAAGAGCTGACATTTCTGCAGCTGCTGGCGATGTTTGGGTTTTTGCTGATGGTGGTTGTGAGTATCGTGTCGCTGGTTGTCACGTGGAACAATAGCGACTACGACGAAAGCCTCTCGTTAGTTGAGCTGCCACTTTTCGAACCATTTGTGTGGATTGCCGTTGGAATTATCACTGGTGGGATCACACGAGTTTGGGCAGGCTAGCTAGAGGTGGGTGGGCTAATTGGACGTCTTGTTGTTGTTGCTGCTATTGGCGTATTGCAGCTGTTGGTACGGAGCTTATCATGCGATCGAAAAGAGTGAGCACGTACGTCCCAATGGTTGAAGAAAAGGCAGTATTTCCACATGATGCGAGAGACTTTGAGCTTACCCGACAGCGCGATGGTAACTATTTCTGCTGCAAAAAATCATTGTAACGAGTGATAGGTACGATACTGATGCCCGTTCAATCTACCAGATGAAGGAATGTATAGAGCTTCTGGGAAACATATTTATGTGGATTCTACGCGCTCTGATCGCCGCGTCACAAATGGAGACGACGAAGATAAGGACAGTGTGCCGGAAGACACTAAGGCGATACTTGAGCGTGCAGATGAATTGTTTGAGCAGAAGGAGCATGCCCGGACGCGAGAATACCTGAATACTGAACTACAGGAGTATCCTTCATGCGTTGAAATGGTGCGTCTATTGTTTGCATAGCTGACATCGCCTAGGATCTTCCTGACACGGTTACGTGCTAGTTGTGGCGCTTGGCTCGCGCGTGTAATTGCCTCATTGATGAAGAGACAAGTACTGATGAGAAGAGAGTGCTAGCGTTTGAAGGCTTGGCTGCTGCAGAGAAGGCGTATGCTCTCGATAGTGATTTGGCTGCATCCAATAAGTGGATGGCCATCATGACCAGGTAGCAGCTACTACACATAACGCTGCGTAAATTGATGGCACTAACATGGATCGTTCGTGAGCAGCACGGTGGGTGGCTTCTGTGACTTAAAGGAGAGGATTGCAGGGGCCTACGTGATTCGAGTAAGCAAATTTTTGACCTGCCATTGGTGTACAGTGTATCGAAACGACGGGACGATGGTTGCTAAGATTGTGTCTCTTGTAGGATCATATTGAGCGAGCAATCGAACTGGACCCGACTGATGCGACGTCGCACAATATCCTCGGACAGTGGTGTCTAGCCTTTGCTGACATGACTTGGATCGAAAAGCGCGTCGCTACTGCTCTGTTCAGCACGCCACCTACTGCTACGTATGAGGAAGCTGCACAGCACTTTCAAGCAGCTGGTGAGCTCATATACAAGCAAGTTGACACAGTACTCGTTTTTCACGCTCACATGGATCGTGGTGGTGTTGTTCAGAAAGCATCAGTCCCGGGTTCTGGAAGAAAAATGTCTTACTGCTTGCTCAGGTACTGCATGATCTTCTCGAGACGCTACGTGTATGCACCAGTGCTCTGACGCTTGCTTGTGTACCGTGTCAGACCTACCTGAAGATGCAGCGCACAAAAGAAACTGAGCAGTGGTTGCGTAGGGCTGAGACCGTGCCGGTGAAGACGAAAGAGGATGAGGAGGTAGCACGGGACATTGCGAAACTGATGAAGCAACTGAAGTTGCAATGATTCTCGTCGGCCAGTGCAGTGCGATACGACAACTGCTGCAACTACTTGCCGACAAGGTTTTTGTGTTTGAAAAAGCAGTACAAACAGGAAGCGTGAGAGACATGGACGGTGACCTGTCGAGCGGTACAACAGCTACGAAGCACGTGCAGTGAGCAATCAGTCGGCAGCGCAAAGCAGAGAAGTCGTAACTACGATGAAATCATTGCCGGCAAGTCCGTCCATTGCGTCATCGTGGTAGGGTACTCACTCCCTAGCCGTGAACTTCACAACTGCGAGTCTTTACGCGCTTACTTATCACCTTCGCTTGCGCAGTGACGTAGTTCATGACGACATCCGGTATCTACACAACAAATCAAACGTAGCGTCTATGGTGCTGGTGGCGCTGAGCGACGTCCTTTCGTTTGCAGATGAGCTCAACGGCCCTCAAACTCGGTCCAATCACTGTCTGGTTCAAACTTCTCGTTATACGCATTGCTGTGTCACTTCTAATGACAGTGCTGCTTACTGCGTCACTGCTCCGAATGGATTACCACGGCTTCCAAATAAAAAAAGCCAAGCTGTCTCCGCCGAGGTTGCACTTGAACCTCAACGTATTTTCGTTAACCTGAGGAGCCAGCAAGAATTAGAGAGCCGGAGGAGCTGGTAAAGCTCAAGAAGTAAATCAGCCGCTGCCTCGACAGGATTCCAGAAAACAGCCGATACAACTGCATCGGTAAACCATGTCAAAAACATCGCCAAACACTAACATTTCCTACGGGACGTGCGCCGCGCTCGACGCTCAGTGCGCTTCTTTTCTTGCAGTGAAAGATTCAGCGCAGCGATCAAGTCCCTGCATCGATTTCAGCCACAGCGAAAAGAATAAACAAAGCATTTCACGCACTCAGACTTTCTCCATCGACGACAGCCCAATCACCCTTCAATGTAACGTACGGGTCATCTTCGTCGTACACTTGCTCGTGATCCTCAACATCTCGAGCAGCGTCAGCACCTCGTTGTGGTTGTAGCTCTTCGTGCCCCACTGGTCGATGACGAATCTCATTCTACACCATCAAACACCACCCAATCAAATCCCCATCATCCCCTATTCGTGCATACAGTACACCGACACCAGGTCCACCACACATACCTCGAACTGCTCTGCTGACAACGACCCCAGCATCCGCTGTGTACCCCGATTGAAGACAGAGTAGGCGCTCATGCCGCCTGTGTGTCCCTCTCGGCCAAACACCAAGTGGTACCCCAAGGCTGCAAACCCACAGAAAATGACGTACGCTCCGGCAAACTCGGGCGCCTGGTCGTGGACATGGACGAGTCCTCGAATCCAAATGAATAATGCCACAGAAAAGCCGGCAAGCGAGCGCCAATGAGGTCTTAGAGCAAGCACAAGGCTCATCAGCGTCTCTTTCGACAGCATCTGCGCTACTTTGCGACGGATCTCAGCGCGCGTCTCGCGGTTCACGCGTAGCACAGGAGGGATAAAAGGCACGAGACAGTCCAACGGTCCTTGGTCGGCAGCCCGCAGGTGGCGCACACGAGGAGCATTGGCCAGCGGAACGCCGCGCATCGGCCGATCCATTCTCTCAGTGGTCAACCACTTCGCTAGAATGTCACTGTTCTGAATACATGTACCCATTTTCACGTCCTAGTCGTACTTAAGCGAGTCAAAAGAGTAAGCACGTCGGGTACGTGCTTTGTCCGATTCTGATTGCGAGAGACGCAGCAGCGTGACGGAGCATTACGTTACGTGCTGTAGCAGCTGCTACTTGATTGGTCGCTTCACGTTGTAAGTTACCGCGTAGGAATCCATACAGTGTGTCAATGTATTGAGTGACTCTCTTGAAAGAGACATTACCAACGACCGTGCCCGATAGAATCGTGTAGACATTTCCGACACCGAACGTGGTGCTTGACAAAATGCGCGAGCGTCTTGCGTCGACACTTTGATGCCTAGCAAAGGCGAACATCGATGTCCGCTTTTGACAACGACTTGCCAGTCTTGAACGTGTGTTCATACAGTCTCATTCTACCTCACAAGGTGTTAACACTATCAGACGCGAATCACTCCATGATCACTGCAGGTTGACCACCTCAACAGGCAGCCGTCACATTCCGAGAGCCTATAACAAACCGGCTGAGCTAGTCAACATTATTGTCAGCTGCTGTCGTTCTCATACCACATGGTCCTTGCTCCTCTCCATGTGCACGGGTTCCTTCCCGCTCTATCGCATCTGCGCTCTCGCCGTTCCTGCCACAGGTTTCGTGCTCTTCATTTTATTGTTTGCGGTTTCTGTCCTTCGTCCGTTCAACGCATTCACACGGACAAAGGCTCGACTAACCATGAGCTACGGAGGCAACATCGAAGGTTATTTGATCAAGATTGACGGTCGCGAAGTCCGAACCGTCTACTGCATCCTTGATGAGGGCATGCTGCAGTACTTCTCTCGCAAGGGTGGTGAGCAGTTGGGCGTCCTGGCGTTGTCAGGGTCCAAGGTTGAAGCGTTTCTGCTTCCTTCATCGAGACTTGGCCAGGTGCACAACCAGTTCCGCGTTGACGCGCAGTCACGAAGTCCGTCCGTTCGTTTCCGTGGTGCTCAGAAGCCTTCGGGTGCTGACAAGTTGGTGTCGATGACTTTTGCAGGTTCCACCAGCGAAGTCACAAACCAGTGGGCTGTCTCCATCCTCAACTGGAGCCGGTACAGCTGGGACGATGGTCAAATCGTGTGCAGTTCCAAGGATGAGTACAGCACCTTGCAAAAGCTCATTGAACTGAGTGGCTTGAATACAACTAAGGCGACGAGAAGTCTTGTTGTACCGTTTGGGGTAAGCCCTGCAGTATTGCCATTGTAAGGCCGGGCAAGCGGTCACGATTGTTAGATGTTTTTCGTAGTGTTATTGTTGTCAGATGCTGTTCAATAAAGCGTGTTGCTGGCTTATTGTTATTCTCTCTTATCAACTCGATGAGGACAATGTGGTAGCAGTGTCATCCATCTACTGCTGTATTCTGCTCACTGTCATCGTAATGCATAGATGACCAAGTCTTTCGACTCGAAAGAATCAACACGCAGTAGCTACAGGAAGCGACCGTTGGTTCAACTGTATTTACTTACGCCTCAACGATGATACAAACTAATCTATACACAGCCAAAGAGTCTACAGCACACAAATTGCTTGCGATGTGATAGTTCACGACACCATCAACATAAGAGCCTCATCAGCGACGGAAGGCGATGGAGACTCTTCGTGAAGCTCAACACTGTTTCTGCTCATTCCTGCTGTTGCCGCTTCCTCCGCTGCCATCTCAGCGAGCCGCACTTTCGTGATAAACCGACCGTCTTCACCGCGCTTGCGGTTCTTTGCAATGCTGTGCCGCACAGGGTACGAAGGTTTGTTAGACCAATTGCGACTCTCGCGCTTTTTCAACCACTTGGCAATCTTCTCCTTCTTTTCCTTCTTCGAACACGGCGGAGGGTACGACGGCATCGGTGGAGCAGTGGTCCACTTGCCACCCGGACCAGCACGAAGCTGAGCCTTGCCATAACCGTAGCCTGCAGCGTAGTAATTGTAGCCTACGTCAGCCTGCACACTACTGTAAGCGTACCGGGGCACCCCATACTGAGGCTGCTGCTGGTACTGGTTGTAAACGCCATCGACCATGTACGGGTTCATGTTGTACTGGGATTGGTCGCCAGCATACATGACATTCCCTCCTGGATGTGAACATTGGCTCACACCATAGCCTTGCTGCACCCCGTACCCGCTCATGCCCATGTGCAACGAGGCTGCAGAAGAATCCGTAAGCAATGTCATGCCCGTCATATTTTGGACCGGCGATGACTCATAACCACGCTTCATGTACGTAGAACGGTCCCGAAGAGGCAAGTTTATCTGCGGTGGTGCACTATACACATTGTCGGGCGCTGGCGGGTTGTAGAACTGCGACGCAAACGTATCGTACCCGTTTGACACAGACATCCCAACATTGTATCCATTGTTGACAGGAAGGTTCGTGCCGGTAGAAGTAGCTAAGCTCCCAGACTGTGAATATTGGTTCATCGCCGTAGAAGAGCTCTGTGGGTAGCTTGGCACACCCATGGACGTGGAATGATTAGTCAAATGATACCCGTACGTGTTTGCTGGCGGGGCCAACGTCGTCGTCGGCGGCGCTGGATGATATCGGGCAGTGTTGTTGATAGTTTCCACTGGCATTAGCTCCGTCTTAGTCATCTGTAACGGTAAAGACGTATCAAAGTTGAGCGCAATGTCATTCACAAAGCTCTCAGACAACCAGTCGCCAGTGTTTCGCTTCGAAGACGGGGTCTGAATCTCTTTAAGAAGCAAATCCTTGACCGCCTGGAAGTCACCAGTGTTGTTATACGTGTCCAACGCTTCTTGCAACTGTGGCGAGTCGCTATTCAGCAGCAAATCCTTCAAGTGGCCACGGTCTTCACTCGAAATAAGACCTTTGTCACCCAGCGACTTGATTGCTGCCATCTTGCCCGAGATACTGCGATAGCGTTTGTTCTTGGCCTTCTTGCCGCTTGGCAGCACTAAACCTCCCGGTGAAGCGCCAGTTCCAATGCCACCTTTTGACAGCCCTCCAATGCTGCCAGAAGGCGGAGCAGCATTGCTTGTTTGGCCTGCGGTCTGGTTGTTAGCATAGGGCGAGATACTGGGCTGGACGTTGCCGCTGGTCGAGCTAGGCGTGGATAACGTCATGGGCCTTACTGACGATCGACCAGGAGCCGAAAAAAACTCGGCACCAGCTATTTCCTCCGTCTTGGCAACCACTTGTTGCTCAATTGGCTCCTGGTAATCCTCACCCTGCAGACAAATGACAAACCGGTCGTTCTCCCGGACACCAAAACGTAACGAGCGAGCGTTCAACTGTATAAATAGCCACAAAACGTCGTTAGAGTGCCATCGACCAGTCAATGCCCAAAACAGAGCAGCCAATAGAGTAGACAATAGAGCAGCATAAGACGCACCTCTGCCGCGATACCTGTCGCTTCCGTGGGCAGCAGAAAGAGCCGCACTTTGAACGTCGTCTCAGCTTCTTCGTACTCACTCGTTTTGCCTACAGCGGCCACCATCGCGGCAATGACGTCTTTCCACTTGAGCGGCGGCGGCGGCAGTTCCAGCACCGTATCGTTCGTCTCGAACTGCGTTGTGCCGCTGTACAGTCGCACGTAGACGCGTGTGCTGCTCATGGCTGGAAGCGCTGGTCAATATACTACGGGCAACAAGAGCAGAAGAAGCGGAGGAGGAAGAGGAGGAAGAAAAAAGACGCTCGACGGTCGTGTCAGCAGCTCCTTGCAAGTGTGATAATGAGAGTCGCGAGTTCGGACAGCGATTGGATATTTGAATCACGTGAAAGGGCGCGGTAAACAGCGACTTTGTGCGCGAGGGAGCTATCTTTCCGATACGTTTGCCGGCTTTATTACAATGTACAGGTTGCAATATAGTCAGAGGAGGCTGGGCCACACTTTCTTCCCTACCCCTTGCGGTGATGATGCACCGTTCTTTTAGACAGCCGGTTTTTCTCTTGGAGTGATTTTTAGGCAAAAATGAAGTTGAAGCGAAGATCGTTCTCTTCTCACGAAGATTTGCCCGTCTCTTGAGCGCTCAAACCCACGACAGATTGTCTTCTTTCGATATTTCTAGATTTATGTAGGTGTAAAAGCCTGCTTGCGTGTTGTTAAGTTGTCGTGGCGGTACCCATCAGCATTTTTCACTGAGTTTAGCTCAAGCCTAAAATATCTCGACATGCAAAGAAGAATGCTGATCTTTCTTGGGCTACTGTCAGGCATATGCGCGACTTGCATCGCTTGTTGTGCAGAAGATATTTGCAAGCTCATGGTGGAAAAGCTGAACCTCAAACACCAGCGCTTTGTTAAGCGTTATGGAGGCCGTTGAGTACTGACCGAAACAAGCCCAGATGAAGCAACGACAGACGGGACGGTAGTACAACACGAAGATAAACATGCGCGAGCGCTGGTCGAGTCTGCATTGTACCAGGTTGGACCTGCTACAGGAGATGTCGAAGCGGCCTCGTATTACGCAATCAGCTCGCCTCACACGCACAATCCGACGACACTGTGTTGTTGTCGCGTTGTAATTGTGCCCATCCCGGGCAGCAATCAATCTACCATGCAAGTAGCTAATTCGTAATCCGATGCCTGTTCGGCTGGTTTTGCAACGACGACTGCACAGCTTCCCTTGTTCCACTCGACCACTGCGTCTACATCTAACTCCTGTCTTGATCGCAAAAGTTTTGCGGCAAATAAAAGATGGCAAACATTTGCTGATGGAGACACGCAAGTCTCATGATGGTGCTGCAAGTATATCGAATATCGTGATCGTCGTCAGCAAGGACGTACTTCCCGTCCGCCCTGGACACCACGGCTGCGGACACACGCGTGTTGTAGCAATAAGCGCACTCTAGGACGTTATGCACGACGTGCAACGACCAAGTCAGTTCCTTAATTCCCAATTAGCCACTCTGCTGTTTCTACCACTGGATGTGTCTGTTGATCTTTCTCAGCTCGAACATCCGCTCGTCCGCACCAAGTACGTCCTGCTTTCCGGCCACTTTGCATCAGTTTGGGATGATATTTCACGCCAGCGAATCGTGACGCACGTACGTCTCTGTAGCGTAGACCCGAACAGAATAGGTTAGCTGACAACATCGGTGAGCGGATCAAGTAACTCACCTACTGGGGTGATGATACCTGTACCATGCCTTCGTCGTCTCGGGATCAAGCTGGTGCATAGAAGTCGGGCTTGAGCAACTTCTTTTTGTTTCGAGCCATTGACCCAGATGTAGAGCACCTGAAGCACAACAAGAAAGAGCTGAAGACCATTGCGAGTCATAGTGATGACGAAGAGGCTGACACAACTGACTGCCGAGCATCTCGGTCGCGAAGACAATCGATGGCAGATATCGTAGGCGTTCGTGATGCTTGCTCTTGAACCTCTAGCAGACACGTCAGTCGTAGAAGTCAAGATCGTTGTACGACACGCCCTATTTACATGGCCAAACAAATCTTTGAGGGCATACAACATTCCTTCATATTTGGTGGATGCCACGTTACTGTCGATGATAGTCTGGCACACTGGGATCATACATACTACTAGCTATCTGCTCTGGTGAGCTACTTACCAGAACCATGCATAGCCTTCTTCCATTGCAGCAAAGCGCGGTATGCGAAGAGTAAAAAGTCTTGCTCAGTAACTCTGGAATCTGCGTTACAATCCATGACTTCCATCAAAAGACTCAACTCATCTTCGGTTGCGTAAGCATCTGCCATATCAAAACATCAGTAAGCACCAATCTACACGACTAAAAACACGCGACAAACACAAACAATCGTACCGGCATCTTGCTCGGCGAGAAGAACGACAAAGCTTTCTTCCACAAGCACACCTTTACCATCAAGGTCCAAGATCGAAAACCATAACTTCAAGGCTTGCCATTGTGACTTTGTAAACACGTTGACGCCACTTCCTTCAATAGTGATGTGACCCTGAAGGGTGTTAGTGAGACGCGCCACCTGCTCGAAGGACGGCATAGGCATCCAATCCGTCATACTTTTTCGTCGACTAGGACCGGTAGTTTCCACGACAGTGTCATTAGCTTCAAAGCCGAGTGCGACCTCGCCCGTGGAAGTCGAGCGACTTGAGGGTGACCTGTATGTCCCCGGGACTCTTTTGCCTGGATGACTAGGAGCGGAAGAGACATCCGGGTCACACTTTTTCACGCTATCTCGGGCAAAATATCGATCGTAGAAGCGCACGAAAGCAGGAGAAAACTTCCACCCGCTCACGATTCGGTTTGTGTCCCAGCTCTTCTTATCCTTATGCTGCTTGTGCTTCTTCTCAAGCTTGCTCTTCAATTTGTTATCCGTCTTCTCATTTTTTAAATACTTCGTCAGATTTATGATACCAGCAGGCTCAACACTTTTTGGTTCCCCGACGATTTCCCAATCCTGCAACAAATCGCCAGAAGTGCCGGTAGCGTTGTGCTCAATCTCCAGATCACTCACGGGAGCATAATAAGGTGGTGACATGGGAAGCTCGACATCTTCCCGGATCGTCGTTTCGAGGGTTGTGGATGGCGCACATAGCGAGGACACGAACGACATTTTTTTTCGTAGCGGTTTGATCGCAGACGAACGCGACGACGACGACATGTTGGCGGCCCGATCAAGTGTGAATCGTAATTGCCGGCACACATTTACCAAATCGTAAAAGTCGATCGGCAAGAACGGCAAATGCTCTTTCAGCAATGCCTTAACTGCTTTGTCTTCGCTTGGACGAGCGTAATTGAACTCGGGATATCGACTACGCTTGTGCTGCTGATACTGCAGCAAACGGTCATTCTGCTTTTCCCATGGAATCTTTAGAGTCGCACCGACGTTGTGATTTGTGTTACAATATTCTGGAGCTGAAAACACAGTCACAACGGCGGGCAACACTAGTTCCCCACCAGTGTCATCTTCTGGATGATCCGCTTCATGGCGAAAATGCTCTTTGTAGCCATCCTCTTCGAGCTCGTGTGCCCGGATGATAGCAAGGAGATTGTTTCGTTTCAGAAACTCGTGGCATGCGTGCTCGTTAAATGTAAAGGAACAGCCGCGTATGCTATTAGGCGCCCACTCATACTCTTGTGCTTCGCCCCTTGCTGGATCTGACCAGAGCAAATCACACAAAACTCCCTTCGGCTCTGGCTCCATAAAGCGGTTCACTCGGGCGTTGATATCCTCGACAAACGTAATGTCCGGTGACAATCCGCCATGCACAGCAAGGAACGTGCCGTGAACGGTCTCTAGTCGCGCTGCTAGTGGCATGCTCTCAAAGCATTTGATCATGCGGTTATACACCGCAGGGCCGTACTTTTGAAGGCATTCTGCGCGGAAACCGTAAAACGTACTCAAACTTCGACATTCGTGATTGCCCCGCAGCAAATGAACACTTTCTGGGACATCAACCTTGAATGCCAATAACAATAGAATAATCTCGCACGAAGAAACACCGCGATCCACATAATCACCAAGAAACAAAAACGGATTGTCGACCGCAGGAAAGCCGTGGACACGAAAAAGCTCCAACATATCTTGAAACTGACCATGGAGATCGCCCACGAGCGTGTACGGCGCACGGATCGATATGACATTCTGCTCGAGCGACATGAGACTCGTCGCCCGTCGTATAATCTCCAGTGCGCTGGACACCGGAATGGTCCCTCCAACGCGAAACCGAGCCAAAATCTCTTGTGGATCCAGCACTTGCTCAACGTGCTCTGCGTCATCACTACAATCCTCGCTCGTCTCGCTGTCCACGTTGTCTTCCCTTACTGCAGCAGCAGTTACAATTGGCACATTGGCAAAGTGTTGCACTGTCTCTTGACCAATATCACGGTCTGCTTGTTGACGCAAATAGCGATTAAACAGCGTCGTATCGGTCGAGACACGACGATAATGTGGGCCTTGTACGGTGGTCAAGCGCATCGGTCCAGCCTCAGATTGAGCGTCTAGTTCCGTGCAGCTACTTGAGTGCATGAGGTTCGGCGCCATCTCGTCCTTGTGCGCCTTCAGTTTTGCTGCAGCAGCTTGAGTAGCCATGAAACTCTTAAGTAGCGACGGCCGTGCGATAACCCGGTCATCCTCGGGTTGGTCTTGTGCCGTGTCACAGCTGTTCGAGAAATCCGAGTCCTGCTGGCAACGCTGCAACGGCGAGAAGCAGTGATGCGTCTGCGGTACATTCAATGGCGCCTTGATGGGTTCGGGCGTCGCTCGGGGCTCTGACTGTGGTGCAGACAGAGCCGGTGGCGATGACTTGGATGCGCTTGCATTAGCGGGCACCGCAGCCAAGAAAGCGTTCAGTTTGCTAGCCATGCAGCGTCGAGTGGTCGGTCCAAAGCCAGTAACAGGGAGACAAAAGAGTGCACGAGACAGTGTCGTGGAGCTTCGACGAGATGAGGAGGTGCCAATTAATTTACAGCCGTGGACCTGGAGCTGTTGGGGGGATGATGACGATGATGGCGGCGACAACGACGTGAGGCGGTATGATGATAATCGAGATGGCACGAGCTCCTCTTCTCTCTCTTCACTTCTGCACCTCTGTGTATGTGTCACTATGTGTGTACCTCTCTCTCTCTCTCTCTGTTTATCTGCCTCTTTCTTCTTCTTCTTCCTTCTTGTTGATGGATGGATGTCTACGTGCTCAACCGCGTGTTTATATGTAAGTATGTATGTGCATCAGTTTTAGAGCACACCAGAGAGGAAGTACAGTGAGAGACTACTACTGTGTTTCGAGGGAAGGGGTAAGGGAGTGGTGCACTTGAGTCTGGTTAAAATAGGACGAGCGAGGACAGAAACCGCAGGTTCACACAGCGGCTATGTAACCAACGAACTTCACCCTCACTCCACTCTCGAGACAACATTCTGCGGGACCAGTAACTCGCAGCATTGAGGTTTCATGTCGTTCATGTTTTGGTTCTTCCTATCCTAGGACGTTACAGGTCACTTCCGAGCAAGGAGGCCACTCGGTTCTGGCTGTACAGGAACGAGGAATGCATTTGGAGGGCGAAGAGGTCTCTACATTGCAGCAGCGGCGATTTCGAAGCACGTTCTTGCGAGTTGAAGCACATGGTCTTGCACGTTAACACAGCAGCGCTGCAGTAGAAACACGCTGCTGTAAATCCGGATCAAGTCAGACGGGTGAGCCGGTTCGCTTTCGTGCCCCGAACCATTCGTTATCGACCTTGCGTAAACAGCGTTACAGAAGCTTTGCAACTGTAGAGGCGTTACAGGTCGTTCAAAGCGAGGGTTGTCATGTCATGTCATTCGTTCGTTGTTGAGAAAGAGCCCGTTATTGATACTAAACGCATCCACGTAACCAATTCGAAAACAATACACCGCAGGGGGATTTCTGCATCTATCTATTGTGACGACATTTGACGGACGACGAGGGCTACGAAAGGCGTGCAGCTAGCTGCCCTGGCTGATGTGTCAATCGATGCCACGCACTTAAGCTCGCCTGGCCGAACTCTTAACCCACGTACTCGATTTGCCAATATCGTCATCATCATCGCCGTCGTCATCGTCGTTGTTGTTGTTGTCGTCATGGCATCACCCATATTCTCAGACAAACATGCTTCTGACACTCACTATATCCTGAACGAGTTCATGCAGGAGTATGTCAAACTCGGGCAAGTACATCGTCAAGAACAGCGTCGTCGAGATTGTGGTCGCTCCCGAGACGTAGTGCCAGCGGTTGTGCCACTTATCGTAGCGCTTCCCGCCGGGCATGCCACAGTAAAGCCACGTAAAGGCACAGAGCGAGGCCAGCACCACCTTCGCCGCCAGAATGCCGTACCACGCGTTCGAGAGCGTGTGTTGGCCGGCAAAGATAAAGATGAGACCCAGTGTACCGCTGATGAGCGCGTCGAGCAACAAATACTTGGTCTCTTTCGAGCGGTGGAACATGGTCGACGCAACGGCCGCACTCATCTGCAGGATGCCGCAGACCATCTGATCGCAGCTGAACGAAAAGACCGCCGCTAGTGCGTACACCAGATTCGAGTAGATGAGACTGTCGCACCACGCACGCGTCGCGCGTACTTTGCGTCTCGACCGGGACAGCTTGACAGCCGTGAGCTTACGGACTTCTTCCCTCGGGGTGCACGTTGACGTCCATTGCCGCAGGAATGACTGGAAGCTGAAAGAGCAGAGACACATTGAGGCAGCGCGAGACGGCTGGAGGGCTTCAGGCTGTCGGAGGAAGACCGCGAATGGTGAGCGTCTCGCAATGCACGCACTTGGCGCCCCGTATTATGTTCAGCCACTAAAGGGTAGGCAGCACACCTGTTTTGACCAATTCGGGGGCGATTTGGTGGTACTAGTCGACGCGTGATGTGCTCTAAACGGGGGAGACGCCAATGTACAGGCCGACGGACCTTATGTGCTGCACAAAATATGCCCAGTAGGCGCTCTTATCTGGACTGGCGGAGCATGGTACGAGGGATGATATTCAGCCGCTGATATATAGAGCATCCTTTCGAACTATCGTTTCAAACCTCGTGTGCCCACGAACCCCTTGGTAATCATAGTACAGAAATCGCTTTCTTCGGTGGAAGGTCCTGTGTTGGCATACCGATTGAAGAGCTCGATTTGTCAATGCTTTATCCGACGCTACGTAGTGGCAGATGGCCCGGCGGTGGCCCCGGTGCGATCCGCACTAGAATGGTCGAACGGGGTTGTCCATCGGCGTATGTTGCAGAGCTAATTTGCTATAACAAGTGCTCTAATTTAACGCAGATCAGTTCCGCCTCGCGATGGTGGGCTACACCCTGTCGCGGGATCGCTTGGTTGTGCACGGCAATGGATAGGCCGTAGACGTCGTCGGACAAACACCAATAATGACGGTCTATTCCGATCAACTTGGCCGATACTTGGCTCTTGTTCCACTTGGCCACACGTGTAAAACGCGAGAAGTGTTCGGTTTAACGAATGGCATAGGGCAGATACGATAGTCTTATGGTGTGGCGCCAACGGTACCCAGTACTTCAGGCGTTTTGGACGAAAGCACTCTAACAACGTGAACGTTAAGGTGGTTTCCTTGTCACGCTTACAAGTACTAGGTGCATAGTCAGAAGGTGATTGATTACCCGGGCAGCCACGCTCGTAGTCGAAGCACGTGGACTATGTCAAAGAAGCTGCACGAACTTTAGCTTGCACACACACAGCAATACCTGCCTTAGCCACTGCAGCAGAACACTGCCGTCCCATCTACACAGTCGTAGCGTAACTCCAGAAGTGGCACCATCCAGTGGAACTACAAGGGTACAGCCGACGCAGCGAGCATCGACGATCCGAAGGGACGTTTCAGCGACGGTTCCGACGCGTCATCACACCACCGACTACTGCCGTTTCGCCACCGACTGGGCTCGAAAAAAAGGTCCAACAGGGACCAATTCGCGACACACCACATCCACACAATTGTGGCCATTTTCCAATGGCCCCGCCGACATCCACTGACGCTGCTGTGCTGAAGGGGTTCTCCGCCTTGACACTGGACGCGCCTGTCCCTTTCACTCCTGAAGCTGCTGCTCTATCTACTGATGAGAAACTCGCCAAGCTTGCGGCTATCACTGGTGCTCCGCTTTCTGCGGAGGTTGACGCTCAGCTGCGCGATCTCTTTGCGAAGAAGGTGCATCCTGTTGCCTACGATGGCTTTGAACCCTCAGGCCGCGTGACGCTCGCTGCTGGACTTCTGCGTGTGCTCAACGCGCAGCGACTGATGGATGCCGGATGTCACGTGCGTCTTTTGGTAGCGGATACACACGCGCTCCTGAACAACAAGTTTGGCGGCGATCTCAAGAAGCTCCAGAGCGTCAGTGTTTACATGGTCGAAGTGTGGAAAGCGCTCGGTCTTGACGCTGACAAGTTGCCGCATCTAGAGATCATGTTGGCTTCGACGGAGACGGCACGTCATGCTGGTGTCTACTGGTCCCAGGTGCTGGAGGCTGCTGGTCGCTTTACTGTTGAGCGTGTGCAGCAGTGTGCACCCATCATGGGCCGCAACGACGATGACACCGTGCACAATACGAATCGCATTTTGTACCCACTCATGCAGCTCGCTGACGGCTTCTTGCTGCAGGCTGATATCTATCAGCTAGGAGCTGACCAGGAGCGTGGCAATGAACTGGTGCGTGAGTATGCTGCGCAAAAAGATCCGTCGGATGCGCCAGTGTTCCTGACGCACCCACTGCTGCTGGGATTAAAGCAAGGTCAGTTTAAGATGCCCACAACCGACGTCGAGTCGGCCATCTACGTAGATGACACGGCTGCAGAGGTTAAAGCCAAGATTAAGAAAGCATTTTGTGTGCCCGGCGAGGTGGAAGGAAATCCGATTTTAAACTACATGAAACATTTGGTGTTTCCCTTTCACGCGGAGGGGGTTACGCTGGAACGCAGTGAGAAGAACGGCGGCAATCTCACTTTTACTACGTACGAAGAGCTGGAAGTGGCTTTCGCGAGCGAAAAGGTGCATCCAGCGGACCTGAAGCCATGCTTGACCACGTACATTAATGGAATGCTTGAGCCGGTTCGCCAGCACTTTGCTAGCGGTCCACTCAAGACAATGCTGTCGAGCATAAAGAAACTTAAGGTATCTCCGACGCCTGACAGCGACAAGCTGGTCAGTCTGTCGTTGCCCGGATTTCTGGAGACTGCCGGGGAGTGGAAGCCGTCATTGCTGTCCTCTGTGGAGCGCTTTGCCATAGCGCGCTCTGTAGGTGAGGAATGCATTCAGGAGGACGAGCTGCAAGCGCTGATGGAGAAGAAGGATCACCCTGTGTGCTACGATGGTTTTGAGCCATCAGGGCGCATGCACATTGCCCAGGGTGTTTTACGCACGGTGAACGTGAACAAGCTTACGTCAGCTGGTTGTGTGTTTCGATTCTGGGTGGCGGATTGGTTTGCTATGCTGAACAACAAGATGGGTGGTGACTTGGACAAGATCCGCCTCGTGGGTCAGTACATGGTCGAGATCTGGAAATCGGTAGGCATGGACATGGCCAACGTGGAGTTTTTGTGGGCGTCGAAAGAGATTATTTCACACAGCGCTTCGTACTGGCTGCGTGTGATGGACATTGCTCGCCGCACCACCATTGCTCGCACGCTCAAGTGCTGTACGATCATGGGTCGCAAAGAGAAGGAAGGCATGCAGGCTGCGCAGATTCTCTACCCACTGATGCAGTGTGCTGACATTTTCAACCTGAAAGCTGACATTTGCCAGCTAGGAATTGATCAGCGCAAGATCAATATGCTTGCGCGCGACTACTGTGACCAGGCGAAGATTCGCTTTAAACCTGTCATTCTGAGCCACCACATGCTCATGGGCCTCAAGGAGGGTCAAGAGAAGATGTCGAAGAGCGATCCGGAGTCAGCTATTTTTATGGAAGATTCTCTGGATGACGTGAGTCGTAAGATCGAGAATGCCTTTTGCCCAGACGGAATCGTGGAGGCGAATCCGATCCTGGATTATATGAGGCACATCATCTGCCCGCGCTTCGGTACCCATGGCGTGAGGGTGAATCTTGCGGACGAGACGGAGAAAACATTCGCAAGTTACCAAGAGCTTGAAGACGACTTTGTTGCGCGCCGAATCAGTGGCGCCGACCTCAAAGCGGCACTGGCCAAGTATCTGAACGAGTACGTTCTTGGTCGCTGCTATCTTGCTCGCCTTCTTTTCCTTGCCAAGGTTCTGACTGTTTTGAATGTGCTTTGAATACTAGAATTCTGGAGCCTGTTCGTGAGCACTTTTCCAAGGGTGACGCTCAAGAACTGCTGGCTAAGGTGCGCACGTTTCGCATCACAAGATAAACGCAGGTAGACGTGAGACATTTGGATCGAAAGTCAGCGCCGTAATACTTGCCTGTATGGACGGGACCCATTCATTTCATTTTCAAGGGGTGGATGAGAGACGTACTGTCGGCTAGCAAAGAGGAGAATGAAGAGCGTGTATTTCTCGGGTTATATACAGCCTGAGTTGAATACAATGCGGTCTTCATCATAGCGGCTGCCGTGAGAGAATTCACTTTTTTACCGTCAGTACCTTCTCTTCGCTCCAGGCTCCTGTAGATCACAACACAGACACTACCATCAGAACATGCCTTGCCAAGCGTTCAACGACGGCGTCAGATCCATCCCGCTTGCGTCGATCGCCCCAGCATCACGAAACACGCGCCTAAGCTTTTTGCTTCCGAGTTTCTGCTTCCAGTTCCGCGATGAGCTCTTCCAGGTTGGGCACTTCTTTTTTGGCGAAGGCAAGAAATTCTTTGATCTTGCCTGTCTCCATCTCTCCAAACAAAATTTGCCAGGCATCTTCAACGGAAATGGCAAGATGTCGCCTGAATTTTTCCTCTCTCAACAGATGGATGTAATCCAGCCACTGAACTGCACATTTTCGCAGCTTTATCGATCCAGTCTGTTTGAGCCCTAACTTCTCCGCGACTTCATCGGGTTTCAATCCCCCCCTTCTCCACACTTTTGGTATCGCGCGCAAAATGTGTGTGAGATCTGGAACTAGTCGTTCGAACATCCAGGCGATCTGATTTTTGATGGCGTCAACAGTGACGGTCTCGGTTTTGAGCAGTTGTGAAAGAGCGACCATTACATGGTAGTGTCCTGCACGCTTCGTTATCACCCCGTAAGCTTCTTCGAGCTTGACTTCATCACCAGGAGCCTGATCCTGGGAGGTCAATTCCAGCCAGCGCTTGATCGTCGAAGAAGTGATGGACTCATCGATGGCGAGATGTTCAGCAACTATCGCGGGGCTCAGCCCGCGACCACCGAAAATCTTGAGGTAAAGGTCGATCACCACGCCAAAAATTCCACCATTTGGAGACCGTTCCTCTTGGTCTTGCATTGCGCGGTTGAACCATTCCACTGCCGGAGCACCCAGCTTCGAAGGTCTGGTGGCAACCGACGTTGTCACATCCACAGCTAAACTATGGGACGGCAAAAGCCCTGACGAGTTGGACGTGACGTTAGCGTGTGAAGTAGACATTGGGTTCAGATTAGCATCTTCCGCTCGGTTCCTGTCGATCAAGGAGTTGGCATTCCCCCAGAAAAAGCTGCTACACGTCAATACCAAAAGGAAGAGGCTGTGCATGGTGGCAAATGGCTGGTAGCCAGTAGATCGCAAAGTGGTGGATGCAGGCGGTGATTTTGACATGGGGGAACTTTAAAGTCCTTTGTTTTTGCTTATTCACACATCCAAAATTTTGACTTCACAGCAGTCGTATTTTTATACCAACAGCGGTTAGGCGACAAGCCAGGCTAATCCTTTAGTCATTCTTTGACATCCATCACCGGGCGAGGCTAATCCGTACTTTGAATCTTGCTACTCTATACTGCAAGTGCGTCAAACATTTTTACCGACATCTAAACAGCATTCAAGTAAATTTTATCCGTAATATGCTAGACATACAAGTTCAATGGTGCATACTTTGTAAAGCTTCCTTTATCTGGATCTTGTGCTAAGCCTAAGCTGGACGCTGTACATCAACTGTAAAGAGTGATAATGATATAAGGGAAGGTGCGTTAAGGCGTTCGACAGCGAGTACGCTGGTTGGAAGGCGCACGTGTAACGGGGCACCCTGAAGCTTGTACTGGTGACAGTACATGCTACTTATTTTGATGACAGAATAAGGCGGTGCCTCGTAACTTCACGTACACTCGTACGTGCAGAGGAAGACGGTAAGAAGAAGCGAGTACTTGGTTAAAGTAAAAAGTAGAACTGTATTTATAATAGTTAATGTCTGCAATAAATCACTATTTATCTTCATCTAACTATGTCTAAATACAAATGTGTAAATCAAATATCTGCTCACCACTCATTGCGTGCGTCTGTCGTGGCGCGTCTTCGTTGGTTGATACAATGGCCTATATCAAACAATTAGGAACTACTCGTAAGTGCTACAGAATATTTGTCCTTATGACAATATCTGAGAATATAACTCTTATAGTTATATTCTATCAACAATTTCTTATAAATTGTTATGTAACGATTCACCCCGTTACATGACCCCCCCCTTAACCATCAGTCACTTTAGTGACTGATTGACTAAATGGATACTCGTCCCAAATCATTTGGGACGGGGTTTGCACTTGTTGGTCCGAGTCCACTTCCCAACATTTCATCGCATGGTTAACAAGCCCATGCGATGCGCGAGCAAGGCCGCCGAGAGCGCGTCCGCACGTCTCTGTGCGGACGCCGAAGCAGAAACCACAGCAACTGATGTCTCAGCGGTTGCTGAAGCGACCCAGCCTGTGTCACTTGGTGATGCAGGCGCTGGTCATGAAGACACTCATGTCTTCACAGAGTATGAGCTCGGTGTCTCATACTCTCCTGGTACGGAAGACGGATCCGTATCGACGGCGATTGAATCCAAGCCGCCTGCCAAGCGTGGCATGGACGATGCTTTGCGTCGCAGCATCTTTGGTTCATCTGATGAATCAGATGAACCATCGCCGAAGCGAAGGCGCTCGAGGTCGCGAGACTCGGGCGCTAACAGTGGTGTCGGTTCACCTATGGACACCACTTCGCAACGAGGTGCCAGTACTTCTGTCGGCACATCGCAGGAAGAGCGGGACCGCAATGTCTTGCGTCTCGCTCCTGAGAAGAAGGCATGGATGCCTCCCAAATCCGTCATGGATCACTTGTCGGCGACGACGAGTGATAGTTATCGAACACGATTGTTCGATTCGTCAAGGATCCATCACCTTGACCCCAGCGCGAAAAACTATCGCGCTGAGAATGAATTCTTCATCGATGTTTTCTTTAGACATCGATGGTACAGTGGGAATCACAAGCGTGATGGTCCCTCACTGCTTCAGGTGTGGAACGCCTACATCCATAACCTTGAGGATGTAGGTCGTGACGCTTGGAACGACAAACTTATCAAAGCTCGTGATAAGTTTGAAAAGCGAACCCCGACAGGTGCACGCTACAAGCTGCATCGTCTTTCAAGGGAGAAAGGATTACCCTGCCTCTCATGGGGAGACTCGTGCCCATGTTGTGTGAACAACTCTGCACGAGCACCTAAGGAGGCTTACCTCCTTACCAGCCCGTGGTGGCGCGTACGTATCTCTACTGAGATGTACGAAGGGATTGACAACCTGAAATTCCTTTACGACCGTGACGGGAAGACTTTCTCCGGCGGTCCTTCTGCGGCACAGGATGTGCCGCGTCGTACTGCTCAACCGGACCCATTACGTCGATCATCAGTTGGGAGCGGGGCTCCCTAGTATCCCAGGACGGGGGATAGCCGCGCCACCGGACGAGATAACTCGTCCGACGTCCGTTCACGTCGCGGTGGTTCAACAGCTGCTCAACTAGATAGCGCTGGCCACCGCGAGAGTCCTCTAATGAAGGTGGAGGAGGAGGAAAGACGCTCTCCACACGATCATGGGGATCCGTGTGTTCCCGAAAGCTTCTTTGATCGCGTAACTCTTGCGTTGCGCAACGACTTCGAGCATGAGCGGGACAGGCGTCTCCAAATGGCGGACACTGTCTCGAAGCATCGAGCTGAGTTTGCCTTTGCTCAACTTGAGAACGAGAGATCTCTGACATCTCTTCGTGACGAGATAAGGGTAGCTCGTGGGATTGTTGATCGGTCTCGGGATGAGATAGCTGCTCTTCAGACCCTTGTCGATATCCACCATCGGGAGCACAAGGCTCTCTGCGATATGCTTGAGCGCAAGGGCGTTCTTCATCGGAAGAAGCAGCGTATGATGGTACGGCTTAAGCCGACCAACGTAAAACGTGGGATGCGTTCGCATCTTACGTGGTAACTCGATCGTGTATGCATTGCCTAGGCGGTGCAATACACGAAATGGGCCGATGTACTTGGGTGGTAGTTTACTGCTACCCAAGTTAGTCACTACATGTCTTGGTAGATTAACCGTAGACAGTAGGACCAAGTCACCTTGATCAAATAAAAGAGTGTTTTCCCTTCCATTCTTTTCAGCGTTTTGATTTTTGCTTATCCACCGCTTCGGCGATGGAGTCTTGCACAAAACGGACTACCGTTTCACGAGCCAGTATGAACTCATCTGCTGGCTCGATAGCTTCAGTGCGCTGTGAGCGCACTGCAGCAACATCAACCTTTTCTTCAGTGAGGGCTTCCGCACTCTCACTGGCATCATCTTCTTCGATATCGATGTTATCGATATCGGCATCAAACGCAATGACCTCTTTGTCAGAGTGTGATGAGCGTGCCCAAATCGGTTTTTGCTCGCGCGAGTCCCTCCCCCCCTTAAACCAGAATTACACTCTAGTAAGGTGGGTACACGCGGATGGCGTAAGCCATTAACGTAAACGGTGTATGTGTCGTGGACGCATGCACCGAGTTGTTAATGGCAGACTCTACCATTGGCAAAAACTCACTCCGACTCTTAAAGGAGTGTACATATCCTCGAAGTATCTCTTCAAGGACACGATTGGCACGTTCCGTCTGACCATCTGACTCTGGATGATCAGATGTCAACATCTTCAAGCGCGTTCCGAGTGATTTGAACACGGAACGCCAGAAATCAGCAGTGAATCGTGGATCTCTGTCTGATACGAGTTCACAGGGCAACCCATGAAGTCGGAAGATGGTGTCAATAAAGACACAAGCACAGCCACTTGCCGTGATTGTCTCTGGTACAGCCACGAGGTGTACCATTTTGCTGAATCTGTCAACAAATACGAGAATACCCGTATTCCCGCGTGCGTCTTTGGGTAACCCGAAGACGAAATCCATTGAGATGGATTCCCAGCACTCAGCCGGAACCGGTAGAGGCTGTGAAGGTGCACGCAGTGAAGGACTTGACTTCACTCGTTGACAGACTTCGCATGCGCGAACATGCTTTCGCACAAACTGATACTGGCGGGGCCAGCAAAAGTCTCGACTCACCGTGAGATACGTTTTCTCCCGGCCACGATGTCCTCCTATAGGAGCATCGTGATACTCGAACATGATCCGCAAACGCAGATCAGTATCTTCTGGAATGACAACACGTGGTGTGTCACCAGAAACGGCTGTATAATACAGTAACCCGTTGCGAGTAGTGTATCGATCTGATGCAGATCGATACGCAGACGACAATCGTTTCAACGATTCTCGAGATGGTTGTGAGAGATATGTCAACAACTTCACAATCCCACCATCTTGGGCATACGCCCGCCTCACATCATCATACAACGTTGTAGATGGGACTGAGGACGTCATAACCGCAACAGTGACTGTCTCACTGTTGGGTTTCGCGACTGCTTCAAAGTCGGGACGACGTGAGAATGCATCAGCGACGACATTGAGTCGTTCTGGTTTGTACTCGACCGTAAAGTTGTATTCTGCAAAGAATGACAACCACCGCGCCATTCGTTGTGAAAGGTGCGGGCTGTTTACTGCCGTGCGTAACGACGCATGGTGAGTGTAAACAATGAAGGGTCTATTTCCTAAGAGATAGACTCTGACCTTCGCGAGTGCATACTTCATGGCAAGCAGTTCCTTGTCATGCACTGGATAGTTCCGCTCAGCTGGTTGCAGCTGACGCGACTGATAGCAGACGACGCGTTCAACGCCTTCAAGATCGTACTGCATTAATGCACAGCCGATTGCGAAATCGCTGGCATCACAGACCACATGAAATGGCCTGTCCTGATCGGCTATTGCTAGAACTGGGGATTGTATCAAGCTCTGCTTGATACCATCAAAGGAGCGCTGACATTCAGCGTTCCATAACCACCTCTCGTTCTTTTTCAACAAACGAGAGAAGTGCACAGTCATCTCGGCGTAATTTCGTGAATACATATGCAAATACGCCGCTAGCCCAAGGAATTTTCGAAGACCTTTGACATCAACCGGCACAGGCTAGTCGGTGATCGCCTTGATCTTTTCGGGATCAGGACGTACACCGTTCTTACCAACGATGCACCCAAGAAGTGGTATTTCGCTTGCTGCAAATATACACTTCTTGAGGTTTGCATACAATTGATGCTTTCGCATGATTGTAAGAACCTGTCGGACGTGGTACGTGTGGACCTCAACGTCCGACTTTCCATCCATAGCTCGACTATGGATGAATACGTCATCGAAATAACTCGGCGCGAATTCTCGTACTGGTCTCAACAGATGTGATACACATCTGTTGAACGTGGCAGGGGCATTACTAAGCCCTTGTGGTATTACTAGCCATTCCCAGAGCATGCCGCTAGGCGTGCTAACTGCGGTATGAGTATATCCCGTTCTCGCATAAGGATTTGATAGAAGCCATCCATCAAATCCATGGACGAAAAGATGGTACTCTTTGACATACCATCAATGATTACGTCCTTCCTCGGTATCGGCGTCTGAGCCGGTACCGTTGCAGCATTCAACTTGTTAAATGAATGCACTATCCGCCACCCTCCTGTTGATTTTCGCACACAGAAGGTCGGAGAGCTATGTGGGGAAGTTGATTCCCTCACATGGCCCGCAGCTAAACGATCGGCAAAGAACTTGTCGATCGCAAGTACTTGTTCACGAGGCAGTGGCCACTGCTTCATGACACAGTACTTCGAGCCTGGTTTAGGCTCGACCTCGTGTTGAATACCTTTATCCTTCGGTAATTCGCATGGCACGGATTCAGGGAATACATCCTTGAATTCAACCAAATCTTCATAGAGAGGATTTGTCTTGAGCGATTCCCACGATTGGGAGTCATATCGCTCAATTCGTGTCTTTTCATCTAGGACATTCTCGTCCATAGATGAACTACTGAGAACTATCTCGTTCTCAGTAAACACTGTTGCTGACCTTATGTCGGTTACACACTCGTCGTCAGCGACGAGTACGCAGATCTGCTTGACTTTGCCACTACGCAGATCACGCAAGAACCTTTTATGTTCGAGCGTTGGCAACTGAGTGATCTCTGAAGTCAACTTCGGAGGCGCAATCAGATGAAGTGTCTAAGCGCCTACACTTGATCCGTTATTGACTATGACATTTAATGTCTCTGTCATTTCCGGGGACTTATTCCCTCAGGCCTCGAAGGACTTATTCCTTCGGCTTCCCGGGGACTTATTCCCGCGGGTTTCAGGGAACTTATTTCCGCCGTATTTGTAATATCGGGACTTATTCCCTTCACTTCCTCTAGCTGCGGTTGCGCAACCACAGCGAGATCCTCTACGAAAGACTCTCCAGTCGATCTAGGATTGTCGTTTCGCTTAACCTGAGCGATCGATCGTTTCTCTTCTAGATGTTCCCCGCTAGCGATACATCTTTGTCCCCGTCCACCCGACTTATTCGAGTGGTGGACCTTCGGCGCAGCCTGTGTTTCCTCACAGCCGCCGGAACTTTGCTCCGAAGTGTAACCGTTTGGTACACTAAGGTTTTGTGAAGTCGTACTAACAACCGTACCACAAGTGAGGCCATCGCACTCACTCGTAGTACATCCACACGTTTGTGGATGCTACAAGACGTTCATAGATGGCCATCTGATGAACAAGCGGCAGGCATCGTTACTGTTCGATGTTGCCAGTTTACCCGTGGTTCGTACCTTCTGAGCCACGGTATTCCAAGGATGACATCAAATTTGTCATCCAAATCCAATACGATAAAGTCATCGTCATATTGGGTATCTTCTAGCGTATAGTGAATCTTCACTATACGCTTCATGACGGTTACGGATGCGCCTGTCGCAAGACGTACCGTCATCCTCGTATGAAGTGTGTCACATTCACTGAACTTAAAGTGACCATCTTCTAGCGATTGGCGTTGCACAAAATTGTTGGACGCCCCACAATCGACTAGAGCTCGAAGGGACAACTTATTCGTCACTTCGAGTTTCAAGGTAATGAGTGAGATCTCATTACCTAGAGCAGCAACGCACAACGTTTGTGTGTTGGGAGCAACCTTCATCAAGAGGCCTACAAATTCTCTTGACGTTGCTGGACCAGTAGGGTGCTCCGCACCTACTGATCCTGTCCGTTTTTTGACGGTCCATCCCGTTGTTGCGTCTTTGCACCAACAGCGGACCCGCGTCCCTGGCCCTTTCTCATGGGTGGACGGTCACTACGCCCAGTGTTGCGAGACACTGGACGAGGGGCACTACACTCGTAAGCGTAGTGTCCTGTCTTTTGACATCTGTTGCATCTCTGCAACTTCTTGTAGTCTGTAGAGCGAGCCTTCTCGCTCTCTACATAACAGAGTTCCATCGGCTCTGGACCTCCGTTGTCATATCGTCTCGGTTGACGATATGATGTCGAGCTGGTGCGAGCCTGTCTCAGACTGAAGTCTTCCTGTTCCGCAATGGAAATGGCTTGTTCTAGTGAATCTAGTTCAAGCCGGAACAGGTGAGTCTTGACGGGACCATCCGCAAGACTCTGCATGAACACCGAAACCAACGTGTGTTCATCCACCGGGTTGGAACTTATACAACTCGTAAGATGTCGCATATGTTGCGCGTAAGCGTGCACATCACGCTTACCCTGTTTGAGCTTCAAGAGTTCGGTTCGAGCTCTGAACTCAGCTCTAGGCGGTTCAAACATTTGTCTGAGCCGAGACTTGAAGACTTCCAACGACCCAAACGCATATGGGTCGTGCAACTTGAGCCCCAGTGCCCAAGTCTTGGCACGTCCTGCCAGATTTGACTGGGCAAATGCAACTTGCATATCCCCATCGTCGATGCGACGCGCCCTTATGGCGTCATCCAATTCGACGAACCACCTCAAGAGGGAGTCCTCTTCGACTCCCCTATACTTGGAGATGTCAATCTTCAAGGTTTCGGGTCGACGCGAGTGCATCGACCCACCAGCAGCAGCCTGCTGCTGTCTCAACAGTTCAAACTGTTGAGCACCCTGTTCTCTCAACAACTCTGCTTGTTGAGAACCTTGTTGGTGAAGCAAGGCTACTTTCTCGCGTTCAGCGCCAAGTTCATTTTGAATGAACTTGGCGATAGTAGCATGTTGGGCATCTCTATTGAGAGCCTCTAGCATGACGCTAACAGCATGGATGCCCATGGTTGAACCCATTCGTTCAACCGCATCCCATTCGACATCGCTCAAATGGGAGTAGCCGTCACGCGTAGCGTGAAAGCTATGGTCATCTTCATCATCCAACATATTCATGTTGGATGTGAACGTGGTCCTTGGACGGACTACGAAGTGCTACCAGGTGTAACGGGGCACCCTGAAGCTTGTACTGGTGACAGTACAAGCTACTTATTCTGATGACAGAATAAGGCGGTGCCTCGTAACTTCACGTACACTCGTACGTGCAGAGGAAGACGATAAGAAGAAGCGAGTACTTGGTTAAAGTAAAAAGTAGAACTGTATTTATAATAGTTAATGTCTGCAATAAATCCCTATTTATCTTCATCTAACTATGTCTAAATACAAATGTGTAAATCAAATATCTGCTCACCACTCATTGCGTGCGTCTGTCGTGGCGCGTCTTCGTTGGTTGATACAATGGCATATATCAACCAATTAGGAACTACTCGTAAGTGCTACAGAATATTTGTCCTTATGAAAATATTCTGAGAATATAACTCTTATAGTTATATTCTATCAACAATTTCTTATAAATTGTTATGTAACGATTCACCCCGTTACAGCACGCAACTAGTTCAGCTACTGCAAGGAGTGTAACGGGGTAGCCCGTTACATGGTATTGACACCAAACGGTGTCAATAGGGAGATTGTCTAGCATGACAATATCCTACAAATTGTATCCGAGATGGATAATTTCGAAGGAATATTATCCCCTTTTGGATAATATTCATGCGCTGCTCAATGATTGGTTGCTATAAGACATATCAACCAAGATTATCACCAATCGCTGCTAGACGCGCGCAATGAGTGGTGAGCAGGTTGTCGTCATGCGACGGCGTAGCTTAATATAGTTGGATAAAGACCGAAGTTATATCGATAGCTTAACTACATGAAATACAGTTCTCTTTTTGCCTCAACTCAAACTAGCAGTTTGAGTAGATTAGCTTCCTCTGCACGTACTAGTGTACATGATGTTTCGTGGCACTCCGATTAAATGGCCCCCCGTTACACCTGGTAGCACTTTGTAGTCCGTCCAACGACTACTTAGTGTCCGTCCAACATGAACATGTTGGACGTAGAAGACGATAGCTTTCACGTCACACGTGAAGGCTACTCCCATCTTAGTGACTCAAAATGGGAGACAGTCGGCCACATGAGTGTGCTTATCGGCGAACCCGCCATCAGTGGTATGTTGGAGTCTCTAAGCAGAGACCATCAACATGCTGCTATCAACATGTTCCTACGAGGGGAACTTGCTTTCGAAAGACAGAAGATAGCCTTGTTTCGCCACCAAGGCTCTCATCAGACGATGGGCGGGCCGACGCACATGCGTCAACCCGAAACCTTGAAGATTGATATCTCAAGGTACAAGGTAACCGATGAAGATTCCCTTTTTAGATGGTTCGTCGAGTTAGACGATGCCATCAGGGCCCGTCACATCGAGGGTGACGAGATGCAAGTCACCTTCGCCCTGTCGAACTTGACAGGACGAGCAAAGACTTGGGCCTTAGGGCTCAAGCTTCATGACTCAAATGTGTTTGAGTCGTTGAAGATCTTGAAGTCTCGGCTCAAAGACACGTTTGAGCCGCCGTGAGCCGAGTTCAGAGCACGCTCTGCAATCTTAAAATAAAGCAAGGCAAGCGCGACGCGCACGCTTACGCACAGCACCTGTGCTACCTTGCAAGTAGCGTTACGGAAATCCCTGTTAATGAGCGCACGCTCATCAACGTGTTCATCCACGGCCTTGTAGATGGGCCGATGAAGACCTACATGTTCCGAGAGGACTTCCATACGCTGGAAAAGACGATAGCGTACGCGAAAAAAGAAGACTTCAGCCTGAGACAGTCTCAGGATACTCGTCAAACTATTATCCGACGAGACGACAGGAAACCGGAGGTCCCGAACCAATGGACCTCTGTTATATCGAGAGCGAGAACTCTCGCTCTCTGTGTCACAAGCGAACGGAAAGGCGCCATCGCTGTCAGAAGATCGGACACTACGCTCATGAGTGTAGTGTCCCAAGCACCGCAACACGTCCAAAGACAGGATGTGATGACCACCGTTGACCAACGAAAGGTCGGTCCAAGGCGCGGGTCCGACCATATCGCTAAGTCGCGACATCAAGTCGGACCACAAAAAAAGGTCAGGGTCAGTAGGGCGAAGCACCCTGCTGATTTAGCAACGTCAAGAAAATTTGCAGGACTCTAGACGAAGATTTCTCCCAACACACAGTCGCTGTGTGTTACTGCCCCTGGCGATGAGGTGTCCCTACAACTCAGTGATGAGGTGTCCATCATCACTGTGAAGATCAAAGTGACAAGTGTAATGTCACTTCGTTCACTAGTTGACTGGGGCGTCGAACAGTTCCATTTGACGCCAGTTGCTAGAAGATAGTAGACTCAACTATGTTGAGCGAGAGTTCCTTTCAACGAGGGTGACGGTGTGCCTTGCACCAGGCGCATGCGTAACAGTGAATAAACGTGTAGTGGGAATCCACTACACGCTAGAAGAAATGCAGTACGATGATGACTTTTTCGTACTGGATTTGAGTGACAAATTCGATGTCATCCTCGGTCTACCATGGCTTAGAAAATACCAGCCATGGGTTAGCTGGCAGCATCGATCCGTGAAGATGCCTGCCGTTTGCTCACCAGATGGCCATCTATGAACGTCTTGTAGCATCCACAAACGTGTGGATGTACTACGAGTGAGTGCGATGACCTTACTTGTGGTACGGTCGTTGGTATGAATGGACAAGATCACAGTGTAGAAGACCACTACACTGTGGAACCAGCTTCCGGCACCTGTGTAGAGACACAGGCTACTCCGGAGGTTCACCACTCGAATAGATCGAGTGGACTGTAACACGGATGCACACCAAGAAGAGTGCACCCGAGAAGAAAGATTAGTGTTGTTCAGGATAAAAAACACGTTGGAGCGAGATCGACTATCAGAGAGTCGATCGTAGAGCGAGCCCGATCGACTGGAAGAGAGTAGATAGAAGAGGAAGTGGCCGTGGTAGTGCACCCACAGTCAGTACACGTATTTGAAGAAAGTTCCAGCGTTCCTGATAGTGATAACTCCCAAGAGAGTAATGTTGAGGGTGTGTTTCCATAACCACCTGCGGATGTGTTTTCCCAGGAAATCTCCGAGATGGTGAACGTCTTGGTGAATGACGGATCAAGTGTAGGTGCTTATACACTTGATCTGGTTACACCTCCGAAGTCAGCTTCGAAGGTAATCAAGTTGCCAATGCTAGAATCTAAAAGATTCTTGCGAGATCTGCGTAGTGGCAAGATCAAGCAGATCTGCGTACTCGTCACCGAGGACGAGTACGTCGCCGATATTCGGTCAGCGCAAGTGTTTGCTGAGAACGAAGAGGTTATCAGTAGCTCATCGATGGACGAGAGTGTCCTCGATGAGAGGACTCAGATTGAGCGATACAAGCCTCAATATTGGGAGTCTTTGAAGACAAATCCTTTGTATAAGGATTTGGTTGGATTCAGGGATGTTTTCCCTGAATCCGTGCCATGCGAGCTGTCTAAGGACAAAGGCACTCGGCATGAGATCGAACTGAAACCCAATTCGAAGTACTGTGTCATGAAGCAGTGGCTGCTGCCTCGTGAACAGGTCACAGCAATCGACAAGTTCTTTGCCGATCGTTTAGCTGCGGGCCATGTGAGGGAATCAACTTCCCCACATAGCTCTCCGACCTTCTGTGTGCGAAAAGTAACAGGAGGGTGGCGGATAGTGCACGCGTTCAACAAATCGAACGCTGCAACGGTACCGGCTCAGACGCTGATGCCGAGGAAGTACGTCATCATAGATGGTATGGCAAAAGTACCATCGTTTCATACATGGATTTGATGGATGGATTCTATCAGATCCTCATGCGTGAAAAGGAAATACCGTACACAGCAGTGAGCACCCCCAGTAATATGCTCTGGGAGTGGCTAGTAATGCCACAAGGGCTTAGTAATGCCCCTGCAACCTTCAACAGATGTGTTACGAATCTGTTGCGATCGGTGCGCGATTTCGCACCGAGTTACTTTGACGATGTCTTCGTCCATATCCGGGCTATGGATGGGAAGACGGAAGTGGAGATTCATAGAATCCACGTCCAGAAGGTTCTTACACTTATGCGAGAGCATAAGTTGCTCGCGAACATCAAGAAGTTTATCTTCGCAGAGAACGAGATACCACTTCTTGGCTGCATCGTGGGTAAACACGGCGTGCTCCCTAATCTAGAAAAGATCAAGGCGATTAGCGACTGGCCTGTTCCAGTTGACGTCAAGGGACTTCGGAAGTTCCTTGGCTTGGTGGCGTACTTGCTCAAGTACTCGCGCAACTAAGCCGAGATGGCCGTACATCTCTCTCGTCTGCCAAAGCGAAACCAGAGGTGGTCATGGCGTGCTGAGTGTCAGCACTCCTTTGAAGGAATCAAGAAAAGCTTGCTACTATCGCCTGTGTTGACGATTGCAGACCAGGACAGACCACTCCATGTGGTCTGTGACGCCAGCGATTTTGCAATCGTCTGCGCGTTAATGCAGTTCGAATCAGGTGGCGTTGAGCGCTTCGTCAATTATCAATCGCGTCAGCTGCAAGCAGCTGAGTATAACTACCCGGTGCATGAAAAGAAACTATGAAATACGCACGGCTAAGTTTCGGGTATATCTCCTAGAAGATAGTCCCTTCATCGTTTATACCGACCATGCGTCATTACGCACGGCCGTAAACAGTCCATACCTCTTGCAACGAATGGCGAGGTGGCTGTATTTCTTCGTGAAGTAAAACTTCTCCATCGAGTATAAACCAGGAAGACTTAATTTCGTCGCTGATGCTCTTTCGCGTTGGCCCGATTTCGACCCGACTGCTCAATACAACAGAAGGGGTGATCACACTGTTGCGACACTAACAGTGATTGTTCCGTCGTCGAATCTGCTCGACGACGTGCAGAAAGCATACGCAGAAGACATGTCGCTTCTGCAGTTGATGGATTATGTGTCTAGTCTATGCAGTCCAGCTTTGAAAATCTTGACGTTTCAATACTGATCTTCAACCGAACAGTATTCTGTGCGTGATGGACTGCTGTACTATACATTAGTCAACGGCGACACACCTCGTGTTGTCGTTCCCGCTCATAATGATTCGCTATTGCTCATCATGTATGATTGTCACGATGCCCCAACAAGTAGACATCGCGGTAGAGAAAATACTTACCTCATGGTGAGTCGTGACTTCTACTGTCCCCGCCAGTATGAGTTTGTGCGGAAATACATTTGCGCTTGCAAATTTTGCCAACGGGTGAATCCTAGTCCTTCATTCCATGCACCCTAGCAGCCTCTACCGATTCAGGCAGAGTGCTGATAGCCCATATCGATGGACTTCGTCTTTGGCTTTCCCAAACACGCTCACAAGAATACTGGTATTCTTATATTTGTTGATCGCTTCAGCAAGATGGCACATCTTGTTGCTGTACAGGAGTCCGTCACAGCCCATGGCTGTGCTCGTGTCTTCATCTATACTGACTTCACGAGTTATCCCGTGAAATCGTGTCTGATGTGGGGACCCCCGCTTCACAGCGGAGTCCTGGCAATCCGTGTTCCGTTTACTTGGAACACGTTTGACGATGTCGACTTCTGACCATCCAGAAATAGATGGTCAGATGGAACGCGTCAACCGCGTCCTCGAAGAGGTACTTAAGGGTACATCCACTCGTTTACGAGTTGGAGTGAGTTCTTGCCGATGGCGGAATTCGCCATCAACACCTCGGTGCATGCGTCGACAACGCATAACATGTTCTTCGTGAATGGACTACGCCATCTACGTTTACCCGCCTCCTTAGACTGTGAATCTAGTTTAATGAGGGGGTGGACTCGCTAGAACGAAAACCAATCTGGTTCTTGCTCATCGCACGTCGACAATGGTCGACGTCTTAGATACTGATGTCGATCACATCGACACCGACGACGATGATGACGAAGATGCTGGTACATTCAGCATCGCCAATGAATTCTACAGTGAGGATGATGACGCCCTCACTGGTGAAGACAACTTTCTTTCAGTAGTGCACACGAGACGCACTGCTGATAACAATGTTGAAGCAGCAGAGGCATTTTCTGCTGAATCGCGAAGCGATTGTCCGCTTTGTTCAAGACTCTATTGCAGATGCAATAGACAAGCAAAAAATGACCCGCACACAAACATGGAAGAGCATGTGTTCCGACATTATTTTTTTTATTAATGGAGACTTAGTTTTACTGTCTACAGTAAATTTACCGAAACACGCAGTGACAAACGTGGGCAGCAGTAAATTACTGCCCAAGTACATCGGTCCATTTCGTGTGTTGCGTCGCATGGGCAACGCATACACGATTGAACTGCCTCTTAAGATGCGTACGCATCCTACGTTTTGCGTTGGACGTCTCCGCCCGTACTATCAGTACGAGCCCGTATCGAGAGGCGAAGGACACCTCCGCGGTCAAGAGCCGAGACCACCTTCGAGTGGTCCTGTTTCAACGATCCAGTCTGGTCGACTAGCAAAGCGACCTGCTCACGCAGTTGAGCGATGTCCTGAAGAGCTGCATCCAGGTCGTCACGAAGAGAACGAGTAGACGTTTGCTCGTAAGTTTCGCGAACACAAACGCGGCACGGTCGTTCGAGCGATCGTGCGGTAGGGAATTGTAACTATCCTTTACAAGGTCATAATGCTCATAAATCCGAGTCCATTAATGAGACAGGTCATCTGGAAACTGTTCCGTTACACGGTTCAGTTCTTGAACATCAAGTTAAATCGACCCTCGAGCCGGGTCAGGGGTTCTCACCGCCGTTACATCCTTTGGTGGATTCTAGCGGTGGTCAACGCTTTCTGGTGGAGCGTATTTTGAACCAATGCGACGTGAATGGCGTCCGGACGAGTTGCCTCGTCCGCTGGCGTGGCTATCCACCGGACTGGTACAGCTGGGACCCTCGTGCCCAGGTGATTGTTGATGTCCTGATTCTCGTCGAGCAATATGACGAGACCCACCCGCTGCGTTCGAAGAAGGGACGTCGGACAACGACCTCCCCGAACGCGAGTACAGGAATTTCAAGGTGTCAATCCTTTCGGCCATCTCAGCAGAGATGCGCTCCCTCCAGCAGGGACCGTTAGGGAGGTAGGCCTCCCTAGGGGCACGGTTCGAGTTGTCCAGGCAACCTGGACACGAACCACCCCACGAGAGACAGAGTAATCCTGCCTCTATTGACAGTCGGTGCAACTTGTATCGCGCCCTGGCTGGGTTGCGCTTCTCAAACCTGATGCGAGCTGCATCAAGTTTACTGAGCCAGGCCTCACGGCCAATGCACTCGCTGTTATGGATGAAGGCATTCTATCCTTGCACCAAGATCTTACCGTTTCGACCACGGCTGCCATTGTACCACCGATGTTTGAAAAATGCAATTGTGAAGAATTCTTCCCCAGCACGGATAGTTTCTTTGCTGGAATAAGGTGGACAAATCTTCCTACAATCAGACAACGATATTCGATCTCGATCGGTAGTCATGCCGGCCAACCGGTCCATCTCCTTGGATGGTGGCATCCAAAGAGACTCCACTTGAGTAGCGTGGCGCAGGACATTTCGTCCCTGGTCTCTTAATTGGTGCCAACATGAGCACTGACACCAGTGGCAGCTCAATTTCTCGAGTTACTTTGCTCGTGGTGATGCTTAGAGGCATCGCCACCATCACTACGCGTTCTATCGTTGGATGGACTCGAGTGAGGCGAGGATTCGTTGGAACAATCGCTCGATCCGAAGATCTCGAGAACGATACCGCCACGTTCGCCAGTGCCAGTCAACCTGGCTATTGCAGTGTCCGCCTCGGGTGATCCGGAGGCGTGAGGTGACGCCTTCGAGTAGGATACATCATCTGACATCTTTCTGACTCGCCAGAATAGATGAGATCTATCTCAAACTCATCTTGTTTAAGATATGCAGTACCCGTTACCGACGCAGCGAATGTACCTGTCGCACGTGGTGACTCACCCCGTGGACTGTTCACAGCAGCAGGTGACGAATCATCTGCTGCTGAGGTGTGAGAAGTACTCTCTCCGGTTGCACGCATGCGTGTAGCCGCCTTTCTTGCTGCTGCAGTAGCAACTCGCTTGGATTTCAAAACCATGCGTTGGATTGGCAAATGAATGGAATCTAATGAACAAGTGCTTTCTTTCTCAGAGTGATTCAACGTTGGTCACCCTGTCCCAATCAATTCTAATTTAATCAACGGGTGATTGATAGTTAAGGGGGGGGTGATGTAACAGGATTGCCCGTTACATGATTTTGACACCAAACGGTGTCAATAGGGAGATTGTCTAGCATGACAATATCCTACAAATTGTATCCGAGATGGATAATTTTGAAGGAATATTATCCCCTTTTGGATAATATTCATGCGCTGCTCAATGATTGGTTGCTATAAGACATATCAACCAAGATTATCACCAATCGCTGCTAGACGCGCGCAATGAGTGGTGAGCAGGTTGTCGTCATACGACGACGTAGTTAAATATAGTTAGATGAAGACCGAAGTTATATTGATAGCTTAGCTACATGAAATACAGTTCGCTTTTACCTTTACTCAACAAAGCTGTTGAGTAGATTAGCTTCCTCTGCACGTACTAGTGTACGTAGAGTTTCGCGGCGCCCCAAACAAAGGGTGCCCCGTTACAGTACCGGGACACCCTGTCACATAATGGACGACTGAATTACGGGCAAAACTCATTTTTCACGAAAATGCGCATTTTGATCGTTGTAGACACTTAAAAGTGTAGACAAGAAGAAGAATAGCAAGGGTGCAGTATCGAATGGTGTTTCTGATGATTGTTAATTATAATAATAGCCACGCGGTAGACATTTTGTCATGATTCTATACGGCCTCATTTTTTCTTCGCCGTGTGACATCTATGTCGCTGTTCTGCTGAACAGTGAATGTGCACAATTGCCTGTAGTCGCCTTCATCACCACAATCCTTGTCTTTTTCGTCTTCTGCTTTCCGCTTTTTCCATACTGTCCTTTCGTAACAATATACTATCAATCTTGTCCGTCAAATGCCATGTCTTAGCTGCGCGTGACCGCCTTGTCAACCTTGAATACCGGTAAGAATGTTTACTCATAAGGGTGCAGTATTGTGGCATTGAAGCACTTTCCATGAAGAAGATTGTAGAAATAGTATACTATCACTGAACGTAGACGAGTTCTTATCTACATCCTTATAAGCGTAGAATAATTGTGTACGCAAGACCGTCGCCGCCGTCTCATCCTTCCGTGACATCTCCCTGTATTAAGGTAACGACAATCAGTAAGGCCGCTAGGCCACCGGGCGATGCCATGTAGTCAAGAGTAATTCGGCTTGCGAGGGTACAAGGAGAAAATAGGTACACTTGGCAAGTAAACATTAACTAATAACAGCTTATTGCGACATGTGTTGATTTGACGAAAGCAAAAAGGAGTGAATCGAACCAAAAAGGGACTGAATTGATAACTTTTTACAAAACGAGTACTTATTTCGGGTAAAAATAGAGCTGGAACTAATAAAGCTAATCTCCTGTTAATGAATGTTTATCTGATCTTGTATCAACTATGCCTGAATGCAAGCATGTATTCTAATTTGTGTAAAAAGATAATGTGTCGGATACCCCTTGTGCATTACAAGAGCCACTATGCCGCAGCACCGGCGACGAGATGGGTCAACACTTTTCTGCTCGATGGTCCCATAGAACAATTGTCGTCGTGAGTCACATCTTAGAACTTCAAAATGACTGTGCAACTCGGACGAAGCTCAAGATTTTTTTTTGAAAAGACGTCCTTCTACCAGAGTAAACGTGGCAACATCATAACAAGCGTAAACAGCGGTGAAAATTGAGATCAATGGGAATCATAATGAAGAAGTTACAAGACAACCAAATGTTTTAGCTGTCGAATTCGACGATTACAACCCTGCCATGTAACGGAACACCCTGAAGCTTGTACTGGTGACAGTACAAGCTACTTATTCTGATGACAGAATAAGCCGGTGCCTCGTAACTTCACGTACACTCGTACGTGCAGAGGAAGACGGTAAGAAGAAGCGAGTACTTGGTTAAAGTAAAAAGTAGAACTGTATTTATAATAGTTAATGTCTGCAATAAATCCCTATTTATCTTCATCTAACTATGTCTAAATACAAATGTGTAAATCAAATATCTGCTCACCACTCATTGCGTGCGTCTGTCGTGGCGCGTCTTCGTTGGTTGATACAATGGCCTATATCAACCAATTAGGAACTACTCGTAAGTGCTACAGAATATTTGTCCTTATGACAATATCTGAGAATATAACTCTTATAGTTATATTATATCAGCAATATCTTATAAATTGTTATGTGACGATTCACCCCGTTACATGACCCCCCCCTTAACAATCAGTCACTTTAGTGACTGATTGACTAAATGGATACTCGTCCCAAATCATTTGGGACGGGGTTTGCACTTGTTGGTCCGAGTCCACTTCCCAACATTTCATCGCATGGTTAACAAGCCCATGCGATGTGCGAGCAAGGCCGCCGAGAGCGCGTCCGCACGTCTCTGTGCGGACGCCGAAGCAGAAACCACAGCAACTGATGTCTCAGCGGTTGCTGAAGCGACCCAGCCTGTGTCACTTGGTGATGCAGGCGCTGGTCATGAAGACACTCATGTCTTCACAGAGTATGAGCTCGGTGTCTCATACTCTCCTGGTACGGAAGACGGATCCGTATCGACGGCGATTGAATCCAAGCCGCCTGCCAAGCGTGGCATGGACGATGCTTTGCGTCGCAGCATCTTTGGTTCATCTGATGAATCAGATGAATCATCGCCGAAGCGAAGGCGCTCGAGGTCGCGAGACTCGGGCGCTAACAGTGGTGTCGGTTCACCTATGGACACCACTTCGCAACGAGGTGCCAGTACTTCTGTCGGCACATCGCAGGAAGAGCGGGACCGCAATGTCTTGCGTCTCGCTCCTGAGAAGAAGGCATGGATGCCTCCCAAATCCGTCATGGATCACTTGTCGGCGACGACGAGTGATCGTTATCGAACACGATTGTTCGATTCGTCAAGGATCCATCACCTTGACCCCAGCGCGAAGAACTATCGCGCTGAGAATGAATTCTTCATCGATGTTTTCTTTAGACATCGATGGTACAGTGGGAATCACAAGCGTGATGGTCCCTCACTGCTTCAGGCGTGGAACGCCTACATCCATAACCTTGAAGATGTAGGTCGTGACGCTTGGAACGACAAACTTATCAAAGCTCGTGATAAGTTTGAAAAGCGAACCCCGACAGGTGCACGCTACAAGCTGCATCGTCTGTCAAGGGAGAAAGGATTACCCTGCCTCTCATGGGGAGACTCGTGCCCATGTTGTGTGAACAACTCTGCACGAGCACCTAAGGAGGCTTACCTCCTTACCAGCCCGTGGTGGCGCGTACGTATCTCTACTGAGATGTACGAAGGGATTGACAACCTGAAATCCCTTTACGACCGTGACGGGAAGACTTTCTCCGGCGGTCCTTCTGCGGCACAGGATGTGCCGCGTCGTACTGCTCAACCGGACCCATTACGTCGATCATCAGTTGGGAGCGGGGCTCCCTAGTATCCCAGGACGGGGGATAGCCGCGCCACCGGACGAGATAACTCGTCCGACGTCCGTTCACGTCGCGGTGGTTCAACAGCTGCTCAACTAGATAGCGCTGGCCACCGCGAGAGTCCTCTAATGAAGGTGGAGGAGGAGGAAAGACGCTCTCCACACGATCATGGGGATCCGTGTGTTCCCGAAAGCTTCTTTGATCGCGTAACTCTTGCGTTGCGCGACGACTTCGAGCATGAGCGGGACAGGCGTCTCCAAATGGCGGACACTGTCTCGAAGCATCGAGCTGAGTTTGCCTTTGCTCAACTTGAGAACGAGAGATCTCTGACATCTCTTCGTGACGAGATAAGGGTAGCTCGTGGGATTGTTGATCGGTCTCGGGATGAGATAGCTGCTCTTCAGACCCTTGTCGATATCCACCATCGGGAGCACAAGGCTCTCTGCGAGATGCTTGAGCGCAAGGGCGTTCTTCATCGGAAGAAGCAGCGTACTGATGGTACGGCTTAAGCCGACCAACGTAAAACGTGGGATGCGTTCGCATCTTACGTGGTAACTCGATCGTGTATGCATTGCCTAGGCGGTGCAATACACGAAATGGGCCGATGTACTTGGGTGGTAGTTTACTGCTACCCAAGTTAGTCACTACATGTCTTGGTAGATTAACCGTAGACAGTAGGACCAAGTCACCTTGATCAAATAAAAGAGTGTTTTCCCTTCCATTCTTTTCAGCGTTTTGATTTTGCTTATCCACCGCTTCGGCGATGGAGTCTTGCACAAAACGGACTACCGTTTCACGAGCCAGTATGAACTCATCTGCTGGCTCGATAGCTTCAGTGCGCTGTGAGCGCACTGCAGCAACATCAACCTTTTCTTCAGTGAGGGCTTCCGCACTCTCACTGGCATCATCTTCTTCGATATCGATGTTATCGATATCGGCATCAAACGCAATGACCTCTTTGTCAGAGTGTGATGAGCGTGCCCAAATCGGTTTTTGCTCGCGCGAGTCCCTCCCCCCCTTAAACCAGAGTTACACTCTAGTAAGGTGGGTACACGCGGATGGCGTAAGCCATTAACGTAAACGGTGTATGTGTCGTGGACGCATGCACCGAGTTGTTAATGGCAGACTCTACCATTGGCAAAAACTCACTCCGACTCTTAAAGGAGTGTACATATCCTCGAAGTATCTCTTCAAGGACACGATTGGCACGTTCCGTCTGACCATCTGACTCTGGATGATCAGATGTCAACATCTTCAAGCGCGTTCCGAGTGATTTGAACACGGAACGCCAGAAATCAGCAGTGAATCGTGGATCTCTGTCTGATACGAGTTCACAGGGCAACCCATGAAGTCGGAAGATGGTGTCAATAAAGACACAAGCACAGCCACTTGCCGTGATTGTCTCTGGTACAGCCACGAGGTGTACCATTTTGCTGAATCTGTCAACAAATACGAGAATACCCGTATTCCCGCGTGCGTCTTTGGGTAACCCGAAGACGAAATCCATTGAGATGGATTCCCAGCACTCAGCCGGAACCGGTAGAGGCTGTGAAGGTGCACGCAGTGAAGGACTTGACTTCACTCGTTGACAGACTTCGCATGCGCGAACATGCTTTCGCACAAACTGATACTGGCGGGGCCAGCAAAAGTCTCGACTCACCGTGAGATATGTTTTCTCCCGGCCACGATGTCCTCCTATAGGAGCATCTTGATACTCGAACATGATCCGCAAACGCAGATCAGTATCTTCTGGAATGACAACACGTGGTGTGTCACCAGAAACGGCTGTATAATACAGTAACCCGTTGCGAGTAGTGTATCGATCTGATGCAGATCGATACGCAGACGACAATCGTTTCAACGATTCTCGAGATGGTTGTGAGAGATATGTCAACAACTTCACAATCCCACCATCTTGGGCATACGCCCGCCTCACATCATCATACAACGTTGTAGATGGGACTGAGGACGTCATAACCGCAACAGTGACTGTCTCACTGTTGGGTTTCGCGACTGCTTCAAAGTCGGGACGACGTGAGAATGCATCAGCGACGACATTGAGTCGTTCTGGTTTGTACTCGACCGTAAAGTTGTATTCTGCAAAGAATGACAACCACCGCGCCATTCGTTGTGAAAGGTGCGGGCTGTTTACTGCCGTGCGTAACGACGCATGGTGAGTGTAAACAATGAAGGGTCTATTTCCTAAGAGATAGACTCTGACCTTCGCGAGTGCATACTTCATGGCAAGCAGTTCCTTGTCATGCACTGGATAGTTCCGCTCAGCTGGTTGCAGCTGACGCGACTGATAGCAGACGACGCGTTCAACGCCTTCAAGATCGTACTGCATTAATGCACAGCCGATTGCGAAATCGCTGGCATCACAGACCACATGAAATGGCCTGTCCTGATCGGCTATTGCTAGAACTGGGGATTGTATCAAGCTCTGCTTGATACCATCAAAGGAGCGCTGACATTCAGCGTTCCATAACCACCTCTCGTTCTTTTTCAACAAACGAGAGAAGTGCACAGTCATCTCGGCGTAATTTCGTGAATACATATGCAAATACGCCGCTAGCCCAAGGAATTTTCGAAGACCTTTGACATCAACCGGCACAGGCTAGTCGGTGATCGCCTTGATCTTTTCGGGATCAGGACGTACACCGTTCTTACCAACGATGCACCCAAGAAGTGGTATTTCGCTTGCTGCAAATATACACTTCTTGAGGTTTGCATACAATTGATGCTTTCGCATGATTGTAAGAACCTGTCGGACGTGGTACGTGTGGACCTCAACGTCCGACTTTCCATCCATAGCTCGACTATGGATGAATACGTCATCGAAATAACTCGGCGCGAATTCTCGTACTGGTCTCAACAGATGTGATACACATCTGTTGAACGTGGCAGGGGCATTACTAAGCCCTTGTGGTATTACTAGCCATTCCCAGAGCATGCCGCTAGGCGTGCTAACTGCGGTATGAGTATATCCCGTTCTCGCATAAGGATTTGATAGAAGCCATCCATCAAATCCATGGACGAAAAGATGGTACTCTTTGACATACCATCAATGATTACGTCCTTCCTCGGTATCGGCGTCTGAGCCGGTACCGTTGCAGCATTCAACTTGTTAAATGAATGCACTATCCGCCACCCTCCTGTTGATTTTCGCACACAGAAGGTCGGAGAGCTATGTGGGGAAGTTGATTCCCTCACATGGCCCGCAGCTAAACGATCGGCAAAGAACTTGTCGATCGCAAGTACTTGTTCACGAGGCAGTGGCCACTGCTTCATGACACAGTACTTCGAGCCTGGTTTAGGCTCGACCTCGTGTTGAATACCTTTATCCTTCGGTAATTCGCATGGCACGGATTCAGGGAATACATCCTTGAATTCAACCAAATCTTCATAGAGAGGATTTGTCTTGAGCGATTCCCACGATTGGGAGTCATATCGCTCAATTCGTGTCTTTTCATCTAGGACATTCTCGTCCATAGATGAACTACTGAGAACTCTCTCGTTCTCAGTAAACACTGTTGCTGACCTTATGTCGGTTACACACTCGTCGTCAGCGACGAGTACGCAGATCTGCTTGACTTTGCCACTACGCAGATCACGCAAGAACCTTTTATGTTCGAGCGTTGGCAACTGAGTGATCTCTGAAGTCAACTTCGGAGGCGCAATCAGATGAAGTGTCTAAGCGCCTACACTTGATCCGTTATTGACTATGACATTTAATGTCTCTGTCATTTCCTGGGGACTTATTCCCTCAGGCCTCGAAGGACTTATTCCTTCGGCTTCCCGGGGACTTATTCCCGCGGGTTTCAGGGAACTTATTTCCGCCGTATTTGTAATATCGGGACTTATTCCCTTCACTTCCTCTAGCTGCGGTTGCGCAACCACAGCGAGATCCTCTACGAAAGACTCTCCAGTCGATCTGGGATTGTCGTTTCGCTTAACCTGAGCGATCGATCGTTTCTCTTCTAGATGTTCCCCGCTAGCGATACATCTTTGTCCCCGTCCACCCGACTTATTCGAGTGGTGGACCTTCGGCGCAGCCTGTGTTTCCTCACAGCCGCCGGAACTTTGCTCCGAAGTGTAACCGTTTGGTACACTAAGGTTTTGTGAAGTCGTACTAACAACCGTACCACAAGTGAGGCCATCGCACTCACTCGTAGTACATCCACACGTTTGTAGATGCTACAAGACGTTCATAGATGGCCATCTGATGAACAAGCGGCAGGCATCGTTACTGTTCGATGTTGCCAGTTTACCCGTGGTTCGTACCTTCTGAGCCACGGTATTCCAAGGATGACATCAAATTTGTCATCCAAATCCAATACGATAAAGTCATCGTCATATTGGGTATCTTCTAGCGTATAGTGAATCTTCACTATACGCTTCATGACGGTTACGGATGCGCCTGTCGCAAGACGTACCGTCATCCTCGTATGAGGTGTGTCACATTCACTGAACTTAAAGTGACCATCTTCTAGCGATTGGCGTCGCACAAAATTGTTGGACGCCCCACAATCGACTAGAGCTCGAAGGGACAACTTATTCGTCACTTCGAGTTTCAAGGTAATGAGTGAGATCTCATTACCTAGAGCAGCAACGCACAACGTTTGTGTGTTGGGAGCAACCTTCATCAAGAGGCCTACAAATTCTCTTGACGTTGCTGGACCAGTAGGGTGCTCCGCACCTACTGATCCTGTCCGTTTTTTGACGGTCCATCCCGTTGTTGCGTCTTTGCACCAACAGCGGACCCGCGTCCCTGCCCCTTTCTCATGGGTGGACGGTCACTACGCCCAGTGTTGCGAGACACTGGACGAGGGGCACTACACTCGTAAGCGTAGTGTCCTGTCTTTTGACATCTGTTGCATCTCTGCAACTTCTTGTAGTCTGTAGAGCGAGCCTTCTCGCTCTCTACATAACAGAGTTCCATCGGCTCTGGACCTCCGTTGTCATATCGTCTCGGTTGACGATATGATGTCGAGCTGGTGCGAGCCTGTCTCAGACTGAAGTCTTCCTGTTCCGCAATGGAAATGGCTTGTTCTAGTGAATCTAGTTCAAGCCGGAACAGGTGAGTCTTGACGGGACCATCCGCAAGACTCTGCATGAACACCGAAACCAACGTGTGTTCATCCACCGGGTTGGAACTTATACAACTCGTAAGATGTCGTATATGTTGCGCGTAAGCGTGCACATCACGCTTACCCTGTTTGAGCTTCAAGAGTTCGGTTCGAGCTCTGAACTCAGCTCTAGGCGGTTCAAACATTTGTCTGAGCCGAGACTTGAAGACTTCCAACGACCCAAACGCATATGGGTCGTGCAACTTGAGCCCCAGTGCCCAAGTCTTGGCACGTCCTGCCAGATTTGACTGGGCAAATGCAACTTGCATATCCCCGTCGTCGATGCGACGCGCCCTTATGGCGTCATCCAATTCGACGAACCATCTCAAGAGGGAGTCTTCTTCGACCCCCCTATACTTTGAGATGTCAATCTTCAAAGTCTCGGGCCGACGCGAGTGCATCGACCCGCCAGCAGCAGCCTGCTGCTGTCTCAACAGTTCAAACTGTTGAGCACCTTGTTCTCTCAACAACTCTGCTTGTTGAGAACCTTGTTGGTGAAGCAAGGCTACTTTCTCGCGTTCTGCGTCAAGTTCATTTTGAATGAACTTGGCGATAGTAGCATGTTGGGCATCTCTATTGAGAGCCTCTAGCATGACGCTAACAGCATGGATGCCCATGGTCGAACCCATTCGTTCAACCGCATCCCATTCGACATCGCTCAAATGGGAGTAGCCGTCACGCGTAGCGTGAAAGCTATGGTCATCTTCATCATCCAACATATTCATGTTGGATGTGAACGTGGTCCTTGGACGGACTACGAAGTGCTACCAGGTGTAACGGGGCACCCTGAAGCTTGTACTGGTGACAGTACAAGCTACTTATTCTGATGACAGAATAAGGCGGTGCCTCGTAACTTCACGTACACTCGTACGTGCAGAGGAAGACGGTAAGAAGAAGCGAGTACTTGGTTAAAGTAAAAAGTAGAACTGTATTTATAATAGTTAATGTCTGCAATAAATCCCTATTTATCTTCATCTAACTATGTCTAAATACAAATGTGTAAATCAAATATCTGCTCACCACTCATTGCGTGCGTCTGTCGTGGCGCGTCTTCGTTGGTTGATATAATGGCCTATATCAACCAATTAGGAACTACTCGTAAGTGCTACAGAATACTTGTCCTTATGACAATATTCTGAGAATATAACTCTTATAGTTATATTCTATCAACAATATCTTATGAATTGTTATGTAACGATTCACCCCGTTACATGCCACGCACACTTTTTCCAGCCCTGGGCCAATGATGAAATTTACAGGGCTATGATGCAGTGGGAACGGTGCAATCCTTCCTGTTCTTTTAAGTACAATATCATTTGCAAGTACAAGATGCCTATGACGCAAGCGTCTTGGGCTGCAACTCTTCACGATTATTCTGTTTACTTTGCCCTGATTCGATTAGTAGATTGCAATATCTAAATAGTTTTTAGGAATTCTATACTAACTCATTTCCTTTCCATCAGAGCAATACACATTTATGATCTGTATACCACGGTAATTTTAGGCAATTTACTTTTCTTAGGGAGTCGCTTGTTGTTAAAGCGAGTCACTTGTATTTACAAATCCCCCTACTTCATTAAAGTATGAGCTTTGATCTAAAGACTATCCGCCCCACTTTTCTTTTTGAAACCACCTTCCAAAAAACTCAGAAATTAGACAAAACCACGCAGATCATTTCAAAATGTGCCAGATCTAGCACATCCAACTCCCAACAACTTGAACTCAACATCACACACGCTTCAGCACCAGTCATTCATTCAGCTGTCATGAGCGTCCTCTTTGGCAAGCGTCGTCGGCCACTCTCGAGCGATGCTGCAACTGTCGCAGTGTCGTCTACCTCCGGATCAAGTGCTCGATCCAATGCCAAGAAGCCAACGACGTCCACACCCAACAACAAGGTGCTGGTAGAATGCGGCGACTCGTTGTCCACCGTGCTCCTGTCGTTCGTGGACCTTGGCGTGGACCAATGGCTGGTCCAGCGCTGCGAGCTGCTGGGTATCCGGCACCCCACACCAGTGCAGGCGCAGTGTATCCCTCCTATTCTATCTGGACGTGATGTGATTGGCTGTGCACAGACTGGTAGCGGTAAGACCGCGGCTTTCGCGCTGCCGATCCTGCACACGCTGAGCAAAGAGCCTTACGGTCCTTTCGCTCTCGTGTTGACACCTACGCGGGAGCTGGCTTTCCAGATTGCTGACCAGTTTAATGCCTTTGGCAGCTCCATAACGGTACGCTGTACTGTGATTGTTGGGGGCGTGGACATGCTCAAGCAGTCGCTGGCGCTCCAGCAGCGACCGCATATTATTGTAGCGACGCCTGGTCGCTTTCGAGACCATTTGCTACGTGTGGATCCACCCAACATCTCGCTGGTCAAGTTTGTCGTACTGGACGAGGCTGACAGACTCCTGGATGTGTCGTTCGCCAAGGATCTGAGTTTTATTTTCGACAAGCTGCCAGCCAAGCGGCAGACGCTACTGTTCTCTGCAACTATGACAGCTAATTTAGACAGATTGGAGCAGACGGCGCTCTCAGATGATGTCTTTCGCTTTGATGCGACCCCTAGTGTCAAGACTGTGGCAACGCTGAAACAGTTTTACTTGTTCATTCCCGAGCAGGTCAAGATGACGTACCTTGTGTATCTGATGAAGATGCTTGACCCGAACGAGGAAGACGAGGAGGAGAACCCAGGAAAGCGCAAGCTGTCAAAAGGTGACCGCAAGAAGCAGGATATGAAAAAGCTGCTAGCAACTGCAGCGTTCTCATCGAGTCATCATCTGCGGTCCATGATGATCTTCGTGTCCACATGCAAGACGTGCGAGCTAATCGGCGCAATCAGCAACGAGCTAGGCACCAAATGCGAGACGCTGCACTCGATGATGTCCCAGAGTCGGCGTTTGGCGGCATTGGGCAAGTTCAAGAGTGGTCTCAGCCATATTCTCATCAGCACAGACGTTGCGAGTCGTGGACTCGACATCCCCGAGGTTGACATCGTGCTAAACTTCGATCTGCCGCGAGATGCTGACGATTATATTCACCGAGTGGGTCGTACCGCTCGTGCTGGGCGTAACGGTCAGGCCATTTCTCTCGTAACGCAGCACGATATTGAGCTGCTGCAGAACATCGAAGCCAAAGTGGGTAAGAAGATGGACGACTACGAGTCCGAGGTGCCCGAGAAAAAAGTGCTCAAACTGCTGAACGACGTGTCTACCGCTTCGCGTATTGCCACGATGAAGCTGACCGAGCGTGGATTCGACGACAAGGTGCGAGCTCGTAGAGCTAAACGCCAGGAGCAGCAACACCATAATTACAAGAAGCTAAAGCAGTAGTAGACTTGTGACTGCCAAGCTCTCGAAATCGAAACTGTGTATTATTTGCCATGGATGGATCGCTCCATTCAATTCTCCCCGCACCCTGACAGTCTGTATGTTGTTGTGTCCCCAGAAGCTATAGCGAAGCTATAAAATATATTTCAACGCCCGAAAAGTCCTCGACGCGCTCCTTCGCTCCTTCCTCCAGTCATGACGGCAGACGTGAACGCCGCCGCGGCCGCGTGTCCACACCCGCACAAGGCGCCGGCCAAGGGATGTCCCGCGCAGAGCAGCAAGAGCAAGAGAAGCAGTGACGGTTCAGGGTCCTCCGACAGCGCAGACGCGGGTCTGAACGCCGAGATGATGCGTCTCGCCAGCCACGCCTCGGGCTTTACAGTGCACGGGTCAAGTACGAACGTGCCCGTGCGACTGTCACAAGCACGAGCCGTGTCGTCCATTCCTAAAGGAGAGAACGTGACGTCGGAGCACCAATCCGATACGAACGAGGACAAGTGGGAGTACCCGAGTGAGGCCATGTACTTCAAAGCCATGGAGCGGAAGGGCTGGGCGCCCGATGCCCAGCAGATGAAGACGATTGTCGCGATTCACAATACTGTGAACGAACAGAGCTGGCGGGAAGTGCTGAAATGGGAGAGTTTTCACCCGTGAGTTGCGAGTGTTACTTGGGTCGGAGACAGACATGTGTCTTTGGACGCGTTGGGTCGGACGCGATGACATGAAGACTGATGCTTGTGCGTGTGCGTGCCTTGATCTTTATATGTAGCTCAAAAGAGAGTGTCAAGCTGAAGAAGTTCATGGGCAAGCCGACCGAGCATAGTCCCAAGGCCAGGATGATGAATGCCTTGGGGTGGTCCGTGCTGCCGTTCGATCGACACGATTGGATCGTCGATCGAGACGGCAAAGAAGTGCGCTATGTGATTGATTTCTACTCGGGGAAACCTGAGCCGGGCCGCCCGTTGAGTGTCTATCTTGATGTGAGGCCGGCACTTGACTCGGTAGAGGGACTTGTGGACCGCGTGCGGTGGCAGTTCCGCGAGAAGATCCTGCCGCTGCTGCCGTTTCGTGGGGCCGCATTTGGTGGTGAGGCGGCTGTGAAGAAACCGGAAGGCACGACGGACGAGCAGAGTGGGCGCTCGAAAGTCACGCCCAAGACGGACTAGGTTGTCGTCAGTACGTCCATGAGGACGGTGTTCAAACTGCAGAAGATTTCATGTACCGACACCTTGCAAGACAGGCAAAGTAGCAGATTATTGACAGCGTGAATGGAAGAGTCACGACATCTGATGCGTTGTGTTTTCGTGCAATGTCGAGACTCAAGTATCTTCAGCTCAGTTCTGCTTATGCTGATAAAAGGATCAAGTCTTGCACACGGTAGGCACTACGAATCTCGGCCGGCATGGTGTATCCGATCGATCGCTTAGAACGGTCTAATGAGGCGATGCTTTCTGCAGATGAAGCTCACTGTGTGCTCTAAACCATCGCTGACACCGCTGGAGAAACGCATGTACAAACGTGTTGTGTATGTTATAATTAAATTTGACGCGATACCATGTCTACCAGACAGACAAGAAACGCATGTACAAACGTGTATTTGTTAATATTAAATTAGACGCGAACCACGTCTACAGGACAGACGTATCAAGAACGTTAATCGCTAGAATATACATACTACTCGCATCAGTGTTCCGTCGTCGAAAGTGTATAAGAAATACCTACGTTGGCCACGATCTGCGCCGTTGTAATTGGAAACTGGTTTCTGCACAAGCTCTTTCTTGTTCTGCCCTTGGTAGGTGGAGATCGGAATCATCAATCGTCATCGCCGGGCACGTCAGCTAATCGACAATCGAAATAGTCGAACAGAACGAATCAGCTCGATAGCGGTGACTCAGACGGTGTTGGCGCTCGTTTGTCAGCTGCTGTAGCGTACGGCGGTACCATGTCTTGTCTTCTCCGTCCTCGGCGGGGACTCGAGTAGAAACGAGTTGCGTGAACTCATTGGTATTGGCCTCTTTGCAAACGGCACTCGCCGTAAACATGTTCACGGGGCGGCCGTCAGCACCACACGCTTGGGTTTTGAGGTGTTTCTTCTGCTTGCGCGCATTGTTCAGCGTGCGCAGTGCGTAGCTGTACCACCTGCCGTGCTTTTCTCCACTTGATCGCAATTCGGTAAGCTGCTTGTAGTCCCAATCAGTGGAATTGAGGCTGAGCTCGTACATGGCAACGGGAGAAGTCGCACATTCCCACTCCTGCTGCCCCGGAAGCGCCTCTTGTCGTTCCGGTAAGACGTGCCTGTCTACGCCTAGTCGCGGAGACATCACCTCTTCCTCTTGGTCCAGTGTCGCTACTTCCAGCTCTTTGTCGTGCTCGGAGATATTGAAGCTCGATTCACAAGCTGACGCCTGCTCACTGACATCTTGCGGAGCCAAGCTTACCGTGCCTGCCACATCAAACACGGTTTGCTGGTGCAGTCGGACCGGGTGCTCACAGCGCGACCGTGGTAGCAACAGGTGGTCCCTGGTTTGTAGTGCCGTCACAAGATGTCGAGCTTGCAGAGCAGATACCTCTCGCTCGCGCTCTAGAGCGTGCTGTGACTCATATGCAGAGATCAGAGTTCTTTGCAGCTGCGTCTTCAATTCAGCTAGCTGCGACACAAGCCCCGAGTTGACTTTTTGAAGGCGGTCACAGCACGCCATGTAGTACTCGCAAGCTGTCTTCAGCAGCTGAACGGTAGTTGCCTTGTCGAAAGCAAAAGCACCTTGACCTCCGAGATTGTTCAAATACTGCTGTTTCAGGGCGAGCCAGGCCTTCTCACTGTGCGTCGGGACACCTCCAGCGCCTTCTGAGTTCGTGCCAGCAAGCACGTCTGCCAGCCACCGGCTAAAACCCACCATAGCTTTGTGTGCTTTGGTGGGTGCGTCTTGGAACAGGAGGCAGTGGTACTTGTGCAGTAGAGACGCCACTTCGAGGCGTGCCTCAGAAGCTGTCGCTGACAGCACGTTCAGTAGACGACGGATACTTCTCACAATGAGCGCATGTAAGCACTGAATCTCGTCCACAATCCACTAGAAACCACATCCACACAGCAGAGAAAGGTCAGCAGCAAACAGATAGATATAACAAGGAATGTCATCAACTCACCATGGAGCTGGTGTAGTAGTCGTCGAATAATACCGGTGTTGGCAGTTGCACACGCTGAAGTGTGCTCTGGGTCGAGTTATTTGGAATGAGATCGGCCTGCTCATGAGCCTTTGCTTCAAGCCGTTAGAAGTCCCGTCCCAAGTCTGCGACCTGTAAGCAAGTACGTCACTTTTTTACCAATCAGATATGCTCGCATGCTTGTTCAATCCATCGAGAGACTACACGTACCGCAGTCTCTTACTTCTTCTCCTTCTATCACGGAGTCAAGTCATCTCGTGTTCCTCGTCCCAAGACCGACTGCATGGCTCAAAGTCATCTTCACCTTTCTCGCCAATAGAACGAACAGTAATAATAGTAACCACCTGCACAACATTATCTGCAATCAGCACTCTCTGCATTCAGTCTCAATTCTCTGAGAGCACTTTTACCTATGCAATGTCAAGAACTGCCACGGGTCCTCGCTCTCCTCCACACGCCATCGCCACCAACATTCCTGTAAACGCCGCCACACTTGCGCCAGTGCGCACGGCGTGCAACCTCCCCCACCTCTCAAGCATCTCCTGATAACGCGACTCGCTGCAACAAAGACGCTTCTTGGAGTCCACGAGCTTGCAGTTCAGTGCGAACATCTTGAAAAAAGTAAAGGGCACGATACCCCCAATGAGGCAGCCGCTCGCGAGCCAGAGGCTCGGCACACCGGTATGTGGCCCTCGCTGTTTCTGCAGAAGAGACACGAGTAGCGCACTCAGCGCGCTTCCCAGTGCCAAGGGCCCCTGCATACGCGCTGCACAGAAATACATGCGACGAAAGAATGGCGCCTGGAACATCGGCGCGTCCGTCTCCAGAAGCGCCGGATGCTGGGCCACACTGATGTACATGGATGCTCCAGCGAAGATCCCCGCTAGTCCCGTTGCTGCGACTTGAGCCAGCGCTTCGGCGTCCACGCCCATGCAGAGAGGCGGTCGGTGCAAATCGCTCGACGACGGGTATCTATCTATCTAGCTCACCAGTCGTCTTCTATTGAGACTCGACGTTGTCTTGATGGCACTGATGCGTTGTTTGTAACGCCGTATGTCAAATCAAGTAGGACAATCGGTGCCATACCGACGAGTAAAAGCACAGCATGAGTGCATCCAATCAGCATTGTTTCGAGCTTCTGTGCTGGAAATTAGGGGTTAGCTCAGGTGGTAGGTAGGACCGGAACGCGCACTTTTCTGCTGCAGCCGCATGCAGACACAGCAATTGCTTGGCGCTTTTCAGTTGTTTACACCACACGTCCCGATGTTCCTCATGAGTGGTGCAAAGAAGAGAACGACACCATGTCACCGGTTCGAACCCGATCCAACCACCGATCATCTAACGTGCTTATTCTGCAGTAATCAATCACGTGAGCAGTTTACATGGACGACACCATGCCTCAGCTACAAACAGTTGCCCAAGAAAACGACGGTGTAGTTTCAATTTTTCTCATCCTGCGGTTGAATACAGCACGGCCACGTCCGGCCTCGTCAAGATGCAGGTGGGTGCTGTTCGTGAGAATGAGACGAATCTGCTTGCTTTCCTGTTCTGATGATCTCAATGTGTCGGACAAAGACCATTAACGGACATCACACTCCAATTGACCTTGACGTCTCGCACTGCAAACTTTGCCGACACCTGTAGATCATGTGGTGTTGGTTTCTGAAGATAGCGACAACCATTTTACGTTCCATGCAGCACGTTGGAAGGATTTCAGGAGACGACGCGCGACGCTTAGTGACAAGCTTGTGCCTCGAGGACATGCACTGCAAATAATCGCTCAGCACCGTCGCTGATTATCGAGGTTTTGTGGAACGCTGCAAGCGCATCTCGCTACTGCACACCTGCAGAACTGCAACCACCGCCGTGTCTTTTTATTGAGCACGATGCAGTATCAACGTCACTTGTATCGGCTACAAAGTCGCCCCGCTCACCCATAGTGACCATACAAACATGTTAAAGCTCGAGTCTATAGCAAATGAGTGATACTTGCACGGCCTGATCATCGCGTCTGATGCAACAACCCGAACCCGTTTTGGCGCTCGCAGTTCTCTCGTGTTATAATTCTCATCAAAGTTCGGTACGAACTTAACGGCCCGCAACATGATGAGTGCACGCTTTACCGCCTTTTTTCACGTTCGTATCGTCATAATCGACACGTGATTTCAAACATTTGACGAATTTTACTTTACAATGGACACCCGACCAGGTGCAGCAGCGGACGCGCGCTACGGCGTGCGTCCTCCTGGAGCGAACGCCTTTCGCTTGAAATCCGACGAGCTCCGCCGCACCAACAGTCGGAGCGGGAGCTCTACCGGCTCGGAAGATGTTGACATGAAGGACGCGTCTCCCGCGTTCGCCTCGTCGAATCGATACCAACGTCCGTCGTCTGCGTCTTCTACCGTCTCGTCCACCTCCAGTCAGAGCCGCCCGCTGTCGCGTGAACGTACCGCTGTTACCCACACGTCATCGGCCAGTAGTACGTTGGCGTAACTGTTGGAGCCGAAGTATCGGGTCACGAGAGGTAATGGGACTTACCGACGTGTCTGTGTTCGGGTCTTGTGTTCATTGTGCAGGTCGCTTGATGGCACCCACTGCCTCTTCGTTAGCGCATCGAACGGCATCGCGACTGAAGTATCCTTCGTCAACTGGATCGGTTCCGTCGTATGCTCGACCGACAGCCAGCAGCGCCACTGGGAGGTACCAAATGTCGAGAATCCCGTCAGCGCCAACGAAATCGACGTACGGCAGCAGTACAAGCAGGTATCAATCAGCCACATCAGCTTCAGCTGCAAGTCCTATGCCCACAAAGTCTTCCTATGCTGGAGCAAGTACAGATAGCCGATTTCAGACCAACTCGTTGGGGTCTCAGCCTTCTTATGGCGCAAGTAGGATGCAGCAGCGTGCGCCGATGGCGCTACCGCACCAGACTGATGTCGAGGAGGCTACTCCTTCATCAGATACGACAGAGATGATGGACTGCGAAGACCAAATGGATCAGCAGAAGCAACGCCAGGTAGAAGAGATGCGGCAACCGCCAAAAGCGTGGAGCTTGAACGATTTCGAGATAGGACGCGAACTGGGCACCGGAAAGTTTGGCCAAGTATACCTTGCGCGCGAAAAAAACTCGCGGATGGTGGTTGCTCTCAAGATGTTAGTGAAAGAACAGCTGAAAACTGCAGGTGTTGCGCACCAGCTGCGCAAGGAGGTGGAGATTCACTCGCGCATTCGGCATGAAAACATCTTGCCGCTGTATGCCACGTTTCAGGACGCTACGCGAGGTGAAACAGTTGAGCATCAGTTCCCTTTTTTCTTCATAGTGCTTACGCATCTTGTTTTTATTTGCAAACCTTTGCCAGTGTATTTAGTGCTGAAGTATGCTGGAGGCGGGGACCTTTACAAGAAGATGCGTTCTATGCCTGGACGACGGTACGACGCTTGCCTTGGATCTTGTATTCCACTGGACTCAAGTGTTCTTGTTTCTTTGCTGCCTAGGTTCCCGGAGCGCCAAGCCATGCTATATACTGCTCAGCTTGTCAGGTAAAAGGTGAATTACCAGGAAGTATGTCATCGTATTGCAACTAAGACCGAGTCTTTCGCATAGTGCTTTGGAGTCGTGCCATCAGCAGCACGTAATTCATCGCGATATCAAGCCTGAGAACCTCCTGTTATCTGACGAGGTATGCTTGCCTGTATGACAGTTTATCTCTTTTGGTCTTGGTGCTTACCTTGCATTGTGTACCATGTTGCAGGGTACAATCCAGCTTGCTGATTTTGGCTGGTCATCCGCGAACGTGACGGCAGCGTAAGTATGCCCGATCTCACTACGCGTTGTTGCTTGAGCCATCGATTGAACGACACGCTTTGTTTATGAGTTCAGTACCCGTCGTGACACGTTATGCGGCACTCTAGACTATTTATCGCCGGAGATGATTCGCGTGCGTGGGAGCCCCTTCTCTTTACGATAGAGTCGATGACTCCAATTCTGACAAGTAGTCCTTATGCGTGACGATCTAGGGTGAGAAATACGACGAGTCGGTGGACATTTGGGCGGTTGGGATCATCATGTACGAGCTTCTGGTGGGCAAGCCTCCGTTTGAAGCACCGGTAGGCACTGTTCCCTACAACGCTGATTTGCTGTTACCACGATGCTGACACCTTTTCCAATGTAGGGACAAAATGGGACTATTGAGCTCATCACCGAAGGCCAGCTTCACGTGCCTCCCATGGTATCCCTGGCGGCGAAGGATTTGATGACACGGGTATGTACACGTGCATATTTGCTGCTCCATTTGCGTCACACGGTTGTTCACACAGACGAATGCGGGAACAGGTCTTGCAAAAGCTTCCGGAAAGACGTCTTTCTCTGCAGGAGATCAAAGCTCATCGCTGGTTTGCCCCTCTTGCTGCCCGCCAACGATCGTTTAGACGCTGAGTTTAGCCTTGTAGATTTGATATAGTAGGCAGGTAATCAAACGTACCATTGATGCCGTTGGTGAAATTGCTCTGTAGTCGCATATACTAGATCTTCTACTCTTGTACCGGCATGCCCAACCCTTTCCATACTATCATCTACCTAGCGCGTACTCGATTATATCGATCACATGCGTAGTTCGTCGCACGCAGAGCCTGTACCGAAGGACTCGCAACTCGCGACGGCACGAGTTCTTGCTTTGCGAAGGTAAATTGATAACTCCCGTATTTATCAAAACAAGGTAGGACAGCAGACCGTCTATTGAAGCACAATTGGCGAAACTGAGTTTTAAGTATGAATCGAGGTCCATTGTGTGATGCCATAACACGGTGTCAAGCGTGACAAAGCACGCTCCTCGTCACAGCGCCTTACAATGCGCCGAATAGCACAGCTTAGAGGCTGAAGGGCGCGCGAGAAGAAGCTTTGAAGCCCGAGGTCGCACGACCAAGATCCGTGTGCACGACCAGGGCAGGTGTATCTAGTGCATCACCCGATCATGAGCACCGGAGTCTCCCCGCTTCATGTGCATGGCCTCCGCACGCGTCTTAACCAGCTCCGAATGCCAGAGCTCCGCAATGTCCTCATGGACCTCAATTTGGCCCGCTCTGGGCGGAAACAGGAGCTCGTTGACCGCATTGCAAACGAGTTGGAGGTTTGTAACTGCAGTTCCCTTCAGGTGTCAGCTCTAGAAGCTCACGTTTACCTGTTCAAATCTGATGCTCGACAGCTCTTTGCCGATAAAGCTCGAGGTACGACGTCTGCCGCCTTTTATGCGGATCGACTATCATCTGGCTTGAGGAGTATCGAGATGCAGATGAGGGGCAGGACGAATTATACGCCGCAGTCGCAGGCGATGGTGCCAGGTAGCTACCGGGTGCCACAAGTGCCGGCTCGCTACGCGCCAATGGTTCCCACCCCGCCACTAGACCGCTCTATGCCTGTCCCAATGTACGAAAGAACTGTAGCAGCTTGTGTGCCAATGATCTACAGAGCTGTGAACCCTGCACCGGTGAACACAGCGGCGATCCCGTCTTTAGGTGGCGTGGATCTATACAGTCCAACGAAGGCTGCTGCACTTGATGGTGCGAGATGTCTATGTGCAATTGAAGGAGTGGCTGGAAAGGTGGTCAAGTGCGTGGATTGTGGCTTGTCTGTACACGCCAAGTGCCATCAATTGGTGACGGTGCGTTGGCTTTTTGTGTGAAGTTGCGCAAGGTTGATGTGTACACTAAGGATTGTTGAACTTTGTATTGTATTCTGTTGGGCTTGATACAGCTGAGCGCCGAGTGGTACTGTGAGATGTGTCGAGGAAACACCTACGACCCGTTCTACCGGGTTCAAACGACGGTGTTGGAACCAAATTTCGTGCGTTTTGCAAAGCCCGCAAGCTCCCTTCGACTTGAGTACTACATCACAGACAGTGACCTGAACAACATGTACGCGAACCGGGACCCAAAACCGGGTTCGATGACACCGGGTTCTTTGGAGCTGCAGCTGCGGTGCTTTGCGGTGAAAGAAGATCTTGCTGCAGGACACTGCTGGCCCCCATCTACGCAACTCAGTGTGAACGGCTTCTGTGTACCAATCACACAGCGTGCCCCACCAGGTCATGCAAACCCTTCGAAAGTTCTGCGAGAGATACCAGCAAACGTCTTCCAGTACTCACGAGTCGGACGAAACGTGATTGAAGTTCGGACAACAGAGAATCCGTCGGTATTTGGGTTTATGGTCCAAATCGTACAGGTGCGCAACATCGACGATCTTGTGAATGAAGTGAAAGAAGCGTCAAAGGGTTTGACGTATGACCTCGCGAAGCAAGAAGTTATCAAGTCATTTGGTAGCGAAGACGAAGACGACGTTGTCGCCACCGTCACGATGTTGTCTGTTCGCTGTCCACTGGGGCTGTGTGTGATAAATCTTCCAGCACGTGGTGTGCACTGTAAACATTTGCAGTGCTTTGATCTGAAAACATTCTTGCTGTTCAGTAAAAAGGCGCGGTCGAAGGCATGGCGGTGTACAGTGTGTTATCAAGTAAGTGCATTGCTGCTTAGTGCTGGCGGTCCTCGACGTGACTAACCTTTCCTTATGCGTACCTTTTGACTGTGTAGTTTATAAAGGCTGCAGATTTGCGTATTGACCCTTATTTAAAGCAGCTTCTTGCTGACGTTGAAGGTGAAGATGAATTGGAAGAAGTCGAAATCTTTCCCGATGGATCATGGAAACGGAGGCTAGAGGAAGAATTGGTGTCTGAACCGTCAGTCAAAAAAGTTAAAATGGAGCCGACGGAAGTTGCGGCATTTCCGGCAGATATCAACTCGACTGCTGCAGCACCAGCAACAACTATGGACGCCCCGATTGGGCCAGCTGTGTCAAATACAGGGGCACCAGAGGAGATCGATTTATTATCCAGTGACGATGAAACTGAGGACGACACAGGACGAAAAAGCACGCCGAGCGCTGCAGCTGTGCCCGTACCTGTACCTACAGCTGCACTTGCGCTTGCACCTGCACTTGTGCCTGCACCTGTGCCAATCCTATCGCTTGATGACGATATTGATATACTTACCGTGAACAGTGATGTGTGGGATACGCCATCCACACGAACGTCGAGCAACGCAACGAACGACGGCAATTGCGGTGAATACTTTCCTTTCCCACTTGATGAGAATTTGTTTCCTTCGACTGGTGCAGCAGCCAGCACGGCAAGTGCAAGTACCTCGTCTGCGTGGATGTACTCGGTGCCAACGAGTACTATTGTGAACAGTATGCCCCCGCCAACGTCCACAGTCGTACCAAGCGTGTCACCTCAAGATGTCTTGAGCCGGGCCGAGCTGAATTTGGCCAGCTCCATGGCTTCGTTATCTCGGAATCACAACGTCAATAACCCGTTCGACGAGCGCAAACGACGTCCAGCGCGGCCGCCTTCGAAGCCCACAACGGTGTCAAGAAGTGACATGGATATCATCTGCTTACTAGACAGCGACAGCGACTGAGCGACCGGCATGCGGGACTGACGTAGTAAAGACCGTGCTTGTATTAAGAGTAGGATGGTGTGTTCAGGACGTGATTGCCGATAGTGTGTACAGTGTACCATGTAGACCAGAGTAGTCAAGTTCGAGGGGATATTATCCATTTCGCAAATCCACCGTCAAATATCCGCTTCGTTTATTTCCGAAATCGCGGCACCATTGCTTAATCCTTCCGTCGTGGCCGCCACGCCACGCCCTCCCCCGCCCCGTCATGTCGTCTACTGTACTCGAGCAGCTACGCGCCGAGCAAGAGGAGATCGAGGCTTTGGAGCGCGCTGTTGTGGCCACGTTGGGTGAGAAACCACGTAACGTACGTGTCTCTATGAAGCTGCTTTATTGGGTAATTCGTTTGCGGACGCTATTTTGGATACTAATTATCTAGATTTTATTCTTGTAGCATCGCAGTCGAGTGCTGCATGGACATAAAGTGAGCAAGTTGCTGGACAAGGTGACACAGCAGAGCAAGTATGTTAAGGAGCTCTACGCAGACGAAGACGGGTACATTGGCGCTATCTGAATGTCACTGTAGTACTCGTGTCCGTGGCTGACTGACTATTGCAACATTTGCTACTGTCCGTTCTTTGTGGTGCTGCTTCTCTCGCTGTCGCTGCTACTGCCACTATTGCAGGATCTTTGCAGAGGAGACGGAAAACATGCGTGGGCGAGCGGTGTTCACATCGTTTTATGAGCAGCTCAAGTCGATCCGTTCATTCCACCGCAAGTACCCGAACTCGGTGGTCTCTCATGAGCTGAACTTGGAGGAGGTTTTCCACCCGAATGTCCAGTTCTCAGGTGAAGAGCATTTTGGCAAGTATGTGGATCTGAACGAGTTCTACACACGGTTTCTGAACATTCCTGAGCTGAAGTGGTGCGTGAAAAATGAGGTGGGTGAGCAGATTGTGTTGTCGTGTTGACTGTTGTACGTGCTGCAGGCAAGCAAGAAAGACACAGGAAGCGCTGAGATTAAGCGCCAAAACTAAAGGAAAGCGACAGTCCGCTGGCACGTCTCTCGATTACTTGGCGTTCCTTGCGTCTTTTTCAGACTTCTCTGCCATTCCTGCAGCACAGAAGACTCGATCGGCGCCATATCAGCAGTACCTGAAGGATTTGAAAGAGTATTTATTGGATTTCTATCGTCGCACACAACCTCTTGTGGATCTAGACGACGTAATTGACGAAACCTCTGCAAAGTTTGAGAAGCGGTGGGCACTTCGCCAAGTTCCTGGATGGAACTCAAGCGATAAGAAGGATAGCGCTGACAAAGTGCCAACACACTTTTGCGCTCTGTGCGATAGACAGTTCAGCTCTGAGGGTGTGTACAAAAGTCACCAGACAGGAAAGAAGCATAAAAAGCTTGCTGCTGCTGCTGAAAAGATGACGGATGGTGCCCAGGACAATGGTGTAGTTTCCAGCGGTGCTAAAGCAGTCAGCGACTCTAAAACAGAGCTAGAGGCGAAGCAAAAGACCATCGCTTTTGACGAAATATTGATCCGTCGAATGTACGAGCTTCTCACCGAAGTTGTGCAAGGTACAATCTCGTATTTGGAACTGAAGCAAACACGCACACACAAAGAGCTGCAAGCCGAAATCGAAGAGGAGGAGGAAGGAGCGTTCTCAGACGTGGATGTGGAAAACGAAAATGAGGATGATGACGAAGAAGAGCAGCTCTACAACCCTTTGAACTTGCCGCTGGGTTTTGATGGAAAACCGATTCCGTACTGGCTGTACAAGATGCACGGGCTTGGCGTCGAGTACAAATGTGAGATCTGTGGAAACCACAGTTACTGGGGACGACGCGCATTTGATCGCCATTTTCAGGAATGGCGCCACGCCTTTGGTATGCGCTGTCTCAAGATTCCGAACACGAAGCACTTCCACGACATTACACTCATGAGAGACGCCATTCAGCGTAAGATTCTTTTTGACATTGCCACATGACCGGACTCTAAGCTAATTGTTGGATGTCCACTATGTGCTTTGTGTGTAAAGTGTACGAGAAGTTAAAAGACCAGATTGATGCCGAGAGCTGGAATGCATCCAACGAGGAGGAGTTCGAGGACTCCGAAGGTAACGTGCTCAATAGAAAGACGTACGAGGATTTGGCTCGCCAGGGCTTGCTGTAAACATCAGCGGGAGCGGCATCACAGAGGAACGACAACGTGCGTCGAGCCATCGCCTCATGTTCGGTAGGACCGTCTTTTAATTCATTGGTAAGCTATCGTGTTTCGTCAATCTACGACCCAGCAACTCGGACGTCCTCATTTCTTGTACTCCTGCCTACTGTTTGACCATCTCAATGCTTTTCTCTGGTATTGAAGCCCGTCAGGACAGGTGCGCTGCTTATCCTTGACCATAGCCCGATTGACTATCTTGAAAGTCGAACACTCAACCCAGACCTCGTGTCGCTTCTGCAAGAGTAACTCGTGTATCGTTGTTGCTCCAGTGTATCCCAGTCTAACGCTGCGGTGCACTATCAGCAAAAGACCGTCGCAGTCATGAGTGTCTCCAGCAGATCGTACTGGTGATGGTGGCCCTAATGGTCTCTTTCAACAAAGCCGTACTTCCGGTAGTAGTGGATGCCTTTCGGTGGATCAAATGGAACGAGAACTATAACGGTGTCATCGCACGGGTTTGCAAGAGTCTCATCGACAAAGCTCCAGTGCTCTCGCTGCTTCAGTGCTAGTTTGGGCTATGTGTTAGAAGATATAGCTTTTAACAGGTTACGTCGGTGTAGAGGCAACTGCAAGACCTGTTACAGGTTTAGGTCGACCTCACCTGATTGGTCGACAAGTTGACGATGGGACGAGACAGGTTGACATATGGGACGCGAGAAGACGATCGTCATGTCGGACTATCAAAGGCAGATGGTAGGAGAGACAGAGACATACAGACGTCATATGGGACCAGGACCAGCACATGGTATGGGCACGCTGGACGTATGCCAAAGTACAACTTGACCAGGTCAAGTTGCAGTGCTGGTGCAAATACATACAAATAGGGTTGACTAGGGAGAATAGTTAGCACCCAATATGTTTCACTTTTACTTCCTACATCCTTTGCACAAGTGCAAGAGCTACCAACATCTAACAGGTTATGAGCCCAATTAAACGTGTTGGTGGTGCGGCTGAACCAGCTGCACATACCGTGGTGGTCGACGACCACTGTAACGGGGTGAATCGTTACATAACAATTTATAAGAAATTGTTAATAGAATATAACTATAAGAGTTATATTCTCAGAATATTGTCATAAGGACAATATTCTGTAGCACTTCCAAGTAGTTCCTAATTGGTTGATATAGGCCATTATATCAACCAACGAAGACGCGCCACGACAGACGCACGCAATGAGTGGTGAGCAGATAACTGATTTACACATTTGTATTTAGACATAGTTAGATGAAGATAAATAGTGATTTATTGCAGACATTAACTATTATAAATACAGTTCTACTTTTTACTCTAACCGAGTACTCGCTTCTTCTTACCGTCTTCCTCTGCACGTACGAGTGTACGTGAAGTTACGAGGCACCGCCTTATTCTGTTATCAGAATAAGTAGCTTGTACTGTCACCAGTACAAGCTTCAGGGTGCCCCGTTACAGTACCAGCCTCAGTATTTTACGGGTATCCGGAGCATACCAGCGATCGTTGAGGTAGCTGTATCATACTTCTGCAATGGCAAGGTCACCAACGACTGTGTCACTCACAGTGGACAATTGTGCTTCATGTCAATACCATGGTCACGCCTTGACCCATCTTGACCTCTAGTGGCCTGAAAAGATCATGTTGCCGTCAAGAGCGCGAGTGTATCTTGTTTCACCGGCGGCTGCGCATTCTGCAAGAAGTGGCGCAATGCAAATGGCTGATTGTACGGTACGTATTTTATTCGTGACATGGGACAACGGGTGAGGCGAGGATGATGGCGTGACGTGTCTTCGGAAGTCGTAGTACGCGTAAGTTCATGCAAGACTTGCTCTCGCTGAGCGTCCGTGCACCCTGGTAGAATTTGGGTGATAGGACCGCGCTGGTCCACGGAGACAGCGGAGTCCTGCAAGATTGTCTGGAGTGACACCCGTCGATCTTGTCCGTAGCTTTTACTGAACACACTGCGGAGCTCGCTCAGGTCGTCGTGCCTCGGTATGTGCTATGCAAGGCAGTTGTCGTTGCAGCAGGTGTCGGCGTATCGATGATGGCGTTGACCGTGCTATTTCTGTATGGCTGTGCATTTCCGGTTGGTCAGCGGAAGCATCTCTAGCTTGTCAGGTACTTGTGCGGTCCGTAACGTCGGCTCGATGTGTTTTGCGCTTATTGGAATTGACGCAAGATCGTGCTCCTGATCAGGTTGCGGAAGTTGAGCACTATCGCGGTCACCAGTCAGGTGGCTCGTATCTTAGACACTAACGAACGCTTGGTGCGAAAGGGTTTTGGCTTTAGCGGGAAGCGTGGCATCGTCATTTGGACTACGAGTATATGTATGGAACAATGACCAGGTAAGGTTGATGGATATGGAGCCTGTCTGCCTCTCCGAGAGGGAAAGTGAAAGTGAAGCGCTTGAGGCGGGTGCTGATGAGCTCCAAGGCTCGGGGGCGTTGACACGATTGCAATTGTAGTCGATCCGAACATGGGTGAGGCATTGCTGCATCATTGTTGACGTCGTTATGTTGTGAGACTGTCATAGCTCGGTGTTTGCAAGTTGAAGTTGCCAGAGTGATGGTCACTCTGGCTGTCACCGAGTCAGCCCGGCAGTGTACCCGCGCGTCTAGTGTAAGTACGGCTCCAATCGTAAGTACGGCTTCAATCGTAAGTACGACTTTCGTTTTTTGTTGTGATCAATCTATTTATATTCTCTCGTATAGTTATTTGGAGGTCGCCGTCTCGGAATTCACTAAAGTCGCAGGTATGCGTGCGAAGATCCTTCTTCCAAGGCGCAATTCCATTCTCAATCTTCGTCCGTATACTTATCGACTCGCGCAGCAGCTCTTTTGTCGCTCTAGTGTCCGGCAGTCCTCCGCCCACATGATGACTGCGCTGATCCCCATCGTAAGTGACACAATATCAAACTCGGATCTGACCACATACATCTAAACTATTACGACGACTGTTTACGACGACTATATTTTACAACTACTCTTTTTTTCTGCTGCTACTTCAGGCCGACGGCTCGGAAGAAATCGAGGCCATCACTCTGGCCGACGTGTTGACGCGCGGCGGGATTCAAGTGACGCTAGCCACAGTCGGGAGCAAGTCGAAAAATGTCGTGACCATGTCACGAGGCGTCATGGTGCAGGGCGACGCGGCTATTGAGGAATGTGCCGGCAAGAGCTTCGACCTCGTCGTGTGCCCAGGCGTGAGTGTATTTCGGCCACTATTTGCTCGAGGATTTTTTCGTAATTATTTATGATTCGTATTGTATAATTTACATTTCTATTGCAATATTACCATAGGGCATGCCGGGCGCAGAGCATCTTCGTGACTCGAAAGAGGTGGTGGCGTTGCTGCAGAAGCAAAAAGAGGACGGCAAATTGTACGGCGCCATTTGCGCCGCGCCAGCTGTTGTGCTGCACACGCACGGACTGCTGCCTCCTGGTGGTGCTACATGCTACCCGAGCTTCGAGTCCAAGATGACAGGTGTGGACTACAAACACGAGACCGTTGTGGTGAACGGCAATTGTGTGACTAGTCAAGGTCCTGGAACTGCCATGGCCATGGGAGTGAAGCTCGTGGAGCTGCTCTGCAACCGCGAGAAAGCCCAGTCGGTCGCTGATGGATTGCTCATCACCCCGGTGCCGTAACGAATGCTGCGTTTATGTTGCAATGATGGTCCTGGAAAAGGAGCGCATTTTGTGCTGCCGAAACTGGCAAACGATGAAGAGCTCCATTGAAGAATGTACACTGGCAGATCAATGCGTTACGCCATCTACTTGTCTACTCTCCTGTCCAGATTGTTGAGGTAATCGACCATTGGAAGGTGCTAGCGGTTCTGTGACGACGGTGACCTGGATAAGGTCCTTGACCAGTGTACCATGTTATCGATAGCCACGATCGAAGTCGCATCTGGTCAACCTGCTCAATCTGAGGTAGCAGCATCGAGGCCTTATACGATCTAGGTTCTGCATCGACCTTTCCACCTTCATCGAGCCGAGTCACGGTGATTGCTACTGAAGCTCAGATAGCATTGTTACTCCTGACGAGTCAAGTCGTCATCCGTGTTCCAGTCATTGCGGAGGACACTACCCGGACGTTATGTCTGGGGTTCTGCTCGTCAAAGTGTCGAGTGCCAGTGATAGGCACACATACCCCGCAAGCAAGATCCGCACTGACTGAACTTTGTACCACCACCAATCACAAACGATACTGTCAGTCCAATCCCTTTGCCCGAACACTGCATTGCTGCAGTCATCTATCAAGAAAGGCGCTGGCTTTACGCGAACCAATACAGAAAGCAATGACACCGCATGTGAAACGGCAGACCGACCCTTTTCTTGAGGTAAAAGATGCCGCAATGACAACTGAGACCCCAAGGCGATGGTGATCACATGTACTGCTTCAATCAACACATTGGTTCGTGTCGACATGAACCCCTTCCTGTTTCAAAACACCGAAGAATCCACTGGAAACTTTGGGATGTTAGGACAAGTGTGTACTTGCCCGGCTCAACGGTTATTCCATGATCTACCGCCTACGGTCCCCACACGGTGGGAAGTTTATCCGTCGACGACGAAATCAGGAGCCAGTAGAAACGACCTGGTTGCCTTCCAACACCATAGCCACCACGTCATGATTCGACGTAAATGAAGGACTTGGTGAGGATTGGTGCACTGGCCGCACCAACTTTGCAGTCGTCTCTCGATGCCATTCAGTACTTTGCAGCTCACAACGGGCTGACCAACTCATTGCTTGCAGTTGTGGCATAGACGGCAGGACGTCCGAGCCAAGAAGCCCAGGAGTGATGGATACGTGGCTTGCAGTGGCTGTCGAAGACGAACGAAAGTCCGTGCAGTCCGGATGGCAACACCATTGACGAGCACGTTGCAATCACCGAAGCAGTGGGTGAAAGTGCATTTGATACAGACAATGTCGGTGTTAAACCGGTTGAGATGAAGCTTCTACTAAGATCGTCACGCTTGAGTATGACGCGCTCTACGAGTGCTCTTCGTCGAGTTGTCGGCCAAAATCAACGCGTCCGCTCTGGAAGCAAGCCAAATCGTTCGTCAAGCAGGTAGAGCTCATAGCTGCAACAGCAAGTGGCCAATATCTTGATCGCCAATGGACACGAGCGACGAGCAATCAACAGCTGCCTTCTCTGAGAATGTCGCTTCAAAGCTTTGATTCCGTGGTCTTGTTCGCTGCATTCGATTGCATGATGATCTCGGCACGAGCAGTCTGCCTCACAGCGCCGGTTCCAATACTCTGATCTCCAGTTCGACACTCGATCAGCACATGAAGCTACGGTAGCCGTCAGGATCCGACTACGAACGCAGCAGACGCCAGAACGAAGGCACTCGAAAGCGAAGAAGGTGCATCGAGTTACAACTGCAGATTTCCAGGTGTTAAGTCGGATCAGCCAAGTTTGTCGAGTGCCAACCAATGTAGCAATCGACAAACTCAATGCACCACCATGGCGGAAAGTCTTGCACTCGTGCGATGACAACCTCAACAACTCCTGCTGGTTCCTTCCAACTCCACATTCGTTACTGACCTTCGCGTCTAATGCCGCCACTTGATCTCGTGGCCATTTGCCATCGGTGGCTCAAGGAAGCCTCGGAATGAATGCGTTTCCGCGTCCCATCGAGCTCCGTACCCCAATGCATTGCGGATTTCCATCGTCGCATGCGCGTGGGGGAGACTGTGAATGTTTTTCCACGTGGCACAGGCTAAAATTTTACGAACTTTTGTCTCCGCAATAGCGTTCTTGGCATGGTCGTTTCCCTCGAGCTTACCCCACCAGCCACTCGAACTTCGCGCACAGTGTTTGCTAAATGCTCGTGCACCGACCATTAGCGGCTCCTTTGGTGTGTGGCGCTGTGTAAATGCTGTAAGACATTGACGGAGTGTAAGCGGAGGTATCTTGCGGCTCCCTACGGTCTGCTGAAAGCCCAACAAGGTCAAAAGTCCACGTGAGCCTCCAATTCTGTCCACAAGTGACGTCACCACCGCCAGAGTAGCTTCCTCTACGCCAGTCTGAATCGTGGCGACGAACTCGTGAATGACGTCGGTAGAGATGGCAAGGACCCTTTGTCTGCTCGTGAACTCCGGCGTCACGCCTTCGATTGCCAGTGCCAGAACATCAGCTGGATCCGTCCCTGTTGATAGTGACAAGAGCGGGTTCGTGCCGGTCGCGTTCCACACACTCAGGATCACCGCCAACTGCGTCACATACGCTGCGCCCGATATTCCCACTAAGATTTCGTGGACTGCCCTCCCACCTGTGACGTCGTCTTCTCCATTGCTGCCTTTTGTATCGTCGACGTTGTCGTCGTCGCGATGCAGCATCTGGGCTCGGAATCGAGCGGGATCTTCAGCATCCTGGACGGACTGTTCGCTCGCAAAGTACGTTCGCAGAGCTCGCTCAACGCAAATCGACGGAGATGCGTGCGCTGGAAGAACCGATTGCGACTGCATCTTTTCGAAGTGGCTGTGCCACATGTGACGTGTCAATCAGTGGCAGGGCCACGGTGACCAACCATCGTGACTCGCACGAGCTCATTCTGAAGTTTGCCAGACCGTCTGATGTACATAGCCGCGCATAAAGCTTCGAAAAAGAACCGCCGATGTGCTGGCATTGAGCAGCTGAAGCTGTTGTCGGAAAAACATCTTCGTAGCGGCAGTCGATGGGTGAAGAAACGCAGTCACGCGAGGATGACGTCTTGTGTACAGTCGCCATTGCGGCGAGTCGCCTGCAAACTCATTCTAGTCATGATGGTCTCACTCTCTCGTTCGTCCGACTGATTCGGACAGTCGTCATTGATGCTGATTCCAACACTCATCATGGTAACTGATCTCACAGTCGCCATTGCTGCTGGTCTCACGGCCGTCGAAGGTGCCGATGCGGCTGCCACGTGAGTGTTGACATGGCGCATTTTTCGCAGACGCAAGCGCTGTGGACTGCTGAGCAACGTCTCACAGAAGCGGCAGACGATGCTTCCATGATGACAGCCAGCACTATGTATTTTACACCCCCATCACAAACAGAGCAGGATTGGACCGCGGCTGCAGGTGGAAGATACCGACTTTCCCACTTTGTTGAAAGATATTGATCCAGACGCGACACTTTCGTCGCAGTTGCGCGCAGTGGAGATCCACGGTCTGATAATTCGAAGCACGCTCGTTTGTGCGATCGAGATCGAAGCTCAGGAGCGACAGACTGGCTGTTCAAGCAGCCCGAAATCGGTGGACGGCACTCAGGAAGAGGCCAAAGATATTGGCTGCCGGGCCTCAGACTCTAACAGCGGCGGGTAGAAAAGACATGGCGTGTCATGTGCGTCGACCTGGCCGTTTTCTTGTCCACGCACCGGTGGTGCGCCCATGCTCTGGCCTCCGTCTCGTCTGTACCGTGAAACCCGTGGCAGGCGTGTAATCACTGCGTTTAGTCTGTCGCGTACGTACGTGTCGTTCGTAACATCCAGACTCAAGAAGGGGGAAACTCCGCTTGCGCACGTAGCTCTGACCGGCTGACCCCCCCCTCTCTCTCTCCGCACGCTGGTGGTCCAAAGCATGACCTGAGGACGACTTCCACGCTGTCTGGACGCTTCTGGATCTTCCTGAAGCGTGACCGCGTAACGTCAATCCAGTCAGCAGAGCACGTTGGTGTCACAGCGGTCGCTACTGACACGATTGGCCCTCGGAAGCCTTTTAGGTGATCTTGATGCAGGCTCCATGTTTCCTTGCAAATTCGCCCTAAAGGAGGACACCAGACCGCTGAGCTACGTAAGATCAGTGACAAGAGGAAACAAAGCACGTCACACGTGTTGCCAGTAGAAGACTCGCTTGTATTGTTACATAAGGTTCTCTCGATTAAATAATTCTCTTCTTGCCGGAGCAACACACTCCGGCAATTCGGGTCACGAATTGCCACGTTCCGCCCTCTGTCCCTATACGGGACTGGCCTCTCATAGTTCGATCACGCTGTTCACGCACTAGGCACAGTTACTGAGACTCGACGTCGTCAGCGACTCCATTTCCTACGATGTAGCCCATAGCAGCTTGCAAACACGCCAAGTAGTACGCTGCTTCCGACCCGTCCTGAGTCTCGTCAATAGCATACTGCTCCATCAGATACACTTGCGAGTGCAAGTGCGGCAGCTCGCAGCGACTCAAGACATACACGAGCAACGGCAGCAGCACATCCGCTGAGATGCAGCCACTGTCCAGACCAAGACCTTCCTTCGCCTCGCTGTACAGCGTGCACACTGCACGCATGAACGACACGAGGACGCTTGAAGGCACGAGGTGCGGGATCTGGTTGAACGCAGCAATAGACTTGCTAAAGATCTCCTCTTCCTGAGCCTCCTCGACCAAAACCTCGACAGGCAAACCAACTTCCTTCAAGCTCGGCTTCCGCATCTTGCCCGTCTGTTCGCGCCACGAGGTATTGAGGTCGTCCAAATCCGCAGCTGTGCCGCGGTAACACGCACACGCGAGTCTGCTAAAGACCATGTGCTCGACAAACACACGAAGCGCTGGCAGCAGCGTCTTGACCAGCTTCGCTTCGACCGCCACGGCACTCACAATCTCCTGAACGAGTGAGTGCATCACATCTCGCGCTTCCCGGTCGTCAAAGATCGTCTCAGGGCCAGACTGGCTGCTCGCCCGTGTGAACGACCGCATGGTCGTCAAGCAAAGCTTGTCCAGCGCCTTCTTGAGCTCCGGTTTCAGCAGTTTCTGCCGACTCAGGAGCTTCTCAAAGCGCACGAGCGCCGGCGTCGGCTCGTCGTTTGCCAACGTCATGCTCTCCACTTGCGTCGTCAACAGCTGCTCGAGCGTGAGCCCTGCCGGCTCGAGGTTCTTCTGGCGATGCAGCTCCGTGAGCTTTCCGAGGTACTTGGCCTGCAGCTGCAGCACCTGTCGCAGCCAGTCTTCCGCCAGAAACGCACTGTTCGACTGCTGCTCCATGCCGTCCAAGAGCGACTGACTCGCGCCAAAGCTCCCTCGTTGACGCTGGGAAGAAGTGAGCGCCGCCTCGTCTGCTTCGTCCAGCGCCAGCATTGTCCGCATGTCGCTGAGCACGGCTAGCAGGCGGTTGCCCGTTGCGACTTCGGCCACGAGCTGCATCTGCAGCAGCGCGACCTGGTCGCGGCGACTCGAGCTGAGCCAGCAGCTGACGCTGCGCAGGAGCTCGCGGCGCTTGGACAGCCGCGCCTTGCGCTTCAAGACGTGCTGGCTCTCTTGCTGGATGCGGCGCGAGAGCAGCTCGAGTGCTGACGACGCGGCCGCGTTGTCCGCGACGGCCGCGTCAAAGCTGCGCCAGCGCCGCTGGCCGTTGTCGGCGGCTGGAATGGCGTGGTCCACCCCACCGAATGAGAAGGTGCTGGGGATGGACGTGCGCCGTCGCAGCGCAGCGGCTTCCGACTCGAGCAGGGCGGCGGACAGCGACGAGGCGGGCGCGACGACGGCCTTGGCGCTGAGCACGACGCGCTCGGCGGTGGAGGCGCTCGACATGTTGGGATTGTCTAGACCCATGGGGGAAGCAGAGCTGAAGCGGGGCGACAACTGGGCGACTTGGGCGCCAGAGAGAAAAAGCAACAATGACGCTCACTAGGGCGCGGGTGGGCAGCAAACTTGAGGAGAACGAAGCGCGGCAGAAAAGACGGGTCTTGATTTCAGGCACGTGCGATACGTTTGGGCGTGCGTGGGGGGCAGAATCCGTGCCGCACTTGACTGACTGCATGCGTTGTTGCAGGGTATCGACTGTAAGAGGCCGTCGAGGGTCCAACGGCATACAACATTCAAGGTCAGGCCAACCGCAGTCGCAGACCGCACGACTGTGTGGACTATCGAAATGGATGTATAGAGGTGGAGATTTGTATTTGCGTGCGACTACGGGGCGGACTGCAAGTGGTTGGCGCCACATGGTGTTCTCGTTGCACGAATTCGTGAGGACTCGATGACCAACGACGCCCTTGGAACAGACCGGCAGTCACACACACCGATGCTGCTTTTGCCTATACCCGCCGGCTGGCTGGATTGCGTGTATAGGTAAACAACCGACCCTCGGGGTGACTCACGCTGCCCCATGTTCACAGAAAGAAGGGTGCAAGCAGCTGCTGCTACTGGGCGGCCCCACCACATCTGCGTCTGGATTCTCGTCCAAAGTGCCCGTGGTCGTCGCAGTGACCACGATCTTTTGGGTGGCGGACACCCGGCCAGCTTTCGCATGAACGAAAATAAAATTAACGCTGTCTGTTTGTCTCTTTGTCTGTCTCTGGTTGTGTCCTACTGTGCCACTACTAGTGACTGCAGTGACGTCGTGCTGTAGGGCGGTAGTGACGAGCCGCGCCACCGCCTCGAGTGCGCACAAATGAGCCAGCGCCAAGCTCTTGGCGCACACTTGAGTCTGTGATCTGTTCGAACCCCGCCCTTTCTGACCCGCACGCATTGACCACCGCTTTGGCCCGATCGCCAAGATGCGGACCGAGAGAGTAGGGTACACACTGCGAGCAAACAAGCGAACAAGCAGGCGGGCGGACGGTGCTCGCCGCCACGTGGGGGTGGCTCATCGAACGACCTGCTTTGGCGTTGCAGGAGAGAAAAAGCGAAAGAAAGACCGAACAAATGAACGAAACTGTCGTGAGTCGTCTCCAGAAAAGGGATGGGTCTCGGTGCCGCCGTTTCGAATGAGCGTAGATCGCTTGACTGCCTGCCCAGTCTGACGCGAGAATGGGTGATAAGGAATAGAGCGGAGCGCCAGCGGACTTTACCCACCACCACAGATGCTGGCGACCGCGGCGGCAATCGAGCGAGCGAGCCATCGACTGGTCGAGCAACGACGTCTGTCTGTCGGTCTGTCTCGCACGCACGCACGCGAGTCTCGAGTCAGACAACAAAAGGACAGCGAGTGTTTCTGTTCTGCCCGCGGTGCTGCTCAGTGTGGAAGAGCCATCCGAATGGCCGCCCACACTATGGGGACAAAGGGATCCTCCGAAAGGCTCGGGCGGCAACACAGCAACGGCCGTTACATAGACGTTGATTGTCGAGATGACGGTTACCCCTGCACCGAGTTAACGCTTTAGACGCTGCTAACAGACCACGACGAGACTCCTCATCGAGCTAATCCCGAGGCCGACTTGTCTCTCATTGGGTCTTCTTGGCCTCCAGCTTCTGGAGCGCACGCTTGCGCAACGACAGGTGCGTCGTCATGGCGGTCTAGGGTACACAGCACGGCCACGTTGCAGCATAGTTATCGTCAGCAACGAAGTAGGGAAAAGAGAGGGCAGTCGATAGTGCACGACCAAAATAGCGACCAGCTACGTCCGTACCTTGCTCAATAGCCACGTAGGTACGCTCTCGTACACCCAAATCTGCAGTGCATGCGGCCAATAGGGCGAGAGCAGCGTGTCGTGGCCAAGGTGCGCCACTGACGCGCGCGCGTACGTCGCAGGCGACGGCACCAAGAAGCTCGATCGGCGGATCTTGGCCAGCTTTGTTGACACGAACATGGGCACGTGGCACTGGATCTGCACGTTCTTGGCACTGTATTCAGCTCCAAGACAGAGCGTGAATTGCTCAATGTACTTCTTCGTTGCACTGTACTCGCTGAGGAGCGGGACGACGAGACGACCCGAGCCGGAGCTGACGTTGACGATTACGCCACGTTGGCGCTGGGTCATGCCGGGAAGCACGAGCTTGGTCATGACCGTGGCGGCAGTCACGTTGAGCTTGATGAGACTGTCGACACGGTCTCCGGATAGCTGGTCAAAGAACTCGGGGAAGTCGTACGAGACACCGACGTTGTTAAAGAGCACGCCAATGTCCTTCACCTGGTCCAACGTCCTCTGTAGCTCCTCGCGGACACTGGAGTCGTCAATGCGGTTGAAGTCGACGGCCAAGATCTCGACCTGCACTTTGGGGTATTTGCTCAAGATCTCAGCACGTGCGTCCCCTAGACGGCTCTGCGTGCGGCTCATGAGCACCACATTCATTCCCTTGCGTGCTAGCTCCATGGCCAGTGCTTTACCAATGCCGTCAGTGGCGCCAGTGACCACGCCCCATTGACCAAAGCCCTTGAGGCTCTTGGCTGGACGCACGAAGAAGGTGTAGAGCGAACTTAGCAGACGGAAGGCGAAGCGTAAGAGCACTAGACAGCCAACAATGGTCGTGGCATTGAAGACTAAAGGAGACGAGGCCAGCAGATGAAGTACGCGGTCGAGCATCTTGATGTGACAAAGGATAGCAGCCACGGAAACTGAGTTGCAAAATCAAAGTCGTCAGTGTATGCTTTGTGCTTGATGTCAGACATCCGTACTTTCAACCCTCTCAAAAGTACTCCGACCGTACTTTTCCAAGGTTTGGTAAAGTAGCCACGACATTCGGTACAATACCGGTAAATACAGCCGCAAACGTGCCGCGATAAGAACGCGTCAGGAGACACTTCCCCATTTCACGTGGTGTAGTCGAGCCCACCATGACCAAGCGCCGCGCGGTCAGCAAGATGCTGACCATGTCGGATGGATACTGGGGTTTCGTGCACAAGAAGCGCTTCTACCGATGGTTGTACGCTTCACTGACGTTCTTTGCTATCTTTGCCGTGGTCGTGGCCTTCTTCGACGTGGGCGCTGGCACGTCGCACGCTGCTAAGTTCGTGGCGAGCAAGTACACACAAGGCGAGCTGGACGAGAACCAGCGACTGCTGCAGTGGATGTACGTCTTTTACCCGACGCCATTTGTCTTTTCCTGGTTCCTCGTCTACTTTGCCAAGTTCCTCTTTTGCTGGAAGATCAAGCGGTTGCGCAAGGCACGCAACTACAAGTACAACCTCATGCTGGCGTCGCTCCTCGTTGCCGTGTTCTACGCTGTGCTCTTGAAATCGGTGCTCAAGATGACGCTCTACTCGGGTCCGAAGCTACGTAGTGCCGTCGTCATTGGACTCTGTGAGCTTGGACTTGTGGGCATTGAGGTGTTTGATGAACGGAAGCTGCGCAAGGAGCGCCACGGACGAAAGAAGTTGCTCCGGGGTGAACAATCAGCTGAGAGGCAGACGCGAGGGCAACAGGAGCAAAAGGCAGATGGGTCGCAGGACTGGCCTCTCATAGACGCTAGCAATCCCGTGGGGATGCTGTAGGGCTTGCGCGTATGTCGTTGGCAAAAGCATCGATGCGTCCGCATGCAGTATTTAGGAAGGAGATGAGGCTTGTTACAATCTCGCAGCTGAATGGAATGGAATGGGCGGAGCTGTCGTCGTTCCCGTGCTTGTTCCCGATCAGTTGGAGCATCGCAGATCAGATCATGGATGCTGATGTATACAACGCTCAGGCAGTAGTTTGTCCGGATACCACTTTCGATGGTGAACCGCTGTTTGAAAATGTTAGCAGCACATAGAAACGCACATCAAATGTTCGTGCAGCTTCTATTTTTATTCGCGCGTACATCTTTTGCACGGAATTGTCAACAGTTCCAATGATTCGTGTGTGCTGAATGGAATCAGAACACATCTGTAAACTGATGCGCGTAATGCACGTAATTTAAGAGACTTTACATTACACTCTTTCGATAAAATACCGACCAACGCAGGAAAGCTCGGCATCGTACCGGTTAACAGCAAGTAAACTGCAGCCGGCACGTATCCGGAAGCCCCACGATATGCACGACTTAATTATCAGAAAATGAACCCATTACTTCGAAAAAACCCCGACGTCCTCCATTCCCTTTTGTCGCTCCAAAATGGGCAACGACCCCAGCAAGCAAAAACGGCCGTCGCAGCCAGCGCTGCCCTCCGACACCGAGAGTGGCGCCCACTCCATCTTAAGCGGCTCTGAACCGCTGACATCAATGGTCCCGGACCAGTTTACAGCGCTCTCGCAAGTGACCGACGCTCTGAGACGCAGCGGCCTCGAGAGTTGCAATCTCATGATCGGCATTGACTGTGCGTGGCTGCGTTTAAAAAACCTCACGTTCTTATTTGCGCGAAATGACAAAATGTGCTCCACATGTCCAGGCACGAAATCCAACGAGTGGAGTGGGAAACGGACGTTCGGTGGCCGCAGTCTGCACGAGATCGACGACCCGAGCGTCCAGAATCCGTACGAAGACGTCATTGAGACGCTCGGCAAGACACTGCAGGATTTTGGTGCGTCCGACCCGAGTCAAAAATGCAGTGCATTAGTGATGGTGTGGTTTACATAATACTCAGATCACGCTGGTTGTCCATGTGGTATAGACAAGGACAATTTGATTCCAGTATACGGCTTTGGCGACGAGTTGACGTGCGACCGCGCGGTGTTTTCGTTTGCTCAGCACGAAGACCAAGTTGGGTTTCCACTCGAGAGTCTTCGCGCTCGGTACCGAGAGGTGGTGCGGGACGTGATCATGGCAGGCCCCACCTCATTTGCTCCCATTATCAACGAGGCCGTGAATCTCGTGAACCGCACGGGAAAGTATCATATCCTCGTTATTATTGCCGATGGACAAGTGACGCGGTCGGTGGATATTCCACCTCATGCTGTGAGCAAGAATGAGAAGGAGACGATTGATGCTATTGCTTGTGCCAGCAACTTTCCATTGAGTATTATCATGGTGGGCGTGGGCGATGGTCCATGGGAGTCGATGATTTATTTTGACGATTACCTGATGCACAGGAAGTTTGACAACTTTCAATTCGTAGAGTACCACAAGATCACGTCGCAATTCAGTGACCCGCGGATGAAAGAAGCGCAGTTTGCATTGCAGGCGTTGATGGAGATACCTGATCAATATCGCACGATTAAAGAGATGAAGTATTTGGATCGTGGACCTAATCGAGAAGACACGAGACTTCCACGTGTAGACGTGTTTCCGCCGCCTCAACGAATGCAAAACGTTCATCGTAGTCACCACGACGGCATCACCCACCATTCTTTTTTGCAGCAGACACGTCGTGAACATACTGCAATGACAACAGGGCGATACGGGCAAGCAACATCTCCGTCAGCGCCGCTCTTCCATTCAGCAGATGGTGCGCGCAGTGGATTGGCACGCTCGACGATGCAGTCTCGTGTGTCGCGTGCTGAGGAAGAGCTCGCACGACTTCAAGATACATTGTTGTGCCCCATCTGCGAGGAGAGAAAGAAAGACATGATATTCCAATGCGGCCACGAAACGTGCCAGGAGTGCGGCAAGCTGATTGCGCTCTGCCCTTTGTGTCGGCAAGTGATTGAAGTGCGTATCAGACGTTTTGTCTAGCAGTCTGGCGATTTGAGCGTGTGGCGTCTAACGGGAATGACTGCGAAGACAGTTTGACCAGACAGGAGTGTATGCAAAGTGTCTGGAGCCCGCAATCGAGTAGTAGTCTGCGCCTCAAGTGTGTTGATTATTTTGATGGATCAAGAGTGCCAGCGGCAACCAACTGGACGAGATCGTCATTTTTGTCCAGCTTGTAAGCTTGAGCATGCATGAAACAAGACGGTCGGAACCAATCATGACAGTACGCAAGCAGGAATGGCGTCCTAGAGGATGGAAAATGAACTAGTTTGTGGACTTGAAGAATGTATTGCGGCCACTTCCGATGGCAACCACGTTACGATTCCGTTATCCTCAACGAGACTCGACCGACCGACCGACCAGCTATCTGGCTTTTGGCTGCTTTGTTTGTTTAGGGCGACACCAACGGCTGGTCGCGCTTCGCACCGTGACGAATGCATACCCCGTTGCGCACGGCACCTTTGTTGCAACCCTCCGCTTGGCAGCGTTTGCCGCCGCCGTGCGAGACACACAGTGTGCCACCCACGGCACTCTTGGAGCAACCTGTGACCTGACAGCGCTTGCCGCCGCCGTGTGCGATGCACAGTCCTCCCAGTAGTGCTGTCTTGGTGCAACCCGGCATCTGGCATTTGCGGCCTCCACCGTGGGCTGAGCAAAAGCCGCCGACAAGTGCCGATTTGGTACAATCTGCTTCGCTGCATCGCTTGCCACCACCGTGTGAAATGCATAGTCCACCTTGTTTGGCGCTCTTGTTGCAGTCTGGATGTGCGCAGCGCTTGCCGCCTCCGTGTGAGATGCAGAAGCCACCGGTTTTGGCGCTCTTCTCGCAAGCGTCGGCGCGGCAGAACCTACTTTGCTTGTGGTACTTGCAGAACGTGCCGCTCGGTCCGCGAATGGTACGATAGCAATCGGTCTTGGCGCACACTGTGTTGAGCATAGACGAGAGGTCGAAGCCGCCGCGTGAGCTTCCACCGGCGCTGCTGCTGCCGTCATCGTCATCCACCTCGGTGGTCTGCTTCATCTCCCCGTTGATGATAAAGCTGAGGCTCATAGCTGCGATGCCGCTGACAGCTTCACTATCGCCCTCATCCAAGTTGCGAAACGGCGAGTACACGGTACCGGTACTTGCAAACGTGTTGCGATGGGTCGTGCCCTCGTCGTCGTCGCTTGACATGCCAGAGTGGATGCAGTCGCCCGCCACAGCGTGCTCTGCGGGCAGCTTGGCGGGCGCTCGACCTGGACGAGCCAGTGTCTTGGTTTGTGGTGAATGCAATTGCTGGATCTGCGGGAGCACAGTGTGTTGGTAGACAGCTGGAGAGCCGAGGGTGGTGGCGGGCCGGTGGTCGGTAATAAATGATGGGAAGGTACTCGCGTGCATCAAGTGATGAGCGTCGAGTTGGGGTTTGGAAGCCGTGACTGAGTCTGGACTTAAGGAAGAGATACGACGCTGAGTCGTGGGGGGGGTGTAGTAGGATTCCGGTACAGGAAGAGCTACTGAGGCGGTTATATCTCTCGTTCCGGTGTTACGCGGGACGAGAAGATGGGGTGAGAGCAAAATCTCGAATGACGTCACATACTTCCGGATGGTCCCTTCCGGCTGGTCCGCCCCGGCCATTGGCACCGACATGCCTTTTTTTGTGCGCTGGAGCAGAGCGCGCCATTACCTGTCCCGTTTGCAAAGTTCGGTTGTGGCGCTGGTATCGCGTGCGAGATCAAGCATAGTACGGAAAGAGCGTTGACTCGGCACAAAAGTTTAGACTGAAAGCTGCTTTCGTGCTGAACGCGTCAGGACTTCACCTGACTGCTAAGGATCCGGATGCAAGCAGACGTAGCGGCCACTCGATCGATCAAGCGCGTGGGGTTGCTTGGCTGGCTAGTTCATGCTGCTGCTAGAATCTTCCAAGCTATTACTCTTACGCTGCTACAAGCACCAATGCTTCGCTAGACGTACCATCAGAGGTAGTGCGATGCATGCTGCTGCCTACGATCGCCGACATTTCGTCATGAAATCCATCGAAGCCTGCGTACGTACAACATGCCATTCGCAGAGGCGATACAGTGGAGCCTCCATGGCAAACGCACCCGGTGAGAGTAGTGCACGAGAATCCTGTGCGTGCGTGCATGCAAACGACCACGTGGGTCGATGCCACTCATCAGGCGTTTATGTGTTCACAATCAAGCTGTTGGCTTGTCCGGGGCCACAAGACCGTCGCCGTTCGCGATTGGTGTAGAAGCACTTTATTTTGCACCTGCGGCTCTGTCCAGCTCGTGGAGTCACATTCCTGGACGATCCAGCCGGCTTTCTGCCAGCTTCCTTATCACGATTCGTAGTAACGCGGGTGCTTGTTGTAGACTGTGCCAGCTCCGAGCTGACGCCCGGCTACAGAGCAAATCAACGGCGTTGTGCCGCAGAGAGCAGCGAGTAATGTTACAACGGGTACATTCGACGGTCACATTGTAAACGATTACGGTCCGAAGTCCACTGGAGCGGATGTTCGTCACAGGCCACGATAATTTCGTGCGTATCAGCCATGCTCATTGTATCAGTTGCGGCATGTGGATGATAGCGCACCGGCCGCTAGTAATGCGCTCAGTGGTCGGTTTTTGTGTGATTGCAGCTCATCGAGGCACTGTTTGGACGAGCGACTTCTTTTTTGATGGCCATGCTACCGGATCAAGCGATAGCGTACCACTCATTCTCCCTGCGCGTGTGACGATACCCATGTGAATATAGTATTCTCGTCGCTTCGATCGAGGACTCAACTTGAGCTCCAAGCTTTGTTGCTCAGCACAAAGTGGAGAAAGGCTCGTCGACGGCAGGTGATAGCCAGGACTTGTCGAGAGTTGCCGAAGCCTCGAGTCGCTTGAAGCGCTCGAGCGACGTGTAACTCGCACTAGAGATCGTGCGTTTGCGCTCACGCACGCCAATGGAGACTAGCTGCAATCTCACGAAGCAATCCAGGAGATTATTCGACGTCGCTCGGTGCTTGCGTTTCTTCTCGTGCGCGGTCATCACTCTTTGACCATGTGGTCCAAACGGGTTCCCACATCGTCGAACGACATCTGCGTCACTGTGCTCGTCCTTTGGCTCACCTGCTCGAATAGAGCAACTCGGGGCTCAATTACTAATGCAAAAACTGCAGCAGATGTCGTTCCTTATCCGGACGACAGTTCCAAGACTCAGCCTCCCGTCGAAGGACGTGCTCAAGAAACATGACGCAAACAAAACCTGATGGTCCGAGCTACTACCACTGGCTTTGCGTGGGAAGGAAAGTACTGCAACAAGGACTTGTGCATGTGTAATATCTGCTGCCACGATAGACGCGAAAGACATTTTTCACAGCGTGGTGCTGTCCAGAGCGACTACGGCGCGCTGTTAGTGAAGGAAAGGCTGGGCGTCAAGCAAACGAATTGAACAAGTGGTACAAGTGAGAAGTGTCTTTGAATGTCTCAGTCCTGCATCAGAAGTAGTACATCAGGTGACGAACGTATGCACATGGTGCAAGAGCAGAACGTGCATGTTACCGATGCCAAGTTTTGATGTGCGGAGCTTGTCAAACTGCGTAACTCGGTCAACGAGTAACCCCTTCTCACAGGGCTTTCTGTCATCACGTAGGCGCTGCTTTCACGTCTTTTTGATACATACACCAAGCCTGTATACTAAACACTGCTACGCCGGTTACGGTCTTGGTCGCATTGGACGTACCGACACAATAAACGCACCTGTTCGGGTGGTATAACAATTACCGTAACCGCAGCAAGTTTTGCAGGCGTTTAAACACTAAAAAAGCTGTTTCAGCGACGAAATGCGCTTACACTTCCGGCCGTCTCTTGTTTTGCATCTCGTCCAAACGACCCTGGAAACATTCAACCTCGTATGCAGTAAGTGCGATACCACCGTTTGTTAGTCGTCTTACAGCTGCAATCCCTAGTATCCCGTTAAGTGTTTGCAGCATCAAATGATAATGACAGAGTGCGAGCAGACTTACTGCAGCCATCTATAGACTGTCGTACTCCAGTCCTTACGCGTTGTTCAGAGCAGCAACACCCGGAAGCACCTTACCCTCGAGCAGTTCCAGGCTGGCACCTCCACCTGTGGAGATGTGGCTCATCTTGGAGCCGAGTCCGGCTTGCTCGACAGCGGCCACGGAATCACCGCCACCGACGATGGTGGTGACACCCTTTTCCGTGCTTGCTGCAAGAGTCTCAGCCACGCTGATCGTGCCCTTTGCAAACTTCGGGAACTCGAACACACCCATTGGACCATTCCACACAATCGTCCTGCACTCTTTGAGCTCCTTGGCAAAGGCGGCCTCCGAGTCTGGGCCAATGTCCAATCCAAGCCACTCAAGAGGGATAGCATCGGCTGCCACGACCTTCGACTGAGCCTCTGCATCAAACTTGTCAGCAACTACGACGTCAGTGGGAAGCACAATCTGCACACCGCGCTGCTTCGCCTCGTCCAGAATTGCCTTGGCAAGCGCCACCTTATCCCCCTCGACGATCGACTTGCCGACATCCAGACCTTGTGCTTTGTAAAACGTAAAGATCATACCGCCACCGATAATGATCTTGTCACATTTCTGCAACAACGACTTCAGCACAGGGATCTTTGTCGATACCTTAGCACCACCAATGACCGCACCCAACGGACGCGCTGGAGCGTCAACGGCACTTGACAAATACTTGAGCTCCTTCTCCATCAGGAATCCCGCCACATTGATCGCAATGTGCTTCGTCACACCTTCAGTCGAAGCATGAGCACGATGAGCCGTACCGAAGGCATCATTCACGTAGATATCAGCGCCATGGGCGAGCTGCTTGGCAAACTCGGCCTCGTTCTTCGTCTCCTGTGCGTAGAAACGCACGTTCTCAAGCAGCGCAATCTCTCCGTCCTCTAGCGCTTCAACTGCAGCGTCTACTTGAGGGCCAATACAGTCGTCCAGCTTCAAGACGGAGCTACCGAGTAACTCACTGAGGCGCGAAGCTACTGGCGTGAGCCGCAGCGCGTCCTTCACCTCACCGCCAGGACGGTCAAGATGCGAGCACAGAATGGTTCGAGCACCCGCTCCTTGCAGCAGCTTGAGCGTCGGCAGGACAGCGCGAATACGCGTATCGTCCGTGATGATGGCGGACGCCCCGTTCTTCTGGAGTGGCGCGTTCAAGTCGGCACGAACCAAGACACGCAGTCCCTTGAGACTCTGGCGCTGCACTAGCTGCTCGAGACTGAGCTTGGACGTGCTCATGGCGCGCGTGAGGGCGCAGGATACACGCGGCATCCGGGTACGCGTCTGCCATTGACGCCGCATTATTGAAAGGGGATGAGTGAGTGAGAGAGAGAGATCTGATTGGAGGAGGGAGAGACAGACGAGTCGACGAGGGGGTACGTGGGGGTACAGAAGAGTATGTTGATCGTAACGAGAGGTAATGAGTTAGAGAGGATATGATGTGAGACAGTTCTTTGGTTGCTGAAATGGGGGCTTCAGCTCGACTTGGTTGAAGCCGCTGGAAGTGTGTTGGACTGATGCTTTCAGCTTGCAATTCAAGAAAAAGACGTGTGTTTAGAACCCGCGATGGCTAGTCAAAGGACTGTATTGACGTCAAGGACTGGTTTACAAGCAATTGATCGAGTGGAATTTTGAATTGGCATGTACATCGTCAAACCCGACCTCGCATGGATGCTCGTGTTTCGAGCTGGCTGGAAGTATGTCAGGAACTGCGGGAGTCTGAATGGCGACATGCTTTGAGACGTATCGTACAGGTTATGTTTGTACATTACATTAGAAAGTCATCCTATCCGCCTGACAGCCACCCACGTACATCCAAGTTGCAAGCAGGATGATCTCATTTGGGCAAAGACTGGGGTTCGAGGCCTGCTTGGGAGAGCAATGCTGCGTCACGTACTACTGCAATAGGGGATGGCAACTTCGCGAAGATCGTTAGGTTCATTATAGTCGACATTGGTTCACAATTGTCCGCGCGATGATCGTAGAGGTTGGCTGCCCTTGTATCAACGAATCAGCATTTCAGAAGTATTTCGCAGCAAGAAATAAGGTCGAAATCGACAATGAGCTCGCAAGCCTCGTAGGTCTCTCCTCGAAAGACCTTACCCTATAGCACATGTACATTGCGACGCTGTCCTCTAAGTGGATAAAACGATCCCAATCTCGCTACGCTGATTCGCCAATATCGCCTCCCGTCCGTCCCACCAAAAGTGTAGCCACAAGCCACTCATCCTCGCTTTGACATGCTGCGCTGCGCTCAGTGGACGACTCATCGAGGCTCTCGCTTCCTCCAGTCCCAGCCGCCAATCACGCGATGTTTCCACCAATCATCCGTCTCCATGGCGCGTATCCTCTGCAGCGACCCCGTCGATCCCGTGTGCCCCGAACTCCTGCGCGCTGCAGGCCACGACGTCACGTGCAGCTCCTCCAGACTCTCTCATGCCGAATTAGTGGCGCAAGTGCCGGACTACGACGTGCTGATCGTGCGCTCTGGCTCCAGAGTGGACCGTCAAGTACTGGACGCTGCACAGAAGCTGCAGCTCATTGGCCGCGCGGGTACGGGGGTGGATAATATTGACCTGGTGAACGCGACGAAGCAGGGTGTGTTAGTGCTGAACACGCCGTCTGGCACGACGATCTCAGCTGCAGAGCTCACACTGGGTCTCATTGCTGCAGTCTCTCGCCTGGGACAGACAGACGGTGCAAAGCTGGTCGTGCGCAACTCGAAAATCCATGGCAAAACGCTCGGACTTGTTGGTCTTGGCCGCATTGGCCGGGAAGTTGCTACTCGATGCAATGCCTTTGGCATGAATGTCATCGGCTATGACCCTATTCTGTCCAATGCCAGCGCCAAGATGCATGGCATTGAGCCCGTATCGCTGGACGAACTCTTTTCCCGTAGCGACTACATTTCTCTCCATGTACCGCTGAATGCCAACACGAAACACTTGGTAAATGCACAGCGGCTGGGGCTTTGTAAAGATGGTATTAAGGTTGTGAACGGAGCAAGGGCAGGGTTGATTGACCACTCGGCGCTGCTGGAAGCTATGGAAAGCGGCAAGGTGGCGGGTGTGGCCTTTGACGTTGACCCACCGTCGCCTGCGTCGGAGACTTGGAAGAAACTCATGAGTCACGAGAATGTGATTGTGACACCGCACATTGGTGCGCTGACTACCGATGCACAAAAAAAAGTAGCGCGTGACTTGGCTTACAAGGTAAACGACGCGCTAGCAGGCAAGTCTTTTAAGGGTGTGCTTAACGCGCCTAACATTGATTTTGGCAAGCGCGAGGAGTTCATGCCTTTACTGTCACTTGCCGAAAAGCTTGGCAGCATGCAGGCGCAGCTGCTGGACGACAGTCGTCTCAAGCGCGTACTTGTCATTGCGGAGGGACCCAAGGTCACATCGTCTGAGCTCTCGGGACAGCTGGTAAAGGGTGTGATGAAGGGATTGCTATCGCACATGCTGGAGGAGGAGGTGACGTTTGCAAACGCGAAACAACTAGCTGACGTCATGGGCATCCAAACTGTGGAGCACAAGCACGACGAAGCCTCTGGCAGCAGCTTCTCGGACCAACTTACTGTTATCTTTGAGAAGGAGGACGGTACGTCGAAGAAGATCACGGGCACGGTGTTTGGCAAGGACCAGCTGCGTTTTGTGTCTTTCGACGATCTTCCCATGGATGCCATTCCGAGTGGATCCATGCTACTGTTCAATAACACTGACCAGCCTGGTGTGCTGCATAAAGTGACTTCAGTGCTAGCAAAGCACGAGATTAACATTGGCTGTTTTGGTCTGGCGCGAGAAGAATTTGGCACCGCTGCTGTTGGTGTGCTGAATGTTGACGAGGCCATTCCCGACACCGTTATAGAGGAACTGGAAGGGCTGGGCATGCTCACCAATCTTCGTCGTGTGAACTTGCTCGGGCTAGACACGACCCTCCCTGATCGCATATGGAAGAAGTTCTTGAAGCCGAGCGCGGGCGCTGTCGACGAAGGAGCTGCTAGAGCAGCAAAAGAAGCTGGAGTTGCTGTTGTGCACCACCCGAAACCACGCGCTAAGCCGACGTCACCGAACTTTGGCTCGGGACCTTGCAAGAAACGCCCAGGTTATTCACTCCGTTCTATTCCTGAAATCGTTCTAGGACGTAGTCACCGTTCGAAGCTCGGCAAGGGTTTGCTTGAGGAAGCCATTGTGCGCTCAAAAGAGATTTTGAAGCTTCCGGAAGATTACCGTCTCGGAATCGTGCCAGCCTCGGACACTGGTGCATTCGAGATGGCAATGTGGTCTATGCTGGGTGAACGTCCCGTGGATGTGTGCTATTGGGAGTCATTCGGTAAGCAGTGGTTCAAGGATGTTACTACGGAGCTCAAACTTGACAACGTGAGAGAGTTTAGTGCACCGTTTGGCCAAATCCCAGACCTCACTCAAGTGAACTGTGACCACGATGTGCTGTTCACGTGGAACGGCACTACCAGTGGTGTTCGCGTTCCTAACGCCGACTGGATTCCAAACGATCGCAAGGGTCTTATTTTTAACGATGCCACGTCAGCTGCGTTTGCCATGGACATTCCGTGGGACAAGATCGATGTGTGCACGTTTAGTTGGCAGAAGGTGCTTGGTGGCGAGGGTGGTCACGGCGTCATTATCTTGAGTCCCCGCGCAGTGGAACGTCTGGAGTCGTTCGTGCCTGAGGACCGCCCGATTCCCAAGATTTTCCGCATGACAAACGCTAGTACGGGCAAGCTTCTGGAAGGTATCTTCGAGGGTAGCACCATCAACACGCCGTCAATGTTGTGCGTCGAGGACTACCTTGACGCCCTGCGCTGGGCCGAGAGCGTTGGGGGCCAGGACGGACTGATTGCAATTTCGCAGCGCAACTTGAAGGTGATCGAAGACTTTGCTGCCGATAACTCAAGATGGTTTCGATTCCTCGCGGCCAATAAGGAGACTCGTTCCAGCACGTCCGTATGCGTGCTGATCGACGGTCTGTCGAAAGAGGAGGTAAAGCAGATGCAGGTGCTGCTGGAGCGCGAACAGGTTGCGTATGACGTGGGTTCATACCGAGATGCTCCGCCCGGACTGCGTATCTGGTGCGGCGCTACGGTAGAGACCAAAGACCTGGAAGCTCTGTTGCCGTGGATCAAGTGGGCATACCTCGAGGTGAAGAGCGCCCGAGACGCTAAGACCGAGGAGGTTGGCGAGTAGATAAGCTCGGATCGCCAACACAAGTTGAGAAGGGATGTGCTGCTGCTGTCGTCTCGGTGCAATTGGCGGTACCTGAGACGATGTTCTACTTGATGAGGTATCTCCAAGACATGCAGCTTGAGTACAACTGCTGTGGTAAATCCCGTAAAGTCTCTTTCGACAGACGACATGTGGGCTTCGTTCTCGTCTGTACTGCGTGCGATACCAAGTACTGTCGAGTCTGTTAACAGAATGCGAGGACTTCAACAACTACCTAAGCTCCCTATTGCCATACTTGGCAAGTGCAGTGCAGATAGCGATGATCAGCGTATGTGTTACCAGATGAAGAGTGCGGATAATCAATGAGTGCCCAAATTAGTGGTCTGCAGCAACGGTCGTGGCGATACAAGAGACAATACCGTCTGTGGTTTGGGTACTACCAAACGTCCTTTTTCTACTGGCACCTGCGCAGACGATCCACTGCTGATCACAACATATGGAGGTTTCTTACTCTATCTCAGTACGTTTATTTTGGGGCATGTTGACGCGACCTCTTTATATTGATACGCACAAGTCCTCGAGTTATTATGGATGTCTCTCTCATTTTACTTCGCCCAATCACAACCAACCAACCAGCCGATCAACCAACTATCTGAATCACAATAATCAACTGAGTACCCACTTCCCTATTCGCCATGCGCCAATCCCATGGAGGACATGGAGGCAGCAGCAAGTGGCAGCACGTCCAGCAGCAGCAGCAACAGCTGCCATACCACGTAGAAGCTCGAGCGCCTGTAGCCCCGGCCGATGCCGCTCGAGTGCAGAGAGACGTTGTGGCTTTTATTGAAGCTTTTCGAGCCAATCAGTCGCACCCAGCGGCGCCACCGAATGCACTGACGCTCGACGTTGTCGTCCGAGCAGTTTGCAGTCATTTCCGTACGCTCGAGTCATTGTAGCCATTCTGCAGCCAATTTGTATGCTGACAATTGCTCCATGTTTGTACGGCAGGTGTAGCCACATTTGAAGACTTGATGGGCACAAGCGCTCTGCAGCTGCCAGCGCTAAGACAACTGCACACTGTGAACCAACGCGTGTGGATGTTCGTCACCTGCTTCATGCAAAGCCGTCGCATCCACACGCTCTTGGAGTGTCAACATGCTTTTTTACAGCATGAGGGACTGCGGTCTTTTCACGAGCTCAAGCTTGGCAATTCGTTCTTGCACACTGAAGCTGTGCAACAACTGTATCATTCGCCTGTTGTCGTGATGAACATCACGACGAAAGAAGTGCTAGGATGTTTGCGTCAGTTTGGAGAGATGCTAGGTCGTGATGCCTTCCGGTCGTCTTCACACATTGACCTGCATGAGTTTGGCCAGTATTTGGCGCAAACCTACAGACAGCCAAGTGCACAGGCGATGGGTGTGGCCATCGATCCATCTGGATTTGGCGTCTATGTTGGCATGCTGCGTCGTATTGCCAATCACGAGATGAAAGAGATGAAGACGCTGGAGCAACAGCTGCAACGTGAAGTTGCAGAAAAGCTGTTTCGAATTACTAAGGAGAAATTCAGCGACGACAATCGACAACAGGCGCTGAAGGAACTACTTGAGCAGACCAATGGACGGTCGAGTCAGCAGGAGAACGATGAGGTTTCGCATCATAGACGTCAAGGCAAGAAGGGCAGCATGCAGTCGCTCTCGTTGGATATGCTCAAGCGCGTTACTGATGTCGATGTGTACCTGGACAACGTGCTGCGGCGTAAAGCTGCGGTAGATGCGAAGAGCCAACAGAAGTTTTGCAAACCCATCTCATCGCAGGAGATTGCGGAGACCGACTCGAAGCTTCGCAATCAGCTGTCGCGGTTTCTGACATCATCCCAAAAAAGCCGACACCACTCGAGGCTCAAGGTCGTGACATGGGTGATCTGCAGTATCATGGCGAAAACGTATGCGCTGCTGCTAAGTGATGACAAATTGCCCGATGACGATGGTTTGGACGGAGGAAAGTCGGCGGCTGTCGATGAGCTAGAAAGTGACAAGGAGGAGTGCGATTGTTGCTGTCTAGGCGAAGACTCTTGCACGTGTTCGTGCAGTTGTAAGTGTCATGTGGAATCTAGCGATGACGAAGGTGAAGACAACGACCGTCAAGACAACGAGGCGAAAATGGAGTCCAACACTTCGGGGAACACTGATCAGTTCCCTGCTATGCCGACTGACCCTTTTACTAAGAGGTATGGGAAAATCACTCTAGAAGAGGACGTGACGCTCGAAGACGTGCAGGCTGAGATCGAGAGCTTTTCCAATATTCAACAGTCACGTGACAACCCGCCTCAGACAGAAAAAGACGTGCTGCTGGTTTTGTCGTCTCTCGAAAACCATTTGATCAGTAAGTTTTCTGCCAAGCGCAGTACTATTACTTGGGCAGGGCGGCGATCCGTGCTGGAACTTCTGTCCCATCTCCTCAGCGATGTTGGAGACGAAAGTGACGAAAGCGGATTCAGTGCAGGTAGGTGGCTGCTTGGCCTGATGCGTTCTGCAGTGCGAAATGACCGTGACAACTGCCCGTCGAAAGAGATGGTCGGAAAGAAGCGTTTGCATCACGATGTCATGCCATTCGTTCGGGAGTGCTATGCTACCATCTCATCGTCTTCCGCGCTGTCATCGCTGTCCAGCGAAAAGCAGCAACAATGGATCGCTCATCGAATTCGTGTCGCGCTTGGATGCGTGCGCACTGAGGATTGCGGACTTCCGAGCGTTGAAGAATTGACCAATCTGGTAGACCAGGACCCTTGTGAAGTCAACAGTTCGGTGATTAAGTACGCTGGCAGCTTCGATATCAGCCTTGATGTCAGCGTGTACGACGATGCAGTCGCGCAAGAAGGTGCAACAGGTGAGTCGATGCGAAAGCTCTTGGCAGAGCAAGCGCTGGAAAAACTGCGCAAATGCCCGTACTTGGTTGATGTATCACTGTATATGGATTGGCAAGAGCGTTATGCCCCGATATGTGGAGCGTTGCTTTTGTTTATCCGGGTGCATGAAATGATTTTACTTGATCATGCATCATCAAACAACTTTCTGTTTGTGTGCTGTATAGACGGCACGATATTGCGCGTGAATGAGAAGTCAACGTCGTCCGATCTTGAAATGCTGTTTGCTCGAGCACAGGCAGAGCAAACCCCTGTGGCTGCCAGCCAGATAGCAATCCACTTAGTGTCGATACTGGTGACATGCAAGGGCCATGCTAATTTCCCCAAACAGCTTGTTAAAGCTCACTTATGTGCCCACTTGTCCGAGTGTGCCAAGGGTCAGACAGTTGATAGCTACAGACAACGCTTTGTCGTAGAGGTGCTCATGGATACACCCGTGGAGTTTGCGGACTTCATGACGTCGTTACTGTTTGATGTCGTCCGACAAGGCCCTTCGTCGGACGTCTTGGATGATATGGCTGTTGCAGACCAAATCTGGAAAGCTTGCCAAAGCGATGCAGAGCGAAAAATGCTTGTGCTAATATCGAGCCGAAGCTTGTCGCCGTTGTGGATGGAACAGACGGAGAAATGGTGCACGAGGCGTGAGAATCTGACCATTGTAACCGTGGAAGATACTTCTGGCGATTGGTCGGACGACAGAGGCAAAGGTATGACAGCGACTGAGTCAAAGTCTGCGCTACCCGGTCATCCAAGCAACGTCAGCAACAAAGCCGATGACATTGGCGTAGTTTGTCATCTCTTAGACACTTTTGATTCGGAAGCAGCGTCTCAAGGCTTTTCCGATGACCGACTTGATCGTAACACTGTCGAAAGTGAACCTTCAGCAAGGGATGTTGCCAGTGCCGATTCGTGTCGTTCGTTCATTGACGAGTTACGCAAAAAGCAGTTCGGTGTTGGGCTTCACATTGAGGATGAGGCAGCGACGTCGGTGCTGCTTATCCAGCAGCAGCGACTTGAGCGTGCCCTCAAGCGGCTGAGTGACGAGCTCTACAGTGAAAGCACACACTTCGTTCTCGAGTTGTTGCAGAACGCCGATGATAACGCTTATGATGACGCTGTGGTTCCACTGGGCGAGTTTACGGTAACGGCAGACAAGCACATTGTGTTTTACAACAACGAAAGGGGATTCTCACCAGAAAATGTCCGGGCAATTTGCGATGTGGGTGCATCTACGAAGGCTACAACTGATTCGGAGGCAAGTATCGGCAAGAAAGGTATCGGTTTCAAGAGCGTCTTCAAGGTATCCGACAACCCGCAGGTGCACTCGAACGGATTCCACATTAGCTTCCATGCCAAGAACTCTCAGCATGGTAGTGGTATGGGGTATATCTTGCCGTATTGGATGGATGATGTTACTCAATGGGAACAGCGTTGCGGCACGACGTTTGTGTTACCGCTAAACAGTGCGTCAGTGCATAGAGTGGATGATATCTCGCAGTCATTGATGGCATTAGAGCCGTCGGTGTTGCTCTTTCTTCGACGAATACGTGAGCTTCGTCTACGTGACTTGACTCGGCAGCACACTCATCATTTTCTCAAGAAAGAGAAGAAGCTGCATCGGAACACGCACATTGTCCTGTTGCTCTCGCGAGTAAAGAAGGATGAGGAAAGCGCGAAGGTAGCGCAGCAAAACTGGTTGGTGGTGAAGAATGAACTGGAACCACCGCTTCTCTTTCATCGCAGTCACCCGACCGAGATCGCGCTTGCCCTTCCCATTTCTGGTCAAGGAGTAAAGCTTGGCGGGCGAATTGACCGACCGCCACTTCAGCACGTTTTCGCGTACTTGCCACTGCGGTCTTATGGTTTTCGGTTTATTCTACAAGGCGACTTTGAAATTCCGAGTTCACGAGAAGCGATTACGAATGGGAGTGAGTGGAATGAGTGGCTCGTATCCAAGCTCCCCGCACTTGTATGCGCTGCTGTGAGTAGTTACATTTCAACTATTGAGAGAGATGAAGAGTGTAACGCGAAATTGTGTGCTGAGCAAGCGATATCTGCGATCTCACACCTCCTGTCGTTGCTGCCTCTCGAAAACGAGGTGCAAGCTCCCTTCCGGAGCATTGTTCCAGAGGTCATGCGTGAATTACGCCAAGTCAAGTGGCTAGCTGGTGCTTCATGTGATCCATGTTCATTGGTCGTGGACCTGTTTATGCCATCCGGGTTGATCGATTGCGCGGAGCTGACGGAGAATGATCAGGCCAGCGAAAGTATGATGACGCTGTTGGAAGCTCTTGGTGAAGACACTATTGCGTCAACACTTAACAAGCGCTTCCTACACCCTGCTCTTTCCCGAACCATGTCGATATCGATGAAAAGACAGTTGCGGATTGAGCAGCTCCACACCTTGCATCTGATGCAAGTTCTGTCGCTATCGGCAGACAAGAATGATATTGACTGGACCGTGGCAGTGTTGTCATTGCTTGCAAAGCTTTGGCAAAGCGATCGCCAGTCGCACTTACGTCGAGAGGAGCTGCGGTTGATCAAGTGCTTCCCGTTGCAGCAATCAGGCAACAAGGACTCGAGCATCAGGTGGATCTCGTTAGCTGACGGTCACGACTCTCTCTTTGTACCGGGCAATCAAGCTGATGACTATGGCTTGACTCGCGACAAATCGTACGAATTTTACAGCGACCTCCGCATTTTGGATGACAGATTTACGAAGGCTGCTTTCAAGAGCTCGAAGCTGCGCGCTTTTCTGATAAATCACGTAGGTATCCACGTAATGGAGGATCATGACTTGATGCGGCACCACATCCTTCCAGCGATGGCGATGCTGCGTTCGCCTACTGAATTGGTGAACGATGGAGATCTTGGAAAGGTGGATGCTGGCGTGGTTATTCAGTACGGAAAGTTTGTATCGTCGCATCTGGAATCGTGCATCAATTGTCCGATGCACAAGGATATAAAAGCCAACATGGTCGTTGCAACCACCGACGGTCGAGTCTTGGCGGTCGACGCGTCGAACTTGTTCGTTGTCTTACCGTCCACATATGAAAGTGTGTCCCAGCTACAGCCATGGATCACGACAAAAATCGAGGCTTCTAGCTCAGACGGGAACGTCTTTGGCATTGTTTCCAGCGGTTATTTCTCTGGCAATGGCAGCACGACTGACAGTTGTCCTACGAAAACCTTGGATAAACGATGGCGGGAACTACTGGTCGATGTTAACGAGTTGTCCCTGCTGTTTGACGTTGCGAGTCTTTTGACGGATTCGCGCTCACAGGCTGGAATGAAGCAATTGCTCGGGTGGATCGAAAGCGAGGACGATATTGCACTGAAGCGCAGCATGTCGAAGCTTTTGGCAGAACTTATGGATCAACTTTGGAGAACGCAAGAAAGCGATGCTGGCCTTGATCGCTCCTCCTGCATTACTACTTCCGGTGATGAATCGGATGACACTTTTAGCTGGTGGCGACGGTATTTCTGGCTGGAAGGGTCTGATGGGAACTTTTACCGCCCGATTGATCTGTGGATGTCAGTGGAGTCGGTCACACACTTGTTCACGCCTGCCATGGTTGCATTTACGTCAACGGCGTGGAAGAGCAAAGACTTTGCTAGACGGGTTCTTGGCCTGCAAGCGGACGTATCTGTTTCTCACGTGATTTCCACTATCTCAGATCTGTCCGTTGATCCAACGTTGGTGTCCACACTGGAAATCGATCAAGTCATTCGGATGTACAAGTTCTTGTGGGAAGAAAGTCAACGCTTGGAAGCTTGTTGTGACGAGATCATGAAGGCGTTCTCGTGCAAAATGCTACTCTTTGTTCCGGCCATGACCGATTCGCATGAAAGTCGGAATCGCTTCATAAGTGTAAAGAATGTAGTATGGTCATCGTCGGTGCACTATGATGAGCTGATTGCCTTGGAAACTCACTACCCCAAAACGCTTTGTGGGTTCTTTACCGAGATATGCGGCGTACAACGGAAACCATCGATTTCGTTCTTGTGCAAAGTCATTACCAAACAAGCGGCTTGCATGACAGGCAGTAGCAGTAGCGAACGAAGCGGACACAAGAACATCAGTTTGTGGAAGAAGCGTCTACTACCGCTTTTGTGCGCAGTGTCAAAGCACGTGAAAAAGCACTCGCTCTCCAAGGTGGAGACCAAAGAAATCAAGAAGACCCTTAAGTCGACTCCTTGGCTACCAGCACGAACTCTGGATGGATCTCGTGATGGTGTCGTGTTTTGTAGCTCAAGGGACCAGCCTATACTAGCGGTGACGGAGAACGAGAAGAAGCTGCAGAAGCTGATTTTCTCTATTGCGAAGGATGTCTGCGCGGCCCATGATTTGGACGTTGACAAAGATCAACAGGTACCGGAGGGCGGAGAAGACATCAAAATCGTTCAGCTGAAAGTTGTTGAGGGCGATGGAGATCTCAATGCGCTGCTTGATTTCGCGAATATCATGACGTTATCCGTCCACCTCGAGGCCAATGTGAGCTCCTGGTGTAAAGCGTTTGTCCGCTTTACGAAATCTTTTCAGCTCGACAGCAAGAGGGGGAAAACGAAGCTGCTGAAGCTCGGACAGCTCTTGATCAAAGCATGGGCTAGTGCGTCCTTCTCGCTTTCGTCGAGTGGCGAGCACGAGATTCAATGGAGCTTGCAGCATGCACATATCTTCCCGACGATTGATGATCCTCATCGATGGGAGCTTGCCTCCAATATTTACATTAATGACCAAACTGAGTTGTCCGAGCAAGATCTTCAACTGCTAGGTCAAGCTGGGCTGGCAGTGTTCGGATTGTTTGCATGGAACTATTTTGCTAATATTTCAGCAAGCAAAGAAGAAAACAGCGAGGCGACGCGAGTGCACAAGTTCCTCACCAGATTTTGTGGCATGAAGTCGCTCAAAGAGCACTTGCAGTACGAAGTCACTGTACTCAGCACACAGCGACCAGCGAGCGAGGTATTCCATTTAAAGATTCGCACTGCCTTCGCTTTGGCCCAGCGATGTCTGTTCCACAACCACCGGCAGCTGTATAACCAGCTACATCACGACTCGATCGCAAAACTAGCATCAGAACTGCAGTGTGTTCTGGTTGATGGTCAGGATGGGTTTCAAGTGGTATATCGGGTTGGCAGTTCGTTCAGCGTTCGCCGTGAAATGAACTCGTTATCACGTTGCTTCCTTGATGTCCAGAAAAATACCCTGTACTTGTCATTCGTGACGGGGGACGAAGAAGCGAGTGCACTCTCTGTGGTGTTAATGGAGCTATCCCGGAAGCTTTTTGGCAGTCAAGTGGCTGCTAGTGTTGCGAACGTGCTATATCCCAGCTTGATGCAGCCAGATACTTTCTTGAGGGAGCAGTGGCTAGTCGAAACGCAACTTTTGCCTCCGTTATCTGCCAGTGAAGCTGGAAGTTTGTGGGTGGACCATTGTTCCTCGACGTGTACGCTTTCTGGTGCTACTGGTCATAAGCGAGCGTTGGAAGACATTGAAGATGGCGAGATCGCTGCTGAGAATGGTCCTGTGAAAAAGTGCTTTGCGGTACAGCAGAGCTACATCGAGCAACAAGACACGTCGCTGTCTTCAACAAGCTACACAGCCACCGATAGGGAAAAGTATGATATGCAAGCACAGAGCCTTCCGTACCCGCCACTTCCACCGCAGCTAGCAAACGGGAACGCTAATGGAGCACAGTATCATACGCCGCTATCCGCTTCATCATTTTCTGGACCTATCACACAGTCTCTGTCATTGTCGAACACGATGACGAAGGAGGAGCGAGTCGCTATCGGTCGCTGGGGTGAGGAGTACGTGTTTAACCAGCTCAAGCAGCAGCAAGCGGATAATGAGTCGAACCTGACTGTCGAGTGGATGAACGAAATGGAGGAATCTGGTCTCCCGTATGACCTCACGTTGTCCGCCGGAAACAAAGTGGTGGAGTTTATCGAGGTGAAGTCCACCCGGACAATGGAGAAGGGTGTGTTCGAGATCAGTATGAATGAACTGGACCAGGCAGCAACCCACGGTTCCACATACTGCATTTATCGAGTGTTTAACGCAGGCAACTCCGCATTGTGCCGAGTGATTCGTATGAAAAACCCTGTATCGCTAGTGCGCCAACGCAAGATTCAGCTAGCACTTGTAATGCAGTAACATACGCAAATAATGATTAGAAAATGTATCTCAATATCAATTCGTTGCACGCGACGTACCCTGGAAAGCAATCACCTGACAACTTGCCTAGGTGTTGCAACCTATACGCTGTTACTCACTCCATAGTGTCCATGCCACTGGTACTGTCAATGATCATGCGCTCGCCACCTTGCTGATTGTGCATACTAGTTCTCGAGCGTCGATCCTTGTCCTTTTGTAAACGAGACTGGAATTTGGCGCTCGTGACGAGTTCTGCATCGATGCAACGTAGTTGCTGCGCCACCGTTACGAGTTTCGCCATCTCTTCCTGTAATTTTTTAGTTGCTTCACCCTGCAGTTCGTCTTTGTATGCGCTGCCGCCTTCACCCTCATGTACAAAACGAACCATGGCTTTCTGCTTGTCGATCACAGCATCCATCTGGCCGCTGGATATAAGCTTCAACAGCATCTTCTCGGTGCCCACCGCATCGCCGCTATTGATTGCTGCAGCTGCCGCAATCTCGGTCAACTCAATGGTCGCGTATGTGCGCGTAAGTTGAAGAACCTTTCGCTGCTTGAACGCATGTACGACTTGCTTCACGAGACCAAAATTGCCCTCTCGAGCAAATAGTTGCTCGTTCTTGACAATGACCGCCTGTACGGCTTCAATGTCCTTCTCAACAACAAAGGCATTGACTAAACTAGTATACGCCGTGCAATGACTTTCAACGTGACGCGTGACCACAAATGGCGTGTACTTTGGCAACACTACTGCTTCGCCACGCAGAATGAGCATCACCAGTACCATCTTCTTGTACGCTTCAATCACAAATGCACTGAGCGACACAGCAGGAGCTGTGATGGCAAGCTGAAGAAAGTCAAGCGCGTCCTGATATCGCTTCTTCCCGATATACAGCAGTCCGCCATAGTACGCATAGCCCAAGAAGTCGACACAATTGACAAGATGCGAGTGAGCATAGATCTCCACCAAGGTCCTGCGTCACAGATAAACAACAATGTCTTCAGAACCGCATGCCTTTGTACCCCACCCCCTCGTCCCAACCACAATACCAACACGTCAGCTCTTACTCGTCCAGCACCTCCGTAGCTGCAAAGTAGCACTTGGCATGTAGACATACATAGAAAAACAAAGCATGCAGCGGCGTGAGCGCCATATAGCCTTGCTCGTGGAAGCGGTGTAAGAAGCTCTTGAGCGCGAAAACAGTCGATATGCTCTGCTGCATGGCCACAGCCAGTCTCGTGTACCGGTCACACAGCACACTCATCCTCTTCATCTCCTTCATAGCCAATGCCACTGGAACATCGCAAAAAAGCTGCGAAACGTGCAGCAACACTTTGAACCCATCGGCTGCGTGCTCGTCCTCACGTCCCGCTTGTTCCACCTTGGTAGCCAGCGCTGACCTGTACAAACACCACACACCACATTAAACTCCGCCATTAAGGCGACAATTTTCATACTGTATAACTCACACGAGCAATAAAAAGCTTAGCGGCAGGCGCTTGACCGTAATCGCTTCGTGACTCAAGACGGCGTCCAATTGGGCGATAGAAGCCGCACGAACGGCCTCTGTGAGCTCTTCTTCGCCCAGAAGCTGCGCCAGCCTATCGTCAACGTACTTAGCGTCCCCTTCGCCATCACGAGCGCCCTCCTGGGACGCTAGATACGGTCGAATCGCCTGCAGCGGCCCCCACTCCATGACCCGCGCGACGAATGTGCGCCGAAAGCTCTTTTCTAGATGGAGCGAAGATGAAGTGTAGTTGGTGTACAACTGAGGTTCGCTCTAAGTACGAATCGACGCGAGTCAGCACCAGTAGTCAGGCCATTGTTAACCCAAGACAGAATGGCGTCCCTGGCCCCCGCTGCCGTGCGGGAATTCGTGGGCCAGCCACTCAAAGAGCTCGGAGAACTCTACGAGAACTCGCTCAAGGCCATGCTCGTGTGCGGCCTCGAGTTCTACCTCTCGGCGTCGCTCATGGCTTCGTTCTTCCAGTGTCCAGACGAGACTGTGCAGGCGGAACAGGAGCTCCGGACGCTCTATACATTGGCGTGGGTGCCCATGTTCCTCGCTGCCGTGCTCGTGTACGGTCCAAAGCTCTCGGCCTCGATCTTCCCGCTGCCGGAGCACTTTGAGCGCAACATGCTGCGCTGCAAGATCCTCACGTGGCTCTACGCGTTTGTGTTCCTCATTTGGGACCCCGATATGGTCGTCAAGACGGGCCCGTCCTTGGGCGTGTCGATCCTCTTTTCCGTTGCTGATCTCGGCCGCTTTGTCATGGACATGAAGCTCTTGACGGACATTGAGTACGACGAGAATGGCAACTCGTTCATCTTGCACGACAAGACGTCGAGGCAGGACGACGAGCAGCAGCCGGAAGGAGGAGAGGAAGCCTGCCAGCGACTCGAGCAGCACGAGGGGTTCACGGTTCACGTGATTGCCGCAGCTAGCAAGGTGCTGCCACGGAGAGCTGGTCTGAGCAGGCAACAGGGCGCTGCCCGATTGGAGGCGACTCTGCACGAGCGGCAGCTTGAGTCAGAGCAGTCTGCTTGTTTACAAGAAGGACCATCATCGTCCTTGGTTGGAAGCTCGCAAAAGCCTGACCGACGCCGGCAACCTGGACAATCACGAAGCGGCAAATGTGTGCAGGAGTCGGGACTGGATCAGTCGCCGTGTACGACCAGCAGCGAGTACGTTGCCGTGACGGATCGCAATGTCGACGAGCACACTGCCGAGGTCATTGCCAAGAAATCCATCACTTATGAGCTCTAAGCTCTTTTGGACATGTAAAAACGCGTTAATAAAGCAGTCCGTCCAACTCGTCCGTTGTACACAACTAGGAGCTAACTCTATCAATCAATTGAAATTGGTGCGGCCGTCCACCTCTTACATTTAATACGCAAGAATCAGGAAAGAACCTAAAATCCAAACCCTGCTTATCTTTGTGGACCGATCGTGGTCATCGAGTTTCCGAGGGAAAGCTCCGAGTACCCTCTGCGACACGCGAGCAATCGGCCGCCCCAATCGTACCCTCTCGTTCACCCCCGAGGAGGGGGTACGTTTTCCTTCACTGGATGGAAGTATAGTGAATGCCCATGCGGGTGGCGGGTGGTTCTCACGACTGGAGGAGACCCGGCAGTTTAGCGCGAGAACACGACAAGCCACGGCGTTCTCGCTCCTCCCCCCTCTCTCTCTCTCTCGCTCTCTCGTCCTCGCCCACCTCTGTCCGTGCGCCATGACCACGCCCGCAGCGCCTCCCACGCGCTATTGCGTGTGCCAACAGACCGACGGCGCGGGGATCATGATCGAGTGCAGTCGCGGCACCAGCGGCTGCAATGGCTGGGTCCATCCCTCGTGCTGCGGCCTCGTGCTCACGCGAGAGGAGCTCGAGGCCCTCAGCGCGTACATTTGTCCGCTGTGCGAGACGCCGGACGACGACTTTACCGCGTCCACGGCGTGCAACACGCGGCTGGCGAACCACGAGGCCACGCGGCAGCGCCAGCTGAAGGAGCCGAGCAGCTTCAGTGTCGCTGAGGCGACTCGGACGGTCAAGATGTCGAAGCCGAAGCAGACGAGGCTGAAGAAGACGAAGAAGACAAAGGCGAAGGACCCGTGGGTGTGTGAGGCGTGCCAGCACCCGAATCGAGACCATCGCACGCGGGAATGTGAAGTGTGCCACGCCAAGCGCATCAGAAACAAGCCGCTGACGACGACGACGACCACGATGAAGCAGGTGCTGGATGACCACGAGGTGGCGCAGCAGCTGCTGCTTGTGCAGGACGATCGACGGCAAAGTCGACGGGCAGTGAACAAGAAGCGAAAGTCGTACCACGTGCCCAACTCGGACGACGACTTGGACAGCTCGGAAAGTGATGACGAGAAGACGAGAGGGGCGAAGACGCACAAGAAAAAGCACAAGAAGAAGCGCACGAGACGAGACGAGGAGAGCGAGTCGGACGAAGCCGAAGTGGAGCTCGATCCTGGAAAATTGAAGACGGGCCGTGAGAGCAGCAAAAAGACACGGGAGCAGCGCGCTGTTGTGGCGAGTATGGTGATTGACAAGATTATGGGTGTGCGACGTCGGGAAAAAGTGGCGCCCGGACTTGCTCGAACGACAGACTCGGCCAGTACGAATTTCAATCATGCTGGGCGGTCGCTCTTGGCGACTGCAACGGATACCGAGTATTTGATCAAGTGGAAAGGCTTTGCGTACATGCACTCGTCGTGGGAGACGCCGGCAGTGCTGCTGGAAATGGACCCACCGACCAACAAACAGAAGATCAAGAGGTTCCATGAAAAAGAACAACAGCGACTGCAGCACCCGCATCGTCAACTACAACACGCCGGCGAGGGTGTGCTTGCGGTGGATGAGCTGGAATACTATAATCCTGAGTACTTAGAAATCCACCGGATCATTGCTCATCGGCAGGATCCGCCGATGCTTCCCGATGCTAATTTTCCGGATGCACCCGTTGATGACGGCATGCGCTACTACATCAAATGGCGTATCTTGTCATACGCGGAAGCTACGTGGGAGCGTGCATGCGACATTAAGGACGATGCCGCGCTTATCAAATACAAGGCGTCTATTGTTGTTCCTGACGAGGAGGTGTGGAAGCCACGATCTCGACCAAGTATTCGTGAATATCGAAAGCTGGACGAATCGCCCAGGTTTGGTGAAGACGAGTCGCTTTCGCTCCGTGCGTATCAGCTAGAAGGGTTGAATTGGCTGCTGTGGAATTGGTATAACGAGCGACCAAGCATCTTGGCGGACGAAATGGGGCTCGGTAAGACCATTCAGACCCTCGCGTTTTTGAACCTCCTTCGCGATGACACTAAAATCAAGATTCGCGGTCCATTTTTGATCGTGGCGCCTCTGTCGCTGATTGTGCAGTGGCAAAATGAGTGCGAAATATGGACTACGATGAACTGCGTTGTGTACCACGGTAACACCGCATCCCGTGAAATCATTCGCGATTACGAGTTTTATTACTTAGATGACAAGCTTCGTCCTGACAAGAAGAAGCCTTACCGCTTCAACATTCTTGTGACAACATACGAAGTAGCGATAAAAGACATTGGTGTATTGTCAAAGATCCACTGGCGCTGCCTCGTAGTTGATGAAGCTCACCGGCTAAAAAACCAGTCCTCGCGGCTTGTCGAGCAAATGCGTTCCTTGTGCCGTGACCACTGTGTGCTTCTTACGGGCACTCCTCTCCAGAATAAGACAGAAGAATTGTGGGCGTTGCTGAACTTTTTGGACGCGCGGTCCTTCCCAAGCGTTGCTGACTTTCTCGATAAATTTGGTGACCTTCATCAGGCCCAACAAGTGGCTGACCTGCACAAGATGTTGAAGCCATATCTCCTTCGTCGAGTGAAGGAGGATGTTGAGAAGTCGTTGCCTCCTAAGGAGGAAACTATTGTTGAAGTGGAACTCACCCCGGTTCAAAAGCAGTGGTACCGTGCAATCTACGAGAAAAACACGGCATTTCTAAACCGCGGCGGAAACCCGCGCAATGTGCCGAATTTAATGAACGTCATGATGGAGCTCCGTAAGTGCTGCAATCACCCATACTTGAATAACGGCGTGGAGGAAATTTTGATCGAGGGGTTGACAACCGACGCACAACGCCATGACATGATGGTAAAATGTTGCGGCAAGATGGTGTTGATCGACAAGTTGCTACCGCGATTGAGCGACGGCGGTCATAAAGTGCTTATTTTTAGCCAAATGGTCCGCGTGCTGGACATTATTGAGGATTATTTGCGCTACTGCGGGTACCTTTACGAGAGGTTAGATGGTAACATTCGTGGCAACGATCGTCAATCTGCTGTGGATCGGTTTGTCAAACCCGAATACAAGCGGTTTGTGATGCTGCTGTCGACGAAGGCTGGTGGTTTGGGACTGAACTTGACAGCTGCGGACACGGTCATTATATTTGATAGCGATTGGAACCCCCAGAATGACCTACAAGCTCAAGCTCGTGCGCATCGTATAGGCCAGACACATTCGGTGAAAATTTATCGCCTGATTACCCGTAAAACATACGAGATGCATATGTTTCACAAAGCATCCTTGAAGCTAGGACTGGACAAGGCTGTCCTTACGCACATGCGTCGTGAAAACATGGAAGAGGGTGGAAAGAAACGAAACAAGGGCACTAAGGCGCAAGAAACTAAGGAGATCGACGATTTGTTGAAACGTGGGGCATATGATGTGTTCCGCGACGACGATACTGCAGGTGAACAGTTTTGTGCTCTAGGCATTGATCAAATCTTGCAGCGCTCGTCGCAAATTGTGCAGTACTCTGAGCAGGCGCAATCGAGTTTCTCAAAAGCAAGTTTTGTATCTGCTACTACATCGGACGATGTGGACCTCGACGATCCCGATTTCTGGAAGAAGGCTGTAGGTTTGGTGGAGCCAGACCCAGTGGACACTGAAATTCTTTTGCCGCATCAGCGAAAACGGACTCGCGTTGCGCGCTTTGGAGATGGCGGCAGTTTCTCTGACGGCAGTGCATCAGATGAGGAGTTGGAGCACGACAAGCAAGAGAAAGGAAAAGAAGAACGCGATCGGCTCGAAGAAAAGAGCGCACCACGAGAGTGGACGCAAAACGGGCGCGATCGCTTGCAGCGTGCGCTGATGCATTACGGCTTCGGTCGTTGGGAAGTTGTTCGAAGCCAGAGCGGCGGTAGTCGTTCGGTGAAGGAGGTGGAACACTTTGCACGTGGGTTTATTTATGCATCAGGCCTGGCTTGTGATGAGCGCAAGGATGATTCTACATTTGTGAAGGCGTCAATTCACGCTGCGATGTGCGCTCAAAAGAAGAATTTAATCGATGAAGAAGACTTGTCAGCCGTTTTAAAGGAAGAGGACTTTGTGCTGAAATTGAAGCAGGGTGGTGGTCGGCGTGTGCTAGTTCGACTAGACATGCTTCAAAGACTTCAGCAGCTGGTTGCATCGGCTTGCGATGTGTGCGATAAGATATATAAGGGTACTGAGGAAAGTTTCAAGCCATCGCCGACTGCCAGCATTGATGAGCGTGCTAAATATTACGGTGTGGATAAGCTAGTACCACACATCGAGTTAGTCGACGTAGGAGAGCGACCAGCATGGACACAAATTACGCCATGGTGGAATGCGAACGCCGATCAAAACTTGCTGATGGGCGTTTTTCTTCATGGATATGGCCGTTGTGCCCAAATTTTAGCAGACCCGCGACTGTGTTTTGCACAATTAGAGAAAGCTGCTTACGATCAAATTGAAGCAAACAATGGGAGCAACTTTGATCCGACAAGAGTTGTTCGGTTAACCATGAATCCGATTAAAAAGGAGAGCATGGCAGCTGGAGAAGGAGTTGACGACGTAGATATGAGCGATGTTGGTTCGGAGAGGGCAACAAGCTCTGTTGTTGATCACGGTGCCTCCAGGACCAATGACATTGGTACGCAAGTGAAGACCGAAGCTGGCATGGCTTTTGCTTCTGCTGGTGAAAGCAGCATGGCAACATCAGCTGCATACTCATTCAAGCAGCCTGAGGTGCAGCATATGAACCGCTTGCTGAGTTGGCTGTTGTCTGCCGAGGAGACGAAGCGTCGCCACGAAAAGGACAGATACAAAAGGGAGCGTGCGTCTATTGAGCAAAGGCGGCAAGCTACTCAGGATATGCGAGCGCGCTCTCTGGCTTTGCGTCGGTTGGAGCTGAAGGCCATGCATCTTGCACAGGTGGACATTCTACGGCACATGACAGTTCTGCACAATTCTCGTCAGCTTCCGGATGCCACGTTTGCCTCTGCTCCACAACATCGCCTGAAAAGTACTGACTGGACGAAAGAGGAGCGTCGCTCCTTTGCGTACATGATGACACTTCATGGCGCACCGCGGATTCTGGCAAAACGTGCCGTCGTTGCACCGGATGGTAAACCAACCCCATCGATGTTTCCTTTCATGACGGAGCATGCGCGCGGGTTTTCATGGGAGACGGATAGTATTTCTTGGCGCAATATCGTGGAGTGGGGTAATTTGAACAAGACTGCCACACTTGCACGAACCTTTTACGAGACCAAATTTGCCCCGAAGTGCCGTGAAGTAGCACGTATGCGAGCAGACCCGCTTGGCTCAGACCAGCGTGCGGTGGCGTTGGGCGATCTCATTGGTATTGAATTTGTGGATGCTTACGAGGGCGTGCTGGCGCATGGACTGAAGGCTCGCAACACTGCTTGGGTTACGATGCGGCGCACCCAGCTACTTGAAGACGTGCTAGACATACTGTCGAATCGACGAGACGCACTAGAAAACGTTCTTCGATCCGGAAAGCAGGGTCTAGTGGAGAGTATGCCGGTTTGGTGGTGTCCATGGATTCACGACCTGGGCGTCTTTTACGGCATGGCTCGCTACGGTATATACGGCTGGGAGCGCATAATGCTGGATCGGCAGTTGCCGTTTCACCGTCAGGCACGAGAGCACTATATTCGTACGATATTTTTGGAGGGCACGACTACCTTTTGTCCTCTGTACCGCCATCACTTCGACACGATTTCGCAAATGAACGACTGGTTTGTACGTGTCGTGAACGAGTTTCCGTCTTTTTCAGTGCTGGAGCGAAAGGTGGAGATGATTTGTGCGGTTGTATTAGAAGAACAGGGTATCAGCACTGAACGCTACATGGAGCCCGAAGATCGGCGTGAATTCAGTCTGTCGCCACCAGGTAATTGTTTCGAAGAGCTGATAATGGCTCGAGTAAAGCAGGAAGAGGAGTTGCTCCCCAGTATCGAGTCCATCTCTACGAACGAGTCGCCGGTAGGGTCAGGAGTCGGTGGTCCCTCAGACACTCTAGCAGTATTTTTGCGTGAGTCGAAAAGTCGTCGTGATGTTTGCTTAGGCGCATCTGAAGCATCAAACGCCATTGGCTCCGACGCGTTCGTCCATGTAGCTACGACCGACGAAGCGTTTGCGCCTGCAATCAAAGACCAACACGATCAACAGGCAGGTGGAGATGAAGAGCAGAAACAGGTAGCGTCATCGCAGATTCCCATTCAAATGCTGGTTTCGTAGACGTCTGCCAGTACCTGAGATATAATATGAGCAGACATTGCTGCAAAGATGATCGATTGAACCCGCTAAAAGAGTTTGATCCTGGTTGACACATCATGTATGCTGTAGACTGCAGATTAGAGCGTCTTGACATCTTCCACTTCATTCTTAGACTAGCAGTGACGGTAGGCCCTAGCTGCTAGTTTTCGTTGATGATACGATAGCCACACAGCTCAGCTAATGACACTCGACCGTTGGAATGTCGACCTGTGGAAAATACCGTCGGCTTATCGTTTCGACGATACACCTAGCTCATGGACCATCCCTGGAACACACGGAACAAAAACAATTAAAAGTGGTTTTTGATCGCAACGCTGTTCTTCCTGCACTCTGCTGCTACCCGCTAAACACCTCGTGCTTTTATGCAGTTATACTTCGAACGCGAGAACCCGAGAAAGCGAATGATTCTTGAAGTATTCTCCAGTAGACATAAATACTAGGCTTCACTGCACACGCAGTTTCCAACGAATCAATTCACGAAAGCAGCACGAGTGCTGCTGCAACGAATTGTGTTAAGTCCGGCAATGAGATGGATTATGTCCTGAATCGTCATCACGAATGCACCGATAGGGTACCGGAAGGCTTTGTTGCACGCTGCGAATATAAAATACGTACAGGTCAGTTGCAGCGTTTAAGAAACTCATTTCCCCGTTGACCGCCACTGTACCAATTGGTCATTACAAAAACACAAATCGCACGTTTGTGGCGAGCTTATGCTGCTATGTACTCGGACAATGTACACGTATGTTCGGCTCTTTAAGTTAGTGTGTTCTTCCACACAAGCACAAGTGTCCAAGGTCCACACGCACGCAGTCTGCATTCCCTCCAGTAACTACAAAAGAAACGCAGTAGCGTCAGGTGATCCCCCAGAACTGTTTCAGTAGACATCATGGTCCAAACTTGCGCAATTGCACACTACACTACGCAGAAAAGCACCCGTTGTAACTATGACCAATAGCACATGCCATGTGACCATTTGTAGATAAGGACCAGAAGAGAGTACAACAACATGATTCGTATCGATTATCTCACAATCCGCTCATGCAAGAGTTTTACAAGAGTCATTGGTGACTGCCTGTGGTACGTATTTTATGAACCTCACACTCAGGCGTTTGCGACGCTTGTTCTTATAAAAAATACGAGGCTCTCTCTGCAGCCTTTCACACAGGGCCAAGCATTGTTAATCGCTTCGAGCTCAGCTGAATATGACTCAGTAAGAAACTCAATGACCGCCTGAACTTGTACGAGAGTTTGGTAGCTTAAAACTACCGACCTGATGATAACGTCGATCAGGACGACCCGTTCGCAAACACCTACCTCGTTCGTCCAAAGACTTGAAGTGGCACGCCTTTAATTTTGCTTGAGTATAGTTATTTTACGTACAAAAAGTGTGTTGGACAGGATCGTATGTCACGCGGCAGGCTCGATCGACCGCTTATACAACTTTTCTCAAGGTACCTAAATGTGGTGTTGCCAGACAATTAACCTATAGCTCGATCGAGCACCTTCGCGATTCAGAAGATATGTTTCAACGGCACGCCGATCTATGGCAAGGTCTCGCTTCGTGAGAAGAAGATTCCAAACATCGGCTAGAATCGTTTCCCGGACGCTGGTAGGAATGCAGCAACTTGTACATGCCTTCGACATTTAGTTCGTTCTCCGCATGTCTCATTGTTGCAAAGGTCATTCCATGCGGTGGGATGTTCGTCCATCTTCACTCAGCTAATAATTCCAAAGCTCTATCAAACATTCACAGGATGACAAGAGAGTGGGGATTCAACTCTTCTGGCTCCAGTAATGATCCAGCGCCTACTCTACAGATTGATGATTCCAATGAAACACGAAAGATCATACAGACAATCACATCCATACGACTATCGGTGTCATCTGCTTATACCTTAATAATGAAGCAGGCCAGATAGCACCTATTGCCGACCAAGAGCTGTATAGCTGGGTCCTACGGTTCTGCGAAAGTGCAAATTTTAAGACGGAATGGTCTACTTAAAAAGGTAAGGTAACATAAGAAAGTACTGCCACACCAAGGGGAGGGGTCTTCGTTCTTGGATAAATAAGTACTCTAGGGCTGGATGACGTCGTGAAGATACAGCCAATCCATCTCATAACACTCAGCATCGCCGCACAAAGCACCTTCAGTAGCAGTAAACGATTCTAAAAACCGAATTGTCCTGGGACGCACAATTTTGGGAAGGAATAAAGCAGAGATGGCAGGTTGACAAGAAAACAAGAGCTGCAAGATAAGATGATCGGGCTGCTGGAAGTACGGACATTAAGAAGTTTTGTAGACATGTAGAAGTGCCCAGACCGCAATTGCATTTCATTTCCAAGTACATTCGGTTAAATTAAAACCAGGCGGTGCCATTTTAAATTGGCGAGTTTGAATCAGAATCGCCTGCTGAAGTTGACGGCAAATGAGCTCCTTATTTCATCCCAAATAGACACTAGCTGCATCAGGTGCTCCGGAACTTCATGCACATTGGGGTACAGAAGAAGCATGATTCTCATAACAAGATTTATTAAAGGAGAAACGTAACCGTATAGATTATAGTTAATTGAACGATACAGTCTGTTTTATCTTCATTAATCTAAATCTACATACGAACATGTACAAGAGCTCGGACTCAGACCAGGGGTCATTGGTCGGGATCGGACTTTGATGTAAAACCGGACCAGCCGGTTTATACATCGAGTCACCCAGCATTATCAATCCGGGTCGGAGCCCGAATTTGAATATTTGGTCACCACCCAATCAGGGATGCTCATTTTTTGGTCACATTGCTGAATTGACGGTCACTGTCACATCGATCGGCCAAGAGACCCAAAGTGTCCATAAGCGATCAAAAGCGACTGCAATACATCTTTGAAGTAACTGCAATAAATACTTGAAGTGAAGTGACTGCAATATATATTTGAGGATGACAGCCTCATCATAACGTGTAATAGGCTATCTTTTCTAAAAGCCTGGCTGATGCACGCCGACAGCAGTTACTAGTTCTGCAGACGTCTAGCCAGTCACAGCGTATGCGATAGAGTAGTAGACGCGGATGTGAAGCAGCCTTTGCAATTCGTGTGTTGGTGTCGACACTTTCAAAATGGCTCATTTCTTAGTGCGCTTGCCACTGCATTTGGGGCAAGAAGCTAATTGCTGCATTCGTACAAAATAATGACAGATACTTGGATCGCAAGTGAATTATTCGCACAGGAAGGAGATAAGAAGACAGAGGCGAAGTCACGAACTGCTGTAGGTCTACAATAATGGATCTACGAGGTCATGCAGCTACTTGATCCATCAGCGTATTATGATGAGCTACAAGGAGAGCTGATATCAACTTCGACATTCTTCGTACGCGTTAAATGCCCGTTGAAATATGGATAAATCAGATGAAAAGCACCAGGTTGTTAGGTGTAGAGTTGATAGTGTGGTGAACACATAGTGATCGCATTTACAGGGCGAAGATGTGTTGCGTTGGGGACGAGATTGGTTCATCCGGAAAGAACTCGGTGTCGAATAAATGCACGTTGCTGCAACCGTTTGCTATTGACGAAAATATCTTCTCGTGTGGTTTACGCTTCCTCCTTCTAAATTCCGATTAAATTTAATTAAGCATAAGCTCATGACCACCATCAAGCTTACTAAATGAAAAACACGTGGTTTGCTTTGCACTGTTTACGAAACATGGTGACCACGCTTGTATGTGTCGACACTACCAGTAACTGCAAACAGTTACAAACATAAAATCGTGACATTATTGAGTTCGTTACTAGTGGCGCTTGTGACCATTTGCAGTGCCCTTGCTGCTATGACCATCAAAAAATAAAATTTCAATGTCACAATTATCAGCCTCTTCCCAGAGAGCATACAATTATAGCTAGGAAGCATGTACGTCGACCACGACTGTAACGGGATAGCCCGTCACATGATATTGACGGTGTCAATAGGGTGATTGTCTAGCATGACAATATCCTACCAATTATCCGAGGTGGATGATACTGAAGGAATATTATCCCCTTTTGGGATAATATTTGTAACGGGGGAATCGTTACATAACAATTTATAAGAAATTGTTAATAGAATATAACTATAAGAGTTATATTCTCAGAATATTGTCATAAGGACAAATATTCTGTAGCACTTACGAGTAGTTCCTAATTGGTTGATATAGGCCATTATATCAACCAACGAAGACGCGCCATGACAGACGCACGCAATGAGTGGTGAGCAGATAGTTGATTTACACATTTGTATTTAGACATAGTTAGATGAAGATAAATAGTGATTTATTAACCGACATTAACTATACTAAATACAGTTCTACTTTTTACTCTAACCGAGTACTCGCTTCTCCTTACCGTCTTCCTCTGCACGTACGAGTGTACGTGAAGTTACGAGGCACCGCCTTATTCTGTCATCAGAATAAGTAGCTTGTACTGTCACCAGTACAAGCTTCAGGGTGCCCCGTTACACCTGGTAGCACTTCGTAGTCCGTCCAAGGACCGCGTTCACATCTAACATGAATATGTTGGATGATGAAGATGACCAAAGCTTTCACGCTACGCGTGACGGCTACTCCCATTTGAGCGATGTCGAATGGGATGCGGTTGAACGAATGGGTTCGACCATGGGCATCCATGCTGTTAGCGTCATGCTAGAGGCTCTCAATAGAGATGCCCAACATGCTACTATCGCCAAGTTCATTCAAAATGAACTTGACGCAGAACGCGAGAAAGTAGCCTTGCTTCACCAACAAGGTTCTCAACAAGCAGAGTTGTTGAGAGAACAGGGTGCTCAACAGTTCGAACTGTTGAGACAGCAGCAGGCTGCTGCTGGCGGGTCGATGCACTCGCGTCGACCCGAAACCTTGACGATTGACATCTCCAAGTATAGGGGGGTCAAAGAAGACTCCCTCTTGAGATGGTTCGTCGAATTGGATGACGCCATAAGGGCGCGTCGCATCGACGACGGGGATATGCAAGTTGCATTTGCCCAGTCAAATCTGGCAGGACGTGCCAAGACTTGGGCACTGGGGCTCAAGTTGCACGACCCATATGCGTTTGGGTCGTTGGAAGTCTTCAAGTCGCGGCTCAGACAAACGTTTGAACCGCCTAGAGCTGAGTTCAGGGCTCGAACCGAACTCTTGAAGCTCAAGCAGGGTAAGCGTGATGTGCACGCTTACGCTCAACATATACGACATCTCACGAGTTGTATAAGTTCCAATCCGGTGGATGAACACACGTTGGTTTCGGTGTTCATGCAGGGTCTTGCGGATGGTCCCGTCAAGACTCACCTGTTCCGGCTTGAACTAGATTCACTAGAACAAGCCATTTCCATTGCGGAGCAGGAAGACTTCAGTCTGAGACAGGCTCGCGCCAGCTCGACATCATATCGTCAACCGAGACGATATGACAACGGAGGTCCAGAGCCGATGGAACTCTGTTATGTAGAGAGCGAGAAGGCTCGCTCTACAGGCTACAAGAAGTTGCAGAGATGCAACAGATGTCAAAAGACAGGACACTACGCTTACGAGTGTAGTGCCCCTCGTCCAGTGTCTCGCGATACTGGGCGTAGTGACCGTCCACCCATGAGAAAGGGACTGGGACAAAGATGTATCCCTAGCGGGGAACATCTAGAAGAGAAACAATCGATCGCTCAGGTTAAGCGAAACGATAATCCTAGATCGACTGGAGAGTCTTTCGTAGAGGATCTCGCTGTGGTTGCGCAACCCCAGCTAGAGGAAGTAAAGGAAATAAGTCCCAAAATTACAAATACGGCGGAAATAAGTTCCCCGAAACCCGCGGGAATAAGTCCCCGGGGAGCCGAAGGAATAAGTCCTTCGAAGCCTGAGGGAATAAGTCCCCAGGAAATGACAGAGACATTGAATGTCATAGTCAATAACGGATCAAGTGTAGGCGCTTATACACTTGATCTGATTGCGCCTCCGAAGTTAACTTCGGAGATCACTCAGTTGCCAACGCTCGAACATAAAAGGTTCTTGCGTGATCTGCGTAGTGGCAAAGTCAAGCAGATCTGCATACTCGTCGCTGACAACGAGTGTGTAACCGACACAAGGTCAGCAGCAGTGTTTACTGAGAACGAGAGAGTTCTCAGTAGTTCATCTATGGACGAGAGTGTCCTAGATGAAAAGACACGAATTGAGCGATATGACTCCCAATCGTGGGAATCGCTCAAGGAAAATCCTCTCTATGAAGATTTGGTTGAATTCAAGGATGTATTCCCTGAAACTGTTCCGTGCAAATTACCGAAGGATAAAGGTATTCGACACGAGGTCGAGCTTAAACCAGGCTCGAAGTACTGTGTCATGAAGCAGTGGCCACTGCCTCGTGAACAAGTACTTGCGATCGACAAGTTCTTTGCCGATCGTTTAGCTGCGGGCCATGTGAGGGAATCAACTTCCCCACATAGCTCTCCGACCTTCTGTGTGTGAAAAGCAACAGGAGGGTGGCGGATAGTGCACGCGTTCGACAAATTGAACGCTGCAACGGTACCGGCTCAGACGCCGATACCGAGGAAGGACGTAATCATTGATGGTATGTCAAAGAGCACCATCTTTTCGTCCATGGATTTGATGGATGGCTTCTATCAAATCCTTATGCGGGAACGGGATATACCCTATACCGCAGTTAGCACGCCTAGAGGCATGCTCTGGGAATGGCTAGTAATGCCACAACGGCTCAGTAATGCCCCTGCCACGTTCAACAGATGTGTATCACATCTGTTGAGACCAGTACGAGAATTCGCGCCGAGCTATTTCGATGACGTATTCATCCATAGTCGAGCTATGGATGGAAAGTCGGACGTTGAGGTTCACAGGTACCACGTCCGACAGGTTCTTACAATCATGCGAGAGCATCAATTGTATGCAAACCTCAAGAAGTGTATATTTGCAGCAAGCGAAATACCACTTCTTGGGTGCATCGTTGGTAAGAACGGTGTACGTCCTGATCCCGAAAAGATCAAGGCGATCATCGACTGGCCTGTGCCGGTTGATGTCAAAGGTCCTCGAAAATTCCTTGGGCTAGCGGCGTATTTGCATAAGTATTCACGCAATTACGCCGAGATGACTGTGCACCTCTCTCGTTTGTTGAGAAAGAACGAGAGGTGGTTATGGAACGCTGAATGTCAACGCTCCTTTGAGGGTATCAAGCAGAGCTTGATACAATCCCCAGTCCTAGCAATAGCCGATCAGGACAGGCCATTTCATGTGATGCCAGCGATTTCGCAATCGGCTGTGCATTAATGCAGTACGATCTTGAAGGCGTTGAACGCGTCGTCTGCTATCAGTCGCGTCAGCTGCAACCAGCTGAGCGGAACTATCCAGTGCATGACAAGGAACTCCTTGCCCTGAAGTATGCACTCGCGAAGTTCAGAGTCTATCTATTAGGAGATAGACCCTTCATTGTTTACACTGACCATGCGTCATTACGCAAGACAGTGAACAGCCCGCACCTTTCACAACGAATGGCGCGGTGGTTGTCATTCTTTGCAGAATACAACTTTACGGTCGAGTACAACAAGGACGACTTAATGTCGTCGCTGATGCACTCTCACGTCGTCCCGACTTTGAAACAGTCGCGAAACCCAGCAGTGAGACAGTCACTGTTGCGGTTATGACGTCCTCAGTCCCATCTACAACGTTGTATGATGATGTGAGGCGGGCATACGCCCAAGATGGTGAGATTGTGAAGTTGTTGACACATCTCTCCCAACCATCCCGAGAATCGTTGAAACGATTGTCGCCTGCGTATCGATCTGCATCAGATCGATACACTACTCGTAACGGTTTACTGTATTATACAGCCGTTTCTGGTGACACACCACGTGTTGTCATTCCAGATGATACTGATCTGCGTTTGCGGATCATGTTCGAGTATCACGATGCTCCTATAGGAGGACATCGTGGCCGAGAGAAAACATATCTCACGGTAAGTCGAGACTTTTACTGGCCCCGCCAGTATCAGTTTGTGCGAAAGTATGTTCGCGCATGCGAAGTCTGCCAACGAGTGAAGTCAAGTCCTTCACTGCGTGCACCTTTACAGCCTCTACCGGTTCCGGCTGAGTGCTGGGAATCCATCTCAATGGATTTCGGCTTCGGGTTACCCAAAGACGCACGCGGGAATACGGGTATTCTCGTATTTGTTGACAGATTCAGCAAAATGGTACACCTTGTGGCTGTACCAGAGACAATCACGGCAAGTGGCTGTGCTTGTGTCTTTATTGACACCATCTTCCGACTTCATGGGTTGCCCCGTGAACTCGTATCAGACAGAGATCCACGATACACTGCTGATTTCTGGCGTTCCGTGTTTAAATCACTCGGAACGCGCTTGAAGATGTCGACATCTGATCATCCAGAGTCAGATGGTCAGACGGAACGTGCCAATCGTGTCCTTGAAGAGATACTTCGAGGATACGTACACTCCTTTAAGAGTTGGAGTGAGTTTTTGCCAATGGTAGAGTTTGCCATTAACAACTCGGTGCATGCGTCCACGACACATACACCGTTTTACGTGAATGGCTTGCGCCATCCGCGTGTACCCACCTTACTAGAGTGTAACTCTGGTTTAAGGGGGGGAGGGACTCGCGCGAGCAAAAACCGACTTGGTTCACGCTCATCACGCTCTGACGAAGAAGTCATTGCGTTTGATGCCGATATCGATAACATCGATATCGAAGAAGATGATGCCAGTGAGAGTGCGGAAGCCCTCACTGAAGAAGATGATCCTAGTGAGAGTGCGGAAGCCCTCACTGAAGAAAAGGTTGATGTTGCTGCAGTGCGCTCACAGCGCACTGAAGCTAACGAGTCATCAGATGAGTTCATACTGGCTCGTGAAACGGTAGTCCGTTTTGTGCAAGACTCCATCGCCGAAGCGGTGGATAAGCAAAAGCAAAACGCTGACAAGAATGGAAGGGCAAACACTCTTTTATTTAATAAAGGTGACTTAGTCCTACTGTCTACGGTTAATCTACCAAAGCATGTAGTGACTAACTTGGGTAGCAGTAAACTACTACCCAAGTACATCGGCCCATTTCGTGTATTGCACCGCCTAGGCAATGCATACACGATCGAGTTACCACGTAAGATGCGAACGCATCCCACGTTTTACGTTGGTCGGCTTAAGCCGTACCATCAGCACGCTGCTTCTTCCGATGAAGAACGCCCTTGCGCTCAAGCATCTCGCAGAGAGCCTTGTGCTCCCGATGGTGGGCATCAACAAGGGTCTGAAGAGCAGCTATCTCATCCCGAGACCGATCAGCAATCCCACGAGCTACCCTTAGCTCGTCACGAAGAGATGTCAGAGATCTCTCGTTCTCAAGCTGAGCAAAGGCAAACTCAGCTCGATGCTTCGAGGCAGTGTCCGCCATTTGGAGACGCCTATTCCGCTCATGTTCGAGATCGTCGCGTAACCCTTGCGTTACGCGATCAAAGAAGCTCTCGGGAACACACCGATCCACATGATCGTGTGGAGAGCGTCTTTCCTCCTCCTCCACCCCCATTAGAGGACTCTCGCGTTGGCCAGCGCTATCTAGTTGAGCAGCTGTTGGACCACCGCGACGTGAACGGACGTCGGACGAGTTATCTCGTCCGGTGGCGCGGCTATCCCCCGTCCTGGGATTCTTGGGAGCCCCGCTCCCAACTGATGATCGACGTACTGGGTCTGGTTTAGCAGTACGACGCGGCACATCCTGTGCCGCAGAAGGACCGCCAGAGAAAGTCTTCCCGGCACGGTCGTAAAGGGATTTCAGGTTGTCAATCCCTTCGTACATCTCAGTAGAGACACGTACGCGCCACCACGGGCTGGTAAGGAGGTAAGCCTCCTTAGGTGCTCGTGCAGAGTTGTTCACACAACACGGGCACGAGTCTCCCCAAGAGAGGCAGGGTAATCCTTTCTCCCTTGACAGACGATGCAGCTTGTAGCGTGCACCTGTCGGGGTTCGCTTTTCAAACTTATCACGAGCTTTGATAAGTTTGTCGTTCCAAGCGTCACGACCTACATCCTCAAGGTTATGGATGTAGGCGTTCCACGCCTGAAGTAGTGAGGGACCATCACGTTTGTGATTCCCACTGTACCATTGATGTCTAAAGAAAGCATCGATGAAGAATTCATGTTCAGCGCGATAGTTTTTCGCGCTGGGGTCAAGGTGATGGATCCTTGACGAATCGAACAATCGTGTTCGATAACGATCACTCGTCGTCGCCGACAAGTGATCCATGACGGATTTTGGAGGCATCCATGCCTTCTTCTCGGGAGCAGGACGCAAGCCATTGCGGTCCCGCTCTTCCTGCGACGTGCCGACAGAAGTACTGGCACCTCGCTGTGAAGTGGTGTCCATAGGAGAACCGACACCACTATTAGCGCCCGAGTCTCGTGACCTCGAGCGCCTTCGCTTCGGCGATGGTTCATCTGATTCATCAGATGAACCAAAGATGCTGCGACGCAAAGCATCGTCCATGCCACGCTTGGCAGGCGGCTTAGATTCAATCGCCGTCGATACGGATCCGTCATCCGTATCAGGAGAGTACGAGACACCGAGCTCGTACTCTGTGAAGACACGAGTGTCTTCATGACCAGCGCCTACATCACCAAGTGACACAGGCTGGGTCGCTTCAGCAACCGATGAGACATCAGTTGCTGTTGTTTCTGCTTCGGCGTCCGCACAGAGACGTGCGGACGCGCTCTCGGCGGCCTTGCTCGCGCATCGCATGGGCTTGTTTACCATGCGATGAGATGTTGGAAAGTGGACGCGGACCAACAAGTGCAAACCCTGTCCCAAATGATTTGGGACGAGTATCCATTTAGTCAATCAGTCACTAAAGTGACTGATGGTTAAGGGGGGGGTGATGTAACGGGGTGAATCGTTACATAACAATTTATAAGAAATTGTTAATAGAATATAACTATAAGAGTTATATTCTCAGAATATTGTCATAAGGACAAATATTCTGTAGCACTTACGAGTAGTTCCTAATTGGTTGATATAGGCCATTATATCAACCAACGAAGACGCGCCATGACAGACGCACGCAATGAGTGGTGAGCAGATAGTTGATTTACACATTTGTATTTAGACATAGTTAGATGAAGATAAATAGTGATTTATTAACCGACATTAACTATACTAAATACAGTTCTACTTTTTACTTTAACCAAGTACTCGCTTCTTCTTACCGTCTTCCTCTGCACGTACGAGTGTACGTGAAGTTACGAGGCACCGCCTTATTCTGTCATCAGAATAAGTAGCTTGTACTGTCACCAGTACAAGCTTCAGGGTGCCCCGTTACAATATTCATGCGCTGCTCAAAGATTGGTTGATAAAAGAAATATCACCCATAAATTGCCACCAGTCGCTGCTAGACGCGCGCAATGAGTGGTGAGCAGGTTGCTGTCATACGACGACGTGATTTAAGAGAGTTAGATAAAGATTAACGTTATATTGATAGCTTGACTACATTAAATACAGTTCCCTTTTTATCCTTTACTCAACATAGTTGTTGAGTAGACTAGATTCCTCTGCACGTACTAGTGTACGTGAAGTTTCGTGGCACCCCCAAAAAAAGGGTGCCCCGTTACAACAATGGCTTGGATAGAGGGCCAGCTGTAATGCATGATTTCCCTCGTCGTCATTTAACCATGCCCATCTGGAGATACAAATGACAGCCGATATGTTGGCAAGCCATGTCTTCTATCGGCCCCATTTTGCTACGGTATTGTTACATGCTCCATCAATGAATCTGGTGTCTATCTATTCAGCCTCAAGCAGGGCTACCTGCTTATTCGACGATGGTAGATAGACGAATTTGATCTTCTGGAATTCTACTCACCTTATACTCTACGTCTTCATGCAACATTTCCCATTTCGAAGGTCTCAAAATAATAGCTTTTTTAGAGACCAAAGACTTCTGCTTATTTATGTAAAAATGTTTGCATGCGTGTCACATTGGTCACATTCACTTTTATGGTATTACTAATGCAGGGGACACTTTAAAATATTAGCGATTAGGTCAACTGAACGGTCAAATGAAAAAAGGTCATTTGACACAGTTCGTTCACCAGCATCTCTGCACCTAAAACGCACAACGATCAGTATTTGGACGACTTGTTTGTCGATGCAATTACATTCATTACTACACCTTCTTCTGGATGTCTAAAGCCGAATAATTACTTCTCATGTCCTTTTTTGTATTTATGCAGCCGTCTTCTACAAGGGGGACTTTGATAAATGTATGTGCTTGCCTAAAACCCATAAAAATTTGCCTTTCCATGCATTATTTGTACCGGCGACACGTTGGTCTTGGGTAAGCGATCGGACACCGATTTCAACCTCAACAAGCTTAACGCATAAAAGAAGCACACACGACGAACGATCATTCATGCTATCTAGTTGAATGGACGCTTCTTCTGCAAAGACGCAGGCAACGGACCACGCCTTGCCACAAGAATTTGCAAGAGAAAGAGAAGGGTCATTAGCATTGCATGAAGAGGCTTACGCTGTAATGAAGGTACAGTCAAGTGCACTAACGGCAACATCGATGAGGGCTAAAGACAAAAAGTTTGACGCTGATGGCGTGTTCATATTGTGAAACGACGGCAGCGGCATGTGTATTTCGTTTGCAAGGGAAAGTTTTTGCTAAATCCCACGAACTTAATAAAGACACGGAAAGGGAAACGGCGACATTCGTGACCCATTTACGACAGTGGCTGCATTCACGTTCGCCGATCTGCCTCTCCCCTCGCTTAAATCCTGATGGATAACGCTTTTTTGCGTATTGTGCAGCCTCTTGCGAGCTCTCGGCTTCAGGAAACCAATGCTTGGAAATGTGCCATATACGTCCGGGTCGAGAATGCTTGTAACGGGGCACCCTTTGTTTGGGGGTGCCACGAAACTTCACGTACACTAGTACGTGCAGAGGAATCTAGTCTACTCAACAACTATGTTGAGTAAAGGGTAAAAAGGGAACTGCATTTAATATAGTCAAGCTATCAATATAACGTTAATCTTTATCTAACTATCTTAAATCACGTCGTCGTATGACAGCAACCTGCTCACCACTCATTGTGCACGTCTAGCAGCGACTGGTGGCAATTTATGGGTGATATTTCTTTTATCAACCAATCTTTGAGCAGCGCATGAATATTATCCCAAAAGGGGATAATATTCCTTCAGTATCATCCACCTCGGATAATATTGGTAGGATATTGTCATGCTAGACAATCACCCTATTGACACCGTCAATATCATGTGACGGGCTATCCCGTTTCACTTCTCGTGTGAACTTTATGGTACGGTGCCTATTGACTTAAAGGTGCACCGACTTGAAATTGCTTATTATGTTTTAACATGGCCGTAGACGACTTGCGCGAGATATGCCACGTACCCTCGTGTGTTGTTGCAAGAGTTACAACTTTAGAGTAAACGGAGGACTGCAGGATCATGTGGATGGTGGTGATGGAGGTCAGTGCAACTAAATTGTGACCTGGCCTATCGCTTACACACATTTAGCATTCAAAATCTAGACCAGTCTATAGCCGACACAAATTAAACGTAGAAATGCAAAAGTTTGATTTTTTTTGGCAAACACCAATGTTTTTTAAAGTCTTCCCTTCTCTATGGGTCTAGACAGTGGGACACGTGTCAGTCTTCCCCGGGAACACCGTTTCTAGTCACACTGTCGCGTGCTACTATTGCAAAGTGTTATTTTATATTAATTTGAGTACTATGTGTACACTAGCAAAGATGTTGTTGAAATGGTATGTTAACGAAGCATCTCAAAAAGGCCCGATGCATAGGTAAATGTGTGGCAGCGGTGAAGGCCAATAACTCGGGAAAAAGACAACTTGCGATCGGTAAGCCACTCGAGACTGAGGCGGCGGGACGATAAGCGTCTTGTAAAGGGGTTGGATCATCTTGTCGCTAGCATACACGGAACGATCTTGGAAGCATCAAGCTTAAGTTGTAGGTATCAAGTAAATACTTCTGATGCATTTTCTTATAATTCGTGCTTATAGCAGAAATCTTTAATATATGCTTAACACAATCGTGTTTGCCTATTGGGAGCCACTCATTTTCAGGTTTATTTGTCATTGGACAGATAATACCGCTTCAATAATAAATCAGTAACAATTGCTATGCTGTGTCCTCTATTTGGGTACACCAATTGCCCACAAAATATACTATAATCAGGTTGTGATTATCCTGTAATCTTGCCGATTACACGCCCAATACTATTTCGTTAGTAAAAAACTTTTATCATGTATTCACTTCCCAACAGATACCACGTTGATCCGTGTCTTTTTTTTTTTTTTTTTTTTTTTTGCGTTGTGGCAACAAAACAATTCTTTCGTCTATAATACGTAGCAGTACATGATGTCGCCGATGCCATTGGTCATCTATTGTAACTGCTGCAGAAATACTGTAACCATACTCAGCAAAAGATTATATTTGACGCATCTCACACACCTGGAGCGGAAACGGAAATTAATTATACACCCTAACGTTACTGGCCATGTCCGTATGTAGCAAGCAGATGAGCAATTAAAGGTGCCGGGATTGTGGTCAGTTTGGCTGACGTGCACAGCAATCCTTTCAAGGACGCTCAGTGATTGCTCAATACGAATGCATTCATCTTCATGCACGATTGTGACCTGTTACGATCCCGATCTGCATGTGTTTCGTAGCCTAGAAATGATGGTAAAACTTGCTCATACAAATTACAAGACGATTGACCGCCTCGCAGGCACTTAAGTTTTAACGTAATCGTGTAGAAATGTCATGCCGACTTTTACTCCGAGGATATTAGAATACAAATCATAGCATGCAGTGGTACTGAATAAGAAGCAGTCACGCAAGAGAAAATCAGTTCAGTACTGTGTAAATCTTTTAAATCATACGCGAACGCACGTTTTACCACGCGCCTCATTTTTTAAAAAAGATATACGGCGCAAAGGGCATTTTCAAGTGTTTGTACTAGGCGAAATATGTGACAGAGCGTTCCTCATATGGATTCACGCTACAATCAGACAGCAATTTGGATATGGTGCGCTTCTTTGGCCGACGATTGCGTGTTATTCAGGCCAGTTTGCCAAAATTATTGTGGCTATTGAGGCTTGTTAGGTGTACAATCCAGAACAAGAATCAAAAAAATTGGCCAATTTGTATAGCAATATAGGATTGCAATCCTAGGTGTTGCATAGTTGACGATACCAAGTTTCGAGCCGAACACATATTGACTAAGCGGCTGGTTTCGGGTGGAAATCGTCGAATCTGTGCGCTTTGGCAATTGTGATGCAACTAAGCTAAGCCAAAATAATGATGTTGATAATGTACATACATCATACATTGTACAAACTTGTTATTCACTAGCTTTTCGAATCGACAAGTACTAAACTCAGTTTTTGAATGCATATTAGCGGCATCATTTTGCGTATGATATCAATATTTCTCCATCGTTGGCTTCGTAAGATATGGCTTCAAATCCGGATCGGGTTTTGTTGTGTATATCCGGTGTTTTACCCGCTGGTCCGGGTCACGGGTTGTGGGTAGAACCAGACCACGCCTCATTTGTCCCTCTATAGCCCTTATATATTGTTATCAGAGCAATCAGCCAAACGCGTTTTTCTTAATTTTTTTGATTATGCAGTGAGCTATGTATCCCATTAACGGTACATTTTTACTGTTTGGTGGCACGTAAAGGGGATATTGAAGGTTCTTTTGCTAGCAGGTTTCATACCTTGTTTTTTGAAGAGCTGGAACAATGTAACTGCTATGGATTTTGAGTCGACGTGTACAGATATAAAGATTGCCTTCGCCGACAAGTATCGGCCAGCCTGTGGCGGTTGCCACCAGCACCAGTAATGACAAAAATACAAATTAATATTTAACGTAAGGTTTCAGGCCAGATTATGGCCGACGACTAAACTTTGGCCGATGATCGGCAGTAGCCAATCAGTTTCTATAGCTGAAAACCTTTTTAACGAATGGGTCAGTTTATGGTCGCCCACCCGCGTCAAACGCTGGTTGATCCCATACTGCAACAAAGAGCGATAAAGAAGAAAGGTATTACAGTTGAGACGATCCTGCGAAGTCCGTCAGTGCTCGTGAACGTTGAATGTCTAAGACGCTGTTCGCGAGTTGTTTCCCATTATTTCAGAAAAAGAACGATCTGCCGCATCGTCGAGAAGGCGATCGGGATAAATATCGTCCTTCTTCTTCTTCTTCTTCTTCTTCTTCTTCCTCATCTTCATTTTTCGAGTATAACCCAAAATCTTGTGTTTGTTTTTGACGCAAGTATGCAATGATGAAAGTAACGAAGGTAGATGGGGTCTCTGATCAATGATACACCCAGCGATCAAGTCGCTATTATGCAATTTTTAGACATCGTCAATAAAATTCTCACGTGTCGTCTTACAAAAGGAAACGTATCCATGCTGGTCTAAACAATTATTTTCTTTGACCACGTCTACAAAGCCCAACTTCCCTAGACCCTCTTATGATAATTCATAGAGTACAAACAGATTTAGCGCGCTTGCACACGTGTATGTGGCCTAGCAGAGAGAACGTTGCATTCGATGTTTAGTGATAGTTCCTGTTCCAATCAGCTCTCTCATCGTCATGATCAGGGGAACTTCAGAGGGAACACGTGAGTAATTTGGCGTCGTCCTTCACCAAAAGGATGCGACCTTTTGCCCTTTACTCCATGCAAGCATCTACCATTTTTTTTAGACATTGGGTGTTGCTTTTCCGATATAATTGGTATGTGGCAAGCTCAGACTTGGCTGTCAGCTTTGTAAAGGAACTATTCTGCGACTAAAAGTCGACGGCAGCAAATTAATTTGCACCTTACTTACTTTACCCCGAACTTGCGAAACACTGCTTAAAGGGAGGGTGCGGACACCGTTAATACACGAGCAAATCTCAATATCAGGACCACAAATGTCCAAAAGTCCCAAAAGCAGGACTATAGTTTAATCAAGTAAAATCTATCTTTTTGATACTTGGGTTGAGTATGCAAATTAGCATAGTGTTAGCCACATTATACTCAACTGCAACATGGGATAAGAAACTGCCTGATCACTAATGAGTCTATCCATTTTTAGACAGCTGTCGCGAGTGGTCAAAAAACGCTCTTTTTTACCAACGTTCGTTTACTTCTCAATTTGCGCCCACGAGCCGATGTGCCCATTTTGGTTTGGGCACATTGCGTGCGAGCCAGGGCCCGGTCGCATGCACCCGACGAGCTCGTGACTGGTAAACTCCGTTATTGAATCAACTCTCATGAGCAGCGGTAGCAGGTAATTATGCTGTCGATGTCGACTGTGCTGTCTAACGATCGTATGCTTTGTCTGTATGTATGTGTTGCAGTGCGTTTCAAGTGATGTCGAGTGATATCAAGTGATGTCGAGTAATGTCCAGTGATGTAAAGTGGCGTCCGGTGATGTAGAGCAGCGTCGAGTGGTTTCAAGTAATGTCGAGTGTCCTGCTTAACGATTGTGTGCTATATCCGTGTGGATATGTTGCAGTGCCGGGAGTTTGTTAGACTGACTAGGGCGTAATATCAAGACAAGTGTAATACATGCGTTATGTAAATTTATAGAAATTAGTACTGGTCTTAAAAGCAATAATCATTAAAAAAAAATTGTTCACTACCTCATTCTGTTTATTTTGAATGGTTAGTTTGAGCGTTTAAGCGTAAGCACAAGAAGTATACTGAAAGAAGTCTTTGAGATGTCTCGAGTGACTGCAGCAATCGAAATCAACACTAATCACGGTACCACTGACCTGACCTATTGTAAAACCTTTCGAACTGGCGTTGCTGCAACCGCGTACATAAAGAATTACTGATTTAATCAAAATCGACAGTGCAAGGTGTAATAACTGAGTCACCCGGTCACGAGCTCGTCGGGTGCATGCGACCGGGCCCTGGCTCGCACGCAATGTGTCCGAACCAAAATGGGCATATCGGCTCGTGGGCGCAAATTGAGAAGTAAACGAGCGTTGGTAAAAAAGAGCGTTTTTTGACCACTCGCGACAGCTGTCTAAAAATGGATAGACTCATTAGTGATCAGGCAGTTTCTTATCCCATGTTGCAGTTGAGTATAATGTGGCTAACACTATGCTAATTTGCATACTCAACCCAAGTATCAAAAAGATAGATTTTACTTGATTAAACTATAGTCCTGCTTTTGGGACTTTTGGACATTTGTGGTCCTGATAATGAGATTTGCTCAAGAAGGAGCATGCTTCAACTAAAAGGCAAATGTTCGAATCAGTAAGCTTTGCTCAGGAATGCCATGAAGCAACGGCTTTCTGTATCCACGTGCTCCAGGACCTACCGCCGTCCTCAATTGCATATTTGCATCAAGCACCGCCACGCGCCAAAGTGATCGATCCTTCGCCTTGTATTGCAACTCGAGTGTCGATTCCTATGACCAAGTACTCCCCCTTCTTCATGCTCGTGCTCTTCCTGTCTGGAGGCTGTTACCAGTGTTCAGCCTCCGCAGCTGGACCATCGAGTGAGCTGACAAATACGAACGTGGACCAAGCCACTCCGTCGGAAATGGGCGGCCATATGATCCGTCAAGGGAGTGTCACCAGCTTCGACGCAGCGAACGATGACAGGGCACTCCACGAGCACTGGACGGCGATCATAGAAGGCTTTAAGCGTCTTGCGTCTTCAGTCGCGAATTGGGGCCCTGTCAAACAGGTCATCGACGCAGGAAGAGGGTCGAAGCTCATCCGACAGCTGGTCAAGTGGTTCTCTGCCGAAAAATTGAACATCGAGAGCATTGTCGTACCACCCGCAGCCGAGACGAACATCAAGAATATTGCCAAACCGCTCGTGGCAGAAACGAAGACCGAGAATACCGCTGGACTGCCCGTGGCCAAGACGAACGTCGAGAATATTGTCAAACAGCCTGCGCCAGAGACAACGATCGTGAGCCTGGAGGACGCCGATTACAAGTCAAAAGTCGATGAAGCTATCGGACTGCTCCAGAACAACGAGAAAAACGCTTTGAGTTATGTCGAGCGTCAGATTGATCCGATGCATTTACGTGCTGCCTGGAAAGCCCTCCTGATCGAAGCAGACATGTCGGATGAAGAATCGGCCAGGGTGAAAAACCTGATTGAGAAGGCAGTGGCAGAATACAAAAACATCTACACAAAGGAAAATAGCCTGGCGATTCCTTCGTATTGGATCGAATTCTAGCACATCCGGTTAGGACGGGACTACAACGCAGAACTCATCGCTGCAGTGTTGGCATGCACGAGGAGCAATTGCAGGACGAGTGGTGGGCTCTTTCAGTCAAGTAGGTTTATGTAGCATCATGAGTTTGGCGTCCACCATCTTTCCACGTACACGGTTGTTTCCATTGTTGCGTACACATAAAGACCGTCTAAATTGCAACAAAATGTCGTTTTTTTTGGGTCGAAATGCCGAGCGTTTAACACAATGTAGTCATGCCTGTGATGGAATGAAGGTGGGGTCGAACCCAAATATTTCTAACAAAAATTAGACTTTGTTTCCAGGTGCCCAAATGTTAAGTATGGCTTGACCGTTTCTCGTATTGAAGATGGCTTAATGCCCGCTCACATTCCGTACGTCTCGGGTCTCATTCACAAAAAGCAAAAAAAAATGGACCAAATAATGAGAATAATAAGAAGCAAAAACCAAATGAAGCAGAACATTAATGTTGGAACATGCAGAACATGAAATTTACATTAATTTTTTTATAAGTAGGGAATTGTTGACTTTAGTCCATTTTTGGTTATACTCACTTTCTTTTTCGTTCGTTAAGTAAACACTTATTAGAACTTACTTGATTGGCCGATATTCTCTAAAGACATATTTTTGTTTGTGCTAAAAAAGGATATCACTTTTACGAATTTGAACTAAATAATGCAAATATATATACAGTAGAACAACTCTCTGAGATCGCTGACGGAATAAATAGACGGAGCTTGATTCCTCCTCCAGAAGACAAAAATGACAGCCGTGCGGGTATGATATCTGCAGCTCAAAGTTGGGCTCTTGGCCATAGGCATACAGTGACCATGAAATGGTCAGTGGACGGCAAAGCAAGCGTGCAGCGATGATCGTGGCGGTGCAAACGTGCTCCAAGAACAAAAAAGGCCGAAAAGGAGTCGTCGTATTGACTGCCCTTTTCTACTCTCTGGTTTTTTTCGAAAACAACTGGAAGATGTAAGCTGAAGACAAAAGTCAGCAGCCACAATCACGAGCAATCACCTAAATTTTTTGGACATTTAAATAGTAGAAAGCTCACGGAAGCGCAGACTGAATAAGTCAAGCATATGACGAACACTGGTATCGAGTCGACTGCAATTATGTCTGCATTAAGGATGACTGATGAATAAACCTTTGCAAACTTGCGCACTATATGCAACGAGCGATTTAGATGCGTAATGAGCAGACTGCAGGGAGATTTCCAGTGGATGCATTACTTGACAGTCTTCAAGAAAGTAACTGGACGAATCTTGGTGTAGCATACGAGTCTGGAATAAACTTAGGCTCGTTTTTGCACACCCAAAAATTGTTACACTAGCAAACCAATACAATCACGTTTAGGTAATGGACTGCAATTATAAGACCAACAGATATCGAATGCCACTTCTTCACATCATTGGAACAACTGCATTTCATACTATGTTCACATTGGGTTTTGCTTTTTGGTCATGAAGAAATTTGACAATTAAATATGGGCAATGTCAAAATTGTCAAGTGTGGAAAAAAGGCTATGTACCAAATGTGATTTTTATAATTCCGAAGCTGTCACTTATGAATGCCATTGTAGCGGAGCAATTTGGCGCTTCTTAACAGAGAAATTAAAGACTCTAAGATTATTCCTTAGCTATAACAAACTAACAACGACGTACAGTCGTTCAAGCGTACAAGTTTAACAATCCCGTTCCGAAAGGGATTACGATTCACAGAATCCCACACTAACTAGAGACTACTACTTAGACAAGCGTAGCGCCTTCACAAGGCCAATGCTCTTACGACACTACGCTTTGAACAGGCAGTGGTTTCCAACGGTTTAAAAGGGGAACTGAAATGCATTTAATCTTTAACTACGGTAATAGAACCATAAAACCTTGTCCGGCTTCTACATTGCGACCCTATGACAGAAGTCTTATCCCTTATCCCTACCTGATAAGGTGCGGTATTACCGTAAGTACGTGTACCAAGACTTAACCACTCAGATCCGCCGATCTTTACTTGGTGTAAACACATAACACAACCGGTTTAAAAACGCTTGTAACCCCGTTACAGCCTTCCAGCAACTTTTTCAGTCATCAACAGACATTTTGTGCATTTGGCATATATTTATTATATTTTGGCCTACTGTAAGGAATGTTTGGAAGTCCCGGAGACCTCTGATGCATATATGCATGTTTGGAATGTATATGTGTCTTCTACAATTGAAGAAGACTACGAGACACAGGTTTCAAAATTTGCAAGATTGCTTAAATAAGGTCGGAAGTGCTCAACCACGTTACAGAGACATGGCTTGATACAAAAACATTTGACGAAGGCTTGGACGTTAAAGCATCCACATTTGAATCTTAGTCCTCTACGAAGGCAGAGGGGGCCCATGGATTCTAAAGAAAATTTAAATGAGTCTCTACAGCATACTTTTTAACATCATTCGACACACAGAAGTCTGTGCTCAATTACAAGATTATAGCTGAGATGGATCGTAGAAGAAACAACGATGCACAACTTGCTAAAGCCAATATAACAATTGCACCTGCAAGCAGCAAAATCTCTTTGTATAAATCATAGAGATGTCTTTTGCAGCAAAATACAACTCGACTGGAATTTGATAGATGCACTGGAATTATACATTGAAGATGGGGATTCCGTATTTTCATAAGCTTGAATTCATTAGTAAAAGTGGTGGTGCACTGGCCGCTATCAATTTATATGCTCAATAACAATGAACCAGAACCAAAAAAGTCTGCGTGGCGTACAATTATTTCAGTACAATACTTCATACGCCAAAATCACCCAATGAAACGCACAAGAACGGAGCGTATTCTTTAAACATATGGGGGATTGCTTAGGAAAACGAAGATGTGGAATATTTGGACTGCTCATTGAGCACCACAGACGTAGCTGTCCCTCGTTTGATTGTTATTATATGTGATTTAAAACACTTATTTCTATATTAACAAAATTTACCTGTTAGATGTGAGCAGTGGTGCTATGTGAACTTATCATCTCTTTTGATTTCGGACAGCACAAGATACAACATGCTAATAATCGGCTAGTAAATAAAAAAAACTTTTGTATTCATCTTAGCTTGTGTAAAGCACGAATATCAGTCCACATTGTCGGCTTTGATGTCTTGAGATATGACGCCTCTTGATATTAAAACTATCTTCACCACTGTCATTTTCTTCTTTTACAGTTTGACCTGATGATACAGTTCGCTATTCTTCCAATATTGCTCGGATCCACACGTATTCTTCTCGACCATAAAATATAAAATAAATTCCTCCAATTTATCTTCGCATTCGTCCTGCCCTCTATCGTATATATCGTCCAGGCTTCCATTTTTGACAGCCTCCACTTCAATCATTCAATGTCACCCTGGCCTCGATCACCTAACGTATTCCTGGCCTTCATCATCTGACGGAAAGTCAGGTCTTATGTAAGATCAATTTGAGTCATTAAGTTGTATCTAAAAGACAGAGAAAAAGAAACATCCATTTCTAACGCTATACGCCGTTTTTAAATTACTTTACTCACCATATCAACCATTGAAATTAGCGCGAAAGACTCCCGCAGGCCATGTGTCAATGCCGTCCCATTTGCATCCCCTTGGTCCGTACCGTGATAATTGCAGTGGCAGTTGACTACAAGGAGACACCATTTAAATCGCGGAATTTGTAATGCCCACAGAGGGAGTATACGACTTAAAAATCAAAACAATTTACACATAGTATTACCATATCAGAAATAGTTGTCTCGAATGTCGACCTTAAGAAAAAAATGTCTTCTGATCAAAAATTGATTGAACTAACCAAATAAGGAATGAATCTATCAACCCCTCTAAATACCAAAGAAACAAACCACCAGATTACATCTAAAAAAATCCACACGAAATAAGGGACCGCAGATCGGATAGCGACAAAATGGACCACAAGATGACACATGCAGGAAAAATACTAAGGCGTAGACTATAGGTGTGGCATGACAGAATTTAAATGCTTATCATGAATCCAAGTCAGATTCGAATCATTTGTGCACTGCCTGCCAAGTGAAAACAAAACACTAATTTAATTTTCTCAGTTTTGTTATGGCGCATTTAGGCAGAATTTGTCTGAGTGGCAAGTTGTGAAGTGCTTGACCTTAAATCTGCATTTGCATTGACGTCGTATGTATTAGCGTGGAGATAAACGCCGACAGGTTATGCAGCTACTCGACTGCTGTCATTTTATCTATATTTATATCCCGGCACGCAAGGACAGCCTGCACGGCGTTTAATTTTGTATGGTGATATGCCACCGTAACCCCATGATTTTTGGTCGAGCGCTAATCAGGGCTTTGAATCGCGAATAAAGGCTCATCTTACACTATTGCTTGCATAATGTATTGGTATCAAAATTTATCGAAGTTTTTTGCGCAAAGGGAAAATAAGTTGATGCTACAGTGTGCAAATAATTAGAACTATTGTGCATCTATAAGAATCTCATCTATCAGGTGCAAGTTATTCTCAGCTCGAAATTTTACCTTATGTGTTTCGTTAGCGTTCGATACCTAATGGTAAATCGAGAACATCTTGTTGCACACCAAACGTATATATTTTGGACTCCGTTAAGCTCTACTTAGAACGTCGATTATGGTCATTCGATAGAAGGGTGCAACACTTACACGATACTTTACATACGGTAAAAATCAAGTATGAATTATTAGTTGAGACAGACATCATATTCTCACAATGTCAACTTACCTAGTAATATTGTGATACAGAAATAATTCACTGTTCATTGGTTGATATGGACTGCTGGTGTTTACCAAAAATCCGAGCCAAGATAGAAGAACGCGATGAGTGGTGAGCAGATATTTCCGATACATGTTTGTACTTAGATATTGTTAATAGAAGACTAAATAGATTATTTAACAGGAGATAAAAATACTCAAAACAGATCTACTTTTACCCTTTATCTCGTGTTGACACCTTC